GCAGCAGCAGCAGCAGCAGCAGTCGTTGGAGGGCTATGTTGAGCAGGGTGGAGAGCAGACGGCCCAGGAGGGGGAGATGATCCAGGTCGAGCGCGCGGAGGACTCGCCGCTCCCGGGCAAGCGGGTGCGGAAGCCGACTGCGCCGAAGCTGGCCATGTCGCCCAAGGCGCCGAAGAAGTCGCAGGCCAAGAAGCGCAAGACGGCGTCGTTCCCGCAACTTGAGGCGCTCGCGTCGATGGAGCATGTCATCAACGGCTCGGCGCAGGACTACGCTTCCCTCGCTCACCTCCCGCCTCTCCCGCCCATGGACGGCTTCGGTGCCTTCACGCCCGAGAAGATGACGCTCCCCGCCCTCCCCGTCTTCCCCGACTCGCTCCCCAAGCTTCCGTCCCTCCCTTCCCTCCCCGACATCACCTCTGCGCTGCACTTCTCGCCCGCGACTTCGGCCCCTCACCTCCTCAACTCGCTCGTCTACACCGCGCACATCCCTAACCCGTCCCTCTCCTCCGCCCCTGCCCACCCTTCGCCCCTCTCGTACTCGTCGTCCCTCGACCCGGCACTCCAGGCTCTGACGGCCGTCGCAGCTGCCGAGGCAGACTCGAGGGAGGCCGGACAGCCTTCTACGTACGCTCACCCGCCGCAGGACGGGGCAAACGACGCGAACGGCTCGGGTGAGGCGTCGACTTCAGCGCAGGCGGAGGCGCAGCAGGAGCAACCGGTCGAGGAGGACCCGCCTGCCCAGTCTGAGCCGCAGGGAGATGCAGAGGATGGTCATGCTGCTGTCGAGGAGGAGGCGCACGCAGACGCAACCGAGGCTGAGGCTGAGGCAGACGGCGACGACGACGGCACGCCTGGTCGTCGCCCGAGGCGCAAGGTCCGAGCCCCTGCCGCCCTGCGCGACACAACCGCCTTCTCGGACGACCCTGCGCTGCAGCAACTCGCGCAGACTTCGCCGCGTCCCCGCTCTCCCGCCGCCCTCGAGCCGCCTCCGCTCCACCCGATCCTCGATTACGTCCGCGCGCACGAGTCGGCCCAGCATGGGTTCCGGTTCGACACTCCTGACGACAGCGATGTCGCGAGCGACCACCTCAACAGTCCTGGCCCGTCGTCAGCGTTTGGTTCGCCTGCCTTCCTGCCGAACCCGCTGCCCGCCGAGGGAGGCCGTTCAGGCGGACGCAGCTCGGACCCGAACGCTTCGCCCAGCTCCAAGGCTCGCCAGCGCCGCAAGCCGCGTGGCTCGAGCGGGCCGTCGACTTGCGCGAACTGCGGAACGTCCGACTCGCCCCTCTTCCGCCGCGACTCGGAGGGTCGCCAGCTTTGCAACAGTTGCGGGTGCGTCTCGCTGACGATCTCTACATGTGTTTCCTTGCTGACTGACCATTCGCACCCAGCCTCTACTTCAAGACGCACGGTCACGACCGGCCGCAGAAGGTCATCCAGCGCGCGATCGGCGCCGCCCGTGTTCAGAAGCGCAAGCAGCAGATTGAGTCCGGCGAGACTCCGCCGAAGCGCATCAAGCCCGCTGGCATCCCTTCGCCGCTGCAGGCTGCGCCCCACCCGCATGCGCCTGCCCAGCCGTCGCCCCTCCAGCCCATGCCCGCCTTCTCGTACGGTGACAGTCCGGCGTACTCGCCCGAAGCGTACGCTGGTCCGTCTGGCTCGGGCGGCGGCGGAGGACGTCGCTCGGCGTCTGCCTCGTCGTCGGCGACCGGAAGCGGCAACGGCTTGAACGGCACGCTCTCGAGCGGCATCGCAGCCGGCTACGAGAGCCCCTACGCCGCGTACGTCCCGCCCATCCCGACCACGTCGCAGCCGTTCGACCCGCGCCAGTACGCCGGCGGCCACCATCTCCCGCAGCCTCCTCAGCCGCACCAGCACCACCCCTACGGCCACCACTTCCCGTCGAACCCGTCGCCGACCGGCAACGCCTCGCCTCAGCTCCCTCGTCCGACCTTCGGCGCCGGCCCGTCGTCCACCAGCGGGCACTACTATGACCCGTTCGGCATGCCTCCCTCGACGAGCGCCGCATCGACCGAGAACACCGTCGACGCCGAGGTCTTGCAGCGCCACGCGCTCGAGTCGCTCGCCGCGCAGGCACTCAGCTTTGGCGTTGGACCGAGTGCGAGTGCGCCGCCTACCTCGGCATCGCAGCCTGAGCAGGCGTCGTCTGCGCCCGCCGAGACGAGCAGTGCGCCCGTCGAGATGGACGTCGCGCGGTCAACGGCGACGGAGCAGCCGCACGCACATGCTCTCGCCCACCCTGCCGCCGCCCAAGTCCGCGCAGAGGACGCGAAGGAGCAGACGGGACAGCCCAGCCCGCCGCCGAGTGCGTCTGCGATGCCGCTCGCGCCGCTCTTCCCTGGTGACAGTGCGTAAGGGGAGTTGAGAAGGAGTTAGGCGCAGCGGTGCACGCTTGGTTGGGTTTCGCTTTCTTTGCATAGGACGCATGCTATTGATGTTGTGAACTCTCGAACCTTGCGAGTCGCGAGAGAGCACGAGCGAGAGTCATCGCAATGTCTCCCGTATCCGACTCGCTCTCCTGCCCATGCTGCAGTGCTCTGCAGATCGACGGCTCGAACAGAAAGACAGCCTTGCAAGGGAGAGAGAGGGGGCGGGCCTAGTGGTGCGAAGTCGGCTGGCCGCGGAGGTCGCTCTCGTCCTTGATGCCCATCTCGCCGTTCTTGAATTGCTTCGCCCACTACGAAGCAGATGGGTCAGCTGGAACGCCTGAGCGCAGGCAAGGGTGCCCAGCGATGGAGGCTTGCGGAAACCCACCATCATCGAGGGGATCCAGCGAGTCGGCGCGGTATGCCGTTCCTGTTGCAAGCGAGCATGTCAACAGAGTGCACCAACGAGAGAGCCTTCGGAAGCGGGAGGGACGGCTCGTCAAAGTCGGGGGTCGAGGAAGCGGAGGGTGGGCTCACCTCATGCTCCGCCGAGAACTTGAAGATTCCGTAGCCGACGAATGCAATACCGAGCATTGCGTACGCCGTGTTGGTCCGCCAGTTGTGCGGGTTCGTCCACCATCCACCTGCGGGCGTCCAGACCTCCTGCGAGCGCGAGAAGAAGGGTTCCGGTGAGCCCAGCTGCTCGGCAGTCAATTGCGAGAGCTCGTACGGACCTTCGGGTACGGGTATTGCGCGCCGCCGCCCTGTTGTCACCGAGCGAGCCGAACGGGGAGATGAGGAGGAAGGGAAGGCAACAACTCGTCAGCGAGGCGTCGTTGGCGCGGCGGGACCAGTTCAGGCTGTCACTAGACGGTGCTACTCACCATCAATCGTGCTGTCGGGCGCATCTTGAGGTGTGAGGGAGCGAGAGAGTCGCAACCCGGTGAGCGACCCTGTCGACGAGCGACTTGAGCGCCCCCACCACTCTTTGTGGGCCTGATAGCGCGTTGTCTGGGCACGAGAGGCTTCAATAATTGCAGCAACGGCTCCAAGCAGTCGCTTGAGGTCGGGGTGCGCGCTCGCCCTCTGGTTGTCCTCCTTGACCTCCTTCGCTTCACTCGCAGCCCTCACATCATGGACAAGCTTCCGCATGAACTGCTGAGCGTCATTCTGACAACCGCTGCCGCCACCATCCCGCTTGCGCGAACCAAAGACAGCGCGGATGAGCCCAGCTCGTCTCCTCGACCGCGAACAACATGGCTGGCAAACCTCTCCCTCGTCTCGCGCCGGTTCCACACGGTCGTCCAGTCAATCATGTTCGACAACATCGCCGTCACAACAGAAAAGCAGCTGCGCCTCCTCGCCGCCCACCTCGAGCAGAACCCCTCCCTTGCGGCGAAACCGATCTCGCTCGTCATTCGCGCGACCGACTCTGCACAATCGAAGCATGCAGCGAAGGCATGGCGGAAGGCGATCCTGCGCTTTGGTCGATGCAGGCCGAACGTGCGTCGCCTGGAGGTTTACGGGCGAGATGATCGGGAGAAGTTTGGCTACTTCGACCTCAGCTGGCTCGAGTCTATTCAGTGTTGGTCTCAATCCCCACGACTCTTTGCTGCATCTGCCTGACAATCCAACGACCCAGCATCGCTCGAAGAATTGATCGTCTCGCATATCTGGTTCGCGCATCACGAATCGCTTGACAACTTGCGCCTTACGGCATTGCGACGATTCACGGCCGCCGACTACTGGTATGATTCGCCTCCCCCACCGCACGACCCTTTCGACAGTCGGCCTCCGCGCGTGTACAGGCAGGTGGGCATCCCCAAGTTCCGCCGTTTCCTACGATGCATGCCAGCCATTGAGAGTCTCGAACTCCTCGATAATGACGAGGATGCTCCAGCTGTACACGACATGTCTCTTGAAGAAGGGTCAGCTGCCAATCCTTCGTCTTTGGAGACGCCTAGCTCACCTCCCGCATTGCTGACAGCCCGCCAACGCTTCCGGACATCACGAGCTTGACTGTCGAAGCCGAGGCTCTCACAACGCTTTTGCGCAAGCAACATCCGCATGCCCTCTCACCCTTCCTCTTGGGCGGCTCGACCATCCAGCATCTCACCACTCTCTACACGAGCGGACCGCCTCTTCATTTGGCAACTCGGGAGTACAACCTGTTCGAACGACTGTTCTATGGCCTCCCGCCTCTTCGCTCCCTGACGTTCGTCAACATGGCGGCTTCCCACATGCGCGACTTCGACCAACGCATGCGCAAACTGCTCGAGCAAGCCCAGGCGGAAGGATACGCTCTCGACTTGGAGTTCAGGGTAGTCAGTCCGGAGATGTGGGTGCCGGAGTGGGATGACTTGGCTCGGGACGGCTGGACGACACCCAAGTGCCATCCGGGACAAACGCCGCGTGAACGCCTCCTGGTGTACTGCGGCCCGCGTGAGGCGTAGCCATGCATTGTCATGGGAAGTGACTTAGAACCGACTGTTGTGGGAAGCTGCGAGGGAGCATCGCAGGCCTGGAAGCCGCTCATCTCTGTGCTACTCGCGAAGCGCGCCTTCGTGAGGCTCGCTGTAGGACGTATGTGCTATTAACAGTCATGTTGAGTGCTTCGCGAGCGCTCTGATCCGACCAAAGCTCGAGCCTGCTTACCCCGCTCGCCCCTTGTTCGCCTTCTCGTCGCTTCATCTGTCCGCCTCCAGCGCCACCCAGCCACATGGTCCGGCTGCCGAACGAGACCTTAGAACTCGTACTCGATTACGCGAGTACTGACGTGCTGCTGGGGCGCTACGAACGCCCTGCTTCACGACCCGCCTTCCACACCAGAGGATTGCGGATGCGATGGCTAGCGAGCATCCAGCTTGTCTCGCGGCAGTTCCTCAAGGTGGTCCGCTCTTTCGCCTACAACGAAGTCGCCGTCTCGTCTGCGAACCAACTCGAACTCCTCACCGACCACCTCGACCGAAACCCCAACCTCGCCCTCAAGTCTCTTTCGCTCATCGTCTTTGCCTCAGGACCCCAAGATGAGCGGCGGTACACTTATGAACGGCGCCGAAGCTTGGAAGGCGGCACTCCTGCGGTTCGCGCGGAGCAGGCCGTTGATTCGGGGACTTGAGATCTACGGTCCGGTCCAGGAGGAGGAGACGCTTAGGTGGGGAGCTTGTGACCTGAGCTGGGTGGAAACGTCTGCAGGTGCGACCCGGCGTACTGTGTAGCCGGGCCGAGGAGGAAATGCCTGACTTTCGGCGCGCAGCAACTCTCGAGCGTCTTCTGCTCGCGAATGTTGCAGTCGCACATGACAACACAGTGGACCATGTCCAGCTGTCAACTCTCCGCAACCTGGTCATGTCCAACTGTACTGCCATCGTCGACGCCGACCCAACGCTCCGGCAACTCATTGCAGCAGCTACGCCAACCGCCGACACCTTTCGTCGCTTCCTGTCCCGCATGTCCAGCCTCCGTCAACTCGAGCTTTTCGACCACAAGTACCTCGCTGCGGACCTGGGGATGCTCGGCCCATCGTGCGTCAAAGTCTCCCAGCCTTGGCCTCTCGAGACGGGCCGACCCGCTTCATCCACAGTGACCTGCGCCTGGCAAACCTCCGCACCGTCACAGTCGAGTACAAAGCCCTCGCTTGGATTGTGCCCTGGCCGCACGAGCCGTTTCGCCTCTTTGGCGCACAAGTCGAGCATTTGACCGTTGTCAATGCTCGGAGAACGTTCCAACCTGTGGACCTGCACCTCGAATGGTATCTCGACGACACCTCGGCATTAAAGACGCTCACCCTAGTCGGGACAGAGCTGTTTCCGCCGCCTCTGTATCGGGCTGGCGTTCAGGAGAGAGTGGCGGCGATGGTTGCCGATGGGAAGGTCGTCAACGTTGAGCTAAGGTTCGTCACCCTGGACGAGTGGGTGTATCAGCGGGTCGACATGGCAGGGTTGAGCTGGGTTGCGGGACAAAGGCCGTCTAGATAGTCAGCGAGTCGCGCCCTCACCAGGATATCTACCACCTTATCATGTCCCGTGCGCGGCGTCGGCGAGAGTGAGAGCGAGGATGGGAGCAAGAGCGGAATCGGAGAGCGGATAGGAATCAAAGCGGTCACTCAGACGTGCGGAGAGAACGAAGGACCCCCGCTCGGTAGCTCGGCAGAGTTGAAGAGAAGATGATCTGCCCGTCCCATCGTAGTAATCGAGCAAGAGCCCATCGTCATCCATCGCGTAGCGAGCGAGCCATCGGGAAGCGCGAAAAAGCGAAGTCAGGCGTCTTCCCGATCCTCGCGGTGCGAAGTCGTCTGCCGGCTGGTTCGATTCGTCTTGTGAATGCAAGCGGCCCAAGGAAGAAGTAATATGGCAGAGAAAGATGGAGGCGGAATGATCGGGCGGGCGGGTCGAGAGGGAGGCGAGTGGGAGAGCGAGGAGGGCGAGAGGCGAGGGTTGGCGGCGCCGGAAGTGCTCTAGTTGTACAGGTTGAGGAGGGCGGGGTCCTCGATGAGCTTCTTGATGAGGACGAGGAAGGAGACCGCCTCCCGGCCGTCGATAACGCGGTGGTCTGTTTTGCGAAACGAGTGAGCCAGACGCCCGAACGCGCACGAAGGATTTTCTGGACTCAGCATATGTAAGTGCGGTCACCATGACTGGCCGAATAACCGCCTGTCCATCCCTGGCCACGACCCGGTCGACAATAGAGTGCATCCCAAGGACGGCACACTGCGGGACAGAAGTCAGCGGAGGTGAGGAGGGGGATCGATGGCAAGGCGTACTTGAGGCGGGTTGAGGATAGGCGTGCCGTACAGCGAGCCAAAGACGCCGCCGTTAGAGCTGTAGGTAGCAAGGCGGATGGCAAAATGCGCGAAAGAGGCGGAAGAGGGGGGAGGGGAGGAAGTCAGCGCCCTTCAATCAAGTCTCACGCCAGCCTCAAACACACATCGTGAAGGTACCGCCGTTCATGTCCTCGAGCGTCAGCTTGCCGTCGCGAGCCTGCGAGGAGAAGAAAACGAAAAATTGGGAAGGTCAGCGGGAAAGTCGCCTCGACTAAGCGTGAACGGACGCACCTTCTTGCCGAGGTTGGCGATCTCGCGCTCAATCTCAACAAAATTGTACTGCTCGGCATTGCGGAGGACAGGGGTGACGAGGCCCTTGGGGGTCGAGACGGCGACCGAGACGTCTGCGTAGTCACGGTAGACGATCTCTGCGCTGGTGCCGGTTCCCTCGATCGAGGCGTTGACGGCGGGGAACTCGCGGAGAGCGATAGTCGACGCCTTGACGAAGGCCGACATGAAGCCGAGCTTGACGCCGTGGTCCTTGAGGACCTGCTCCTTGTACTTGGCGCGGAAGGCCATCAAAGCCGACATGTCGATTTCATTGAAGGTCGTGAGCGAGGCGGCGGTGTTCTGGGCCTCCTTGAGGCGCTCGGCGATGCGGGCACGCATGCGCGACATCTTGACCTGCGCGCGGGCGGAAAAGGAAGGCAAAGGTCACCGAATCCGCCAGTCACAACAGTTCTCGCTGTACGCACCCTCGTCTCGTTCCTCGAGCCCTTGGGCGCAGCAGCAGCCGGGCTTTGAGGCGCCGTCTTGCCCTCCTCCTTCTTCGAGGGCTCGGGAGCCTTGGGCGCAGGCTGCGCCGAGTCGGGCTTGCGGTACTCAGACTTGGCCTCGGGGATGGCCTCCTCCTTCTTTGGCTCGGGCTTGGACTCGTCCTTCTTCGGCTCCTCCTTCTTGGGCTCCTCCTGCTTGGGCTCCTCCTTCGGCGCCTCCTCCTTCTTGGCTGCGGGAGAACCAAAGTCAGCATGACCGCTGCCGCCACGCTGAGACAGTCTGCACGCACCACCGCCCTCGGCCTTTCCATTCGGGTCGAGCTTGAAGAGGTCCTGGCCGACCGCGACCGTGTCCTCCTCGTTGGCGAGCAACTCGGTCAAGACGCCGGCTTTGGGCGCGTTGACCGCGACGTCAATCTGTGCGTGTCGGCGTTCGCGTAGGAACGAGGGCGAAGAGAATGCAGAAAATCAGCCGCGGTACTTGTCGGGTAATGCGGAGCAATGCGGGGGAGAAGCGACGGTCGCTCAAGGGAGGACGAGGTGTACGTTCGTGGAAGAGTGCAGCGCACCTTGTCCGTCTCGATGGTGGCGACCTCCTCGTCGGCCTCGACATAGTCGCCCTTCTGCTTGAGCCACTGCTTCAAGGTTCCCTCGGTGATGGACTCGGCCATGGACGGAACCTTGACGATCTCGTCTGCGGGACAAAGCTTTGTCAGTCCCGCCGCAACATGCCAGTATCCTGCAAAGCCGCGGCGAGGACGAGGGCGCGGCGAGCAAGGGCAGTGACGGCAGGGAGGGATGGACGAACCGAGGGTGAGCGGCGACGCATGGAACGAGCGGGAAAAGGCGGGTCTGTATGTGAGCCATCCCAAGCGTCAGTTTCGCGTGCTGTCCACCCTGCGCAAGAGGTTGACGCACGCTGCGAGTCTGGGTGCGGTGCGGGCGACTCCGGCGGTGAGGGAAGCGCGCGAGAGGAGCGTTTGGCGCGCGGCGGAAGCGGCAGCGGGCCTGGCGCAGCGTGCGAGCGCCCTGGGAGTGTTCCTAGCAGCGAGCATCCTGAAACTGAGCAAGTTGAGCGATGAGAGCGAGGACGAGGAGCAGAGGAAGCGACGAGGACAGCTTACACCACGACCACCTCGCTCAGGGGGCTCGCTGGACTCGCTGGTGTGACTGGCACACTCGCTAGGCTGCTCAGAACTCGCCAAGGATGGCCAATCCCGCACACTCGTTTGTCCTGGTCGACCCACTCGCTCACTCGACACAGGGCACCCCGCCAGTCGACACACGGCACGTGCAGCGCATACTCGAGCACAGGCAGCGCCAGCCAGACCAGCAACTCTTCATCGACCACCTCTTGCAGCTCGCAGAGCCCGAGGGTGCGTCGCTGTCACCCGTCCCTCAACTCGCCTCGAACAGCGGGCTAACGCGTGCTCGCTCGCTCGCAGGGTCTCTGCAGTACCCGCCGGCAGACGATGCAGAGCTTTTTCAGCTCTCGAGCCGGCTGGCGGCGTTGTCAGCGTCGTCGACGGGCCTCACCGCCCGCTCGTGCCTCTACTACGTCTCCCTCGCCTTCTCACCCTCCCCCGAAGCCGCCGCAGCAGTCGCGAAAGACCTCCTCCTTCCCCCAGCGTTCCGTCTGTCGGTCCGCGCATTCCACGCCCTCGACTCGGGCGAGTACTGCACCGCAGTTCGCCTCCTCGCCGACCCACGAGTGACGCCCGACTTTGTCCCTCGTACACTCGCCATCCTTACGACTCTTCCTGAGCCCAGCGAGCGCGCAGAGCTCGTACTAAGCTACTGGCGACTCGCGAGGATCGACCTCGCGGCGTACGGCAAGGACGAGGTCAAGTGTGTCTTGAGGGCGTTGTGTGCGCCTGAACGCGCTCGCGGCGTCGCCGAGGCATGGTCACTGGCGCGCGAGTGGCGGGAAGAGGGCGAGCGTGAAGAGTTGGCCGGGACGGTTCTCGAGACGTGCTTCGGCGGTGGGTCCGAATCTTCAGTCTCTAGTCTGCCTTCTCGGCTCACTTTCGGTCGACGCAGACAACCACGCCGGCCACCCGCTCGGCTCGCATCTCTCCGCACTCCTCGCCCTGCCTTTCACACCTTCCGAAGACGCCCTCGCGACCTCCTTCTGCTCGTCCCCTCCCTCTCCTCTTCCCCTCACCCTCACAGTCGACTGGCGTCTCTCGAAACTGATCGCCGAGTCTCGCCCCGTCGATGCCCTGCGCTTCTGGTCTTCCGTCCGCAAGAGCGGCAAGAAGGGTCTCGAGCCGAGCCAGGACCGTGACAGGCTGCTCAAGGCTGTCGAGGCGAATTTGACGAGCGTGCAGAAGGCGTCGCTCGAGTTGGACCTCTCTTCTGCGCCGAGCAAGGGTGCTGGAAAGCAGGCTGAGGCGACATCCGGCTCGACAGCAACTCTCGCGCAACCCGCTTGGGCACCTGCGCCTGCACCCGCGCCCTCCACACCTCAGCCCGCACCGCGAACGATCAACGCCGCTCGTCTCGCGCAACTGCATCCGCCTCCCGCCCCGGCTCCGACAGCCTCTGAAGTTCCGCTCTCAGCCTCCCCTTTCATCCGCCAATCCGCTGCTTCGGCCTCCCAAAGCGGACAGGGTGCCGTCCTTCGCGCTCTCGAGGTCGCCACGCCCAAGAGGACAGCCGCCACATCCGTCAAGCCTGCCGCACCCGCCCCAATCTCACCCTTCGCCTTCCCGCCGCCCGCCCCCTCAGTCACCGGCTCCGCCCAAAGCGAATCAACTCTCGCTCCTCCCGCTTCGCCGAAACCGACCCTCGCTGGATTCGGTAGCGTCAGGCAAACACCTGCGAGAACCCCGGCGATGGGTCCGAGGAGGCTCATGCCGTTGACGCCGCCGTCTGCGTCTGAGGATGAGGAGGGGAATGAGGAGATGAGGGATGTCTTACGGGGATCGCCAGAGGGGACCCGCAAGGAAGAGCGAAAGGGAGAAGGGAAGAACGAGAACGACGAGTTCGCGCGGCGGGCGGCCCTTGACCCAGCTATCGCGCGCACCATCGCCGCAGCAGCCGAGCCTTCCTCGTCGAAACCTGCTCCGCCGTCAACCGCTAAGCGCGTTTCCCGTCGTGCTGCACCTACGCGTGGAGGGGCAGGTGCGAGGGGCGACAAGCGCCGAGCTGTGCAGGGGCAACCGCCTAACGAGGATCGGGTTGATGAGGAGAGGACGGTTAGGTTGCCGCCCGGTGCTTTCCCCGGACAGAGCGACGACGAGCAGGGCGGGGAGGATGAACAGCCGACGAGGCAAGGGAAGAAGCGCGCGAGTCGGGGCAAGAGCGCGTCGCAGCCGGCTCAGCAGACGCCCGCTCGTCGCATGACTCGTTCGCGCGCCTCGACAGTCGAACCTGCTTCGCCTCCGCCGCAGAACACGACCACTCGTCGCTCGACTCGCGCGTCGTCCGTCCAGCCAGAACGCCAGGAGCAAAAGCAGCCGGAGATGAGGGAGGTTTCGAGGACGCCGGTTAGGAGGAGCTCGAGGTTGAGCGGGCAGCCGCAGCAAGGGACGGCGAGGAAGAGCACGCGGGGACGGAGCAGGATCGAGGAGGAGAGTGGCGAGGAGTAGCGAGGTCGTGGTATTGCGATTTGTGCGAAGGCGAGAACCTGGCTTGAGAGAGTCGCGTCCCCCTCTCCTTCCGTAATGCTGGGCCGTTCGCCGAGAACATACCGTGTAGTACTGTGCTCTCGCTTGCTCGAACGGAGCCAGCGGTGAAGGAAGTTGACCTCGAAGTCGTCGAAAGCGAGCGAAGGAGGTCGCCTCCGTTCACCTCGCTCGCTCGCCTAGTTGACGCTCGTATTGCTTTAGTCCGCTCGATTGACGCGTCTACAGCTAGCGCCCGCCCGCCCAAAGGTCTCCCTCGCCGACGTTGCGACTTCATCTCCCCACACGCCAAACACCTCCATTCTCCTCACAAACACCGTCGCCAGCCTATCTAGTCCGTGCAGCTGTCCAGCGTCGATTGCCACACGCATCCGAGCCGACGGACTCGCCCGACATGCGTCTCTCGTGTGGCGTCTGCCACTGCGCCGAGTCGCCGCAGTGTCCGCCAGAAAGGATGGGGAGGGACTTCGTGGCGATCACAGATTGTGGGCACGTCTATCACCAGGTGCGTACAACCCCAAGCGATCCCATAGAATCAGCAGTCAAGGAGCCCACCTGACGCCTCCCTGCTCCCTCACAGTCCTGCCTCGAGACATGGTATCGCACGTCCAACGAGAAGGGCTGTCCGATGCGCTGCGTCTACCTCAACGTCAAGCGCGACAAGCCGGGACGGTCGCTCAACTCTCGCCTGCAAGAACCCTTGCCCTTCCTCACGATCTTCCCGACCTACGACAAGGGAGACGCTCTGTCGTCCGACCAACCGGGACCGCCTGAGGAGGCGAACGAGCCTGCGCGGAAGAAGCGGAAGCTGAAGGCGAGGGCTGTTCCGGACGACGAGGGCGACGAGGTGCAGACTGAGTCGGAGGCATCGCAGGGTGCGGCTGGGATAGACGAGGTGACACGGTTGCGGAATCAGCTGCGGGAGGCGATGAACACGGTCCGCGAGCAGCGGCAAGCGCTCGCGGGCTATCGCTCAACTGACAACGAGCTTCGGGCGTCTGCCTCAGCCCCTCAGCAGCCGGCCCAGAGGCGGCGGGCGCCGCCGGACGACTTCGACTATTACGTATCATCGGAGGAGGAGTTCTCCGACTACCACTACGAGGACGACTGGACCGCCTTCGCTCGGCGGCATCCTTACGGGCGGGAATACGATGAGGAGGGAAAGTGTAAGCGTTGCGGCGCAGCCCACGACGCCGAAGACGAGCTGGAAGACCTACGCAGTGCGGTGGAGGCCTACGAGAAAGATACGGAGACAGCGGTATCCGCCGAAGAATACGCCCGACTGGAAGGACGTCTCGCCTCGCTCCAGACTCGACACAACGAGCTTTCGGCCAAGTACAACGAGCTCGACAACGACTATCGCACGGAGAAGATTGCCTGGCGGGACGAGAAGCAGAAGCTGATGACGCAGCTGCGCGAGTCGGGCGACAGCGGCCAGGAGATGATCAAGGAGCTGCAGGCCGAGGTCGACAGGCGCGACCGCGAGATCTTGCAGTGCGTCGTTCTGCGTCTCATGACGTCTATCACCTCGCTGACCTGCGAAGCGCCCGCAGCATCAACGCCAGCATCGACGGGATTCGCCAAGTCGCGCAGGACCAGGTCCAAGCCGCCCAACGACAGGTGCAGCGCGCCGAAACGAGCGCGAGCGAGGCCAGAGTTGCAGCCAAGCAGAGTGTCCGGGAGGCTGAGGCGAAGCTCAAGCAGGAGGAGGAGAAGCGGAGGCGGGTGGAGGGAGCCAACAAGCGGTACGAAGCCGACGTGCGTGGCCCGGTCTTTTCCTTCGTTCGCACTAGTCGAGCTAACAGACGATGTGCCACAGCTCGCGCGCCTGAAGAAGAAAGTTGCCGAGCTGCGAGCGAAGCGCGGCATCGTCGCGACGGACAGTGACGCCGAAGAATCCCCTATGACCGACAACCCCTCCACCTCCTTCCCTTCGCGCCAGTTCAAGCGCACGGCCTCCTCGCGCTCGTACAGATCGCCTTCACCTCCCTCTGACGGCCCGTCCTTCAAGGTCAACAACAAATCGAAGCTGCTCGCCTCGCCAACGAAGAAGCGGCACGAGCGCACGCTGATGGACGAGTGCGAGGTCTCGCGCGAGTACAGCGATGACGAGGATGATGAGCTGGAGTATGCGGATGAGGAAACGATGCGAGCTGCGGTGCGAGAAGAGCAGAGGTTGAGGGAGATGGAGAATGAGGTGCCCGCCCGACCAGCAAAGGCGCGGAATGACGACGACAGCAGCGACGTCGAGATCGTCGAGTCGTCGTACTTCGCGTCGTCGTCGGCTAAGGCGAAGCAGGAGGCGCCCACACGACCGCTCTCCGCCCACAACAGCCTGTCGAACGTCTCTTCTTCCGCCTCCTCAGCTCAACTCAGCGCGAAGCAGCCATCGCCCTTCCCTTCTCTTGTTTCCGCCAAGACGGCAGCCGCGCCACCGAAGAAACAGCCATTGGCGAAGAGTTCGAGCGACAAGTGGCTACCCAGCTTCGCATCAAGCCACGTCGTCCAGACAGGTCCGAAGCGGTCCGTGAAGAGGCGATAGACGTTGTAGACTCGACCGGATTGTGCATGTTGTTGTCAAGATAGCCTTACACTCGTTCGAAAGTCTAGAGAGCGCCGCGCCATTCACTGCCTCAGCCTGTCCTCGTACGCCTTCCAGCCCGCCTCCTGATACCGCTTGCACTGCTTGACGATCTCTTCGTTAGGGTTGCCGTCGCCGCCGCCGTAGATACCCCGACCGACGATGATAACGTCGCAGCCGGACTCGCGGATGACCTCGTCGGGTGTACGGTACTGCTGGCCCATGCCGTCGCCCTTCGAGTCGAGTCCGACGCCGGGCGTCATGATGACGTAGTCGGCCTGGTGGAGCACGGAGTCAGCTGAAGTTGAGCGGAAAAGAGTGAGATGGGACGCACCCCTTCTCCCGGCGCAACACCGCCAGCCGTCTCTTCCCGCTCGTCCACCCTCCGCATCGCAACGAAGCCCATCACGAATTCAGGATGCCGCCTCGCCGCCTCGACATTCTTGGCCGTGTACTCGCCAGTCGCGAGGTTGCCCTTGGCGCTCATCTCGGCGAGAAGCAGGAGACCGCGGCCAAGGGGCAGACCGACGGATGCGAGGCCCGTCAGGATGCCCTCGCCGGGGACCAAGTGGGCGTTGGTGATGTGCGCCCAGGATGCGATCTTGTAGATACCGGACGAGTACTGCAGCCGAACGGTGTTGCCTGTCGTCTCGCGGGCCATCAGCGGGGAAGGTAGTCGGGAGTCTCGATTGACGCACCGATGTCGGCAAACTTGCGGTCCTCCCAAATCAGAAAATCGTGCTTGTCTGCGAGAGCCTGCAGTTGCTGAACGAGATCCCGGTCAAAGTCCTCGACGATGTCGATGTGGGTCTATCGTCGGTGTCTCGGTCTGTCAGCTGCGGTCCTCGGATTACTTCAGCGCCGGTACAACCTACCTTGATGCAGCAGCAGTACGGGCCGGCAGCCTCTGCGATCCTGAGCAGGCCCGCCTTGCTCGTCACGTCGACTGAAACGCAGAGGTTGGTCTTTTTGCGGTCGCAGATGTCGAGCAACTGCTTTGCGACCGGGACGGGGTGCTTGGCAGCCCGTTCGGCGTAGGTGCGGGTCGTGATGGACGGCATCTCGACGGATGGAGCGGGAGGAGGAGGAGATGGGGTGGCGCGCAAGTCGAGCGGTACTAAGGGCTTCAGGTAGCTCTGATAGACTCGGAAAGCAGTCCCGTAGCCTCACAGGGACAGTAGGAGCGAGCAGTCCAGCGACAACCTTCTCTTCCTCTCCTCGACTTCATCAGTAGAACGCTCACACACTCTTTCACCGCTCGGGTGGACTTGCTGGACGCGCCAACGGGATGCCAGGAGCTCACGGCTCGTCTCTCGCACTCCCAGTCGTCAACTTTCGCGTCGTCGACACGAGCACCCCCGCTCCGCCCGATGTTCACAACCCCCAGCTCGTCGCGTTCGGGTACAATGACGGCCAGGAATGGGATGCGTACAAGGGCATAGCGGATGGCGAGCCGGGGCGGTACCTGCGGTGGCTGCGTGAGTCGCTTCGATCCTCGTCAAGTGGGGATTGTTTGTCGCGTCTCTGGAGCAGCGAGCGACGCCCGGACGGACGTGCAGATGCTGCAGGAGCACTCGAAGATCGCTCTTCGATGTCTGCGCCTCTGCAGGCGGACCAGCGTCTCAAAAGTCGACTTACTCACCCTCCCTCCGTCTCCCACAGAACCTATGGAGTCGGACCTGGCGAAGCAGGTTGAGTATGACATGGACGAGCAAGGTGGGAGGTTCTCTCAGGCAGGCTTGACGATTTGTACGACAGCTGACAGCCTGTATGGACGGCGAAACCCACAGACCAACTCTGGCTCGACACGCTCAACGCGGAGCGGAAGAAGGACGGTCTTGCCACCATCCCGTACGAGCTCTTTGAGATTGTCATGGACAAGATTGAGAAGGAGTGGTTCGACCTGGTCCGTTCTCGCCCTCCCTCAACTTCTCGCGACCTGCTGACCGTCTCGCTCGTCTTTCGCAGACTCGCAATATCCCGAAGCGGACGAATGCCTTGCCGAGCGAAGACAGCAAATGTGCCATTTGCGACGACGGCGAGTGCGAGAACTCGAATGCGATCGTCTTCTGCGACGGATGCAACTTGGCGGTCCACCAAGGTGCGTCGCGAGTTCTCACGTTGCATGGCTGCACAGCGTGGTCACGACGAGGATCTGATGCTCATCTTTGTCGCTTCCTCGCAGATTGCTACGGCGTTCCGTACATCCCGGAAGGACAGTGGCTCTGCCGCAAATGCACCGTCTCGCCCGACAAGCCAGTCGTGCGTTTCCGTCCGGGGCCTTTGCTACGCTCAAAACCTGACTATTATCTCTCGTAGACCTGCGTGCTTTGCCCCAACTCGTACGGCGCCTTCAAACAAACGACAACGGGCCAGTGGGCACACTTGCTCTGCGCGATCTGGGTTCCCGAAACAGGCGTCAGCAACACGGTGTATATGGAGCCGGTCGACGGTCTCGAGAACATCCCCAAGAGTCGATGGAAGCTGGTGAGTCGAAAGCGGCGAGTCTTTCAAGCTTCGAGCTGACGAAGAGTTCGTTCGCAGGTCTGCTATTTGTGCAAGAAACGCGTCGGCGCCTGCATCCAGTGCGTATACTCGCCCACGTCTTGTTGCTCCGGTCACAAGGCTTACCCCCGTCTTGCAGGTGCGCCAACCGGCAGTGCTACACCGCTTTTCACCCGACCTGCGCGCGCGAGTACGGCCTCGAGCTGAAGATGAAGCAGGGATCGGCGGCAGGCGGCGACTTGCGAGCGTACTGCGACAAGCATGGCGAGGTGAGCATGCTGCTTCTCTGATCTATGCGTGCCTCGCTGACAGCCGCTTCCCTCCAGACGACCGCTTCTCGCGACGGCTCTCCCTTCCCCATCCTCTCGAAGAACCGCAAGTCGAACCTCAACCCGGCTGCATCCACTTCACTCCTCAAGATCACGCTCAAGCTCCCGCACAAGCAAACGTCCAAGTCCGCCCGCGCCTACAAGACAAGCTTCAACTCTGGTCCGCCCGTCGTCCCCGCCAAGATCTTCGACCGCATCATGCAGTATATCGCCAAGATCAAGATGGCGGGGAAGAAGGAGGTCGTCAACGTGATCTGCCGGTACTGGAGCTTGAAGCGGGAGGCGAGGAGGGGAGCGCCGCTGCTCAAGCGTATCCACCTCGAGGCGCGTCATTTTCGTTGTCGACTAGGATCACGAATACAGCTTCTGACGATTACTGCTCGCTCACACAGCCCTGGACTGCATCGGCCACCTCGCACCAGCAGTCCGAGCAAGACAAGGCTCGCAAGCTCGAGCTCATCCGCCTGCTCCGCAACGACCTCGAAAAGGTCAGGATGCTCACTGAGCAAGTCCGCAAGCGCGAGAAGAAGAAGCTCGAGCGGGCGCAGCACATCAAGCGGACGATCGAGACGTTCGTCTTTCCGAAGGAGAAGGCAATGAAGGATGCCCTCAACGAGCTGAAGAAGTGCGTCGCGTTACCTGCCTGCCGTCGACAGGTGCTGACGTTCTGGATCTGGCAGACTCGACAAGCAGCAGTACTTCGCCAAGCCTGTCGACCGCGAACAGGTCCCCGACTACCACGAGGTGATCAAGTGCCCGATGGACTGGGCGACGATGACTGGCAAGCTCGATCGTCACGAGTACCCGACCGCGCTCGACTTCTCCGTGAGTCGCTTCCATCTTACCTGGTCCGCCGCGCGCTCACCTTGCTTCGAACAGGGCGACGTCCGACTCGTCATCAACAACGCCCGCCGGTACAACAAGTCCTCTTCGAACGTCCACAAATCCGCCGTCAAGCTGCTCGAAACCGCCGAACCGCTGCTCGCATCCCTCGAAACGCTCGACGAACCCCTCTCGACGCCGAATATCACGAGCCACTACCTCGCCGAGATCTTGACACCTGACGCGGTGCAGCAGTTGTTTGCTTTCGCCTATGACACGAACGATCCGGATGGGAAGAAGAAGAAGGCTGAGGAGGAGAGGGTTAAGCGTGAGGTGGAGGAGAAGGAGAGGGCGGAGAAGGCGGCGAGGGAGAAGGCTGACAAGGAGGCACGCGAGAAGGAGGAGCGTGAGAAGAAGCCCAAGAGCAAGAAGGCGAAGGGGAAGGAGCGGGCGAGGGATGTCGACGAGGAAGAGGAGAAGGCGGAAGTTGCGGACGACGAGGTCGACGCGATGGATATCGATGAGGACCAGCCCACCGAGACCAAGGCGGACAAGAGGAAGCGGTTGGCTAAGGCCCGCAGGGAGTCTCAAGCGGCGCTGAAGGACCGGAAGGCAGCGAAGGAGGCTGCAACGCCTGCTCCCGCCGCCAGGACGACGAGGAGCGGAGCGACGCCTTCTACTGCTGCCGCCACGCCCAATCCTAGTCGCACACGCTTGCAAGCGGCGTCTGCGCCCTCGACCGCTCGGAAGGAGGATGCGAAGGTCAAGCTCCAGGCGACGAGCAAGGGTAAGGGTAAGAGCAAGGCGACCGAGCCCGCCACGCCTGCGCCCCCTCCTGCGACCCTGCCCTCCGCTGTGGCACCAGACTCTGTCGACGGTCTGAGCGTGCACGACATTGACGGGCGCGGCTCGTTCAGGATGTTCGATTCCGGGTGTGTCCAAATCTTTCTCCTCCTTCTGCTCAGTACGTCAGGCTCACTCCTTCGGGTTCTTTGCAGCTGGGTCTTGCCGGAAGGGACGAAGCGAGGAGGTGCGCGCGGCGGAGTCGTCGTCCAGGAAACGCCAGCTCCCGCTCCGACTGCTCCTCCGCCCGCATCCGCATCGAAAAAGCGGCAGACCGCCAAGACGCCTGTCGCGAATGTCGAAGGCCCTCAGGCCGGACCCCCGAGCAAGCGCGCGCGGGAGGAAGGCGATGCGGTGCCTCCCGCCAAGAAGGCGAAGGTCGATCCTGCGCCTTCTCCGAAGAAGCCTGCGGTTTCGAAGCTTGCGGACGGCGAGTTGAGGGAGTGGGAGCGGCGGTTTGCGGAATTGGGTGCGGCGCCCGAGGTCAAGGTGACGGATGAGACGGTACTCGAGGACGGTGCGTCCGTGTTACTTCCCTCGTCGGCGTCGCACTAGTGACGCAGCATATGAGTAGGCACCCTCGTCTGGGCGCGGCAGATCGGCTATCCTTGGTACCCCGCCGAAGTCGCGGACCTCAAGGCCGCCGACACGCCCAAATGGCTCAAGGACAGCGCGCCGGCTGGGCGCTCGAACAAGGCGGTCGCCGTCATGTTCTTCGATGACAAGCGTTCCGGGTGCGTGCGAGTACATTTCGTGGTCCGAGAAGAGCGCTGACCTGGTCGGCGGCAGCGCCTGGATCGACCGCCCTCACGTCCGCTTGCTCGGCGAGTCGCACGACTTTGACCAGCTCTTCCTCTTCCCCTCAGCCATCCGCGCAACGCGCAAGAAGGACGCGCCGAAGGGCAAGTCGATTGCGTCGACTCTCGAGGAGATTGTGAGTCGTGCGCGGCCTCGTTCGTCTCCTCTCGTTGCTCACCTTCATCTCCGCCGCAGAAAGAGGCGTACGAGCATGCGACGTCGCTTGCCGAGACTGCGGAAGAGGCGGCAGCAGTGGCCCCGAACACGCCGACCTCGTCGAAGGGACAGAGGAAGCGCGTGCGGAGGAAACTGTCGAAGGCTGGCAAGCACTGAGACTGTGGATGTGGGACTAATCTGTGCTTGTTGTCAACGATAGAAATCTGTCGTGTTGACCCCTTACTGTGGAACTTAGTCTCCTCGGGCCGTTGCCGAGCGGGACTTGGCTCGGGAGAAGTTCGGTGGCCATCGCTTTGTCGCTCGCTTGTTGCTGTGTCCGTGTACGCTGGCTCTGAGGGCGAATGGCGCCTTACAAGAGCCTCGCAGTCAACGCGAGCGACGCGGAGCTGGGAGGAGCGTATCCAGAGAAGACCCGTTCGGCTGGGCAGCGGGGGATGTTGAGGAGGATGGGCGCAGAGCGGTGGAGGGCCATGGCCATGCCTGTACTCGGATCTCTGCTCGTGCTCGTCCTGCTCTGGCAATGGACCCATCCAGCAGACGCGACAGTCAGGAGGGACTCATTTGGACCGCCGTCGGTGTTGAGGGTCGTGCGGGAGGCTGGAGTCGTGCCGAACGCCTCGACGGTGCGTACGAATGCTCTCACAGACCTCTCTCGTGGCACTGACGGGCGCGCCGACAGCTCCTCACGTCCGAAGCGCCCGCAAGATCGTACTTCGACGCTCTGCGACCCGACTTGCGCTATCTCGTCCGTCTCGCGCCCTCTTTCGGCGTATCAGACTGTCGAACTGACTCTTTACGACGCTGTGCAGACCCTGGACTCGTGGAGCGGCTGGAGTGGGCAGGTCTTGACGGCGTTCAGCCTGCTTTATCTCGCGCATCTCACGCAGCGAGTCGCCATCATGTCAGTCCAGCATCGTCCGCTCTTCTGCCTTGACACAGACTGACAAGCGACATCTACAGCCCCAGCTTCCGCGACAACGACCACTACGGCGATTCGATGATCACGCTCGACCTCCTCCTCGACATGGACAAGTTCCGACAAGAGCGCGGTGCCCTCTTCGTCAATTGGGACGACGTCAAGCCTCTCGACCGTGTACATGCTATCACTAAGCGGGACGAGATCGGCTGCTACATGGGAAACAACCCCTTCGAGGGAGGCGTGCGTCCGCATCTTCCGCTCGCTTACGCTCGCTGCTAACAATTTTCGCTTCACAGCGCTCTTTCGACGAGCACAATCTCGAACAAACGATCTGGCGCGTCCCTCGCGCGAACGGCTGGTTCGGGAACGCCGTCGAGTCCTTCGTCCTCTGGGACTTTGACGCGGAGAAGCGGATCAACGACACGCGCGTCTTTGGACAGAAGGAAAAGCGCAAGGTGCCTGCCAATATGCTCGACTCGCAGTTGCTTTGCTACAGCAATCTGTGGGACTTGTCTCATGCTGGAGCGATGGCGACTGGTTGGTCGTGGTCGAACTCGTTCAAGGGTCATCAGGAGTTGGACGGCGAGCAAGAGATGATGCTCGCTCCTGAAGCGCGAGGCACTCATCCTGGTGCGTTAACTCTCCCCTCTCGCGAGCTGAAACCGTGTTGACTCTCGCTCTTCGCAGAATGGTGGGCGATTGGGCAGTACATCGATGTGCGTCTCTCCCCCTGCCTTACTTCACAACCGCTTACCCTCTCTTCTCGTAGTTCAAGGAAGAAGTCTGGGAGATCGCCAAGTCCTGCGTCCGAAGAACGCTCGACCTCGCCTACATCCCGCAACACCTCATCACCGTCCACCTGCGCCGAGGCGACTTCAAGACTTGGTGTTCTTCGGGCGAGAACTGCACGCCTGCGATTGACGGATACGTCGAGCTTGTCGACCCGCTCTTGGCGGAGTCGCCTTCCGACACGCGCGGTGCGTTCCGCTCTTCTCGAACTTTTAGACTGGACATGCTGACATCAACGGCGCCTCGCAGTCCTCGTCACGACCGACGAGCAAGACGACGGCGACTTCCTCGGCAGCATCGACTCACTCGGCTGGTACCGCATCGACCACCGCGCGCTGAACACGACCGCCGTCCTCGAGGAGAAATACGGCGACGCTTGGCGCTGGGCAGACGCAGCCGTCGATCAGGCCATCCTCTCTTTGGGCATGCACTTTGTCGGCACGTCCGGAAGCCAGGTCAGCTTGTTGTCCGAGTTGCGGGTCGCGGCCTGGAACGGCGGCAAGACGAGGCTCGTTGAACGCCCGCAGTGATTTGCTTTTTGTACTCCCGTTCTCTCCCCTCACTCGCTCGCATTCGTACCCCGCGCACCTCTTGGGCAGCTTTTTAGACGATTCCCTTTCTTATTCTCGCAACTTATACCCGTTTCTCCCGGTCTTCATCTTAAGCGGAAGAGAGTACTGCGGTTGCAAGGGAGACCTAGACGACAGGCTACTTCGCGTAATGCTGCGAGCGGACAGAGCCGGTCAGCAGTCGAGCCCCCAGTGAGTGAGAGCAAGGGGACGCACCAGAGTCCAGCTCGAGAGCATCCGCCGCCTGTTGACCTGCTCGGGCGTCAAGCTCGGCGTGCCGTACGTCAACGGCTTGAGGAACGCAAAGTTGGCGACGAGCAGTCCGACAACCACAACGAACGCAATCTTCATGCCCTTGCCGACTTTTGCGCGCGTGCGTGGTCGACGACGGGTCAGCGGGCCGGCGACCGAGACGGGGTAGTCGACTGTGTCGCCGCAGAAGAGGAAGTGGAAGACGACGCCGGCAACGAGGGCGGAGATGAGGTGGGCGGGGAGGTAGTGGTGGAGGAAGAGCTGGCGCGACATGGTGAAGAAGGGAGCGTAGTGGTAGAGCCAGGCAAGAAGGAAGAAGCCGCCCGTGTTGTAGAGCCGGTTCCGCATAGCTGCGAAGTAGCAAACAGTCAGCGGGAGGGCAGGAGGCAGCTACCGGTTTGAACTCACGGGTCGGGATCGGCGTCAAGCCGCGGCGGTTTGCGAGCTGGTCGGCCGCGAGGACGCCGACGAAGATCGACAGCGCCATGATGCAGATCCACCAGCCGACGACGTTGCCGATGAGGTAGACCTGCTGACGCTCGTTCGTGCCGCCTGTCCAGAAGCTGATGCCGCTCAGGAGGAAGGGCCAGTTGATCGGGCTCGTGGCGTAAGGGTGCGAGTCCGTCAAGCCGGCGTTGTGCTGGAGCATAAGGACTTGCAGCTCGAAGAACTTGCGGAAGAAGTTCATCTTGGTCGGCTTGCGCGGCTCCTTCTTCGGTCGCAAGAGGTCCGGCTTGGCTGCGAGCGAGCTGGAGCATTAGCGAGGCGCGTCAAGGAAGCGATTAGGCGAACGCACTCGGGTCGCGGACGATCTCGTCGACAGCCCAGAACGTCGTGCGGTCCTTGAGGTTCTTGTTGCCGTTGACCTCCTGCTGCTTGAATGCCCAGTCGGGCAGCAGCGGGTCGGTGTGCGTCCACATGGCGACACGCGTCGGGATGTGGACAAGCTGGAAGTGAGACGACTTGGTCATCCACTGCTGGCCCTCGTGCGCGTCGTCGATGTCGAGCTGGAAATGCGTGTCGAGCGTCTTGGCCTCGCACTCCTCCTCGCTCGCGCACTGCCCGTCCCAGGTCGTGAATTCGGTGTTGGTCGCCATCGTCGGGCAGGCGACGTCGTGCGTGAGGAGGGTCGTGTTCGTCAGGACGTGGCGGAGCGTGATGATGTCGTGGTGGCGAACGACGCGGCCGCGACCCGAGGCAGGAATCTCCTTGGTGGGCTCGACGATCCAGTGGTTGTTGGTGTCGTTGAAGCGGTAGGCGGTGACTTGCTGGCCCGCGGACGAGATGCGGCCGTCATCGTACTTGAGCGGATAGCGGTCCGGGTGCGAGTGCAGGAACGCCTTCGTGCCCTTGTGTTGAATGATGACCGTGTCGTAGTAGCGGATTTCTGCGGCGACGACCCAGGCGGGGGGATCAGCTTGACGGTTCGGTTGCGAGGCGTCGTCAACCAAAGGCTAGCGGAGCGCCAACGCACCTTCCGCGAGCGCCGTCAAAGGACTGTCAAGCAGCGTCTGCTGGAATGCCGGGCTCATGAACTCGTCGCCCGTCCCTGACTTGGTCAACACGGCAAAGTGGACCCAGAACCAGAAGAGGTAGACGATGGCAGGAACGACGATGAGGCCGAAGACGCGAGCGAAGAAGTGGCGAGCGACGTGTTCCTGCGCAAGCCGAAGGTTAGTCGAGAGAGCAGGAGGAGGAAAAGCGGACGGACGATCGTCAGGCCTCTTCGGACGTCGAGGATGTTCCACAGGTCGTAGACTACTGCGCTGCCGACGGCAAGGAAGGCGAAGAGGCCGACCATCTTGCACGAGATGGTGAGCGAGAGGAAAATGCCGGTCAGGGTCATCCAGGTCCACCAAGGCCGCGTGAACTCGCTGCAGGAGATACCGGATCAGCGTACCTCCTCGCGCAGATCACGAGATCACGCACGAGTATCGCAGCTTGTAGAAGCGGATGTAAGCGTAGAAGGCGAGCGCCATGAAGAGGATCATCGGGGCGTCGAGGAGGATGAGGCGGGTCTGGGCGATGTGGGCGTTGTCTGCGGAACTCAATGGCCAGTCAGCGATTTAAGCTAGTGTTTCGTCGACGTGCACACACCGAAGAGGACCAAGCAGGCGCTGAACAAGCCGACGACGCGAGGGTATCCGCTTTCCCGCATGATGGCGTAGACGACGGCTGGAATGGCGCTTCCGAGGAGCGCGGGAAGCGTTCGCAGTCCGACGTACGGCACCTTGGCGTCGAGGTACGAGTCGCCAATGTTCTCGAACTCGAAGCTGCCGTCGTAACCGATCAGCCATCCTTGGAAGGCGAGAAGGAGCTTGGCGCTGCGGTGAGCAGGACCATCAGTATCGCGAGTAAGGCGAGGAATCGCAGAGACGCGCGACTCACAGAGGCGGGTGGACATCGAAGAAGAACTCGCGGCGAAGGTAGTAGCTGGCGAACTTGCCGAAGTGAACCTCGTCGAAGCTGTTCGAGCGAGGGCTCTCACTTCAGCATTTCGAGCAGGCTCAAATAATGCTTTGAACGCACACAACGCCTGAAGGATGGTCGATTCGATAGAACCGCAGCACCGCAGCGAGGAGGAAGACCCCGAGGAGGACGATGTAGTCGGTTCGGTTCGACGATGGCGGCTCCTCCTCAGCACCCTGCACTCAGCAGCGAGGTGTACGTCAGCTCCCGAGGCCTGCCCAGCGAGAGCTACACGTTGCTCCGCGCGAACGCACCTTGTCGAGCAAGTAACCCTTCCCGCTCCCCTGCGTGCCCGCCTGACCCGCCTGACCCGTCACATCCGCATTCCAGTCATCAGAGCGCTTGTCGAGCCGCGGATCGTGCGAGGGGGAGACGGCGCGAGCGGGTGTGGTGCTGTCACTTCCGGGAGAGGGTGAGGGAGCTGCTGCGCGCGAGCGGTGGAGCAGGAGACGGTCAGGCTGCGACGAAGCGGTTGCCTGCATGGTCACTGGCGCAGGGAGCTGCCAAGCCAGCGTGGCCAGGGTGAAGCGTGCAATGTCAAGCGACGACGACGAGGTGAAGGAAGTCGATCTCGCTGAGGATGGGGCAGCCTGAACGATCAGCGTGTGCATACTGTGCGATATTGCTATTGCTGCTGTCCAAAAGAGAGAGGGGAACCTGCGGAACAACGACGACGACGACCTCTTCCAATACTCCTTTCCTTGCGACCGCCGCCCCAATAAAGAAACCGAGAGTCTATCCGAATACCGTACCGTACCCTCTGAGAGAGATCCACGACCTGCGCAGTTCCTCCTGGCCCTTTTTTTTTTTACGCGACGTGCGGCTTGTCGCCGTTCGCCGACTCGACGACGTCCTGCTCGCCCTCGTGTCCGCGGATCTTGTACACGCGGCGGTGCTTCGAGTCGCAGTGGTGGAGGTAGTACGCGCCGGTGGGGATGTCCTCGATGCGGCCCGAGGGCGTGTAGTCCGAGATGTTGTGCTTCTCCTCGCGGAGCTGTTTCGTCGCAAGTCTCGTCAGCCGGCACTAGCGACGAGAAGCACGGGACCCACGCACCTTGAGCGCCTCGATGAACTCCTCGCAGCTGCGGACCTGGTTCTTCTCGAGCCGCTCCTTGAGCTTGAGCTTCTCCTGAATCTCGCTCGTGTCGCCCTTGACGCGGACGGTGAAGAACGACGCGGCGAGTCCGGATCCGTACGAGTAAAGCGCGATGCGCTTGCCCTGGAGGGTCTGCGAGTCGACCGTGTCGAGGAGCGAGGCGAACGCGCCGTAAAGCGAGCCGGCGTACATGTTGCCGAGGCGCTTCGAGGTCAGGGTCGATGGGCCGACCTTGGCCTTGAAGTCGGCCGACGAGAGCGTGGTGAACGCCTTCTCGATCTCCTTGTCGAGGACGTTGGCCGCGCGCTCGGGCTCGAGGAACACCTTGGAGATGGACGAGAAGCGCTCGGCGTCGGGGTTGGAGAGGAAGTCCTTGTACATCTGCGAGCGCGTGTGTCAGCGGCGACGCTTAGAGCGGGACAGAACGTAACGCACCAAGCGCGCAAAGCCCTTCTGCACGAGCTTGCCGTAGGGCGAGTGGAAGCAAACGTAGTCAAAGTCGTCGAGCGAGACGTCCTTCTTGTCGCCCTTCGAATTGCCAAGTCGCCGGGACTCCTTGGTGCGGAACGCGTCGTACGACTTCTCGAGCGCGTTGGGGTAGCACGTCTGCGTCAAGGGACCGTCGACCTCGGGGTACTCGGAGGAGAGGTGCGGCTTGTAGAAGTCGTAGACGTTGGCCATGTGGGTGCCGTGGACGGCTGCGGTCGCAACTGTGTCAGTACATGCTGACAGGGTGCGAGAGGAAGCATCACACACGCTCCAGGACAAGCGGGGCATCGGGACCGATGAGCATGGCGCAAGCACCGGCACCACCAACCGGCCGCGCGCCGCCCTCGGCGTAGATGGCAATGTCTCCAGCAACGACAATCGCGTAGCGTCCGTCCCAGCTGCTCGACTCGACCCAGTTGACGGCGTTGAAGAGGGCCGCCGTGCCGCCGTAGCACGCGTTCTTGCTGTCGATGCCCTCGATGTCCGAGTTGCCAGGGAAGAGGTCCATCAGGAGCGTCTTGACCGACTTGGACTTGTCGATGAGGGTCTCGGTGCCGACGTCGATGCGACCAATCGAGGCGGGAGGGATCTCGTACTTCTCGAGAAGCGTCTTCGTGACTGTGTGCGCGCGACAACCCTTCGTCAGCTTCAGCTTCTTCCCTTCCTTCTCGCCCCTCTGTCCTCATCTTCGCCCAGCAAACACCTTCTACGCCTCCTGTCGCCGGACCGGGGATCGACCAGAACGAGCATTCCATCCGCCGCTTTGACCGCGTCGCCTCGTCCACCTTATCGCGAGTTTTCCTGGCCGAAAACACGGCGAGGAGTCGGAGAGAGAGAGAGCGTGAACGCACCGGTGAGGAGGAACGAGTTGATGTCCTCGCGGTCGTCGCAGAAGGCCATGCGCTCCTGTCCGAGTCCGATGGTGTACTTTCCAGCGGGAACGCCGTCGAACCGCTCGAGATCAGCCTCGTCGATGCATCGCAGGGGCGAGTAGACCTCAATCGCGTCTGGTGAGCGAGCGGAAGGCGTGTTGGGGTCGAGGGAGGTTGCCGGCGCGATGAGGGTGCGACCTCGTCAGCTCGCGCTCGTACGAAGACGGGGATCGGACGCACGGATTCCGACGTTCTGAGGACGGGTCGCCGGGTTGGGCGTGTGCGGCTGGAAGCGCGTCGAGGGAGCAGGCGACATTTCGAAGACGAGGTGAGGGAGAACGGGGTCGGTGCGACGGATTCGAGTGGTTGGAACGGGGTAGAGGGGTGAAGCGGATGAATGAGAGCCGTTCTGTGAAGCTGTTGAAGCAGCGGAAACACGGCCTGGCGAGAACGAGAGCAGGGACAAGGTGAGCGACCTTCGCGACGGTCGACCCATAGACCCATGCAAGCCTGTCTCGCCTTTTCACAGATACCGCGCAGTCTGCAGGCTCATACGACCGTGCAATGCAGTCTACACCGTCGTACGATCCACTCGAATGTCGACTGACGCGCCGCCGCATCGAACGACCCATCTTCGCTTCCTCGACAATCAGAACCGGCTCCCCTCCGCCGCCCGGGGGAACACCGTGCACTCCCTGACGTTGTTCTCGCCCGTCAGCAACCCAACCAGCCTCTCCCACCCGAGCCCAAACCCGCCATGCCTCGTCGTCCCGTACCGCCGCAAGTCGAGGTACCACTCGTACGCGTTGCGGTCAAGCCCGTGCTTGTCCATCGCCGCGACGAGCTTGTCCAGCCGGTGTTCACGCAACGAGCCGCCTGCCAATTCGCCCAGCGACGGGACGAGGAGGTCGAAGCAGGTGGTCGTCTGGCGCGAGCTGTCCACGGTCCACGACGACTCGTTCGGGAGCATGTAGAAGGGCTTGAGGGCCGAGGGATAGTCGGTGACAAACAAAGGCCCCTTGACGTGCTCTTCCGCCAACCACCGCTCGTGCTCCGTCTGCAACCCGCTGCCCCAAGTCGGGCGGAAGACGAAGGCGTCCGGGTTCGCCGCCGCATGCTCCTGCAGCAACTCGATGGCGCGGGTGTAGCTCATCCGCACGTATCGCTCCGGCGCGAGGAGCGCCTCCAGCCGCTCCTCCAGCCCCGGCGAGTGCTTCGCAAAGTACCGCTCGATCTCCGGCATGGCCTTCACGTGTCCCGCAACCGCTCTGACCGTCTCCTCCGCAACAGTCATGACCTGATCCAACGCAGTCGGCGTATCCGCGTCCAGGAAAGCGACTTCGGCTTCGAGCATCCAGAATTCCTGGAGGTGTCGCGCTGTATCACTCTTTTCGGCGCGGAAACAGGGTGCGAGGGTGTAGGCGCGAGGGAGGGAGGAAGTGATTGCTTCGAGGTGGAGTTGAGTCGAGACGGTGAGGTAGCGAGATGGAGGTGGTGGGTGAGCGGCAGTTGACGGTTCAGGCGGAGAAGGGGACGAGGCGGGTGCTGTACTGGCCGGTGCTGGAGAAGACGGACTCGATTCGACGACGCGAAAGACCTCGCCAGCTCCCTCGCAATCCGACGAAGTGATGACGGGCATGTCTACCCTCACGAACCCTTGTCTCTGCAAAGATAGCCTCATCAGCTTGCGCATCCCGAATGAAGGACTAGACACTCACTCGAAAGTGTTCTGCCATCGCCCAGTTCATCTCGCTCCGTACTCGAACCATCGCAGCAGGCCCATCCCTCCGTAACCGCAGGTGTGCGTTCCGTCGCATGACCGGCAGCGGGATCCCCTGCTTCGTATTGGGCATGGGGTACGTCTGCGGGCGGCGGTCGTAAGCGTCTCGTCGTGATGAGTGGATGAAAGTACGCACCTCGGCGTCGCTCTCGCCCACAAAGTCGACGGACTCGACCTTGAACTCCTTGTCCTGCCCTGCTCCTCGACTGTCGACCCATTTCCCCTTGAGCGTCGCCGCACATCCTACCGTCAAGCTGGAGATAACAAGTGTCGGCCATCAAGCTGGATGGGTGAGAGGAGAGCGGAAGAACGCACCTCTCGTCCAACCCCTTGGGCAGGACGACCTGCACTCCGCCAACCTGACTTCCGTCGCTCAACACCGCAAATGACACGTTCTTCTGCCTCCTCACAGACCTGATCCACCCGTTCAGACTCGTCGTCGAGGCGGTCGTCTCACTCCCGGCGGAAGCAGCAGCGAGAGAAGAAGCGACAGTCGCAGGGAGGGCGAGAGAAGCGGTGGCTGCTTGCGCGGCTCGTGAGCAGCTGTGAAGCGTTCTCAGCGGCCCTCGCAAGGCGTTCAAGCGTGGTCTGGGTGCCATTGCGACGAGTGTGAGGAAGTCAACCTGCTCGAGGGAACTCTTTCGCTCTGCCACAACCCTCACACCGCTCAAATGCCGCGGGTCTACCTTATTTCCAAGTCAGTGGACCTTTAAGCACCGTACGACGACCCCGCCAGCTGACCGGCGTCGCTCCACCCACTTCCCCGATTCTCATCGCTCTCCCCGTTCGATGACCTTTCTCCCGCTTCGCACCCGTCCTGCAGGTTCGGCGACGTCCTTCTCGGTCTCTCAACAGGTGTCTGGGCCTACTACCTCTACGAGCGACGCCTGAACCGACCAGACGGCGAACGACTCGCCGACCTCGTCCGATGGAAATGGGCCAAGTTCCAAGACCAACGACGGAACCGGGTTGCGGATCAGGAGGGATGGGAGGAGATTGAGAGGGAGCTGCGCGCGCAGGGGGAGGTGCTGGAGGGGAAGGAGCGGAGATGAGGCGGGACATTGAGTGCTGGAGTTGGACAGGGCGGTTTCAGGTTTGCGCGGCGGTTCGCGCACTTGTACATCACATGCTGCTCTACTAGGCGTTCAGAGAGTGACGCACGTTCGAAGGAAGGAGCTCAAGGCGAGCGATGGACCGGCGCACTCAGGCAGACTCGCTTGACAGGGTTACAACACGCGAGACAGTACAGATCCTTTTATCGCAGCGATAACAGCGTCTTAATGATCGAGTATCCCGGTACCAGAATCACTGCGCCGCACGCGGGAGTCAGCAAGTCCTCTGCACGAAGGAAGACCGGAGGAGGACTCACTCAACGCCGAGAAGACCGATCCGAATCCCCACGAGAACTCGCCCGCCGAGAGGAGGTTGGCGTTGCCGGCCGCAAAGTAGAGAGAGAACGACACGCCAAACCAGAGGAGCCAAAGCGTAAAGGCGACGCCAAACACGAGTTTGGGGCTGCCGCTGTATTCGAGCTCGACTTGGCGGTTGAGGGCGCCCGCAACGTCGTGCATCTATGAATCAGAACGGTCAACGATGCTACAAAGGCAAGTGGTTAGAGACAAGCCCTCACGAGATGGTTGACGATTGTCGCGACAAAGATGGCCTGTCAAGTACTCGTCAGGTGCTCGTCGGACTCGAAGAGAGAAAAGCAGGTTCGTACGATGCCGATGAACATGAAGGCGATGTTCTGCGAGAAGAAGGAGGGCCGACGGTCAAAGGTGCGAGGTCAGGAAGAGAATGAGCGGAACTCACGGCGTAGACCATGAGAGCGGCGACATTTCCTGTGTTGTGTCAATCAGCCGTCGTCGTGACGCATGACACGAGCGAAAACCCACCAAGTCCCGCTGTGCAGTTGGGCTGCGACAAAGCGATCCGGGTCGATCCCGTCGCTCCACCCAACACGCCCAAGTACAACACGAAACCCCACAGTACCACTGAGACGAAGAAACCGATGTACAGCATCCAGTGTGAGCTGGGAATGCCGCAAGGTCCGCCCGACCTTCCCAGGTCGAGAACGAGTCCCGGATCCTCGTTGATGATGCGAATCAGCTTCGCTCGTCGCTTCTTTCGCCGCCGTCGCAGGTCCCGCCGCTCGTCATCGTCGTCGCTGCTTCCCGAATTGTCGAGCTCTTGCACGACGTCGAGGACCATTCGCTGCGCCTCTTCTTTCCGCTCCTCCGGCGACTTCTGACCTGTGATAGCCCAGGGCGGACTGGCGGCTGCGGAAGAGTGAGTCAGTATTAGTTGCTCGTTTGGACACCGGCCGACGGACCGATTGCGGCAAGGGGAATGAGGGAAGAGAAAGCGAGCATGAGCGCGTAGCTCGCATGGAAGAAGTCTGTTCGAGCCACATTGTCAGCGCGCGGAAGAGGGCCGACAGGTCGAAGGGAGCTCGCCTAGCCCGCTCGCATCCGACAAGAGGTATCCAAGGAGTGTAACCGCATAGGCGTTGGCTTGGATCAGGCTGCTGATGAGCGAGGTCGGCGCTGACTGCGGCGCCATTGCAATCGCCGTGACTGTGCTTCGGGTCAGCGGGAGACCTGATGGAGCAGAGGCGCAAACCTACGGGACGCGAGTGTAGAGAAGAGGAGGGAAACATGACCGCCGAGTCCTGAGATGCCCGAATTGGGACAGATGCTGTAGAATACCGAAAGACAAAGGTCAGCCAGCCAGGCAAGAGCGCGAACGCCGAAAGAAGCGCAGACGACGAGAACTCACCCGCAGCACACGCCGGTCGAAGGAGGCGAGGCGCAGTACGTCGTCACATTGTCATTCGGACACAGCTTTGCAAACGCCTCGTCCGCCTTCATCCCATCCAACGAGTCGAGCAAGTCGACCTGAACCCGAATCAGCAGTACTGAGCGAGGGCGTGACGGGACGTCCAGGGTGAAAGTGCCTGGCGGTGGTCACAGCAGTGGGCACAGCAGCAGAGCCCAAGTAGCACTCACGGCAGGAGGGAAGCGTATGGAGAGGGAAAGAGTCGAAGAGATGGACCGGAGAGTCCGCGGAGGCGCCGTCGCGGACCGACGTCGCGTTCGGAGAGTTGCTCAGACTTCGCGAGCTGGCCCGTGGTCGCTGTTGTGGGTATATACATTCTTTGCAGGTCGGGTGACGTTGAGTGAAGGGTAAAGAGAGTGTTGAGACGGAGTCTGCGAGTTCTCAGGCGTCGACCAAAGGGAAGTTCTTGGACTGTGTGGCGCGGTCGACGTTGTAGCACGTCGAGATAAGCGAGACGAAGGAGAACGCCTGCGCCATGTTGCCGAGACTGCCAGGAGGGGTCCGTCAGTAGGCGTCGAGCTGCACGGGGCCGACAACGAGTAACGCACGCTTCTCCGCCTGCACAACACCGAGGTTCGGATGTGAGCCGAGCCAGTAAGGACGATGAGCGGAGGCGAGCGACGCACCCTTCGAGATCTCCTCCGAAAGCAATCCGACGTGGTTAGTGTAGCCGAGGAAGTCCTGCGATGTAAGGGTTCAACTCAAGGGCATGCAAGCGAGGACAGCGGCAGAAGACGCACCTCGAGGATCGTAACGGCCTTAGACAGCTGCGACGGCTCGAACTGTCCGGCACGCGCGAGTGCCTCGACAAGCCACAGCGTCACCATCGAGAAGCTTCCCTCCTCTGCGAGAAATCGCGTAATAGTATCAGCAGCAGCAGTGAAGGTATGGAGTGCGACTGACCACCGCCGCCGGTTCCGTCGTCGACCTTCTCGGTGTCATACCGGTAGACGAGGTTGTTCTCGGTCAAACCGCCACGGTCCTTTGGCTTGAGGATGGCGTTCAGCGTGTTCTGGAAGCGCGGGTCGTTGGCGGTCATGAAGAAGACGAGGGGCATGATGAGGACGGCGGCGTCGAGGACGTCCTTGTTCTCGTAAGACTGCGAGAAGAAACCCTTCTCCTTGTTGTAACCCTGATCCATGATCTGCTCGTACAGCTCGTCGCGGTTCGCAAGCCATTTGTTGCGGTTCGGGCAGGGCAGCGAGCGTTTGTCGGCGAGACGGAGACCGCGGTCGAGGGCGACCCAGCACATCACCTGTGAGGAGACCAGTCAACCCAATTACATAGCGCAGACAGATAGCTCAGGCGCACCTTGGAGTAGAGGAAGTGCTGCATCTGTCCGCGAACCTCCCAGATGGACAAGTCGGGGTTGCGCCAGATCTCGCAGACGTAGTCGACGATTTCGCGGACCTGCAGCCAGTCGTCGTAGGCGAGGGGTCGGCCCATCTTCTGCGCGAGATAGACAGCATCGAGAAGCTCGCCGTAGATATCGAGCTGGATGTGATCGGCGGCGCCATTGCCGATTCGGACGGGCTTCTGGCCCTTGTGGCCGTCGAGGTGGTCGAGAGTGATCTCGGGGATCTCCTTCGTGCCGTGGATGGTGTACCTGCCCGCGTGAGAGCGTCAGCCGCAGCCGTGCGCCCGCGTCCAGAGAATTCACATGATCTGCAGGCTGCCATCCTTGTTCTTCGTCTTCATCAGCCCACTGAGCCAGTCGACATATTGGTCCGCCTCCTCGGTGAAGCCGAGTCGCAGAAGGGCGTAGACGGTGAACGAGGCGTCGCGAATCCAGGCATAACTGCGCGGGAAGAGAGTCAGCGATGATCGTCATCGAGCCGGAGCAATGTCGGCTCACCGGTAGTCCCAGTTCCTCCCTGCGTCATGCAAGTCTTCCGGTAGGGAGAACGTCGCCGCGGCGACAATGGCACCGGTCGGCGCGAAGGTCAAGAGCTTGAGGGCCAGAGCGGCCCGCTGGACGTTCTCCCGCCAACGACCCTTGTAGGTACACTTCTGCAGCCAGCCGAGCCAGTACGCGACGGTGTCATGGTAGAGGCGATCGATGAGCCCCTGCGAGAGAGGCGGGTCGTAGGAGGACTTGGCCTGCGTGTCACCGTGGTGGCTCTTCGTAAAGTCGGGGATGTCTGGGCGGCCGAAGCGTCAGCACAGGGATTCCGGGGACATGGAATTGCACTCACTGGCCCTCGTGCTCCCCTCGCCGGAAGTTTCGCTCGTCTCCTGCTTCGGCGGTTCACGGAGAACGAATGTCACGCTCTGTCCCTCGTGCAGCGTGAATTGGGCGATGACGCCGAGGCTGCGAGAATGACGAAATCAGCTGCCCGTGTGTTAAGCGAGCGCAGCCGGAGACGTACCCTTTGTGACCGCGCTCACTCAGGTCAAGGTAGTCGAGCTCAACCTTAGGCGGCTCGACGCCATCCTTCGGGTGGTCGCCCTCGCTGATGACCCATCGCAAGTCGAGGTTGAGGTGCTGGGGGCAGATGAACTCGGCGCGCTGTGCCTTGTTGTCGATCTTCGTGTCGTGCGAAGCGCGAGCGTAGTCGAAAGCGGGTGAGCACTCGACCGTGAAGGTGAGAGTTCCGCGAATAGTCGTGACGTGACGGATGAGCCACGGCAGGAAGGTCGGGTCGGATTTGGACGCGGGAAGGGGCATGTAGTCGTCGATTTGGCCGACTCCCTCCTCCGACAAGAACTTGGTGTTCACGACGTTCGTGCTCGGGACGTACTGCTGCTTGGACTGCGTCGGAATATTCGTTCGGATGCTGAAGTGACCTCCCTTGTTCTTGTCGAGGATACGAGCGAAGACGGAGGGAGAGTCGAAGTGCGGGAGGCAAAGCTGGGCGATGGTTCCCGAGATCGACACCAAAGCGCAGGTACGCATATTGCCAATGAGGGCGTGGTCTCCCGCATCCGTGTAGCCGGAAGGGTAAGCGGCGCCGCTGCATGAACAACTGGATTAGCGAATTCCCTGCGGCGACGAACTTCCACCCTGCTGACGAGGCCCGACTCCGGATTCAGCGACACCGTCTGGCCCTCCACTTATTAGTCTCACAGCCTCCCATGCCTTCAGCGCCCCGCCAAATAGCTTGCTGACGGAGTGACCCTCGTTTCGCCCAGAAGTGGGGTCGGGGAGGATGAGAGGACCAGTGAGCTCACCCGCTGCGGTTCGGCTTGACTACCATGTTCTTTGGAGTCTATGCGGGCTGCTGCGCTGGTCGCTGGGGCTGTACAGTCGATGTCGAGCGAGAAAAGCCTTTGTAACGGGACGTCACGATGAAGACCCGAGAAGCGGCGAGAGAAGAGCGGCGACGGGGCTGGCGGGTTTGCTGGGTTGTCGTGTCGAATGAGAAGTCTCTGGCAGCTGTACAGACTTCACAAAAGCGGAAGCACGAGCTGTGGTGAGCGGTAGAACAACGAGGAGGATCTTCCACTCGGCCAGGTTCGGTGCGCGAGGGGGAAGACGTCGCTTTGCGATGAATGAGCGTTGCTTCACGGGTACGAGCTACAAGAAGCAGCGAAGGGCGACCAACGACTCAAGCGAGCGCTGGAAGTGCCGGAACCCGTTTTCTCGGAAGCGAAAAGTGTCTTTGCACGGCGGGTTGCAAGCATGATGGTGGTACAACGACGAGTATGCACAGGAATCATGCGTGCAGGCCAAGAAGCGATGGAGATGCCGGGATGCTGGAGACTTGCGAAAGTTGCGGATTGCGAAGGTCGACGAGGATGGGCTGCTCGCTCAGTTGTGCTTGACCGTACCGGTGAAGCGGAAGGCGAGGAGTCGAGGGTTCGTGACGACGACCGGCGAGGAAGACGTATCCGGATCTGGTGGTGAGAGGCCGGGCAAGGGTGCGATGTCGTCGGGCGACGAAAAGGTCCGCGCCTTCTTTAGCGGCGACGTTGCTGTGAGGGTTTTCCGAAGGCCGGCGGACGATGACTTTGCCATTTGGGCGTCGTCGCGCAAGGTCGGGAGCGAGGCAGTGCGATTCGTCGAGCGAGGCGAGAGCGGGATGCGGGTCGAGGTTACGGCGGCCTTCGCTTTCGCGTCGCCGGTTGCCGTTGCCATCTGAGGCTTCGGTACCGAGGGAGGTCGCGAGGTCGTTGTTGGCGTCGGGGGGAGTCCACCGAAGCCCGCTGCGTTTGAGCGAGGAGTCTACGGGTGCGTTCGGGTCAGCTAGCATGGACGATCCACGACAGGCGATCATGCTCACCCGGACACCCGCCGCAGGCATCATGAACCTGGCCCTCCAGGAAGCCGCAACCGTCTTGACCGCCTCGCTGATGGCCTCGTCCTCCTCCTCCTCCTGAGAAGCCTTCTTGCGAGACGCCGACTTCTTGCTTGAGCCGGTCTTCGCCGCGGCCTTCGGCGTGTCCTCAAGCACCTCGACCGCCTTCTTCTTCGAGTCGCGGACAAGCTTCGGCTTGACGGCACCTGAGGACGACTTGGCCGGAGCCTTCGGGCCCTTTATCCGGCGAGGCGACTTCCTGTTCGGACCAGGTCGCGGCGTGCGCTCGAAGAGGTCGTCGGCGTCGACAACGTCGGAGGAGAGGAGGATGGGATCAGACGAGAGGCCGAGTTGCGCGGCGGGTTGCTTCATCGCGGCGTTGTCGTCGAGCTCGCGCTTGATGCGGAGCGCTTCGACGGGTACGGGCTTGACAGGGCTGGAGAGGACGTCGCTGACGGGCAAATCGCCCGCCTCGCTCGTCGACGCCCATCCAGCCTCCGCCGCCGTGCTCGCCGCCGCAGGACTGCTGATGCCGCCGTCCGACTCGAGCACATCGTCTTGCTCGGTCAAGGCCGGCATGTGCGAAAGATCGTCCGGGTCGTGCGAGAGTTTGCGGCGTTTGCGGGAGGGTGTCGAGGCGGGCGAAGAGATGGCTGAGGGAAGGGAGAGTTCGCGCGACTGTCGGCCCGGCGTGACGGCGAGTCCGGGCGCATTATCGCTTCGAGGTGCTGGGACATCGGACTTGGCGCCTCCATCAACGGCGACATCATCCTCTTCGGGGCGCAAAACAGCAGCATCGGTCGATCCGCCTGACGAAACCGAGACAGCCGAGCGAAGCTCCACCTCAAGCTCGACGTCGCGCAGTGCAGCCTCGGCGTCCGCATCGCTCGCCGGCAAGTCCTCCTGCATCTCGACCTCCTCGACCTGCACGACCGACGCCTCCACGATGACCACCTCATCATCGGGCCGAACAGCCTCCGTCTGCTTCTTTGCCGGAGCGCCGAAGAACTTGCTCTTCCGCTCGACAGCCTCGTTCTCCTTCGCATCGGCAGACCGGCTCGGATTGGCGACAAGCTGAACCTTCTTGTTCGCTGCGACGACTTTGACGGGGTTGACAGGCGATGAAGTCGAGGCGGCAGGCGTCTTGCGCGAGAAGAAGGAGAGGAGTGAGGCGGAACCTTGGGCAGGAGTGATGGCGTTCTTCGACTTCGACGAGGACGGTGCGAAGCCTGCTTTACCTTTCGGCGTTGCGAGGGAGGTGTCCTGCTGGAAGTAGAGTCTGTGAGTGAGACGGCTGTCGGCGGGAGTCGTGCCGGAACGTACCTTGTTGAGCGGGAACGAATCAGGGCATAGGTCGACCATCGGCTCCTTCGAGATAGGGTCGATCTCGCCGGCGGCGAGACCCCGCGCAAAATCCTCATCGAGCAACCTGCACGACCCCAGCGTTAGCAGTGATCGTCAGAAGAGGATGAGCCGAAACTCACGGTCCGATGAAGGGCAAGTCGTCGCAGGTCTTGTCAGGCGGGAGCGGGTGCAGGTGCGTGGGCTTGCGAGTGCGAGGGTCAAAGACGTGTTGGTGGAGGAAGGTGAGTTCGGCGCGGCGGAACTCGTCGAGGTAGTTGCGAGGAACGTCGAGCTGCCCTTCGAGCCGGACGAACTGGATGACCTGTCGAGCGGGGGGAGACTTTAGCCTGTGCAAGCGGGAGCGCTCGCCGCTGACCCACCTTCTCCGGCTTCTTGTACTTGCGCAGCAGGTTGTACGCCGTCTTCAGGCCGAGCTTGTGGATGCTGGGCAGGTAATCGCACCCGCTCAAAATCGCCATATGCCGGAACTCCGCGTCTGACCAGCCCGCAAAGTTATACTCGCGGCACTTGGAGAAGTCGTCGCGCGAGACGTGGACGCAGGCGCCCTCGCCGTCCATCTTGAAGAGGACATTGCGGCAGCCGAAGACGAGGAGGTCCGAGTCTTCGGTCACGATGGCGTCGACGATGCCGGATTTTTCGAGGTAGGCGAGCTGGGGATCGGCTTCGTAGGGCGCGACGACATACTGTGAAGCGGGACGGAGTGAGTGGGGGCGAGAGATCTGGAAGAACGGCGGTGCTGACCTCGACTCCTTCGGCTCGCAGCGCCTGCGCAGTTTGAACAAGTCAGTAAGCGCCGGGGCGTAGTCGAGCCTTCAACGCACCTTGATCAGCTGAAACGCCATCGCTGGCGTGACGTCCACTGCCTTGACGAAGCACTCTCGCGCCTGTCCCGCTTTTCCCTCCGCGAGGAACGCATTCCCTTTCACCAGCGCATCCGACCGCCGCCTGCACGGGATGGCTCCGTCAGCAGTCGCCCACAGAGGATAGTTTGGGGAGGAGAAAGATGCACTTCTCGCGCTCGTCCTCCGTGCCCATCTTGCTCGGCAAGAGGCCGCCGTCAAAGACGAGGAAGGGCGTCACACCGTAATACTTGAGCATACGGACGCGGTGCATGGCGTAGTTGACGTATCTATCCGAATGAAGGTGTCAGCGTGGGGACATAAGCGAGAGGGCAGACTGAACGTACTTGACCGTGGGCTTGCCGAGGGCGAGATCCTGCGCACAGCCGTACGCCCCCCGATGCAGCCAGACCTGCGACGAGCCAGTCTTCGTGGATCAGCAATTTGCCAAGCTGGCACTCCCTGAAGGTGAGCGAGGGACTCGACGCACATATGCGTCGACCGCGACCGTCTTCCCCTTCCACTCCTTGACGTGCGACGGCTTCTGTATCTCACTCAGGAGCGGCAGTAGCCCGCTGATACCCATCGCGGAATCCCCCTGCCGTGCGCGAGCGAGTGTGAGGCTGTCGAAGTGGGGATGCGAGACGAGGCGGGAATGGGAGGTGTAAGGCGCGAGGAAGCCGCCGGTGGACTCGTTGACCTTGCGAGAGTGCTCAAGTCAGCTCTGGTGTACAGTAGCAGCTCCAGCGAGGCGTGAGATATCGGTGAAGAGGTGGAAGCGAGGACGCGAGGTGAACGCGACGAGGTCAAAACAACGAGGTCAACTCGCCGGGACGTTCGTTGAGCTGTACAAGTGTCCTTTGCAGTCTTTAGACGTCGGTGATGCTACTGCTCCTCGACATAGTTTGACGGGAAGACGCCAACCTCGCCCGTCTCGACGTTCCGTCCCTGCCACCACCCCTCGTCTCCCAGCCTGTCGATGGTGACGATGCGCTGGCCCTCGATGAAAGCTGCAAACTCAAAGCAATTAGTGAGGCGAAGAGCGAGCGGGAGCGCGAAACGTACTCAGCTCGCCCTCTTCTTCCGCAGTGTAGTCATACAGGGCGACCGCAACGATGCCCTCATCTGCCGCAGGCTCCGGCTCCGGCTCAGGAGCGGGCTCAGGCTCAGCAGGCCGCGTCGCCATGGGAGGAGGAGGAGGGGGAGGAGGCGGCGGCGGCGGAGGAGGCGGTGCGCCGGCATCTGCTGCAGACTCGTCCGCCTCCTCGTTGCCAGCTGCAGCCGATTGTTCTTGCGGCTCATCGATGAGTTCGACGTAGTTCGCTGTGTGCGCAACCGTCAGCTCTCGCTCGTTGGACTCAAGGTTAAGGCCACTCACAGGGGAAGAGACCTGTCCTGCCGTTGATGCTTGCCTGCCACCATCCGGGATCGACCTGGTCAACCTGCTCTACAATTTCGCCCTCGGCAAGCGACAACTCGTTGTCCTCCTCGGCTTCATAGTCGAACAGCACTCGGGCTCGCTGACCGGACGTGGCGGTACGAGGTGGAAGATCGCTGAGGGACAGGTCGGCGACAGCCTCAGTCGGTGCCTGCAAGCGAAGCGAAGGGTGAGCGAAGCTGTGAGGGACAACAACGCAAAGAAGCCATCGCACCTCAGGCTCAGGCTCGGGCTCGGGCTCAGCCGCACGCATGGGCGGCGCGGGCGGCGCAGGAGGTGCAGGAGGAGCAGGAGGAGCAGGAGGAGCGGGAGGGGCGGGAGGCGGAGGCGGAGGGGGCGGGATGCTCAATTCCTCCTCTTGCTCCTGCTCCTCGTGCTCCTCGTCCTCCTTGCTCTCGACCGCCGAGCTGACCGCAGCCGCGCCCAAACCGACAGCCGCAGCACCAGCAAGTCCCGCTCCCGCACCGAGTGCAGCGCCGGCGGCGAGTCCAACAGCGGCAGTCCCGCCAATAGCTGCAACCGCAGCCGTCTTTGCCATCGAAGCAGGCGGGAGGTTCGCCTCGCCTGCAGCGCGGGACTGCGCCTCCTCCTCTTCGCGCTGCTTCTTCGCAAGCTCCTGCCTCTGACTCCACGTCAGGCCCGACGCAGCCTTCGGCTTCGACGCGTCCTGCGAGTCGTTGCCTGACGAAGAGACCGCTTCCTGCCAACGATTACCGAGCTTGCCCGGCTTGGGAAGCGAGACGGGCTGCCAGGTCGAGCCGACAGGTCCAGGGCGGTCGGGAATCTGCTCAGATGCGCGAGCGGAGGTTGGTGGCGCGGCAGGCGGCGCGGAGGGAATGATCGGCGGCGAAGGAGCGGCGATGGGCGCAGATGGCTTGTGCGACGGAGGAGGCGTCGCGGGCTCGGACGCCGTCATGCCGGACGTCGAAGGCGCTGTGGCAGGCTTCGGGATGGCTGCCTTGGCGGCTTGAGCAGCCCGAATATCAGCAAGCTCGTTGCGCTTCGAGTCGTAGCTCGTTCCGACCGGCGTCGGCGGCGCGACAGGCTTGCTCTGCGCAATCTGCGGGCGTCCGACGGGTACATAGGACGACGAGACGGGAGCAGGCGCGACGTAGCGCTGGGCAGGCTCGTTGTGGACCGAGTATTTGGCGCCTGACGAGTCGGCGACACGCTTGCGGATGAGTGACGGTGTGATGTCGCTGTCAGAGCGCGCCTGGATCGTGACGTGAGCGCCCTGGAGCTGCTTCGCGACAGCGGCAGAGTGCGTCGGGAAGAGACCCTTGCGGGAGTCGGGAACGCCTTCGCCAAGCTGCAAGACCGTACGGTTAGCGTGCGATCAGTCTCATGCGTGCGAGTCCCTCAAAAAGCGAGGACTGTGCGAGAGAAGGCGTACCCAGCAGATTAGGACGAACTTCGGGAGCGAGCTGTTGGCATCCTTGACGCGGACAAAGCCATACATGACCTTGCCATCGTTGAACTCGTCCTCGATCTCCTCGAGTCCGCCAGAGCCTGCAGCGAGTTGCTCAGCGTTGTTCGGAGGAAGCGACCCCGAGGGACGAGGGAGCATCCTGCGGACTCACCGCTCGAGGTAAACTTGAGCTCGGTCGAGAAGCCTCCCTGATTACTAACGAGCGTGTAGAGCGCCCAGTCGTTCTGGCCTGCGGTCGTCCCGTCAAGCGAGATCAGTGAGATGTCATCGCTGGACAAGTGGGGGTCGAGCACCGCGAGTACGGCTTGACGGAATGGTGCGCACCTCCTGAGAGCACTTCCTTGTACGGTTGCAGCAAGTTCGGTGCCGAAAAGCTCACGCCAGCCATCGTTGTGAGCGAGAGGGAGGAGGTTCGGGTTGAGGTGGAGAGGGGTCGAGTCGGGGTTGACCAAGCCGTGCGAGTGTGCGCCGGTGCTTGCGCTGTAGCAGGTATGGGTCGCTGGAGCTGTCCAAGACTCGTCTGGCGTCGAGGGAGCGAGTCGAGGTGAGCGGTTGAGGACAAGGGAAGTTCCGCGTTCGCAGCGAGGCGAGATTGCTAGTCGTTGCGTCTTTCGGGAATGCTAAGCAGAGTGGTCCGATTAATCCGTAAAGAGCGACAGTAGCAACTCGAAGAAGCGCCAACAGTCTCGGCTGGAAGACACCAAGCAATCCAGCAGCAGGGAGAAGTCCTGACATGCGCGCGAGGCGAGTCCCTCACGCCTCAGAAGCTGTCTATGTGCGGCAGCAGATCGAGCACCCCTACTGCGCGCCGGGAACGCCGTACAAGTAGGACGTCGCCCAACGGTATGTATGCGGGCCTGCCCTTCGCGCCTATGCGCGCTCCTCTTGCGGTGTTCGCAGGACGGGTAGACGTCAGTCAAGGTGCATGAAGCTGTCAGGAGACTCCGACGAAGCACTGCGCCGTACATGCGCCGTGCGGGTCTTGCTAGCGGCGAAGGGAGCTGCGTGGAGCGAGACCGGGGCGCCGAGGGCTGCTTACCGGCAGCGTAGCCGCAGCAGTCAAAAGCATATGAGTGTACAGTACCCGCATTCAATCTATGCAGCGCTGATGCGAGTTGCGGTGGCGAAGTGAGGGGAGAAGACCGGGCCAGAAGGAACCTCTCCGCCTCCCACACCAGCCAAGACGCGTGTCCCCCAGCAGCTGCCCGCAATGCGGTATCGGAGAACTCGCTCGAAGCGTTTCAAAACCCAGGCAAGCGCTGTTACGAGCAGGAGGACCTCATCAGTCTGGCGGGCGAGAGGTGGTCGAGTGGGCGGGGCTCAGGCGTTGGGTCGCGTCGTCCGAGCGTGCAATGCGCGCAGACAGGTCGTTCAGCGCCCATGAGCCAGCAAGACCAGCAATCCGAGCGGGTGGCCAGCGTGGACAAGGTCAACTTTGCCCTCCTCGAATCGCTTGACCTTGAACCGCTCACGCTGCCTGCTCACACCGCTCGTCCGGCCCGTAATGGGCTCGCCAATAACGCTCAAGAGCTGGTTCGCGTCAGTCGAGCCGGGCGCGCCTCCGGGCGACCGCTCGCTCGCTGTGTGGATCTTCGGGTTGCGGGGCGAGGAGGAGGAACCTGTCGCGCTGCAGCTGATGGAGCGTCTCGGCAAGAACTCCTTTCGCACGGAGCTGGACGGTGAGAGGCGGACAGTCAAGCTGGAGGGGCCTTTGGCGACGGACAGAGCGAAGACTGCAGGTGCGTCCCGTCTGCTCCCCTCGCTCACGAGCATCAGTTCGCTAAATCCGCCATTCGTGCAGGCGTCGACGAGATGTACATCAACACGTTCAGGGACGGCATCACCGAGCACCTCGAGTTCACTCTCCACGCCGCCCTTGCGCTCCCGCCTCACAAAGTCCGCCTCTCCGTTGCCTTCCCTCGCTCCCTCCGCTCTTCGCCCAGCAAGAAGCACTCGAGTCCGAAGAAACCTCCCGCAGTGCCCGATGAGCCGCTTCCCGACTCGCTCTTCGACCTCGGAACCGGTTATCAGTCGCCTGCCCGCGCGCGCAGGACGCGGAAAGAGCTGGCGGAGGAGTTGCACGCTGCGAGGCAGAGACGCGACCCGTTCGCTGTCCTGCGAAGGGATGCGACGACGACGAGTTCGACATTCGCTCGGCAGGACCGAGACGAAGGTGTTGCGAGCGACGACGAGGAGGAGGCGGACATGGACGAAGTCGAGGAAGAGAAGGACGCGAAGACAGAGATGCTACTCGAGGCTCCGACCTTTGGGGTCGCCGACGCTCCTGCGCAGTCGGCACCGCCGAGCGAAGCCAGCCCGCCTCGAGCCGAACCTGCCGCAGGTCCCACCCAGCCTTCCAGCGGCCCTCCCTTCGACAACAGCACCATCCCCCCTACTCCAGCTTTGACCGACGAAGCGCCTCCCGCATCTTCCGGTCCCCAGTCTGCCAAAACCCCACTTCGTGCCCGCCCGTCCAGCAAAAAGGCTCGCCTCGCCTCTCTCACCGCCAGCTTCTTCAAGTCTCGTCCGACTACACCTTCCAGCTCCACGTCTGTCGCAGGACCTTCGAAAGCTGTTGCTTCGAATCCAGCCTCGACCAGCACCATCGCCGCCGTCCTCTCCACTTTCTTCCAGAAACAGCCGCCTTCATCGCCTCCTCCGTCCTCGAAGCCGACTGCGACAAAATCGCCAGCTCGTACGCCCGTCAAGCGCGTAGTCGCCCTCGCAGACTGCCTTGCGTCGTCTTCGCCTGCTCTCGTCTCGCGGCTGGAGAGGGCGGCAGGTGATGCTGGGACCGCCGGTCCCGAGCGGGACCGGACCGATGAAACGAAGGCGGAAGAGAAGAAGGAGGAGGTGATCGCGGAGGGCGTCGAAATGGATATCGAGCAGAGCGCGGCGGAACCCTCGGTGGTCGAGACCGCGGAGAACGGCGCTGCTTCTGCGGCAGCCGCGCAGCAGTCAGCGGCGACCGCCGTCGATGTTACGGCACCTACCGAGACCCAGGAGATACGAGCTGGGGACGTCGTCGAGAAGCAGGAAGAGAAGGCGGAACCGATGGTTGTTGACGAAGGTGAGCCCTTCTCATCGCTCCCCCTCCCGCTCAATCTGAGCTCACTTGTTCTTGCAGGTGCGGCGCTCACACCGCCTGCCCAAATCGCAGCGACGCCGCCTCCGTCTGCAGGACCGCCTCGTCAGCCGACCGCCTCTCCCTTCGCCCATTTGCACTCTCGCACTGCCTCGCCCCGTCGCTCTCCTTTTCTCGCATCCCCTCGCGCAGCAGCCGTCGCGCCCTCGGAGCGCTACTCCTCGATTGAACCGGCTTTCCCTTCGTCGCAAGGCGGGATCTCGTCGCTCTTCCACGACTCTGCCGACGAGGGTGACGGAGACGACGACTCGGCAGACTTGACGGCTCAGCAGATCAGCGAGTTCGTCGAGCGCGATCTCGCTAGCAGCGTCGTCGATGAGGACGAGTACAAGCGGGAGAGGCCGCCAAAGTCGAGCGTTGCTGCTCGTCCGCCGAAAGAGCTGGCCAACGCTCCGCTCGTCAAGGCAGCTCCTCCTGCGACCGAACCGTTCGCCGTCGATCAGGACCAGCAGATGGAACCGACGCAGGCTCCCGTCCCTACAGCAAGCGCCGAGACGGTTCCCGCCGCTGCGCCACCGCGAGAAAACGCACCTCCGCCACTTGTTGACTCTGTCGCTGCGCCCGCCGAGCCTGAGCCTGCTTTCGAGGCTTCGCCGTCGACGTCGACTGCTACGCCTCCGTCAGCAGCCGCTGAGCTGATCGCGCCTCCTCAGCACAGCGATCAGCCCGCATTGATTGCACAAGACGAGCAACTCGCCGAGCCGCCGGCCGAACCTCCCGTACAACTGGACGGAGCTTCGTCTGTCCCGTCGCCCGAGCTTGCCAGCTACGACGCGGCGAAAGCATCGATCGAGGCGGCAGCGCAGGAGGCGACCGAGCACGTTGTCGGACGTGCAGTCGGGAGTGCCGTCGAACCGGTCGCAGGTCCCGTCATCAGCGACGCGCTCGCTGAGATCGCTGCTCGCGCGTCAGGCGAGGTCATCACCGGTGTCGTCGGCAGCATCGTCGACGTGGCAGTTGAGGCTGTCGTGCAAGCAGTGCAGGCGGACAACGAGGAAGAGGCGGCAAATGTGCAGAGCGATGAGGAGAAGCAGGACGAGCCTGCGAGGTCGCACAGCGATGCGATGGGTTCTCAGGAACCGCAGGACCAGCAGGAGTCGCAGGAACAGCCCGCAGCGGGCGCACCGATGGCGGACGTCTTCGTTGAGCAGGACTTCCTTGAGCCCGAGCAGTCCAAAGGCCACGAAGGCGGCGCCGAGTTCGCTGCCGAGTATTGGGCGCAGCTGCAGGCCGGAGAGCTTGCTGCGGAGCGGGATGCTGAAGCGGAGGATAAGTTGATGCACGCCGAGGTCAGTCGACGGATCTTACGGGCTGAGGGAGTCGTTTGAGCTGACTGGTTGGCTGGCAGGAACCGAGCAAGAAGCCTCTCAGCGATGCTTCCGCTCGTTCGCTGACTTCGCCGAACGGCAGTATCCTCTCCCGAGACGCCGCCGCCATTGCGTCCGACCCTGTCGCCCTCGCCGCTCTTTCCGCTCTTCGCAACGAGCCGGAACCTCGAGACTCGCCCAACGGCTCCGCGACACCTGGGCAAACAACTGCGGGCTTGTCTCGGGAGTCCTCGCACGATGTCTTCGGGCCCGTCGACCACGTCAAGAAGCATCCTTCGTCGTCGACGCCGTCGCAAGGAAGTCGACCGCCTCGTGCACGGACTCTGTCGGCTCGTCAACAGGCAGCACCAGCTGAGGAGCCTGCATCTCGCCCGCCAGGCAAGAAGGCGCCTCGCCGAGATTCGACCTTCATCGGCGTCGAGATCCTTGTCTCGCCACGAAAACGGCCCGCCCACGCACGGAACTCGACTGCCCCGCCCGCCGCTTCCACCTCGCGAGCCGGTCTTGCGAAGGAGGTTGCCCACTCGCCAGTCGAGCCAAACATATTCGACTCTCCCGCTGCTCCCTCGCCTCCGCCTCCGGCCGGCAGCAAATCGTGGCTGGACGCTCCAGCCGAAGCAAGGCTCAGCCAGCGGCTCGGCCAGCAAGGCGTCGATGGCGATAGCCAGGATGACCTTGACGATGAGTCGGACGACCCGCTCGCAGAGCCCATCGTCGGCGAGAAGCCGCAGAACACGTCCCAGCGGTCGCCAGCGCGTCGTTCGATTGCGCGAGCGAAGGTTGCGAATGGACCAGAATCATCGTCGGACGCCTCGAGTGACGATGAGGCCGTCGCGAAGAGGCTGTTGAACGGGACGAGTACGATGGGTCACGCTGACGCTCGCGCGGCGTTCGAGAACGAGCCGGAGCGGGGCCAAGACGACGGCAAGGTGCGGCAGCGTTCTGTCGAGGAGTCGATACCGCAGCGCAAAAAGCGCGCAGGGGATGCGACACCTCCGCCCAAGGCCAAACGCCGTCGTGTCTCCTCCTCAGCGTCTCAAGCGGCCCCGTCGACATCGGAGCACGTCCCTCGACGTCCTTCTCTCGCTGGCAAGGTCCGCCAACCCTCTGCCTCCCAGCCAGCTCCAACCGCTCGCGGCACGCCCGCGCGCGTCAACTCGGCGAGCGCTGCACGCCGGAAGTCTCGGTCGACCATAGACACGTCGACACCTGGCTCGTCGGCTCGACCTGCGAGGAGTCGCAAACCCGTCGACGGGTGGTGGGACATCTCTCGCGGGGCAGAGGCAGCCACGGTGTCCGCGAAGAAGCGAGGACGGAACGAGATGGAGATGGCCGAGGTGGACAAGAACGACGAACTGGAGAAGGAGGACAAAGCGGTCAAGCGCCAGCGGAAGAGGAGGGCGATCGAGAGCTCGCCCGAGTTGGGCGCAGACGTCGAGACGCAGGAGCGCCATGCTGAGCGGGAAAAGTCGGTCGCTCGTGAGGATGACGGCTACGACAACTCTCGCGACGACGACTTCGACCCGAGTGCTCATGGCGAAGTCGAGGACGACAAGTCGGTCGCTTCCCCCAAGCCAGCCAAGAAGCCGCCCGTGCCGAAGACGACCCCCGCTGATGGAGCGAACGGCGGCAAGAAGAAGCGTCGCAAACGCAAGTCGCTTGTCATGCCCACCTTCCGCAACCGCAAACGCCAGTCCGCCGCCGCCACTGCATCTGCCTCCGCCTCTCCCGCACCGTCCCATACGCCCGATCCGCGCTCGTCGCTCGCTGGCAAGGGGAAGAAGGTCGCTCAGGAGGAGCGCGAGCAGGGTCTGGTGCGCGCGAGTTCGGTCAAGAAGGCTCGCAAGGAGTCTGCGAGCCGGGAAGAGGTGCAGGAGTCGTCGAACGGACGCGCGAAGCCGACGCAGGCGAAGGGTCGTTCAGCGCAGCCGAAGAAGGCGAAGAAAAATGCAGTCGAAATGCCGGACTGGGCGGAGGGAGACGAGTGGGCGGGTCTGAGGGAGGTCGGGATTGCGAGGGAGGCAGACGAGGATCCATTTCACTTCTCTGACTGAAGGGAGCAGTATGCTGTAGTTTGTAGTCGCTTGTTGTCGCTTCCAATCCCGCTGCACTGTTTGCGTTTTGCCTCATCTCTCGCTGATATAGGACCTCGCCAAGTGGATCGCACAAAAGGAGGATATACTGCATGTCTATCGAGCCCGCTGTTACCGTCGCCTTACTTCTTGTACTCGTACGCATCCCATCCGACCTCCTCAATCTTGCCAACCTTGGCGAGCACCTCGTCCTCGAGGCCGTGCGCGTAGTCCTCGAGCGCCCTCCTCAGCCTCGGCTGATACGTCGACAGGATGCGAACCGCGAGGAGCGCCGCGTTCGTCGAATTGTTGATGCCGACGGTCGCGCAGGGGATGCCACGCGGCATCTGCACGATCGAATAGAGCGAGTCGACTCCGTCGAGAACCGAAGCCTTGACGGGCACGCCGACGACGGGGAGGGATGTCGCGCTCGCGACCATGCCGGGAAGGTGCGCTGCGCCTCCTGCACCGGCGATGATGACCCGCACGCCACGCTCCTCCGCCTTGTGCGCAAACTCCTCCATGCGCATCGCGGTCCGGTGAGCTGAAACGATCGACAGCTCGAACTCGACGCCGAACTTGGTCAGGATCTGCGCGGCGGGCTTCATGACGGGCAAGTCGGAGTCGGAGCCCATGACGATCGACACGAGGGGGTGGTTGCTCGAGAACGGCTTGTGAGGCGAGGTCTCGAAGATGTCGGCGTCACGGTCGGGTTCGGCGTACGAGCCCGGGAGGACCGCAGCGAGTTGCGCAATCTTGGTGCGGACGTCGGCGTCGGACGCGCCGAGGACGGTGATGTGTCCCATCTTGCGACCTTTGCGACAGCCGGCTTTGCCGTAGAGGTGGATGGCGGCGCCGAGCTCTACAGCCTTGGCGACGACACCGTCAGGTCGAAGGAAGTCGTCCTTGGCCGAGTCGGAGTACCCGAGGAGGTTGAGCATGGCGGCGGCGGGAGGAGTGAAGGTGATGGGAGGAAGAGGGAGGGAGAGGATGGCGTAAAGGTGCGAGACGTATTGCGAGACGTTGCAAGCCTCGATGGTGTAGTGGCCCGAGTTGTGCGGTCGGGGCGCGATCTCGTTGAGGAGGAGCGAGCCTGTGGAGCATAGTGAGCTTCCTGACGCTGACAGACGAGGAGGACGAGCGCACCGTCGGCCATCAAGAACATCTCAACGCCAAAGACGCCCACTGCACCCTCGCCCAACGCGTCAATCGCCTTCTGCGCGTCCTCCTGCGCACGCTCGTTGACCGACTTGCCAACCACCGCATTCTGGCCACGCTGTTCCCGGCCGACACCGTTCTTCGGGTCGACAGGCGGTCGAAGCGGGGCGTAGACGATGTGACAGACGGAATCGCGGTGGATCGTCTCGACGGCGGGGTAGGCGCGGGTCTCGCCGGATGCGCCGCGCGCGACCATGACTGCAACCTCCTTGACGAAGGGAGCGAATAATTCGGCGTATAGGCGGTCCGTGAGGGGTCGAGCGGAGGGAGAGGAGAGCGAAGAGGCGGGGACGAGGGCTTCGAGAGCGGCGCGGACATCGGAAGGCGAGGAGGACCGGAGGACAAAGTTGCCCTTGCCGTCGTAGGCGAGGTGCCGAGACTTGAGCATGAGAGGGTAGCCGAACTTCTCTCCTGCCTCCAAGACAGACGGGACGAGCGAGGCGAGCGGGTCGTCGGAAGAGACGGCAGACGAGTCGGCGGTGATGGGAAGGAAGGGAGCAACGGGGACGCCGCGCTTGGCGAGGTGGACCTTCTGCAGGTACTTGTCCTGAATGATGCCGATGATGGAGGGCGAAGGGTAGACCTTGATGCCCTTGCCTGATCGACCGCCAGTCGTCGCACACTCGTCCGCAACCTCCTTGAGCGCGGCAACATTGACGTGCTCGATCTCGACCGTTAGCACGTCAACCTGCTGTGCAAGTTCGCGTATCTTGGCGGCGTCGGTAAAGGCGCCATCAACGTGACGGAGCGGAGCAGACGTCGAGGCGAAGGCGGGAAAGACCTGCGGCTGCGAGGCTTGCTTGGCGGGCGCGGTGAGTTCGGGGTCGAGAACGACGACGGGGATGGCCATGGGCGACGCTGCCTGCAGCAGCATGCGACCCAGCTGTCCACCACCTTTGTATTGAGGGGTCGCAGGAGTCAAGGGGAGGAAGTGCAAGGTCAGCTCATTGTTCATCCGCCCGAGAAGCCTTGAGCCGCTCCGCCCTGTCTCGTGTATGTCTTCCAAAGTCGCCGAGCTACCCAACGAGCCGCCCTAGCGCCGTCATCGCCCTCGAAAGCCCCCAACTGATGAGGATGCAGGCGATGAATCTCAAGCCGTCCTCGCCGCCTAGGAAGGCCGCGTGTGGATTGGAAAGCAACGTACCGAGCACTCCGATGACCTGGTCGTCAAGCATGTCTGCCCAGAGCGTGTGCGAGGAGAGCAAGTGCAAGTGTCGCTTCCAACTTTCATCTCGCCCTCGACCACGACCTCACGACACGCTCAACTCGCCCAAGGCCACCGTTCGAGCGCTCGTTGCACCCTTCTAGACCGCCACAACTCCGCCAGCCATGCACCCTACGCTCGCCGTCTTCCGCGCGACGTCGCGGGCGGCCACCAACGCGAAGCGACTCCAGACGGGCTTGTACGAGGGACGGAGCATCCTGTCGGGCAACAACGTCGGCAAGGAAATTGCAGTCAAGACGCGCCGTCAGTGGAAGCCCAACGTGCAGCAGAAGAACGTGTGGTGCGAGGCTCTCGGGCGCCATCTCAAGCTGAGGGTCACGACGAGCGCACTGCGGACCATCGACAAGTGCGGCGGGCTCGACGCGTACCTCTTCCGGATGCGACCACAGAAGATTGGCGAACTCGGCATGCTCCTTCGCGAGATTGTGTGTTCCGGCTCTCCCTCTCTCGCTCTCGTCCTCGACATTGACGGTAATGTGCTCGCAGATCCAAGATGCACACACCGCCGCCAAGAAGAAGCAGGAGAAGGCAGTGCAGCAGGCGGCGCGGGATCGGGCGGCGCAGGCGCAGGCGCAGCAGCAGCAGCAGCAACAGCTTCAGGCATGAGGGAGGACGTTCGGGCACACTCTACACGCACTCTCGCAACCTTGTAACCATAGCCATCTGTTTCGATGATTGCTGGAGGGATGCTCGAGTTGCGGGAGAGGCGATCGCTACACCAGTCTCTTCCCCTCGCCCGCGACAGCCGCCCCGTTCGCTGCTCCTCCTCCGCCAAATAGCCCCATTCCGCTCAGTCCACCTGCGAGTCCAAGCCCGACACCCGCAGTCCCGAGCCCTCCTCCTGCAGACGCCCCGCTCTTCCCGCTCCCGCTCGAACCAGGCGAGAAGCCCGGCAATCCTCCTTGCTGGTAGACGCCATAAGCAACCGCCGCAGTCGCAACCGCCACGCCCGAGACGACGAGCCATCCGTGCGGACCGAGATTGAGTCCCGCCGCGCTGCCGCTGAGCGTCGACCGGCGCCGACGAGTCTTCCCACCTTTGCGAGGCGACTTGTCTTGCTCGACGAGCTCAAAGTCGTCTTCGCCGCCTGGCTCGCCTTCGTCGGGCAGCTCGTCGTCTGGCGGCGCATCTGGACCGAGAAGAGCGACATCGACGATCCCTTCGCCCTTGCGCACAATCTCCTCCGCCTCTTCGTCGCCCAACTCGCCGCTCATGCTCCGTTCCCAAGTCGAGACGCAGCTGTTCGGTCCGAGAACAGGAGGATTGTTGATCGTCTCGAGAGGGTGCTGCTGCGAAAGCTCGAGTGCGCGGCTGATAAGGGCTGAGGCGAGAACGGTTCGAGGAGGGGGAAGGTGCGAGGGCGAGTCGAAGTCGTCGCCGAAAGAGGCGGAAATGACGGCATTGCCAGAGCGAGATGTATGCGGCGACGGTGTGCGGCCGCGAGCGGGCGGCGAGGGTGTGCGAGAGCGAGAAGGTGGGAGCGGGTCGAAAGCTGGACCGTCGATGTCGGGGTCGGAGAAGAGCGACTCGTCCATTGAGTACCGCAGCGACTCTGACTCGTCGTCTGCGTCAAACATGAACGACGAGGAGGCAGACCGCGAGATGCCGCTCGACTCGCGTGTGCGAGGTGGAGAAGCCTCGGACGTGCTAATGAGTGATTCGTCGAGGATGCTCGTCTGTCCCTCGTCTTCCGTCTCGGCCTCGGCTGTTGTTGCCGTAAGGGTCGGCGAGCGCAAGAGATCGGAAGCCGAGCCGACGAACGAGGCGGAAGACATCAAGTCTTCGGAGAGGTAGTCGTCCGGACCATCGAAGGCCGGCTGCTTGGGCGCGGGCGATGGCGAGGGAGGAGGAGAATGCCAAGGGTGCTCGAGCACGATATTCGGAAGTTGCGAGAGGGCGGAATGAATCATCGCCGGGTCGTCTTCGGAAGCTGCGGCGACGGCAACGATGTCGTCCTTCTTCGTAAGCAGAATCTGCGCATATGAGCGTCAGCATCGTGTGACTCTGGGCGACAAGGCGAACGCACAGATACAACAAGATAACAGATCATGGCGGGGTTATGGGCGAGTAGGAAGTCGAAGAAGCGAGCGATGACGGCGACCGATTCGATGTCGTGGCTCAACAAGGTCAAGGCCCAGGAGAGCGCGAAGAATGGCATCGACGCAGCACTGCAAAGCAAAGTCAATCGGTGGACGGCAAGAGCGCGAGAAATGAACGGACTGGTTCACGACGCGATGCAAGTCCGGGTCTACTCGTTCGATTATGCGGTGTACCAGCTTGAGGTAGCCGAGAGTTGGCTCGAGACCAGTGCCCATGCTGTCGCGGATTTGGTGCAGGCTCAGATGCTCGGCCGTCTCGAGGAGTAGGTGGTCGTCGTCGAGAACAAGGAGGAGGATGGAGATAATCTACGCATGGAACAGGTCAGCAGCTAAGAGGGGCTTCTGTCAAAGACCAACGTACATCGTGATAGCCTTGGAAGTACTGCAAAGCCGGATGCCGTCGCAAGACAGTGAGAATAGCCGTCTCGAGTCGTTGCCGGAGCGCGTCACGCTGGTCATCCGCGACGTCTGCAAGCGGAGAGCTGTCAGCAGGGTATGAGAAGCTTTCGATACACGGCAAGCGCACCATGCGGATAGCTGACGAGGCTCCGGTCGATGTCGAGGCGGACCTGCCGCTCGTCGTCGCGGATTGGCAAGCTAGCCAGCTCTTCGGCACAGTCCGCCGCATCCGCCCGTTCCTCGCCCTTTCTACTGCAGCCAAGCAGCACCGGCCTGGGTGACGTTCGCGTCAGCGTGGGCAAACGAACAGACTCGCAGGAGAAACAGTGGCGCACCAGACCTTCCTCCGCAACTCCCGGTCTTCGAAACCAGCTCCATCCGCCGCGAACTGCCTCAGACTGTCATTGTCACTGCGCTCGACCGCTTCGAGGACCTGCTCGCGCCGTGAAAGCGCCGGACTCTGGTCGGGTAGTGGGGAGGCGAGCGAGGACGTGGAAGCGATGGGAGGGTCGCTGGGCACGGCTGGCGGCGTCGCTGGACCTCCTGTAGGCGCTTGTGCTAGCTGCATAGCTGTAGTGCGCTGAGCGAGTGACAGGTTGTCTGCCGACCTTCGCGACGCCTCCTCTCGCCAGAACTTGTCCCTCCTGCTCGCACTCTCGCCCAGACTGGCTTGCCTCACGCTCTGGATGTCACTATAGTGCCCTTGCGTTTCTGCGTTTACGAATGAGCGCGCTCGAACGAGCGGATGCGGTCCTGCAACTCTCATCAGTTGCGGAGGTGAGTGGACCCAATCTCGGTAGTCTGACGAATACTGACAAGTGTGGCCCGCAGAACACGCTCAGACAGGGACACCTGCCATGCCCGCCGTCGGAACTCGCTCGCTTGTGGTGTGGCAGGCTGGCAGAGGAGATATGTCCCGGCGACGAGAAGGAGACCCTTCTGCGAGCGCTAAGATGCTGCAGATTCACGATGGTGAGTGACCAGTGCGCAGACGATTCTGCTGAACATACTGACCCCTTACTGCAGGCTCACGACATCGTCATCTCGACATGCCAGCCCCTACTTCTCGAAATCAGCTCTTCCCTCCGACTTCACGCCGCCAGTTGTCTTCTCCAGTACATTAGCACGTCCACGGGTACTCTCGTTACGGATAAGACGCCGTCACTTGTCGCAACGATCGTTCGAGCCCTCGCGCCGCTTCCCCACCAACTTCCGTCCGCGTCGTCCGCCCTCCATCGCTTCGTCTCGACCTCCTTCCGCATCATCTCGGTGTGCATCGGCAAGACTTCGACGCTCTCATCCGACGTTGTGACGTCGGTCGCGCAGCTTGTGGGCGGCTGGATCTACCAGGGCCTTCAGCCTGTGGCAGGAGCAGTCAGTCCTCTTGCGACCGCGCGAGGACGAGTTGCGGGACAAGGGCAGCTGGCATTCGGTGTCATGAGCGCATTCATGCAGCCTACGCCCTCACCGAGGAAGCGGAAGAACTCGGCTGCCGCAAACGCCAGCTCTCGCGCCTCTTCTGTTTCTCGTCTAGGAGACTCGTCGGATTCGGAGGATGAAGCAGGCCGGACATTCGACCGAAGGTACGCTGCATACTCTTCGCCATGTCGACTTCGAGCTCACCGAGTGGCCTTACAGACGATACCTTGCCCAAATCCGCCTCGACGCCCTCTCCTGCCTCCGAGCTCTCGCCACCGCCAGTCCAAGGGCGCTTCACAAGCACTGGTCTCTCTTCCTCGCCGACTCGCCTTACCTGCGCGACCGCCATACGCTCTTCTCGATCATCGAGTCTGACCCGTCGCACTCGAATCGCTTGCAAGCGTGCTCTGCGCTCGAAGCCTTGCTGGCACATTCGGCAGCCTACCTGAACATCGCTGAAGACCGGTGCGTGATGATTGTAAACTTGCCCGACCGCGACTAACGGTGGCTTCTTCGCGCAGCTCGACGAAGGCGTCCTTCACGTCTCTATCGGCCAAGCTTGGCGAGACCCTTGGCGAACTCCACTCCTCCCTTGCGTCTCTTCTCTCTCGACCAGTCGTCGCCAATCAAGCGGACGTCCACCTCGCATTGCTGTCGTTTGCCGCTGTCTTGGCCGCCAATTCTCCCTACGGCCGCCTCAAAAAACCGCTCGCCTGGCAACTCGCCAAGTCGTGCCTGCCGCACTTGAGCTCAACCAGTACGGTCGTCAGCGAGCTGCTCACAAGCTCACGCGCTGACTTGGCTCTTCACGCAGACACGAAGGTGGTCGCTGCAGCCGCAAACGCCTTGACCAGCATCGTCTCCCGCTACCTCGCAATGGCAAGCACGGCGTCATTCGAGTGGGAGCAGCTGCTGCGTGCTGTCGAGCCGCTCCTCGCCGGAGACGTCGGCGAAGACAGCCGGGCAGCGGGTTGGTCGTTGCTCGCTGCGATCATACCTGGCGTCTCTTCCGGCGATTGGTGCGTCGACTCGACGGTGCTATCGACTTCTGAGCTGAGATATTATCGAGCAGGATGTTCGCGACTCAACTGTTTGAGGCGGGCTTTGCCCCGTCGTCCATCACCGTGCAAGAAGCGCAGGCTCGCTTCATCGTCGCGCTCGCCCGCTCGCCTTCGACGTCCAGCACGCCTGACCTACAGAGGTTCGTCGACCTCGCTCTCGCTTCGCCGCACGACACAGTCCGCGCAATCGCCTGCACCGCCTTGACTTCTCCTCGTCTCGCCTCGTTGTCCGCCTCTTCCGACTTCAAGACCTCGCCTTGGCGCACGGCTTGCCTTCTCGCCGCTCAAGATCCCTCGACGGACGTTCGCGCAGCCGCCATCCGCGTCCTCGGCTTGCTGGTCAAAAGCGACGGTCCTGCGGCACCTACTCCCGCTTCTGTGCAGGAGACCATCCCGACATTGCTGTCAGCAGTGGATGATGGGGTCCGCGAATTATCAGAGGGTGGAGGTGAACGGGTGAACGGTGCGATGTGGACGTTGGCGAATTGTTGCGATGTCTTTACTCAGATGTGCGTTCCTTCACAACGCCTTATAGGCGGGTCTAACTTCTTCTGCAGTGTGCTGGATCCCGACGTCTGCGACAACGTGCTGGAAGCGATTCTGGGTGTCCTCGAGCGCGACACGACTGGCGAGCAGGTTCGTCTGTTGTATCTGGCCTGTCGATCAGCTTTTGACTGACGCACTAGTCTCGCAGGCTATTATCAGCGCCTACCGCATCCTCGGCTCGTTGTCTGGCGGTTCGGCTGCCAACATCACCAGGTCCGAGCAGCTCTTCGACCGGGCGGCGAAGGCAGCGGTAGCTGGCTTGGCCCATCCAGCTGCAAAGGTATGTACCGACCACTGCGTCACACCAGCAAGCACTGACGCCTCGCCCCTGCAGGTGCGCTGGAACGCCTCCATTGCAGCTACCGCGCTCCTACCCCGAATCCAGGACGACTCGCTCTCGAAAGCCTTGTTCGACGCCGTCATTGGTGACTCGAGCTTCAAGGTCCGCATACACGCCTCAACAGCTCTCCTATCGCCTGCTGTATCACCAGGACGATTCCCGCCAGACGCCCTCTCTCGTCTTCGCCCTTCGCTCGACCGCCTCGTCGCCGAGCTCGAGGATGGTCGTGTACCGCCGAAGGAGAAGCAGCACGCGGAGCAGCTCGTCAAGCGGGTGCGTCTCCATTGCGGCTCGTCCTGCTCGCCGCGCTGACTTGTCGCAATGCCCACAGCTCACCTCTCTCTGCGCACGATTGATGACCACCTAGGCCACCTCCGGCTCTCTGTCTTGTAGAATCTGAGTCTGTTGTTGCTACATTCTGCAAGGGATACAGTAAGGTCTATGCACGCGCGTATGCTTCATTCGAGTCAACCTGCGGCTCCTCCTCGATCCCCAGCATCTCCCGATGCAGCCCATTCTTCCACCGGCCCCTGCTCGTCGACCGCTCGATAGTCATCCGCTCGGTCGCCTCCTTCTGCGTCTCGGCCGGCAAGACAGCGACCCAGGCGAGCATGACGGTGCGCAGGATCGTTCCGAGGAGGAGGGTCCATTTGAAGCCTGTACGGCGATGCATCCAGGCTCCGACGACGGTGCCGGAGACGATGGAGAAGACTGCGCGAGATTGTCAATTGTGTTTGCGCTGACGTCGGGAAGAGCGGACGCACTGTAAGCTATTCGACGATTCCGGCCTGTTACTGGCTGTCCGCAGAGCTGCGGCTTGAAGAGCGCAGGGTCGGTGATTAAGTCGGCCTGTGATTGGCAGGCGCGTGAGCCGGCAGGAGTTGCTCGAGACGAAAAGCAGAACTTACGATCGGCGTGCTCAGCATCGCTGTCGGGATCTCACCGACGCCGCAAGTCCGCGCGATAGCAATCTGGAAGCCTGACGAGGCGGCCAGGAGCAAGAGGAGAATCCACTGGTCGTTCTGCACGTCCGGGTCGAGGACATGGCGGAAGACGAGTCCAGTCGGGACGGCGAGGAGGATGACCTGCCGGCAAGGCGGGTGAGATGGCGCGTCGACAGTCTGAAGACGGGGGGAACGCACCTGTAGGAAGCAAGACAACATGACCCACCACCGAATCCGTGTTCCCACCAAGTTCGCTATCTGTCCTCCCAGTCCGCCGCAGATTACGTAGGCCACAAGGGACGCCGTCGTGTTGATAGGTCGCGCTTCCTTGAGAGCATGAATGATGCTGATAATAACTGCGAATTTGCGAGAGATTAGCGAAAGAGGCGCATCGAGGAGAATAAGCATGAGAACGGACGAATAATGACGTTGCCGGTCTGCGCGCTCGCAAAGGTGCCGAAGCTTGCATAGGTCGTCGCGTCAAGCAAGCCTGCGAAGCGAACAAGCGGTCAGCAAAGCCAGAGCGGAACCCGAGGGGAAGTTGAGCGAGACGACGGGGGTCCCCAGCATCGCGGGTGAGTGCGCCAAGCTGACGAGATGAAGACGCACCCGTTACGAACGATACGGCCGTCAGCGGCGCCACGAACGCCTTGCTAGGGATGTTGTCTCTCCACCGCAACCTTCGGCCCATCGACCCGCGGGTCGCTGTTGAGCGGGCGTGGAGCCAGCAGAAGCTGGCAACGTCCACCGATAGCAAGACGCGACCCAGGCGGACAGCTAGGAGGCAGACACGACGACCGGGGATGAAAGCGAGAGGGAGAGGGTGCGGAGACGAGGACGACCGGATGTCAACGGTCGACTGCATTACATGCTTCTCTTGGGATCTATGCGGGCGCAGGCGCAGGTACGAGAACCTCTCCATTCTTGCGGACAACCTTCGCGAAATATTGCGGCGCGACGACGCCGTCGACTCCGGCTGTCAGGACGACGTTGTTCGTCGAGGTGTAGATGGGGATGCCGTCTGGATGAGCTCAATGTGTCAGGAGTATAAGCTTCGGCAGTAAGAGAGAGAAGACGGACCTGCTAGCAGCTTAGGGACGTCGAGGTAGATGAACAAGTCGCAATTCGCTCTCATGCCTATCGATTCCTTTCAGTCAGCACAGTCTTCAGAGAGATGTCCTCCAGTACGCACCGCTAATGACGCCCGTCTCGCCTGCGAGACCAACAGCGCAATGGATGTGGTTGCGGGTCATGACCTTGAGGCCTTCGTTCTCTGCGACCGAGCAAAGCGGCAGCGTCAGCTTCGATCCACGGCGACAGAGAAGCGTGCTTGCGCACCGATAGCAGGCCACAACCGGTAGTACGTCCCGTGCACCATGAGCGGGACGTCCTCCGCCTTTTCGACCTTTTTCAACTCGAGCTGCTCGACCTGCTCAGAACGCCCTCATCAGCCCCTCTCCTTCTAGCAGCGACGGATCGAAACGCACCTTGATCGAGTGACCCTGGTTCGCCCGGATCCACAGCTCCTCCGCACCGTTCTCGCCAGTCGGTTCAGGCCGCATCGAGAACCGCTGCTTCGCGTTGTCCTTCACGATCCGGTCCAGCGTAGCCATGTCGCACCCTTTCAGCTTTGGTCGCTTCATCTGCGTTCCGATCGTTAGCTCAGCGAGCGAAGAGCGCGAGGGAAAAGGACCCACCAGTTCTTCGACCCTTACGAACCCATCCTCCCTCAGCTTCAACCCCTCCTTGGCCGCTCCATGCCTGAGGATATAACTCAGCGTCTTGCTCCACCTCGTATCGGGGTCGTCGGTCGGTCTCCCGCGCGCTGTTTTGGGCGGTTTGGAGGACGAGGAGGAGGGCGGTGCAGCGGGTGAGTGGGTGGCTGTTAGAGACGCGGCGGGCGGGTCGAGCGACATTGTAGCGGTCCTAAGAATGGGACGGAGTGGGACGAGAAGCCTGGGAGCGATGGTGAGAACGAGCGAGTGAGGCGCACGAAGTCGACCTCTTTCACGGACGGCGAAGACACTGAGGACGGGTCAGGATTCCTTCAGATTGCTTGATAGGGCCAAAGACGAGAGGTCAGAACGATGCGAGTACAATGGACTACAACAAAAGTACGGGACTGGGTTCTTCAGCGTCGAGACATCGAAAACAACGGCCCCACGGCGAACACTCTTTTGGCGAGCGGGAAGGGGTATGTGGAGGGCTGGGGACGATATGTAAGGGAGAAACGAGGCGTCTAGGAGTTCTCGACTCGGTCCGAGAGGTTGAGGAGGAGGGTCGCGAGGCACCGCTTCGTGACCATGTCGCCCTTGAGCAAGGGGGAGAAGGTCGCGTCTCGCAGCGGTTCGGGCAGGCATGCTCGGAGGGCTTCGCGGGCGCTGCAGGCACCGGATACAAGGTCAGTCACGCATTGAGCGGGGAGGAGGAGAAAGTGGAACGAACCGCAGGTTGTCGGACAGGCGGAGGTAGCATCGGACGACGTGCTTGAGAAGCCGGACTGCTTGCGTCTCGACGAGCTGCTGGACCATGTTGGAGAGGACGGTGCCAACGGCATAGAATCGCTCGTAGGTCTGTAGGAGCGAGAAGTCAGTTCGAGAACTTACGGAGAGGATCCCGAGCGCACGCACCTGGCAGATGTACGAGAGGCCCACCTCGTCCAGCAGGATCTTCTGGACGATAAAGATGGCGACCGTCTTGGACAACTCGGACCCGGTCTCCATGATGCGCAAGCAGAGGGGGATGATCTCGGTCGAGAGGAGGAAGTTGATCACGTCGCTGTTATCGTTCTGCTTGACGAGCGCGCCGATAACACCGAGCGACGTGAGGCGGAGGTACTCGAAGGGCCGAGTCTTGGAGGTCGTGTTGAGGAAGGGGTAGAGGAAGAGCGGGATGTGGGCCGAGAGGAAGAGCGAGCGGGTGTCGTTGTGCGAGGCGACGCATTGCAGGAGTGCGAGGGCGTTGCAGACTCGGTTCGAGGCGTGGGCGGTGAGGGACGGAGGGGCGAGGAGAGGGTAGACCGAGACGATCTCTTGCAGGAGGGCCGACATGACGCCTGAAAGAAGATCGAGTCAGTTTTGACCTCCTCAAGCGTTTGCAGGCCTCATCCACACGCATCATGTGAAGGTGAGCCACACAAGCGAAAGGGGCGACGCACCGAACGAGTGCCAGAGGACGAGAGCGAGGTCGTCCCACTGCTCGCGCTTCTTGCTGAGTTCGAGGAGGGCGGCCTCGCGCGTGTTCGGGTTCATGAGGTCGACGATCAGGTAGTAGACCTTTTCGTTCTCGCCCTGGCCCTGTCCGCCGGGGATGCTGCCTGGCTGGATGAGGGAGCTTGTGCCGTGCAAGAGAAGCTTGCCGCCTCCTCCGCCGCCGCTACTCCCTCCGCCTGCACCGATCGGCAACCCTGGTGTCTCTGACCGCGAGAGTGCGCCCGCGGACGCTGCGACGCTCCCTCCCCTGCCGTGTCCCGAGGCTGCTCCGACGAGACTCATCGCCGCCTGCGGGTCCCTGTCTCCGCCGAGGCCGTTCATGGCGTTGACGGCGGCGGACGAGACGATGACGCCCGAGGGCAGGCCGGGGTTGTTGATGGACTGCGAGATGGACAGCGGGAGGTGCGACGACGAGCCGGCGTTGTTGGACCACGGGTCGAGCTGCGCGTGCTGCATGCCGGGCGAGAGTGCATCGTTCGGGGTGCCCTGTGCATGCGCCGGGTCTCCACTTCCCTGGCCTGGGTGGTGTGCGGCCGACGACGGCCGGGTGTTGAGGGCGGAGAGGAGGACAGAGGCGTTGCCAGCCATGGCTTGCCCGCGTGTGTCCTCGACTGTGATGCCCTGTAGAGCCCTGATTAAGCTGTCTAGCGCAGTCTGGCGCCCTCCTGGCAGCGGTGCGAGCGGGAGAGCGTGTGGTGAGAGGGAGAGCAGGACAAGTGACGCTCGCTCACGGCAGCCACACCGTCCTTTGGGCTGGTTCGAGTCTCTAGTGGGTTCTATAGACTGTACAACTGCATCTGTCTGTTCAATGTACGGAAAGAGGGCGTGCGAGGGCGAGTTCGAGGGGGTCGAGGTGAGCGCTCTGCTCGCGCTCGCTCTTCACCTTTGGACCCCTCCCGCCGCTCGCTCGAACGACTTTGTAAGGCTCGCTGCTCGCTCTGCTGCTCGTACACGGCCACCTGCGACACGCCAGCACACCCCGGCATGCGCGCACACTCCGGGACGGGAGCGAGGACGGACGGGGGCAAACTTGGTTGGCGCCGGCACACGGGCTCGCACGGCGGCGCTGGGCGGGCACGGGTGGATGCAGGACACGCAGACGGGTCTGGTGGAGGATAAGCGAGATGCGCACGGACTGGCTGGGCCGCGCGGCACGAGGTTCGCACCCTGACTCGCAGCGAGGACCCCGTCGAGCTGACCAAGCTGCTCATTCACCTCTCCGAACCCCTGCGCGCACTTGCTCTCTCCCTCTTACACTCCAACACACTCGCCACTACACGCTACAGTCAAAATGGGTGCGTCCACCGTCGACTCGCGCACTCGCACGACCTGCGAAACGAAGCTGACAAACGCTCGCTCTTCCCTCTCGCCCGCCCCTCGACACTGCCGCCGCACACTGCGACTGTACACTCGCCACTGCACTCTGTGAACCTGCACGCCTTGTCCGCCGCCCGCCCGACCCGTTCCCGCCGACTTCATCCTCCTCGCCTCCTCCCTTCTTCCTCATCTCGGTCCTCGCTACTACAACCAATTGGGGGGGGCCTTACGACACGCGCAGGACGTCGCCCCGCTCGCTGCTATAGGTACTGTAAGAACAAGCCGTACCCGAAGTCGCGGTACAACCGTGGTGTCCCCGACCCCAAGATCCGCATCTTCGACCTCGTGCGTTTGGCTTCCCACGCCGTTTCGAGACTCTGTGGAGCCTTACTGACGCTTTGTGTGGCTCGCAGGGTCGCAAGAAGGCGTCGGTCGATGACTTCCCGTTCTGGTGGGTCTCTTCGTCGAGCTGGGGCGTGTCGAGGGCTGCGAGGGAGGGAGGCGCACGAGCTTGCGGCGACGGATGCGGTACAGCGGTGTGGGACTGGGGAGCTGTCCAGTGTGGTGTTGCGAGAGCCGTGATGGATGTGGCCCGAGTTCACGGTGTGGTACAACGGATCTTGGAGGCGAATGCTGACCAACTCGCCTCGTTCCGCCACTGCAGCGCCCACCTCGTCTCGAACGAGTACGAGCAGCTCTCTTCGGAGGCTCTCGAGGCGGCCCGTATTTGCGCCAACAAATACGTCGTCAAGAACTCGGGCAAGGACTCGTTCCACCTCCGCGTCCGCGCCCACCCCTTCCACGTGATCCGTATCAACAAGATGCTCTCGTGCGCTGGTGCCGATAGGCTCCAGACGGGTATGCGTGGCGCGTGGGGCAAGCCGTACGGCACCGTCGCCCGTGTCAACATCGGCCAGATCATCCTCTCGATCCGTTGCAAGGACTCGAACAAGGCCATCGTCCTCGAGGCTCTCCGTCGTGCGCAGTACAAGGTGAGCCGCGGCGTTCCCCTCGCTTCATTCCCACCGCCCCGAACCCTTTCGCTGACCGCGTTCCTTCTCGCGCTCGCAGTTCCCCGGTCGCCAGAAGATCATCATCTCGAAGAAGTGGGGCTTCACCAACCTCTCGCGCGAGGAGTACCTCGAGAAGCGCTCGATCGCGCAGCCCGACGGCGCCTACGTCCAGTTCGTCAAGCCCCACGGCCCGCTCGAGGACAACCTCCGCCGTCTCGAGCGCATCGGCGCCTGAGCGACTTGTTCGTCTGAGTGCAACCTCGTTCTGTAAACTCCACTGTGGCTCGGGAGGGTCTTTTGAACGAGAGAAGAGAGAGCTTGTCGTCGACTTCCGCTCTCTCACCTCGACCGCACGCTCTCACCTCGCCACCTCGCTCGAGATGGCTGCTCCTGTCGCTCGCACGCTCGTAGCAACGTCTGCACGGTCAGCACGCCTTGCAGTCGCCCGCCCAGCGCCCGTCGCCGCCGTCCGATTCTCATCAGCTCCCACTCCGTCCCCATCTCCCGCGCCTTCCACTGCTCCCACTGGGCCCGCGACCAGCCATGCGAACCGACCGACTCGTACACCGCAGCCCACAAACCTCCCCGGGTCCAACCTGCCGCCCCCGACGTCTGCCAAAAAGTACTCGCCCTTGACCGTCGCGGTTGTCAAAACGCTCGCCAAGCTCTTCGGGTACAACACGCAGACATCGACGGCTATCCGAGTGACGACAGACTACTACGACCGGTGTGCGGAGCGGGCGGAAGTAGAGGCGCCGTTCTTCTACGAAGGTGCGCTCTCTCATCGACCTCTCTTGCGAAGATCGGGAAGGGCTGACTTGCGTTGCTTGTGCGCACGCAGAATGCTACCTTCCCCCGTCGTTCCAGACATGGTTCTCCATCACCACCCTCCACGTCTGGCTCCTCTCCGTCCGATTCCGCTCCCTCCCCGCTCCCCTCGGCCGCGTCTACATCCAAGAACTCATCAACCAGATGTTCGTCGACGTCGAGAATCGCATTCGTGGGCCGTACAAAGTCACGCAGAACCGGCTCGTCAAGGGCTACATGAAGGACTTGCTGGAGCAGTACCATGGAGCGTGCGCGGCGTACGACGAGGGATTGATCCGTGGAGACCCGGTGCTGGCGGCGGCGATTTGGAGGAACGTGTTTGGTGCGGGATGGGGAGCGATGGGAGGCGTCAAGGGAAAGCGCGCGCCTGAACCTGGCGTCGCTCCCAAGCTCGGCCCGAACCCGCTCGCCGTCGAGGAGGACGCGGCGACGAAGGGTACGAAGACGAGCAGCGCATCAGCCACAACGTCGGCGAACGGTACAGCGTCTTCGCTCGAGGTCGATCCGATCCAGGCTTCGATCCTCAAGAAGAGCCAGTCGCCGTCCGACGTCTTCCAGACGGACGAACCTCTCGTCGACCCTCGACACGCCAAGTGGGCGCCTCTCTACCCCGAAGACCCCGACCTCGAGTTCCCGCAGAGCCTCGAGCAGTTTGTCGTGTTTATCAGGAAGGAGGTGCACCGACTGGAGCGGCTGCCGGACCAGGTCATCATGCAGGGTCAGCCGGAGCAGGGTGAGGGTATGACGGACTTCAACAGGCTGTAGAGGAGCCTATCGGACGCAACGTGCACAGGCATCTATCGCGATGAATCTCGACGCATGAGGTGAATCGGGTTGGATGCAGGAGGCCGTCTAAACGCGGGTGACAGGTACAACAGGAGAGACAGCTACAGGGTCGGTCACCTCGGAACAGCTCGAAGAGGACAATCTACGTCCGTTGCTGTAGAGGGCAAAGTGTCAGCTTGGCTGCCGCGGCGCGACTCAAACCTGCACGACTCAAAACTGCACTCACCTCGACGGGCTCTGCTACCGTCACAAACGGCGGCGTTGTTGGGAACATCTCTGCAGCCGCTTGAAGTTGCGGAGGAGACGGGTTGTGGTAGAAGCGAGTCGGATCCCAAGAGTCCGTCGACTTCTCCTCGACCACCTCGGATTCGCTGCGCAGGAAGCGGGAAGATTAGCTAGGGGCGCAGAGATGCTGGAGATCTCACGCACATGCGGATCTCGATCGGAATCGACTCGCTCCCACTGGACCTCGGCGCGGTCTTCCCTGACCTGAAGCTGTCGAGAGAACGGGTGCGGAAGAAACCGGGTCGAGCTGGCGATGGCGCTAGCAGACCGTTGCTCTTCATCTCGCTGAAGCCTCGGCCGGAGGAGCCGGGTCGCTCGACCGTAGGACGAGGCGAAGGAGGTGGGAGAGGAGAGATGTAGTCGTTCGCGGGCTTGCGTTGACGTGCAATGTCGCCGGCGACTGTCTTCCTGAGCTTGACTGGAATAAGTACGTGTCAGCGTGAGAGGTGCGAGCGAGAGCGAAGGACGAGGACGCACGCGAGGAAAGGAAGGAAATGGAGTAGAACCGGATCAGGACGAGTCCGAAAAAGACATGCCATGCCGAGGTCTTGTCGGCAACAAAGAGAATACCGGAGATCACGGCTGTGACGGCAGTCTGCACGGTTGCGGACGTCAGTGGGACCTGAGGAGGATTCGTGGGAGGACGAGGAGGACGCACGAGGGCATTGTTGGCTATTGTGAGCCGGATGATGTTCCCGACGATGCTGTTGGTCTGCTTGAAGTCACTCCTAACTCGACCAAGGAAGTAGGCTGTGTCACGAAAGTGCACGTCAGCTTTGCTTCCGAGCCAACGGGGTAAGAAGGCGGAAGACCGCTTACATAGTCCAGCGGTGATAATGACATCTGCCGCAGCTCTACAAACGAGTCCGAGGCGATGTCAGTGCTGCCGCAAACGCGCCGGCATAAGAGCGTGACGAACAGGATGAAGAGCCAGGCGCCGACCGCCCAGTCGAGTTTCTGGTGAAGCTGAGGCCATGGCGTGACCTGAAGCGCTATGACGCTGAGATAAACGCCAAGAGCTGTGGGCATGCAAGATGCACGAGGTCAGCAGGCAGGACGGCATGACGGAAGGGCCAGGACTTACCCAACTGGACGAGCGTGAGGAGTACGATCGAGGTGGGCAAGTACACCGACCGCTTTGACACAAGGTATACCCGCCAAGCATAGTGCAGCTGGACGGTGCCCGCGACGATGGACGTTTGAAGCGGGTCAACTGCGGATGCGGCAGGGTCAGCAAGTTTCGCCGACGACTCTGGATTTAGGCTGCTCGTCCTGTAACGCACGAGCGAAGGACCACACGCAGTTTGCGATGAACGATGGCTGCCCGTATCCCTTGATGGCGTAGAACCAGACGGTATAGATCGAGCAGGCGCCATGGGCCAGACCGACGGCGAAGACGGCTGCGACCTGTGTCCAACGGTCCCGTGAGCATTCCTCGTGGCAGTCGCTTCACGCGGCCTGAGGGATGAGGGCGAACGCACAGCAGTTTTGATGAACAGGCGGTCTTGCGGGAACAGGCGATAGTAGTCGAAGACTTGCTGCCAGTGAATGCCGAAGCTGCGGGCCGGAAGTGCTTAGCATTGACATTGTCGAGCACCTTGAACGTGCTTGAACGTACAGGAAGAGCTGGAAGAGGGTGCCCAGGTAAAATGGGCCAATGTTGGCCTCTACAACTGTTGGCATGGCAAGGCGCCTTCGTCGGCGAGTGAGAGACCCGCAGCACCGGAAGAAACAGCTGTGGATGCTCCCCTGAGCGCAGTAGCAGGATGCGTCGTTGGGAGAGGTAGACAAGCGAGAGAGAGAGAGAGAGAGGAGGAGGCTGTCGAGGCGGCGACCAGGGAGCCTTCAGGCGATCACTTCGCGAGCAGGGCGGACTCTCGTCGACGGCATTTGGAGCTGCACAGCTTATGAAGCCGCAGGGGAAGCCCGCTCGCCGCTAAGGAAAGTAACTTAGAGACGAGCGAGGAGAGCGACTCCCGCCTTAGGAAGGTCAGCGGTCGGTCCAGCCAGTCGGCGGACAAGGTCAGCCTTGCTCGGCGAGCGTGACAGGGCGCGGGCGCACAGGTTATTGCATCCTGGGATCAGCAGCGCGTCGAAGGGGCGCGATCGACGGGACGAGCGTCGCAGACAAGCGAGCCACGAGCAGCGGTAGTGGTTGTCGAATCAAGGCATTCCCCTCCTCGCTATCTCTGCCGCCAAGCTTGTCCCGTCGTCCCTGCTGCTCCTTCTATCGCCAGTGAGGATTCAGAGCGAACGGCACAGCGACTTGAGCAGGTCCAGGGACAGTTGCGACCGTCCAGCCCCGCTGTAAGCGTCCCGTCTTCGAGATGCCTTTCATCTATTCCACCCGCCTGCTGGAAGCCCTGGACAGAGTCGCGAGCTCCTGGTCGCCGCCAGCCGAGCAGTACGTATGAAGGCGGGCAAGAGGGCGACCGGGGGAGCAAGACGACCGTTGGTTCAGGCGCGATGTGTTGAGGCGATTGCGGGTTCGCGCATTCCATCCGCCAAGCCGTGCGAGTGGGCCTGCCCGTCTGCCTGGTTGTGGACCCAGCGGGAGGTGCGGAAGGCGCGGGAGATGGGGATGGAGTGGGAGCTGATGAGAATCGGGCGGCGGCGACGGGCGCAGGGCGGGCGGTTGCAAGGCGTGCTGATCGTGCAGACGTTGCTACGAGCGTGCGGGCGACAGAAGCAGCCATCTCGAGCGAGTTGGCGAGGTGAGAGCGAGCAGTCGAGGTGAGAGAGCGGAAGTCGACGACAAGCTCTCTCTTCTCTCGTTCAAAGGACCCTCCCGAGCCACAGTGGAGTTTACAGAACGAGGTTGCACTGTCGCTCAGGCGCCGATGCGCTCGAGACGGCGGAGGTTGTCCTCGAGCGGGCCGTGGGGCTTGACGAACTGGACGTAGGCGCCGTCGGGCTGCGCGATCGAGCGCTTCTCGAGGTACTCCTCGCGCGAGAGGTTGGTGGTGAAGCCCCACTTCTTCGAGATGATGATCTTTTGGCGACCGGGGAACTGCGAGCGCGAGAAGGAACGCGGTCAGCGAAGGGCTCGAGGCGGCGGGAAGGAAGGGGCTAGGGCTCGCTGGGGTTAAGCTGAGGGAAGAGGGGCGCACCTATGGACATGTACATGCGAAGAAACAAAGGCTTGCGAAAAATGACGGCCTGTCGAACGATTTCTGTTGGTACAACAGTCATGGCTCTGCGCCGGTTAAGCAGCGGGTCAGAGACACTTCTCAAGCTTGAGAGTCACTGCGAAGACTCACCCTGCTCTACTGAGCTGGTTCAAACGCGATGCTGTGAGCGAGAGGCAAGGTCAGTCTCGTGGACAGACCCCCCTGGTCGCTCCCCTTCACGCACCTCGGCAGAACGATCGCTAGTCGTGAAGGGCGGCGTGGGAGAGACGATTTCCGGCTCGTACTGAGAGGACAGCGCGCTCGATGTCGGGTTGAAGTACTGAGGCTCCCACGAGTCCGTTCCCTTCTCCGAGACGATTTCGGTGGCGCTGCGATGGGACACAGCGTCAACAAAGGGCCAAAGTTTGTGGGGGAAGCACGCACACGCGGATCTTGATTGGCACGCCGCCGTTGTTCGCAACGAGTTCCTCCGCAGGCGCCAGCTTGGCGGAGTCGAGGCTGTCGAGCGAGCGCGTGCGCGGGAACCGCATCTTGTTCCTCAACTCGTAGGACTCCGGACCACTACCAGGCGGGCTGTTTACGGGACCGGACAAAGCGGCCTTCGGCGGAGGCGAGACGTAGTCCTTCGTTGGGTCGCTGCCCCGCGCGATCTCGCTTGCGATTGTCTTCCGTGACTTGACTGGGTGTTGAATCCCGTCAGCGCGAAGAGGCACATGATAGCTGCGAGATCCGTACGCACGGGAGGAGAGGAAGGAGATCGCGTAGCTGTGGATGATGGTCAGGCTGAAGAAGACATGGTACGCCGCTTGGTTGTCGGCGACGAAGAGGCTGCCTGAGCAGACTGCTGTGACGGCCGTCTGCGCAATAGCGGCAGAGGTCAGGTACAGCGTGGGCCTGAGGGTTGAGGCGATTACTCACGATGGCGTTGTTGGCGACTGTCAAGCGAATAATGCGCCCGATGATACTGTTGGTGCGTCCGAAGTCACTCTTGACTTGACGGAGATAGTAGGCTGGGGGAAGGGGGAGATCAAGTTCAGTTTCGGTTGCCGGACTAGATGATCCGTAGCCGGCGTACTCAATGCGGATGTGATGAGGATGTCTGCCGCTGCCCTGCAATACGAAGCGCGTCAGCTGCCCTGAACGGCGCTCGTAGGGGAGAAGATCTGGACTGACATCAAGAAGAGGCAGCTGCCGACCGCCCAGTCGAGTCGCCGGTGCACTTCCGACTAAGGACGGATGGTGACGGCGACGGAGGTGGTGTAGAGACCGAGGGCTGCGGAGTTAGAGAGGCGTAATCAGCGAAAGTCGGATCAGGAACTCAGAAAGCAGCTGGGACTGACCGAATTGAGCGAGCGTGAGGAGGGAGATTAACGCTGATAGGTAGATCGACCGCTTCGAGACGAGGTATACTCGCCAGGCGTAGTGAAGCTGTACGATCGCAGCGACGATGGCGGTTTGGAGAGGGTTGACTGCGGGAAAATGCCTGTGTCAGCACGACTCGCTCGTAGCGCGGTCGCTGTTCCGTACGCATGTGCGAATGACCAGACGCAGTCGGCGATGTACGATGGCTGGCCATAGCCTGCAATCGCGTAGAACCAAACGGTGTAGATTGAGCAGGAAATGTGGAAGGAGCCGACGACGAAGACGGCTGCGACCTGTGTCAAGCAGTACCGTGAGTGCTCCGTCTTGTATCACCCGAGACGACACAAGTCGAAGGAGGACGTACGGCGGCCTTGATCGCCAAGCGGTCCGTCGGGAACAGTCGGTAGTAATCGAAGACTTGCTGCCAGTGTATGCCGAAGCTGCGCGTGCCAACTCGTCAGTAAGGACGTCTCTGCGCGCTGGAGAATCGAGTTGGCGCACAGGAAGAGCTGGAAGAGCGTGCCCAGGTAGAACGGTCCCAAGGCGGCCTCGGCGCTGGACATGGTCGACGGCAATCGTGAAGGTGGCTTCCAACAGCAGTGTCGAAACAGACAAGCGTCTACGCTCGAGGATAGCGCTCCCGAGCACAAGGAGGCTGAGGAAGAGAGGACCGCCAGTGCGGAGTCTGTCGAGCGCAAACGCGGAGAACAATGGGCGACCAAGCGTGCACGGATCCACAGAAGGACGGGGTCCAGGCGACGCCATGTGGAAGCGAGGAGTCGCGGAGCACGAACTAAAGCCGGCCGGTAACTAGCGCTGCGGAGTCCGCGGAACAGCGAGAAGACTTGATGCGGAAGGTGAAGGGCGGCGGTGGACTTGCAGACGGTGTAGACGCCAGCCAGTGGCGAAAGCGAGATGCGTGGCCATATTGCAACAAGTGAAGAACGACGATATGCGAAGGGTGGGAGACTGCGGCGGAGATAGCGATGGGACGGGGCGAGTGTAGCGCACGACGTCTATCGCTCCTCCTGCACTTTGACGCCAGGAGGGAGGTTGCTCGACTGTCCCGCGCCAAACCACGTCTCCTTCTTGAGCCTCCACCATTCCGACACGCGCTCCTGTACGGCTCCAAAGTCGTCGACCGCTGGCCGAACGTCGAGCGAGAAGACTGGGTTGCCGTCTTCGTCGTTCGGCAGGTGGTAGTAGTCGATAACGTCTGCGTAATGACATAATTAGTACGACGAGCGAGCTGGGACTGCGAAAGGCGACGCACAGCGATGAGCGGTGAAGGGCATCGTCGGTCCACCCGACATGTACGAGGATCCGCCCGAGCCCGCCGGTACTGGTCTGTGGATTGTCCAGTCGTGTCGGTCGAATGGTCGGATGCCGCTGCAGGCGAAAACGAGATCAGGACGAGACCGACGATGGAAGCGCGAGAAAGCGAAACGCACGCATAGTAGTTCGGGAACAGCTTAGCCATCATGAGGTGGTAGCGAGCCTTTGGTGACAGCTCTTGCGGGCGTCCTTGGAAGCTAGCAAGCATCGAGCGTTCGCCTCTGTGCACAACAGCCAAGTCAGCGGCACACCTTCGGACGAGGAAAGCGGACGCAACGAACCCAGGGTGCTTCTCCTCCCACCGCCTGACCTGCGCCCACGCCTCCTCGTTGATCCAGTTGTGGATATTGACCATCATCTCGACGCTCTCCTCGGGCGTCTCCCAACCCTTGCGAACGAGCGCGTTGTAGAACTGCTGCGGACTCGGGTACTCCCACTGGTCCGTCTTGGCCTGCTGCGTCGCCTGCGTGCCTGCTGTCGTCGGTCCCGCCGAGCTTGACGCAACCGGACAAGCCGATGCCGACGAAGTCGAAGAGGGAGCGCGAGGAATCGACGAGATGGTGCGCTCGAGCGGGAGGTACTGCTTTTGTCCGGGCGAGGGTGCCTGTGCGAGGTCTGGCATGTTGTTCAGTGCGTTCACAGTCCCCATCGGTGCGTGTTGCGCCACTGCGCCGTCCGGAGTGTGCATCGGACAGCCAGGAGGCGGCGAGGGTGGCTGCTGGTGCATGGGGCAGCCGGGCGGCGGTGCAGCGGGCTCTTTGAACGTCGACGGAGCGTTTCCCATCGTCAGCAAGGCAGCACGAGCGAGTGTGAGTGGACGGTAAGCGATGACAAGTCGTGCCAGCTCTTTCTGATCCCGCCAAACTCCGAAGTCGCGCTCACACTCGCTTGCAGGGCTCGTTTCTGCTAGTCTACATTGCTACACTCTGCTGGATTCCGCGTGACCCAACACCGAACTTCCCGGACGACGACGCCCGATTCCTCTCTTCGCTCGGTCACCTTCACTCGACACTCGCTTGAACCGCTGAAGTAGGCGAGATGGGGTGGGCATCGGTGCTGGCAGGAGTAGGGATGGCCGTCGGACCGCCCCTGGCGTACGGGGACCAAGTTCGCTCGTCCAGTTCGCCTCCTGCCGGGTCCCTTCGCTCACCTAGGCCCCTCAACTTGCTCAGTACTGGTCGATCAACAAGAAGCACGACAGTCGAGGCTTCTCTATCGACGTCTGTGCGATCCTGATCATCGCAAACCTCACGAGGCTCGTCTACTGGCTCGGCAAGTTGCGCTTCTCTCGCTCTGTCGACCTGTTCTGACTCATTGTCTGACTCGTTCGGCCTGTTCGTTTGCCTGCCCGCACTCACAGGCGATCACTACCAAACGTACCTCCTAGTCCAGTCCATCCTCATGGTCGTCGCCCAGTTCGGCCTCCTTTACGTCTGCCTCAAGTACCGACCGCGCGACTGGGACGAGACGCGGCCGTACCGCATCGCCAACTTCTGGCAGTGGCCGAACTTTGGAGCCTACCTCGAGTTCTCGGCTATCCTCGTCGTCGCTCATTCGGTCCTCTTCCTCCTGCTCCATCGCTTCGACTTCTACGTCCAGCTGCTCGGCTTGATCGCGCTAGGTCTGGAGGCTACAGTGAGTCCCGCTTCTCCTTCCATACTGACAAGCGTCTTGCTGACTTGCTGACGTGACCTGTGATAGCTCCCCATCCCGCAAGTCCTCGCCAACTACCACGCCAAATCGACCGCCGGATTCCGTCCTTCAGTCCTCGCAGGCTGGTGCGGCGGCGACGCCTTCAAGCTCGTCTACTTCTTCGTCACGCCGAACCCGTGGCAATTCAGGGCGTGCGCGGCGTTCCAGTTCGGCGTGAGTGCGCGCTCTCCACCTTGAGCTGTGTCGCAAGCTGAAGTTGACGCGTCTCGCAGGTCGACATCGTCCTCTGCGTCCAGACGTTCCTGTTCCGCCACAAGACCGCCGCCGACCTTCGCGAGCGAGCCGAGTTGCGCGATACAGCCGGAGTAGCAGGCGCCGAGGCGCTGCTAGAATCGCAAGGGGACAGGCATGAGGAGGAGGACGAGAGTGAGGACGAGGAGCGGAGAGCGGGAGGGTATGGCAGGGAGGGTAGGAAGTAGAGTTTGTAAAGCAGTGCATTGTAAGACTATCATGCGCTCTCCAATGGCTGCTCTCACCGCAACGACCTGGACGAGTAGACGAGAGAGTGCAGTAACGTCCGTGGGCTAGGAGTAACACAGCTACAAGGCGACTAGAAGTCGGGAAGAACAGGAAACGAAAGCGCAGGGTAACGTAAAGAAAGACGGGCGAGCGAGCGGGATAGAGTAGCGATATCGTTGTGAGGCAGGTGGGGGGGGTATCGAAATGGGTATACGATGATGCGAGGAATGGCGGGAGAGAGCGAGGGATCAGATGAAGAGTGCGGCGGCGACGGACGGGTCGGGGTGTTCGAGGCTGTCAGGCGGCGGGAAGAGCGTACTGTTCCGTCGACCCTTCTTCGGCTGCGAGCGGTCGTTCGAAGCTGGCGCCGCAGCCTCGGCCTCCTTCGCCTTGCCCTTCCCTTTGCCCTTGTGCCGCGTCGAGGAGACGACCTCGTCTTCGGCAGCAGACGAACCCGCTTCCTGCGTCTCGCCGTCGTCGCCTTCCAAGTCGCTGCCGTTCGTGCCGGACCCGCTGCCGGTCAAGCTGACGCGACTGGGTCCAGTATCAGCGAGGTTGCTCGGCTGATGCGGCCTCGACGAGCCGAAGAACGACGCGGCGGCCGAGGTGAGACCGAAGCGGGCGGACGAGTCTGCGAGAGTCGAGAGGAAAGTGTTGTTCGGCGGCGTGGCTGCCGAGGCGAGCGAGGCGTACAAGTCGTCTGCAGCGGGAGGGGAGAGGCGAGAGGCAGGAATGGCGGCGGGCTTGACGGTCGACTGCGAAGGCGTGTCTTGCTGAGGCGCCGAATCCTCCTCGACCGAACCCTCTTGACTTTCCTCCGGCTCACTCGAAGGCTCCTCCGCCCCGCCCTCCGCATCCGCAAAGACATCTCGCTCGCCCTCTTCCTCCTCGTTGTGCGACTCGGCAGCAGGCGCGATCGAAGCAGGCCGGCTCCGAGCCCTCGCTTCGCCTGCCGCGAAAGTCTGCGCGAGCGCCTGCGCGCTACTCCTCCGACTCGCGCTCGGCCGCGCACCGATGCCGCTGCGGATCGAGCCAGGTCGCGAGACGGGCTCTTCGGCTTCTGCGACGGCTGCCATGGGTGGCGAACGGCCTGCGAGACCGAGTGCGCTGCCTTCGAGCGACATCGGCTCGTCCGTCAACGGTCCGCCCGTCTCTGTCTCGGCAGACGTGTCGGCCGCCGTTGTGGGCGCAGGAGGGGCAGGCGCAGGCGTCGGTTCGGGAAGGTCGATCTCGACGTCCGCTTCGAGGTCGGCGTACGTCCTACAGAGCGGACAGCAGAAGCCGGGGTAGTTCTGCTCGATGAGCGGGCGGATGCACTTAAAGTGCGTGACGTGCGAGCAGGGGGCGATGAAGAGTGCTTGGGCGACTGTGACGCCGTAGAGACAGATGCAGCAGTCCGAAATGGACGACATCGCTGCGTTGTTGTCGGCGGAAGGAGTGGCGGCGGCAGGCGTCGGCGTGGAAGCCTTCGCTACGTCGCCTGTCGAAGTCGATGCGGCGGCTGCGGTTTCTGGGGTCGCCGAGGTGCCAGGTGCGCTGGCGGGAGTGCCGGACGAGGACGCAGAGGGGTCCGGGATGCCGCCGAGCGCGCGCAGCTGGGCGAGCGCGGCGGTGCTGTAGGGCGGGAAAAGGGTGAGCCCGCGAACGTCAATCGACGGAGGGCGAGGAAACGTACTTGAAGCTGTTGGCCTGCCGCTGCCATCCCCTGTTCAACTCGACGCGCATTTTGACGCAGCGGTAGATCTCTTCCGTTCCGCCCTGGTAGTCCACCCCGAGCTGCAACACATCCCCATCCTTGAGCTGCGACGCACGACTCTCGATATTCGGTCCCGACAGGCGAATGTGATTGAGGAACGTCCCGGACGACGACTTTGTATCGCGAATGAAGAACTTTCCCTGGTCGTCGACCCAAATTTCGGCATGGCCGCGCGAGACGACTTTCGACTTGAACGCGATCCGGGCAGGTTCTTGCGGCGTCCCGCGCGCGGCGTTCGTGTTTGACGAGCTTGAGCCGCCGTGGTGGCTGTGGCGATCGGTGAAGCGCCCGACGCGGATGATGGCGAAGGGGGCGAGGTCGCGCTCGATCGGCTCAAAGTGGAGCGAGCGGGACGACTCGAGGTGCGGGACGAGACGAATCTTCTGCACCTGCGTCGAGTCGGTCGCGGACAAGTCGGGCGCAGTGCCCGCACGCGAAAGGGTGGACGAGCCCGGATTTGGCGGGTTCGGGAGCGAAGTCGTCGCGGCGAGAGGGGAAAAGGCGGGAGGTTGCTGCTGCTGCTGCTGCGAAGCGGACGTGCTGGCCTCCGCGTTGCCGGATCCCGTCCTCGACTCTCCGCTGCTCGTGCCTACAGCCGCCTCTCCTCCTGCAGGCGGAACAATCCCGAGAGCCGGCACGGGCGGTTGCGACGAGCTCCTCCTCTGCCTCGACCTCGCTCCGTCATTCGCGTTATTACTCGACGTGCGCTTCGAGAGCGTCCGACGGAGCGCAGGGAAGCCGTACCCGCTCGAAGGGCGTTCTCCGCCGGGCGAAGGCGGGAGTTCCGTAGCGGGTGATGCGCTCGGGCTGCCGCGTGCGTTGGGGCTGCGCTGCGCAGACGAGGTCGTCCATCCGCGCGGGCGGCGCTGGATGAATCCGAGCGAGAGACCGAAGCGGTTCGACGAGGAGGACGAAGGGGATCCCGGCGGGAGGGCGCCCGTGCCACCGCCTGGCGAGGGGAGGGGGACGCTTGACGAGGCTGGAGAGCGGGTGTAGGAGGACGAGAGGGCTGGTTGGGAGGCTGTCGGAGGCGTGCCGGCTGGACTTGCGTTGGACGAGGACGAGGCGGATGCGGAAGACTGGAGGTGGCGTGGGAGGATGTCGACGGCCGTAGGGGGAGACATGGCGGTACTGTCTGTGCCTAGGGAGTACAGGCAAAGCCTTCCCTGTCCTGCTCAGCGCGGGATGAGGCTGTTTGGCGGTGAGAGTGTCGCTGTATGCGGGGGTAGTCGGTCGGTGCGAGACGATCGCACTCGAGCGGCGGGTCTACGGGCGAAGTGAGACGGTTAGCATGCGTCGTGTGACCCTCGCCAGTTATCCTCGAGCGCACCTCGTCGTGTTGCTGTCGCGCGAGCGAGTTGATGGCGCGGGTCACGGGCGAAAGCGATCAAAGGGGAGCGGCGCAAGAGCAAGGGCTGGCGGTCGTTGAAGCGTGTAGCCTGCGTCTGAACAGCGTGCAAGCACAGCAGAACAAGCAGCAGAAACGAGCTCGAGTGTCGAAAGTCGACGAGCGAGGCGCAAGTCTTCCCGGGGCCTCGACTTCGCACTCGCACGGGGCCTCGTCTCGTCTTTGCACGCCCGCACACTCGCCAAAAGCACTGCCTGGCACGCTGTTGACGACGACGACATCCACGTTGCAATGCGAGGGAAACGAGCAGGCGAACGACGTCCGCCTGAGACGCAAGCCCACCCGACAATCATCGCCTGCGTCCGCGACGACGAGAGTGTCAGTCAAGCTGCGAGGAAGGGGATAGAGACTGGGACGCACAGCTTCTTGCTCTCGAAGAAGAGGCGCAGATGCCGCAGCTGCCAGAAGCATGTGCCCGCGAGGACGGCAAGCTGGAACACGCTCCACCAGACCGCGCGCGAGTTGGTCCGCTCGCTCAACACGCGGAACTCGGCCTCGCGCTCGCGCTGGAACTGCTGTTCGCGGCGAATGTCGGCGAGGCGGTGGTTCAAGTCGCGCACCTTCTCGGCGAGGTCCTTGACGTGCGCCCGCTCGCCCTCCTCGTCGACTTTCGCCTCGCCGACCGCAATGTCGAGGTGCATCCGCACCTGCGTTGTCGAGAACCACCCGCCCGTGTAGTTGCTCTTGAGGCAGATCGTGTGGTCGCCCGCCTCGTGCGACGTGAACGTGAACTTGCCCTCGGGCAGTCCGCGCGTGTTGACCACCTTTTCGCCCGACTCGACCTCCTGTGCGTGAAGAGAGGGAATCGATTAACTGTCGGCAACTTGGTAGCCCAGGTAAGATGCGAGAGATCCGGCTCAGAGGACGCACCGCAACGACGATCTGGATGCCCAGCTGGTCATTCGTGATCCAGCTCTTCGACGACTCCTGCCATTCCTCTCCCTTGTAGTGCCCTGCAAACGTCCATGTCAGTGAGCTAAGGCTCTGCGAAGAGCTTCCCTCCCATCTCGAAGTTAGGGGAGAAAGCGAACGCATGCGCCAACTCACCCACAACAATCGTATCCTTCGGCAATTCCTCAATGAAGCACCGGTTCTCCCCTGCTCCGAGGTAGAAGTACAGTGCTGTACAGGAGTGGGCGAGGGCGAGGAGGGAGCCGAGGAGGAGGGGCAGCCGCATGGTGTATCGTGGGACAGAGAGGGGAGAGTGAGAGGGTCGATGGGCGGAACCGAAACGCTCGGAAATGGGTTGCTGGTGGAAGAAAGCGGCAGGAGCTTGTGGTGAAGGGGGGAGGTAAGGGATGTCGAGGGAGAGATGAGCGAATTGACGGTGTCTGCGGATCTTAAAAGCGTAAGCGCGTTTACAAGACCGTTTCCGTACCTCTGTCTCCGCAATACACGCGCCCACCAGCCCGCCCAGCCGCTGCGAGCGCATTGACGAGCCGGAGACGTGACCCGAGAGTGGAGAACAAGAGGGTAGACGCACCCTTCGCACGCTGGACGAGCGAGGCGGTTCAGACAGCAGCACGCGTACCCAGCTAGCAGTACACGAAGCGAGCAGCCACAAGTGCGAGGAGCGGCGAGGTGGACGAGGACGAACGTCTCTCGCTCGAACCGTCCGCATGAACTCGCTCTCGCCTGAGTTGGTGGCTAGCTGGACAGCGTGCGCTACTCTGCTGAGTCTTGGGTTCGTGCTACACGCTGACACGCCCGCTCCCATGCTGCGACGATAGCGAACAGCGGCGCCAGGCTTCGCTGGCGGTGTTTGAAGACTCGAGCGACCTCTCCTTCGCCGTTCCTGCTTGTCCCGCTCGTGCTCTGCCATCTTTGCACCCTGAAGCTCCGCCCGTCTACCGCGAGGAACTCAACGAGCTGAGTTTCGAGGGACTCGAGGTCGTCGCCGGGCTGGACATCTCCTTTCGAGACGGCAGCGGGGACGAAGGGATCGCCGTTCTCGCCGTGCTTTCCTTCCCCTCTCTCAAGGTGCGTCTCCTCTGTCCTCCTCAACCCAACCACCCTGACCCGTTCCACAGCCCCACCGCACCCTCTCCCGCCGCGTCTCGCTCTCGTCAACCCCTTACATCCACTCCTACCTCTCCTTCCGCGAATCCGATATCTATATCGCGCTTCTCGACGAGTTGCGCGCGACGGGCGGCCCGGAGGTGCAGGTACTGTTTGTGGATGGGAATGGGAGGTGGCATCCCAGGCAGGCGGGGAGTGCGGTTGCGGTGGGTGTCAAGAGTGGGTTGCCGACAGTTGGAATTGGTGAGTTCAGGCTCTCTTTCTCTGCTTGTACCAGGACTGACAAGTGCGGACTCGCAGCGAAGGAATACCACCCGCTACACGCCTCAGCCTCAGAAACGCCCGCAAATCCCGCCAACGACAACTCTTCCCGGCCGGCTGAATTCCCCTCCGACTACCTCTCCTCTCAGAAGAGCATGCGAAAAGCGTGTCATGCGCTGTTTCAACACCGAGGTGATTGGACTGGCCTGCGTCCGCCCGAACCAGGCGGAGATGCGACTCCCCGTCCTTCCGCCAACTCCAGCGCCTCATCACGGCGAGAAGACGATTACTGGGGTGCCGTACGTTCTCCCTACACTCCTCAGCTCCCTCAGCGCCGCTAACCGCTTCACAAACAGGCCCTCCTCTCCTCCCCCTCCCGCTCCGCCCGCAACCCAATCTTCGTCTCCCCCGGCCACCGCCTCTCGCTACAGACATGCGTCAAGCTCGCGCTTGCGTGTACGGGGGAAGGGAAGGTGCCGGAGCCGGTGAGGCAGGCGGATTTGGTTGGTGCGTTTGCGAGTTGTCGCTGGGCCCTCCTGCGCTCTTGATGAACCACAGTCTTGCATGCCAAGCTTGCTGCTGACTGAATCTTGTGTGCAGGACGTGAGCTGGTCAGGCAGACGTGGCCGAAGCAGACCGCACAGAAGGAGGGAAGGCCATGAGTTTGGGGAGGAAGCACTTGGCGATGGTCCTGGCAAAGGCCTGTACAGATCCAGCGGTATGTTGTTGTACTATGTCTGTCACTAAGGCCAGGGGGCTCTCGCAGCTTTCGCGGGAGACTTGACAAGGACTGAAGCAGGAGACGAGGAGAGCGCTCAAGAGCGCTGCAGGTCGGACAGCTTCCGTGCGCCGGCACCGATAGCTGCGGGAGTGGAAGAGAACTGCTCGAGTAGCAAAAGAGAGGGAAAGCAGGAGGGGGCAGCAAAAAGATCGCGAAGGGTAATCTAAAGATTCGTTCAGCCCGCGTGGTGTGGTGGAAACACGGAACCGCTAAGTAAAAGGCGTAGTGGTTATTCGTAAATGTTACCACCACGCGAGCGACTGGAAGAGAGCCCCCAAGAAAAGGGGTATTGACACATGTGGGTTTTGTAAGCTGCGTGAGCAAAAGGTGGTTGCTGCTTGTTCAGGACGTACAGGCGAAGCTATCGACCGTTCGTAGCATCTGAGGATCTCGAACAGCCAGTAAAACCCTGTCCTGCAGGCTTGTCGCCGGACTTGTGCGAGGGAGACGAGCGACCTCCGCCTGCGACGACCTGCTCCCTGCGCAAATTGACATCTCGCTTGCTCACCCTGAAGCTGCTGCGCACCCGGTGCTACTACGATTCAGAACTAGAAGACTCTCGCGCCGCCCCCGCCCCCACCGTCGCTTTGACCCCCCTCGCGCCCGTCGACCAACATCCCATCTCGCGCGCACCATGTCCCGCACCGCACGACAGTCGATGTACCCGACACCACCAGGAGCCTCACACTGGGCCGCACTCGACGCCTGCTCGGCCGCGCTCCAAGCGAGCTGCTCGAATGTGTGTTTCCCCTCCCCCGCGCGTATTGACGCGAAGCGATGAAGCGAATGTTGACCTCGTTCGTGCGGGTTGGACGCAGCTGGAGAGCGCGGTGGGCATCTTGCACCAGGGAACGATGGATCTGCCGCGGTTGGCGGGCATCGTGCAGAGCCGGCGGGTCTGTCCCGCTTTCTTCTCCTCAAGGCCCGTCTCAAGTCGCTGACCTCGCCTTCGCTGAGCAGATGTTCGACCTCGTCACGGAGATAGAAGTCTTTGCGGCGCAACGAGCGCTGGCGAACGAGATGGCGCCGCAGATTGACGAGCTGATTCGGAGGGCGGAAGACGGTCTCGAGGGATTGAAGCAGAAGGAGCGGACATTGCGGGCAAAGGTGCGTCCGCCATGCTCTCAAGCTCCTAACTCATTGTCAGTCACTCACGAGCGACCGACTTTCCCTCCCTCGTCGACATCCGCTCCAACAGGTCGAGAAACGCCAATCCGCCGCCTCTCGCTCCCAAACACCCATCACCGTCGACCAAAGCGAGCTCGACACACTCGAGCAAAAGCTTGCCTCGCTCCAGCAGAAGAAGAACCGGCTAGGGAGGGAAGTCGAGGCGCTGGACGAGCGGGCTGCGAAGGCGAAAAGTGCGAGGGCGAGGCCGGGTGCGGCAACGGCGGGGCGAGGGGTGAAGCGGTGATGCTGGGTGTTATGTGTGTCGGGTCTCGTCTGTGTTGTGTCTCGCTAGCGTGTTGTAAGCCAGTCCTCCGTCTCCAAGCCGTTGCCTCCCGTCCCGCTTCTCCTTGTTCTGCTTCGTTCGAGGTTCTCCTGTCCACGAGGGACCTTCAGTACGACGCAGCAGGCATTCTATGCAGTAAAAACGTCGGAGCCGACCCTCGTCGACCCTCTCTTCTCTCTTGACCTTCCCCACCTCCTTCACTCGCCACGATGTCTCTCGCCACGGATGCAGACGCCCTCTCCAGCTTGCCCGTCGACCTCCTCACCGACTCGCTCCTCCCCGCCTTTCCAGCCCACGACCTCGTCTCCCTTGCGCGCACCTGCCGACGCTGGCTCGCGTTCATCACCTCCGAAGGCGGACCATGCGAGATCCTCTGGCAGCGCAAGGCCGTGAAGGAGATGCACTTCCCGGCAGTCACGAGCGGGCGCAGGTCGGGCTGGTACAGGCTCTACGCGAGGTTAGCCTCCTCGTCGGCTTACCTGTGGGGCGTGAGTTCTGGCGCTCTCTCACACGCTCGAACGAAGCTGACGAGACTCTCGACACTCGCAGCAAACGAGCAACGGACGACTAGGACTGCCGACGCAGCAATGGGAAATCGCGCGCATCTCGTCCCTCCGCACCCGTATCGTCCGCGACGCCCTCACCCTCCCAACACGCATCGCTCTCCCCTCTCCACCCGTCTCGCTCGCGGCAGGAGGATGGTCCTTCCACGCTCTGACGGCGGACGGACAGGTGGTCAGTTGGGGACAGATGTCGGGCTTGGGGATCCAGTCGGAGGATGCGCGGCTTAGTGCGCCGAGTAGGGTGCTTAAACCGACTGTGCTGCCGCACATGAGGCACGTTGGACCGGTCAAGCAGATCGAGGCGGGGAGGGGACATGTCGTGATGCTTGCGGAGGACGGAAAGGTTTGGGAGATGTGGACGTTTGGGAGGGTCTTTGAGGTGCGCGACGAGGCGGGTCGGTGGGGTACGGTCAGCGAGGCAGGAGACGTCGGACGGCAGGTAGCACAAGTAGAAGCAGGATGGGTGAGCTGACCGGTTGTGCATCCCGCTCGAAAAGCTCGCTAACTCGGCTCGCTACGCAGGACCACTCGGCCGTCCTCACAGACACCGGCGACGTCTTCATCTGGTGGCAGCCAGCTCCTGATGTCCTGTCGCAAGCCGCCGCAGAAGCAGGCGAAGGGTCGCTCCAGTCGCCCGCGACCGAAGGAGTCGCCTTTCCCCTCTCGCTCGACACGCTCAAAGCGCCACCTCTGCCGTCCACAGCGCGCTCGACGAGCGAGAAGCTCACGCTTATCGCTTGCGGCGAAGACTTCGTCATTGGCTTGTCCAACCTCTCGAACGTCTACTTTCTCGACATCTCGCCCGTCCCGCCGCCTCGCAACCCGAATCCCGCCAATGACGAAGCCGACGATGCACAAGCAGGCCGAGCTCGTCTCGAACAAGCCTTTCTCCGGGGCGACAGGAGCTGGCGGTTGATGCGCAGGTTCTGCGACGTCGACGAGCTGTCGAAGCTGGAGGGGTTTGGGACGAACGGTGTTGCACCTGGGACGCACATCACGCATGTCTCGGCGCACTTCCGCTCGTTCGCTGCCTGTGGGTCGCACACCGGGGCCAGGCAAGCGTGCTGCTGACAATCCGTCTTCGCAGACTCGGTCCCGTCGTCCGCAAGCCCAGAAGGCTCGATCGTCCTCCTCGGCACGAAAGACTGGACAGAAGCAACCGAACCCGAAGTGATTCCGGAATTGCAGAACATCGGCGTCATCAAGTATGTCCAGCTGGTTCCGCTTCGCCCCCTCGTCCTCTCACGTGCTGATTTCCCTACCCTCGCGCAGGGTCGCGCATGGCGATTACCACCACTTGGCGCTGACATCGAACGGTACGTAGCGTAACGTGCTGCATCGGTCGCGAAACTCGAGCTGACGCCGCCTGCTGTCCACGCAGGACGCCTCTTCTCGTGGGGAGCGTACTCGGCGGGCGCTCTCGGTCTCGGACACCCGCAGCTGGCCCACACGCCACTCTCGCTGCCTCCCACCGGACCTGAGACGCCCGACCCTCAACCCGACGTCGAAGACCGTCTCCGCCCTCACCCCATGCCGCGCATCATCCGAGACGACCAGTTTAACCGAACGCGAGGCGGGTTCCATGGGATCCGCGTACCCACGCCCGCTGCTCGACCTGCTCAGCCACCCGAGCGCATCGAGAAGCCCACTCGGATCCGTTTCGCTGGCGAGGAGCAAGAGGGGGACGATGACTCGAACCAGCCTCGTTCGAGCGGCAAGTTTGTCTATGCCGTCACTGCGTCAGGCTGGCACAGCGGTTGTCTCGCCGTCGAGCTAGCAACGACATCGGCTAGTGCAGAAGGCGACTCTGAGCCCGTCATCCGCCCGTCCAGCGCGGAAGCGGACCAGCTCGCACAGCTTCAGCAGCAGGCGGAGGAGGAACAGCTCAATGGCTCGCGGAGCTGGTTTGGCAGGCTTGGAGGCGGGTTTCGGGGTGATGGGGTGTTCAGGGTTGGATTTGCGGGACGAGGAGCGATGAGGGGAGGTGCGGCTGGGAGGGGCGGCGGGGGCGGTCAGGCGTGATTGCCGTACTCTTAACTTTGCAAGTCGTTGGCGTAACCATCAAGAATCACGACGTCGAAGAACCTGCTTTCCGATCTGTTTTCTGTCGCCGGCGAAGCCGTTTCTCTCGCAGAGCGTGAACGAGACGTGAGCGGGAGACAACTATGTGCACTCCATGACTGGTAAGCTGCTTGTAGAGAGGAAAGAGGGGAACGAATGCGAAGAACTGCGAGAGGGAAAGATGCGAGTGCGAGGCGTGCGAGGGCTATTCACAAGTGGTACAAGGGAGGCGCGGGTGGTGTATCAACGATGAGTGCGAGAACGAGGAGAGGACGTGTAGGAGAGAGAGAGAGAGAAAGCTATGTACAGCCCGAGTGTTGACCGGAATGGAGTGAGGGAAATGATGTCATGAACTGGAGAGGACGAGGACGGCGATGGTCGACGTTCTAGCGTTGACGAGAGTAGAACAAAAGCCTTGCGACGGTCGAAACGCGTTCACTGGCTCGAGCGACGGTGCTGGAGACCCTTCTTCCTCTGGAGGTCGGCTTGGAACTCGTCGTAGCGGGAAGCAGTGTATTTGTACAAGCCAGCTGCGAGTCAAGTGGTCAGCAGCTGTATGTACCCGAGGGAGCAGCAGAACGCACCTCGGTAGCGGCGGAGGGCGTCGTCAGGCTCGTCGACCGAGTGCCTCCTCGTCGAGAAGGACTCCTCCTCAGGCATCGCGCCGACGGACGGAGACTCGAAGCTGTCCTGGCGGTCGTGGTAGCCTACACCTCCAGGCCCGGCGCCGGGCGTGTTGCCGGTAGCAGAAGTGGGAAGAGCGGTCGAGATGGCGGCGAACGACTCGAGGGGCGAGGATGCGAGGTTGGGAGATGCAGAGTCGCCCGACGACGACCGCGAGGGGACGCCGTCGCTCTGTGCAGGCGGGAGAGGCTGGGCAGTCGCAGCAGCGGCGGACCTAGTGGTTGGGGACAGCGGCGAAGCGGATTACGAAGGTCAGCGGAGGATGGTCGACTGCGAACGGCGTCGCCTGGCGTGGGAGCAAGGGCTCACATGGCTGGCGCTGGTCGAGAGTGTCGAGAGTGAAAGATCTGGGAGTGTACGGCAGCGGACGAAGGGGCGAGGGGAGCGTGACGAGGACTTGAAGGTTCGGAGAGAACGGTGAGCGCATTTTCCCCCTCTCTCTTCGCACTTCGTCACCTCGACCGACCCCTTCGTTCTGCTTAGCGGCGTGTCCGGTAGCTCAGGAACGCTTGCGGAACCGGCGGAACAGGAGCGCCGGTCAAGCCCTGCCCTGCCGCTCGTCTGGTCATTCGCTTTCTTCGCGCCTCTTGCCAGGCCGTTCTTGCGGAGGATCGTCTCTCCTGCGTCTCTTGCGGTGTCATTCTTCCCACTGGAGCACGCCCAGCGAAGCAAAGCGAGAGGCGCGCCTCGTCAACGAGCGCAAAGGAGAGGAGCGACGGCAGATGTCATTTCCCTCGCTCCCCGCCGAAAGAACAGCTCCTCTCGTCATGAGCCGAGCAGGGAAGCGCAGCCATCAGATAGTATTGCTTCATTGAAAAACACCTCGGGCGCGGCTGCAGAAGCCGGAAACTGCGACGCTAGAGCTCCCCCTCCTCCTTGTTCACTCCTCGAACCACCTGCTGGACAAGTGGGAGCAGGCGAGATCGTCGGGACAAACGTCAGTACAGGCGTCAATGAGCTGGGGCAAACAGCGAGGAGAGGACGTAAGGAGCGCACCTTGGTGACGTCTCCGTTCTCGCCCAGGCGAGGCATCTTCCGCTCCCTCTGACCGTCCTCCTCCGCCGCACCTCCTGCACTCGCCTCGTCCTGCTCCTCAGCTCCGCCCGCAGCCCTCTTGCGCTCCCCGGTCCTGGCGTCCTCGCCGTACGGCAACTCGCTGCTCCTGCTCAACCTGCGTCGCCGGTCACGCTCATGCTCGTGTTCTTCGTCTTCGGGAATGTGCGAGCCACGCCGCCTGCTCGACCGGTACGACGGGTCGCGCTCGCCTGCCCTCTCCCGCTCGGCGTCGCGCTCGCGCTCATACTGCCGGTCTCGCTCGGTGCGGTCGAGGTCCATGGCTTCGCGTTCCGCACGCTTTTCCTGCTCGGCACGACGGAGACGATTCAGCACGCTCACGGCTAGAGATGGACATACAAAGCGGGACACACCTTCTGACGCCGGACAAACTTCTCCCAAGCCGTCTTCCTCGCCTCGTCGTTCCCCTCGAGCGCCGCCCACTCGTCCGTCTGCTCAACAAGCGGGACGACGTCCTCCCATGTAGCGGTGTCGACGTCAATGGGCGGGTCAACCTTCTTGAAGGCGTAGCGGAGGTCGTCGACAAGGAGGCGCAGCTTCTTCTCGGCTCGTCGGCGCTCGTCGCGGGCGTGGCGGACGGCGCGATGGTGGAGCTACAACGACGAGGGGTCAGCGCGGGACTAGTACGACAAGGGATGACTCGCGCACCTTCTCGAAGGTCGCCTTGATCGCTCCGTAGTCCATCTTCTCCACGCGCTCATCACCCTCAAGCGCCTTCGCAAACTCTTCCTCCGTCGTCTCCTCCTTAACAACCATCCCCTTCTCCTTCGCAACAGTCTCAATGAGAAGCTGGTCCTCCTCAGCGCGGATATCGAGCTCGTCGACAACATCCCAGAAGAGGTCGAGCGGGGAGGATCCGGGTTGGCCGAGCAAGGCGAGGTAGCGCTCGTCGTGGTGGAAGAGAGGGTAGGCAGACTTCCAGGTCGCGCCGGCGGTGATCTGATCGGCGGCGACGAGCTCGGCGAGCAGGGCCTGCGGAGTAGACGTGGTCAGTCTCGAACAAAGGCTGCATGAAACGGGACCGCGCGCACCGAAAAGTCCTCGCGAGCCTTCCTCGCCTTGCGTCGCTTCTCCTCGGCAACCCTCTGCTTCTGCTCGACATAAGCCTGCTCCGCACGCCGGACCTCGTCCTCAAAGACGGTGAGCATGTCGATAGGCTCGATGCGCTGAAGCTCGGGGTCGTGATGCCATTCGGGCGTGCGCTGGATAAGCATCCGCGCGTCTTGCCAGCGGACTGGGCCGGCGAGGTCGAGCTGGAGAGACTGGAGGATGCCCGTGAGCTTGTCCATGTTGCGTCCGCGCGTTTCACGCTTGCGGGTCTGATCGTTCACTGGTGTCAGCGAGTGAAGCGGGATGGGAAGACTGGTAACGCACCTCCTCGTCCTTGCGCAACTTGGCGATGAACTCGTCGAAGAGGATTTTGCGCTCCTCGTCGTTCTTCGGCATCGCCCACGCATCCTTGCACTTCTCGCGCATGACGCGCCTGCCCCTCTCCCAGCTCCACCAGCTCTTGACACCCTCCTCCATCATCACGCCTCCACCCAGCTTGTCCATCGCCTTGAACCAATCCTTCCTGCACCTCGCCAGGCTCTTGTCGCGCTCCTGCCTCTCCCGCTCGCGCTCCTCGACGAGGTACTTCTCGAAAGCGGCTTTACGCTCCGCGAGCGTCTTGAGCGCCTTGTAAAGCGGCTCGGTGATGGCCTCCTTCATCACCATCTCCCATGTCCAGGTCGACGTGACGCCGAGGTTGCGCAACATGCCCTTGAATGCAGCTTCTGCTTCGGCATGCGTGGCAAACGTCACGTTCGTCGTGGCGGCAGGAGCTGGGAGAGCAGAAGGGCGAGGAGGGAGGAGGCCTGGACTGCCCGCGCCGAAACCACCTGGAGCGACCAGCGCGCCGGTATGAGGAGTCAAGCCGCCAACTGGAGGAGCGGGAGACATGGAGCCAGCAAGAGGAGACTGCTGGCGGTAGGCGGCGGGACCGGTTGGCGGCATGACGGGACGAGGAGGAGTTGGAACGGCGGGCGTGCTGTGAGAGATCGTTCGTGTCATACTCGACGAAGGAAAGGAGTTCAGAGGAAACGAACCTGTGACGGGCCATGATCTCTGCGGGCAGAACATCTCGTCAGTAAGCGAACAACGACCGGCAGAAGAACGGAGAGCGCACCGCTGACATCCTTCGGCGTAGTCCACGTCGTCTCCTTGGTCGTGGCGTGTACCCAATACTTCCTCCCTCCCGTTTCATACTCTTTCCACCCAGAGCGGGTGATCTCGAGTTCGAGGGGTGTCTTGAGGTCGTCCGGCTTCTCCCAGACCGATCCCTTCTGCGGGTGCGACCAGTACGGGCGCCCGTCTGTCGGTGAGATATGCTTCGTCCACTGCGAAACTGCTGGCGGCGGGGAAGCGGATGCCTACGGGTGCAATAGCCCTCATGTGAGTGGGGAGGACGAGGGGTCGCAAGAGGACGGGGAAAGGCGTGCGCACCATGGCTCGACTCGTCAAGCTCGTGCGAGTGCGATGAGAGTGGCAATGAGCTTGTCAACCGCGGTCCCAGCGAGCAGTGGTGAGCTGGAGTGGGTCGAGCTGGTCTCGAGGAGGAGCGACTCGCCTCGACCCGCAACAACTCGCTCACGCACGCTCTCACGCTCAGTCCAGCTCGTCCAGCGCACAGCCAGTGTGCCACAGACACCGACTACCACCACCGACCCCGCCGCCCGCTTGTCGCGCACCTCCGGCTGCTCCTCATCGCTTCCTGCCACCTGCACCCGCCAACTCGACGCCCACCACTCTCCAGCTAGTCCGTGCAGCCCGCCAGTGACGGACTGGACACCCTCGACGCAATGGCATCACCGACACAGCTGTCCGCGGATGAGGCGGGATGGAGGTTCGCCCAGTGCTTCGGCGACAAGGTCCGTCACTCTCGCAAACTCGCGCCGGGCGGGCAGTCTCGCTTCGTCAACGGGGCCAGGCTGTCTACCTGGGCATGTTTGACAATGTACTGACCCACCTTGACGTCTACAGGGCGAGGTTGAGGACATCACGGAGGCCGACATCATCTGTCAGTCGCGCCTTTGTCGCCGCTTTCCTCTCGATCCAGGTCACTTGGCGAGCTTTCGGCGTCGTCGCTGTGACCAGCGCTATTATCGGCATCGGGCAGTTCCGGTTGGGCGGATCCTGGTTGAAAGGGAGGCGAGATCGCTCCGGGTGGGGACAGCCTGCGCTCGGAAGTCGAGTGGGAGAGGGTGTCGACGCAGCGAACGAGACGGCTGAGGACAGTCTTCGCTGACTCTCCTTGACCTTTGCAGCGTGCGTCGAGTTTGACCACACCGGCGACTACCTTGCGACAGGCGACAAGGGCGGACGCGTGGTCCTTTTCGAGCGCAACGAGCACAAGAAGGGCTGCGAGTACAAGTTCTACACCGAATTTCAGAGCCATGAGCCTGAATTCGACTATCTCAAGTCGCTTGAGATAGAGGAGAAGATCAACAAGATCAGGTGGTGCAAGCGGCAGAATGCGGCGCACTTCCTCCTCTCGACCAACGGTGCGCATTCCCGGCTCTTTCCCTACACTGCGCAACCCGCACTGACCCCTGGAGTCTCCCACTCTTGCCCGCCGCGCAGACAAGACGATTAAGCTGTGGAAGGTGTTTGAGAAGTCGCTCAAGGTGGTCGCCGAGAACAACGGTTCCGCCGCAGCTGGCAACGGCCCTCCTTCTCCTCCACCCGCCGCCCTGACGCAGCCTATTCCCGGTCTCCCCTCCTCCACCTTCCCCGGCTCACCGTCCGGCTCAAACGGCGCCTCGTCCGCAGACGGCCAAACGCCCTTCCTCCGCCTCCCGCGCATGACCTACCACGACACGATCGTCGCCGCCGTGCCGAGGAAGGTCTATGCGAATGCGCACGCGTACCACATCAACTCGATCTCAATGAACTCGGACGGCGAGACGTACATGAGCGCCGACGACTTGCGGATCAACCTCTGGAACCTCAACATCTCCGACCAATCATTCAGTACGCGCGGTCTTCTCTCTTTCGAGCTTATTTTCGGCGCTAACGGTGTTGCCCGACAGACATTCTCGACATCAAGCCCGTCAACATGGAGGAGCTGACCGAGGTCATCACGGCGGCCGAGTTCCACCCGGTCTCGTGCAACCTCTTCGGCTACTCGTCGTCAAAGGGGACGGTCAAGCTCGCCGACATGCGGGAGCAGGCGTTGTGCGACAAGCATGCGAAGAGTGGGTCGCAACACTTGTACCGGAGTCGCGGGTTCTGCGCGCTCGCTCGCCACTTACTGACTCGCGCAAAACCTTGTGACGTCCGCAGTGTTCGAGGAGGAGGAAGATCCGTCGAACAAGTCGTTCTTCTCGGAAATCATCTCGTCGGTGTCGGACGTCAAGTTCAGCAAGGACGGACGGTACCTCCTCTCTCGCGACTACCTCAACCTCCGGATCTGGGACATCAACATGGAGAACAAGCCGGTCCAGACGATCAACGTGCACGACCACCTCCGCAGCAAGCTGTGCGACTTGTACGAGAACGACTGCATCTTCGACAAGTTCGAGTGTACGTGGTCCGGCGACGGCAGGTGCGTGCGCAGCGGAGCGGTCGGATGGCGCTGACGGAGCCTCAGAACGCCTCAGAAACGGATGCGCTGACTTTCGCTCTCCCGCAGCCACGTCCTGTCCGGCTCGTACAACAACTTCTTCCACATCTACGACACCGCAGCGACACAGGACATCGTGCTTCAGGCGGACAAGTCGGCCTTCAAGGCGAAGAAGATCGGCGGGAACAAGAACAAGGCGGGTCCGGGCGGAGCGGCGGGCAAGGGTGGCAAGAATGGAGGCGCGGCGGGCGGCAAGCCCTTGATCGATACGGAGAGCATCGACTACAACAAGAAGATCCTGCATGCGAGCTGGCACCCGCGTGAGAACACGGTTAGTCGCGACTTTTCTCCTTCTCTTCCGCCGACGACCCTTGGCCTGTCACGCCGTCCGCCTCGCCTCGACGCCGCCTTGTACGTCTCACCCGCGCCTGAGCAGTACTCTCTCGACGATCGCACCGACTATGCGTCCATTTTCGCCGACCTTGCGACTCGACACCTCGCCGTTTTGCGTCGCGACTTGCTGTCCAACGCCCGACCCGCGACGAGCCGCCGGCGGACATCTCGCCGCTATGACACGCTCAGCGCGGCTTGTCCTACCGTTTCGAGATCGCTCGCTGACGCACAACCACTTGCTTGCCTGCTCAGATTGCAATCGCGGCCGTCAACAATCGTCGGTCCTCTCCCTCTCCCCCAATCAAACGCTAGCTGACAATCCTCCTTCTCGGCAGTCTTCATTTACGCGCAGCAGACGCCGTCCAAACCCGCATCGTCGTCGAACGCATCAAGTGCAGGAACAAGCTCCGGCTCAGGAGCGCCCTAAGATGCGCCAGTGGCCGGTCCTCTGCCCCTTCGCCTCGTTCTCCTCTCCCCGCTCTCGTCCATCTGTCCATCTCGTTCATACCGCCACGTTCGCCCATCGCAACTACCCAGTTTACGCTATATCACGCCTAAACCCCCTTTCATCCCTCTATCCGCCCCGCCATCGCATTCACACTTTCCTCGCCTTCGCCTTTCGTCACATCTTGCTCCCTTGGCTCGGTCGTCTCGCCGTCCCGCCGCCCGCCAACCCGCCGCCTGTTGCCCTCGCCTGCGCCCGTTCAGCAACTCTTCTCTTTCGTTCGACCGCCTGCATTAGCCGTTCTTCCTAGTCACTTCCTCCTCGTACATGTGCATTATTCCCCTTTCGCTCGAAGGCGTACACTCGCGACGCAGTAGCTCGACAGGCGACGGATCGACTTCTCCCTCCCCCTCCTCTCTCCCACCATTCTTGTTCCCCTCCCTCCTCTTTCCGTCTCTACGAGACCGACTCGACTCCGCCAAGACAAGAACTCGTGATGTCTTCCGCTCTCTCTCTGCCTCTCTAGTACTCGCTCGAAATACAAAGTTTGTCGAATTGCCTCCGGTGCCGCCGTCCTCCCTCTTCCTCTCCCGGCTCCGAGAAGTCGATGCGCCTCGAGCTGAGAATGACTTCCGTGAGCTCGGCAGCCCTCAGCAGCAGCGACTCGCTCGCCAGCGCCCCCACGCTTCTGTTCGCGGCTTCCGCTCTCCGCAAGGGATGTTCTTTCGTTCAACCTTCTGCTGTTTCCTTTCGCTCGGGCCGCTCTCTCTTGCGATGTCGAAGCCTCTCGTTCTGGTCACCGGCGCTTCAGGCTACGTCGGCGCCTCCGTCGTTCACGCTTTCCTGCGAGCGGGCTATCGAGTACGAGGGACGGTGCGGAAACAGGCGCAGGCGGGTGCATGGCGGTATCGCTTACCTCAGTACGACGAGGAGAGGCTGGACTTTGCGATCGTCGAGGACATGGGCAGGGAGGGAGCGTACGACGAGGCAATCAAGGACGTTGAGGTTGTCGTGCACACAGCTTCGCCGTTCTTCTTCGGTGCGTTCGTCTGAGCATGCAGGACTTCCTGAGGCTTGACGAGTTTACGACGCAGGCTACACCGATAACGAACGGGACATGTTGCTGGTCCGCCTCGTTCTGCTCTTCGACCTTCGCAACTTGCTGCTGACGATCCGAGCACTCTAGCCTGCCGTCAACGGCACACTGAACATCCTCGACGCCGCGCATCGGGCTGGCACTGTCCGCCAAGTCGTTATCACCTCGTCCTTTGCCGCTTTGCAGGACTACCACCGCGGTCCTGACCCGACAAAGGTCTACACGGAGGAGGACTGGTGTCCTCTGACTTGGGACGACGCCGTCAAGGAGGAGAAGGACCAGGTTCTTGTCTACGTGACGAGCAAGAAGTACGCCGAGAAGAAAGCGTGGGATTTCATCGCGGAAAAGAAGCCGGCGTTCTCCCTCACTACGTGCGTTGCCCGTCATCCTCCTACGCTGAGCCACCACAGTGACCGAGCACTACGTACTGACCGGCAAGCACCTGACAGAATCCTCCCCGTCTACGTGATCGGCGCCTCGGAACAGCCTCTCCAGTCTATCGACGGCCTGTCAACCTCCGCGTCCTGGATCCGCGAGTTCATTGACAAGCAAGAATTACCCAAGGCGCCGATACATGCCATGGTCGACGTGCAAGACGTCGCCCTTGCGCACCTTCGCGCCGTCGAGAACGCCTCGGTCGCAGGAGGCAAGCGGTACCTCGTCGCGGCGCATTCCTTCAGCGGGTCCGAAGTTGCACATATCCTCCGTCAAGCGTTTCCCGAGCAGCACGAACGGTTTCCGGACGCGGGAGGCGAGCCGGGCTGGGACAAGGAGGAGCCTTGGAAGTGGGATACAAGCCGGTATGTCGCAGACGTTTTGTTCTGAACCTACAGAGCTCCGTGCTGACTCGCCTGAGGTGTCGCAGGGCAGAGACGGATCTAGGCATGCGCTGGAAGCCGCTGGAGCAGACGATCCGAGAAGCGGCGGAGCAGGTTTTCGAGTTTGAGCGACGAGACAAGCGGGCGTGCGCTGCATCGTAGACGGTCGAGGCGAGTACAGCAAGGAGGCGCGTCTGTGCAGAGGTGAGGCAAGTCCGCGGAAGGAGGCAGGCCCCAAATCCTGCAAACGGCCGTCCTCGACGCTTGGGGAGTAGCAACACCGTCCAATCGGATGTGCGGAGGAGGCTTAGGAAAAGGGAGGGATCCAGCCGCGTACGGGTTGATGGCGAATGGCGAAAGGGGAGGAGCCGAGGAAAGATGTGCAGGCGAGGCGAGCTGGCGAGAGGGGCGGCGAAAAGCAGGCACCCAAGCTTCTAGCTAGTGTTCGACCGCCTCCACGATCGATGCTGTTGGAAGAACGGCGTTTCAAACCTGCCAAAGACAGATCTGCCCGTCTTCTCCGCCAGTTACGACTGTCGAAGTCTGCAAAGCAAAGGTCAGCAAGGGGCCGGTGCAAGTCAAGGGCAATGTCTACCGCTGCGTCCAGATGCGCTGCTCGGACGATGTCCCGGTGCCCCTTGCAGCCATAATTCCGCCGGCTCGTCTTGCCCGACAAGACCTGCTCAAGGTACCACGACTCCTTGTCCCGCGCGTTGATGACGGCGACGTCGCCACTGCGGAGATAACCCATCCGTCAGCCATGAAGTACACGCGAAGGAGGGATGCCAACGCACGCGATCGTTCCCGCCAGCAAACACACTCCGCCGAGCGCTTCGTTGTAGTGTGCACCGATCATGTAGTCCGTCCGCCATGGCTGAAGCGCGACGTCCCGAACGTCGCCAAAGTCGACGAGCTGCTCTTGCTGCGAAGCCATTACAACCTGTCAGCTACAAGCGTCGACAAGCAGAAGTCGATGGGCGCGCACCTGCTCGATATCCCAATACTGCAGAGTCTCTATCGTCGTAGCTCCGAATACGCCCTTCAAGTCCTGACTCGCCTCTTGTCCCGCCAATGCCATCCAGCCCGCATGCGCCAGACTTGCGCCGACCTGCGACGTGCTCTGAACAGCATCGTCCTCGTCCGCTATCCGCACGTCGTACGTGTTGATGAGCCCGTCGACGGATGCAGAGAGGAGGGCATGAGAGAGCGAAGGAGAAGGGTGGAAAGCGACGGCGGTGATGTCGTCCGAGTGCGCCTCGGTGTACGTATGTTGCAGCTTCATCGTCCGCAGGTCCCTGTTCTCGTCGAGGTCAATTGGCAGTCTCCAGTCTGAGCTGGAAAGACTCACCAGATGTCGATCATCGCCTCGTACTGATGCAACTCCGTTCCGACCGCGAGCGCCGAGTGATCGCTGCTTTGCGACGCGCAGAGATACGCCGCCCGTGTCTTCCCTGCGAGCCAAAGCTTGCGTCAGCGACCCGTACGCATCGCAAGCAAGACTTCAAACGCACCCTGAAGCTTGAACGCCTCCTTCGACAAGTCCCTCGTGTCCCATGCCGACACCGATCCATCTTTCGCTGTGATAAAGACCGCATTGCTCCCTTTCGCACCCGCAACAATGCTCGTGATCCCTCGCTGGGTCGTGTTCAGCTGTGCGAGAGGCTGCAAGGAGGGGGAGAAGGCGCGGACGGTGTCGTCGGAGCCGAAGAAGAGGTAGCCTTGCGAGAAGGGGACGGTCTGGAGGACGTAGGGGGGGTTGGGGCCCGCATCGGGTTTGAAGGGCGTCTGGGCGACCAGGGCAAGCGGGGTCGAGGTCGTGCTCGGGTAGAGGAGAGGAGGAGGGAGACGAATGCGGTGGGCCATTCTAGCTGGAGCAGCACCTGCAGCAGTCTCTCAAAGTACCGTGAGAACTTTCTAGAGCTAGCTGAACGTCTTCGAGCCGAGTGAGCGGAGTGGAAGAGGGAGAGAAGCGAAGTCCACTGATGAAGCGGTTTCTTGAGGGTACAACGGTGGGGACGGGCTTTGAGTGGCAGACGGTGCAAGAGCATGCTCACGGGTACGTGAGAACACGGGACGGAACCGGCGAAGAGGAGGGAAAGATGTGTTGCTTGCAAGCAGAGAGAGGGATCCTCGACCCCAGGACGAGGCACGAACACGAATGGCTACCGTACAACAAGCGCACTGCGAACGACGACACACCGAACGAGGAAGACGCGGGCGAGCTCAGAAGTCGAGGTCGAGGTCGAGCTGGACGCGGCTGGCGACGACCGACTCAATCTTGTTGCCCTTGACGCGAGGTGTGCCGTTCAGGGGCGCTCCGGCGAGGTTCGACGATGCACTTGCACCGTTGAGCGGCGTCTGCGTGCCGCTGCCGGGCGTTCCAGGAGTCGGAGTCTGCGGTCGGCTGTTTCGCAGACGCCAGTTCGTCAGCCACGTCTGCCAAAGTCTCGAAAGCGCGAGCCCACCTGTCGTAGTTCAGCCTCGGCATCGTCTTGACACGCGCACTCGGGTCAACCTTGACGCTCGTGTCGCCGCGCTGCAAGGCCTCGCTGATCTTCCTCCGCTCCTCCTGGCTCCTCGCCTCGGCACGCTTGACCTCCTCGCGATTCGCAGCCCTGTTGCGGTCGTTGATACGCTTCGTGAGGTCTATGTCGCCCGCCGCGGGACCTTCGAGCTCGGCGAGTTGGGCGGAAAGCTCGGCAGCCTTCTCGATGTCGCCGTTCTGCATGGCGTGGTCGCGCTGCATCTTGAGACGGACGCGGGCGGCAGCACCGCCGGGTTGCTTGTTCTTCTTGGCGAGTTCGGCAGCGAGGTCCTCCTGCGACGCGGAGTGGTGAGTTTAGAGCTGGCGCGGAGAAACGGGTCGAAACGCACCTCCGTCAAGGTGTAGCTCGTCCGCTTGGCAAGCTGCTCCTTGATCTTCTTCGCCTGGACGGGCGTAGTCGCCGGAACCTTGTCGGCCTCGCACTGCTTGGTCCAGCGAACCCACTCGTGCTGTAATGAGCGAGGAGGTCAGCTCAAGGGCGCTTTAGAACGCAAAGCAGGACTCACGCTGATGATTGGCGAATTGGAGACAGCCTCCATACCGAACAACCTCTCCGACTTGCCGTGCTTGAGCCTGAGCCAGAGGTCGGTTTGAACGCCTTCGAAGCGGTAGGACCGCTCTGCGGGTTCGACGCCTGCGAGATGCGGTCATCAGCAGCATGCACCCGGTGTGGAGTCGAAGGACGCACCGACGACTTGGCAAAGTGAGTACCGCACCTGCCCCGTCCGCTGATCCTGACCGAGCGAGTAACGGACGAAGGCGCCTGTACAATCGAGGTCCTCATCAGCCTCGACACGGTGAATACGCACTGGATGACGCGAACGCACCCTTGATCCACTCTTCGAACCAAGGCGCCCTGCACATCTCGGCCAGCTTCGTCCGCGTCACCTGGATCTGCAGCAAGTCGGCGAGTTCGGCAACCGGTGCAGGCGCCTTCTTGCCCTTGCCCTTCTTCTTCGCGCCGCGGTCGTCGTCGTCCGACTGCTCCATGTCTGAGCCGGACTCGTCGTCCGAGTCGGGCGACCTGTGGCGAGACTTTGAGCCGCCTTCCTCGTACTCGTCGTCGCTGTCGTCCTTCTGCAAGCGTGCGGACTCGTCAGCCGCAAGAGCGAAGTCGAGAGTAGCTGGTGTAACGCACCTTGGCTTTCTTCTTGCCCTTCTCCGTCCTGCTCTTCTTGAGCTTCTCGAACCCATCGCTCTTGGTCTTGCTCGCGCCCGTCGTCTTCCTCGACCTCGTACCCCTCGCCGTATAAACCTCCTCGTCCTGGTCGTCATCCTCATCGTCCTCGTCCTCGTCTTTGGCAACAACCTTCTTCTTCCCGCTCGAGCGCGAAGCCATCTCTGCGATCATTCGCCGGTTGTCGGCTTCGAGGATCTCTTCCTTGCGCGTCGCGATAAAGTCTTCGCGCTCGAGTTCCGTCAGGCCAGCGACACTGCGAGCTCAAACCTGTCAGAAAGCTCTCGAGCGGAAGAGAAGAGGAGAGAGAAGGACTCACCGCCTCCGTTCCGCCTCGTCCCTATAAATCCCCTCGACAGGATATGGGTTCTCCCCTCCCTTCCCACTGCCCTTCTTCCCAACACTCTCGTCCTCGTCCGAACTCGTCTCGACCCGCGCAGAACTCTTCACCTTCGACCCTCCTCCCCTCCTCCCTCCTCCTCGGGGTGAGGCAGATGCAGCGGCGGCGGGAGCGTCAGAGTCGGACGCTGACATGTCCATATCAGACGCCGAGTCGTTCCTGTCACCCGCACTCAAGCCCGTTAGCCCTCCCTCTCCTCATCACACTCCCGCACACCAACCGAGAGCAACCGGTGAAACGCACGCAGACTCGCTACTCTCCCTCATCTGCTGCCTCTTCCTCTTCTTCCCCCCTCCGCCTCCTCCCGCTCCACCTCCTCCCGCGTCACCAGAGTGAGAGGGAGCGGCGGCGGACCCCTCTGCGAGTCCGAGGAGCATGGCGTCGATATCCATTGCGTTTTGGGCGCGGCGCGCGCGGTGGGTGTGGGCAGGGGTGTTGGGAGAGCGGGAGAGGGGCAAGAGCGAGGGGATGTGAGAGCGAGTGATGAGTGGGAAGTCAAGAGCGAAGCGGGGGTGTTGGCGAGCGAGAGGGAAGTCGACTGCCTCCCGCAACTGGCTCACTAAGGCTCTCTGAGCGCGCTGCAAGAGTGGAGGGCAAACGTCTATTCACTTCGAGTTGCAAGAAGAGGAGAGAGAAGAGGGAGGAGGTCCGACTTGTATTGTCCGAGAGGAGGATGATCCGACTGCAAGACTGAAGGACTGCTTGAAAAACGCACGAAAGAAGGAGAGCGAGGAGAGGCTGGCGGTGGTGATACAGGACTTGCGAGGGAAGAAGCAGGCCAAGGAGAGAGGAATCCGTCTATGAACGATTGGTGCGAAGTCTTTTTCGAGAGCGGGGGCGGGCGAGTGTGGTGTATGTGTATCGTCGCCTGTGTCGGCTGCGAGGCGAGGCGAGGCGAGCGTGAAGGCAACCTAGATGTGCGCCGTGATCGTATCCGGCTTGACGCCCTCATACGCAACACGGTACTGTCCGCCCAAACCCCATCAGCCCACGCACACGCATCGAGGAGACGGGAGATGCGTGGACGCACGACAAAGGTGAACAAAGGGTAGTTGTCGGCCTTTCCGCGGGCCTTGAGGAACTCGTGCAGCTCTTTGGCTGTCTGGACGCCTGTGTGCCCGTCGTCGTCGACCGCCTTCATCAGTCTATCGCTCGGAAAAGAGAGAGACACATCTGTAAGAGGGAGCGAGGAACGCACCCTGGAGTTTCTGTCCATTAAGCATCTCCTTCTCCAACTGATCGAACGTCTGTTCCTCTCCATCCTATCAGCCTTCTCTTCCCTTCAAAGACTGCAAAGAGCGAGGGGCTTACCTTGCCCGTCGTCACGAAAGCCTCGGCACACTTCCTGTTCCTCCCTCCGAGGCAAGACGTGATCAAGTCTGCGATCCCGGCGGATTCTTGGACAAAGGTTTCGGGTTCGGTGCCGGGGAAGAACTCGAGGGCGAACTGCGGTGCGAGCGAGTGCGAGTAGGATGGGGGCAGACGAGCGAGTGCGAGGGAGAGGCGGGCAAAGGGAGAGGCGGGGAGGAGCGAGGATGAGGGACAGTTCGCAAAGAGCAAGAATGAGGAGGGTGGGAACGCACCCGCTTCATCTCGAGGAGACCGATGCGCATGATGGCGGCCTGCGCAGCACAACGAGTCAGCTCAGCTACCCCGCCCGCGCAAGAAGCGCAGAAGAGAAAGAAAAGCCGGGACCGCGCGCCTGCCACGCACCTTGGCGTTGTTGCCCCATTGCAATCCGTCAATCAAGCCCGCCGCGACCGCGACGACATTCTTGAGCGCTCCGCCGAGACTGACTCCAAGCACGTCCTTGCTAACCGCGACCCTAAACTTCTCCGTCTCGAACAACCTCGCCCAGCGCTTGGCGACCTCGATGTCCCTGCACCCGATCGTGGTCTCGGAGAAGGCCTCCTTGGCAACCTCGTTGGCGATGTTGGCGCCCGACAAGGCCGCACACTCGATGTCGAGGTGTTCTTTGATCACTTCGCTGAAGATGTGGATTTGGCCGTCTTTGACGTCGACGCCTTTGACTAGCGAGATGGCTTGCGTGTTGGAAGGGACTTTGCCTTCGAGTTGCTTGCACGTCTCGATGATGAACTGTCGCCGGCCCACGAACCCTCATCAGCTGCGAGTCTCACGGCCAGGAGTGAACGCGCCCGCTTACCTGGTGAGGAATGACAAAGATCAAGGCGTTGGCGCCCTCGATGGCCTTGATCAAGTCGGGCTCGGCGACGACGTTGTCGCCCAAGTCGATCCCGGGGAGGTACTTGACGTTCTCGTGCTTCTCGTTGATCACCTCGGTCAACTTGCGTCCTTCGAACTGTGCACATCTCTCCTCTGTTAGCTTGTAGAAAGAGAGGGAGAGGGCGAGCTAGGTGACGCACGTCCTCCTCGTAGCACCACATCTTGACCTCGGTGTCGAACTCGTCGCTGCGCTCTTTGATGTTCTTTCCCACGAGACGGGCGATCGCAGACCCCCAGTTTCCGCTCCCTGCGTGCGTGCGAGCCGTTGGATCAGCTCGAGGAGCGAGTCGGGTAATCGAGCGGGAGTGCGCCGAGAGGAGGAGAGAAGGAGAGGGTGGAGCGCACCGATGAGAGCGACCTTCCACTTTCCTCCGTGTGAGCTGTTCTGAGCGGGCATGGTAGCGTACGAGCGAGCGGGTGAGCTGTGGAAGCGAGGTTGGGGTCGGGTGGTGGTGGTCGAGGGGTTGGTGCGTGTGAGAAAGTGAGCGGGAGAGGGTGAGCGAGTGCGCGAGGATGAGATTGCGCGTGAGACGGCAAGGCGGAGAGAGTGAGCCAGCGTGGGTTGCAGCGGGAGCGAGAGAGCCAGTGCGTTCATGAGGTCAACTTCGCCGGTCAATTTCCAGTCTGGATCAGAACGTTCATTCGTCGTGAAAAAAGTCACACAACCGCCAAACAGTCGCCGGGTGGTCCTCTGCGAGTGTGAAGTGGTGGAGTTGTCGAGGACAGCGGCGAGTTACTCGATGGTGTAGACGACGACCTTGCACTCTGTAACTCTTTGCCAGCTCCCCTGTCCTCGCTGCACTTCATCGTTTATCCCCCCGCTCTCTCCCTCTCCCGCCCCGCTCCAAGGCGATAGAGCTCGACAGAGACAGCGACGAACCCTCTCCCTCCTCGTCTGGACATCGCTGGACCGTTGGACAGCTCGACACCCTCACGGCGACATGCTCAAACAGGGGGCTCCCTCAAACGCCGCCCGGAGCGAGCGAACAGTCAACGACGTCGCTCGCCTCCATTCCTCCTCGCTCACCCGCTCTCGACGCACAAGCTAGCGTCTGCACAGCTCGCCTGCATTTTATCCAACACACGGCCGTCTCTCTCTGCTCAACCAGTACGTCGCCGCCTCCTTCTCACCCCGGGCTCCCTCCCACGCGAGAGTGTCCGACCGCGGCCTCTCCAGGCTTGCTAGCCGCCTGCGTGGTGGTCCAGAAGGCCGCTGTTCTCTCCGCAACGCTCGCGAACTGACGCCCCTCGTCCCCTCGTCTCCTCTCCCCTCCCCGCTCGACGTAACCTCCACAGCACGAAGCGCCTTCCTCCTCACTCGCTCTCTCCTCTCCCAGCCGAGACACCTCGCCAAAGATGTCCTCCACTCCACGCGGAACGACCCCGGCCACCACCGCCCTAAACGCGCTCGACGACCGGCGCATCAAGAACATCCGACCCTTGATCCCTCCTCAGATCTTGATGGAGGATTACCCACTGGGGTTGAGGGCTGCTGCGACGGTTCTTGAGGGCAGGAAGAGCGGAGAGCAGATTGTGAAGGGCGAGGATGACAGGTTGATTGTCGTGAGTCCAACCCTCCCGCTTTTGACTCGCCAGATGGAAGTGCTGATGTGCGTATGAGTGGCACAGGTCGTCGGACCTTGTTCGATTCATGATGTTCGTGCGGCGCTCGAGTATGCAAAGTTGCTCAAGGCTTATGCGGACGAGGCGAGCGACGACCTCTTGATCGTCATGCGCGTCTACTTCGAGAAGGTGCGTTCCGCGCTACTTGACCCATTCGACACGGTGCGATGACTGATGTGGACTCTCCGCAAAACAGCCTCGGACGACCGTCGGCTGGAAAGGCCTGATCAACGGTCCGTTTCCTCCCCTCCCTCCTCCCGCCAAACCCCCTCTAACTTCCCATCCTGCGCGCACGCAGACCCGCAACTGAACAACACCTACCAAATCAACAAAGGCCTGCGCCTCGCACGCGGCCTCTTGCTCGAAATCGCAAACATGGGCATCCCGACCGCCGTCGAGTTGCTCGATACGATCTCGCCGCAGTATGTGGCGGATTTGGTTTCGTGGGGAGCTATTGGGGCTAGGAGTGAGTGCGCGCTGGAGTGTGGTCGGAAGAGGGATGGGTGCTGATGGTTGGGCGCGCGCAGCTACCGAGTCGCAGGTTCACCGTGAACTTGGTGCGTCGACCACTCTCTCGCTCGGTTTCTTTCTCCTCCTCCGAGGTTGACGAAGCCCCCTTTCTTGTCCCTACCAGCTTCCGGCATGTCGATGCCCAGTACGTCCTCCATTCTCCTGACCCTCCCTTTCCCAACTAACTCCTCACACGCCCGCTTCGCGCGCAGTCGGCTTCAAGAACGGCACCGACGGCTCTCTCCAAATCGCCATCGACGCGATCGGCGCCGCGGCCGCCTCTCACTCGTTCCTCTCCGTCACCAAGCAGGGAATCTCCGCCAGTGCGTCCTTCTCCCCGCTCCCTCCCCCTCTCCTCTTCCCTTTCTTTACTGACTCTTCACTGAGAATGACAGTCGTCGAGACGGAAGGGAATCCCGCTTGCCACGTGATCCTCCGCGGATCGAACCAGGGCCCGAACTATGAGAAGGAGCATGTGAAGAAGGCGGCGGAGGGATTGAGGAAGGCTGGGTTGGTGGATAAGGTCATGATTGATTGGTGCGTCCGCTCGCTTCCTTCCTACCCGCCTGTCATGCTTCGCCCACTGACTGGACATTGTCGGGTGGACGCTGCAGCTCGCATGGTAACTCGAGCAAGAAGTTTGAGAGGCAGGTGATTGTCGCGGAGGACGTTGCGAAGCAACTCGGAGAGAAGGAGACCGCCGAGCACATCATGGGCGTCATGGTGCGTCCCGCTCTCCTCCTCTTCTCGTCCTTCTCACGCTCGAGTGTAGGCGCTGATGTGAAGTTGGTTGGGACACGCAGATCGAGAGTCACCTCGTTGAGGGGAAGCAGAGTATTCCAGCGAACGGACCGCAGAACCTCGTCTACGGCCAATCCGTCACGTTCGTCCCCTCTCCCTGCCCAACCTTCTTTCTCCTTCCTCTCGTTCTCCCCCGCACTCTCCTCCCCTCACCTTGTCTGTCTTTTCCCGCACTTCGCTAACACCCTGTGACACCGCAGCGACGCCTGCATCTCCTGGACCACGACCGTCCAAGTTCTCGACACCCTCCGCCAGGGCGTCCGCGCACGCCGCGCGCTCCTCGGCGCCGAAGCAGGACGTAAGGGAATCGACAACACCGCCTTGGCGACGGCGAGTGAGAGGGCTAGTTCGGTAGAGGGCGTGAGGGACTTCAATGATCCGGCGCAGTTCCCGGCTGCTTGAGCCCGCGCGATGGGCGAGGAATGGGGAAGGAGAAGCGAAGTGTAGATGCCTGTACAGGTGTGGAAAATGGCTAGCAGTACGGCCTTTCGCAGTGCTCTCCTCGGCACCTCCAGCGAGCGATAGACGGAGCCATCCCCCTTCCATATCGAACTTCCTCCCCGCCGACGGTTTCTCGCTTCCGAGCGACACGCACGCGAGTGGCTACACACTTACACACGCGTCCGGCAGCCGAGTAATCGCCCGCCATCGCTGCCGGACCCCGAAGTCCCGACTTGCGCAAGTTCTCGGCACCTTCGGGCGTTGGCTCAAAAGCGCGAAAGACGTCTCTCTTTCTCCTGATCTGCACAACAGCGACTCAAGAACGACGATGCAGTATCCCCAGCCTACGAATGAAGCGCCGTACCCGCAGGCCATGCCGAAAGGAGACGGACCTTCGCAAATGCACTTCAATAGGTGCGTCGCTTCATGTCTCGCTCCTTCTCGCTCTTCGTATATCGAGCTGACCTCGACGTCGCCTTCCGACAGCGGCCAACCCCACGCCCACGCACCGAACCCGCACGCCCGTCCTTCGTACCCTCACCCTCACCCCTCAGCACACTTCGAACACCCTCACTACCCCTCCTCGACTCCCTTCTCCCGCTTCTGGGGCTGGACGGGCTCGTACGCTGTCCCGCCTCCTCCCGCCGGTCCCGCACTCGGCCCCTACCCTCACCCTCATCCGCACACGCCTGCGTCGGTGCACCACCACGCCTACTTCCGCCGCTCATGTCGACCTCGCTCGAGGCTCTTCGTCCCAATCCTCCTCGTCGTTGGCGGGGTGGTAGCGTACAAGCGTCTGCAGAGGGATATCGAGGACGTCCGGACGCAAGCAGTTGACCGCGAGGGCAGGCCGTTGAGGAGTTCGACGGAAAGGAGGTGGGAGGAGTGGAGGGATCGGGCGGGCGGGTGGCGCGAGAGGGAGGAGGAGATGAGGAGGATGAGGGGGGGGAGGGAGGGAGAGGAGAAGTGGGAGGAAAGGTGGAGGGCTGCGATGAGCCAGCAGCAGCAGCAGCAGAGTCCGGCGGTAGCGGTCGAGCAGCAGAAGGAGCAGGAGAAGTGGGTGTGATGTGGCGGCTGAACGAGTGACGGATCCTGCGATGCAATGCTGAGACGGTACCTAAGTCCCCGTGACGGTCTGTTAGAGGTCGTCGTGCGTCTTCTTCGCCTTGTGACCTTGCTTCGTCTGCGCAAACTCGGCAAGGAACTTGTGCAGCGAGTCGTACTTGAGCGGACCTACTCTTCCCGAATCAGCTGGCACGTCTCTGTTACGGAGAGCTCGGAACGCACCGTCGTACTTGCTCACCTCACCGCCGTGCAGGACAAGTAGCGCAGGCGTCTTCTCCACGCCAAAGCTCTTCATCGCCCCCTCGCCGACCTTGGTATCCCGCGCGGCGTAAAAGTCGATCGAGCGGTGGAAGTCGGTCGAGAGGGCTTTGTACAGCGGCGTGACCTTGCCTGCGGAGGTGAAGAGCAGCGAAACGGGCTTGGAGGCGGCCTGCGGGAACGGCCAGAGTTAGCGGAACAGCTCGAGGTGGAAAAGCGGGAGACGCGCCTTTTCTCGCAACTCAGCCACCTCGGCAGCGGTGCCCGCCCGCTTCACGAACGTAGGCATGTTGCCTGTGGCCGCGGCGATCATGTCCCTCGTCTCGCGAGGACCGTCGTAGCCTGCGAGTAGGCGGAGCATGAGAGCCGTTCTGAGGCAGAGGCTCGACGAACGTACTGCGAGGAGGAGCAGATCCGCCGGGGAACATCTGGTGAGTGAGGAACTTGTCAGTCCACGAGAATCGCCCGGCTCAAGCCCGTGCAGACCTTGAGAGTCGGGAAGCCTGCGAAGCGAATAGGTAAGCGAGCCGAAAGCCCTGCTGGCGAACGCTAGCTCACCTTGGATGCCCATCTCGCCGCATAAGGGCTTGTTCTCATCAGTGTCACAGTCAACCGAGACTATAGGACGAAGCGAGCGGAGAGAGTGAGCGAAGGGACGTGGTTGCGAGCGGACGAAGCGTGCTTACCGACGTTGACGATCCCCTTGAGACTGTCCGCCACCCGGTCATACTCTGGCGCAAGCTTCTTGCAGTAGCCGCACCTGTTCCACCCGCACATCAGCCGACGGTCTGCGAGGTCTAGAGGGGAGAAGCGGGACTGACCAAGGCGCGACGAAGGCTGCGAGCGTGAGCTTGTCGGACGAGTGCACAGCCTTTTTGAACGTCCTCGTCGTCAAGTGCTTGACGTTCGGCGAGCGGAAGACGGCAGCGTGTGCGGTCGAGAGGAGGATGAGGAGGGTGCAGAGCGAGAGGAGAGAGCGCATGGCGGGCGGCGGGGAGTCCGGGTGGCTCGAGTGGGTCAAGACAGAGCTCTGCGGGCCAGCTAGAGCCTGTTCTAAGCGATGCAGCGAGCGGTCGAGGGCGAAGGGGAGAAGGGAGAGGACGGCTCCACCTCAACCGTTCACCACGCCGCCTCAATCGCTCAAACGAGGCTGACTGGGCTTACAGAGGTTGTTTGAACTGCTTGCTCGCCGCGGAAGCCGCCTCACTCACTTGAACGGCTCTCGCGCGTCGACTGCACCCTCATCTCCACCGACAGGTCTCCGTTCCGCAGGTCCACGGCAACTCGAGCGGTAGATAGTTGAAGGACACGCAGGGCTGATACAGGTGCGCTTCGGTGCTTTCATCATGGTTTCCGGTGGCCAGGACTAAGGCAGCGGGCGCTTTGTACCTCGATCCGACTTGCTGCGGTGGGGTGGGAGGACGAAGGGCGCGAGGGGCGGCTAGAGAGGCGTGCGCGCGTCGACAGACTGGCGTTGACATCTTTCTCGTCGCAGAAGGCCCGCCAGCTGATCTCCCACCATGGCGACAAGCTACGCCTACCCTCCCCTGCCGCTGTCGGTCGAAGCGTCCGACACGCTGCGCTCGTTCCTGCGGGTAGTCATCCTCTGCCTGATTGCGGGCGCCGCCGTTGCGTCCCGCGAGTTTGCCGTCGTCCGCTTCGAATCGATCATTCACGAGTGCGTCCCGGAGATCCTCCTCTTCCCTGTAAAAGCTCACGGCCCGCTCCTGCAGGTTCGATCCTTGGTTCAACTATCGAGCGACGCGAGTGCTGACTGAAGAGGGCTTCTATGTGCGTGTCCACCGGTCTGGGCACCGAGGATGCCGCTGACCCCCTCGTGCTGGCAGGCCTTCTGGAATTGGTTCGACCCGACGGCATGGTACCCGCTCGGACGCGTTGTCGGCGGAACGCTCTACCCTGGATTGATGGTCACCAGTGGCCTCATCTGGAAGGTTCTCCACATGCTGTCGATTCCCGTCGACATTCGCGAAGTCTGCGTTCAGCTCGCGCCCGCCTTCTCCGGCCTCACCGCCCTCGCGACCTACTTCTTCGCCAAGGAAGTTGGCAAGGAAGGCAGTCGGGAAGGAACGGGTCTCTGGGCAGCCCTCTTCATCGCTATCGCCCCCGGCTACATCTCGCGCAGCGTCGCCGGTAGTTACGACAATGAAGCGATCGCCATCTTCATCCTCATGATCACCTTCTACCTGTGGATCAAGACGGTCAAGACGGGATCGGTCCTGTGGGCGGGAGTGACGGCCCTGTTCTACTTCTACATGGTCGCCGCGTGGGGTAAGTCTCCCCTCCGCATCGCATCCTTTTCTAGCTAACACGGCCGCATACAGGTGGCTACGCCTTCATCACCAACATGCTTCCCCTGCACGTCTTCGTCCTCCTCCTCATGGGCCGCTGCTCGTCCCGCCTCTACGTCGCCTACTCGTCGTTCTACGCCATCGGCACCCTGGCGTCAATGCAGGTGCCGTTCGTCGGTTTCCTCCCGCTCCTCACGTCAGAGCACATGGGTCCTCTCGGCGTCTTCGGTCTACTCCAAATCGTCGCCTTTGTCACCCTCGTCAAGTCGCTCGTCTCGGAGCAGCACTTCCGCCTCCTCTTCCGGTCGTTCCTCGGCCTTGGCGTTGCCCTCGCCGTCGGCGGATTGTGGTTCATGACCAAGTCGGGCAAGATTGCGCCGTGGACGGGTCGTTTCTACTCGCTGTGGGACACCGGCTACGCGCGCATCCACCTCCCCCTCGTCTCGTCCGTCTCGGAGCACCAGCCGACCGCCTGGCCGTCGTTCTTCTTCGACCTCCAGATGCTCATGTACCTCTTCCCCGCCGGCGTCTACATCTGCTTCCGCGAGCTCCGCGACGAGCACGTCTTCGTCATCATCTACTCGGTCCTCGCGTCCTACTTTGCCGGCGTCATGGTCCGCCTCATGCTCACCCTCACGCCCGTTGTCTGCGTCACCGCCGCTGTCGCCATCTCGTCCGTCTACGAGACGTATCTCGACCCGCGCGAGCCGGACCAGGGCGCCAAGTCGACTGTCACGCCTGCCGCGGCCAAGCAGGCTGTTGTAGGCGAGGTCGAGGCGATCGCTGCAGCTATCGAGGCGTCGGCACCGAGCACGCCGTCGAAGAAGGGCAAGAAGGCGGTCGCGGCGCACAAGGCCGACGCACCCGCCGCCTCCACTTCGTTCGCCTCTGCCGACTCGAAGACCCGCCGGTTCGGCATCATCGGCCTCGACTCGCGCTTCATTCCCGTCATCGCCTTCACCTTCATCTCGTTCCTCTTCGTCCTCCACTGCACATGGGTCACCTCGTCCGCCTACTCGTCGCCCTCGGTCGTTCTCGCCAGTCGCGGACCGGATGGCCAGCAAAACATCATCGACGACTTCCGCGAGGCGTACTACTGGCTCAGGCAAAACACGAAGGAGGACGCAAAGGTCATGAGCTGGTGGGACTATGGTTACCAGATCGCCGGCTTCTCGAACCGCACGACGCTCGTCGACAACAACACCTGGAACAATACCCAGTGCGTTCGGCTTCTCACGCTCGCATCCGGACCACCTCTGACGCTTCTCTCGCAGCATCGCTACGGTCGGCAAGATCATGTCGGTCCGCGAGGAGGTTGCCTACCCGATCCTCCGCAAGCACGACGTCGACTACGTCCTCGTCATCTTCGGCGGCCTGCTCGGCTTCTCGGGCGACGACATCAACAAGTTCCTGTGGATGGTGCGCATCTCGGAAGGAATCTGGCCGGACGAGGTTAACGAGCAGAAGTATTTTACCCCTCGGGGCGAGTACCGCGTCGACGATCAGGCGAGCGACACGATGAAGAACAGCTTGATGTACAAGATGAGCTACTACCGCTTCAACGAGCTGTATGGCGGCGGACCCGCCCAGGACCGCGTCCGAGGACAGGCCATCCCGCCTGTCCCGATCCAGCTCGACACACTTGGTGCGTTGAGCTTCTCTCCCTCCTGGTATAGCGAGTCGCTGACGATTGCCGCCATCACGCAGAGGAGGCCTTCACGTCCGAGAACTGGATCGTCCGGATCTACGCCGTCAAGAAGGAGGACAACCTCGGCCGCGACCACCGCTCGGCAAACGCCTTCCTCCAGGGCAAGCGCAAGAAGCGGTCACGGACGCCTGCATCGAGCTCGGCGGCCAAGGTCAAGCGGAAGGCGGCGTGATGGACGTCGGACAGCTCGTCTCTCTAGATACAAAAGCTGCAATGCCTCGCACTTACACCCGCTCACATCGAGATGCGCACCCACATTTGGTACTCGTACTGAACAAGCTTCTCCTCGCCTTTGACAGCCTTGTCCTGCTCCGTCTGCTTGCCCTCGGGCACGTCCCAGCCCGCCCATTGCCGCAGCTCGTCGTGCGAAGCCTGCCGCCATACTCGTCGTCCATCTGCGCTCGTGTCGGACTGGAAATCGTGGAGGAAAGTGTCGCAATCGGGGTACTCGGTGAAGAGACGGGTGAGGAGGACGCGATCGACGGTGTAGCTGGACGAGGAGGACGCCGCTTGTCCCGCGGCTTCGTCCAGCGTCGCATTGTAGAGTTGCGCGCCTCCTATCAGGAAGGCGCGGTTCAGGGGGGAGTTTGCCGAGCGGAGGATGTCTACGGCGGAAGGAAGGGAAGAAGCGAGGTGGGTATGGGGAGCAGGGCCGCTGCGAGCTCGAGAGTCCTGCGTCAGCTTCAAGTCGGCCACGGAGAACGCTGGACGAACGCACAGGTCGAAGTCTTGCTGCCTGCTGACGACGACGTTGACCCGACCGGGCAATGGGCGGAACTTGCTGGGAATGCCCTCCCAGCTCTTCCTGCCCATGATGACCGCATTCGCCAGCTCCTGTCCCTCTCCCTTGGTCATCCTGGCAAAGTACGCCATTTCCTTCGACAGCCGCCATGGCAGCGTCGAGTTGCGACCGATTCCGTGCGAAGGTGTCGCGGCGACGATGAGCGTGAGCGAGAGCTGCCGTGGGAAGGGCTTAGTCAGTAGAGAACGATTGAAAACGTCCACACGTGCGCTCACTGGCTTCATCGCGTCAGTCATGGTCGTGGGACGAGGACGACAACCGCCCCACCTTCGCGCCGCGACGAGCAGGACTTGCGAAGAATCACTCTCGATCTCACAAGGACATCGCAGAGCTAGCTTGACACGGCTGTGATTGCAGCGAGACGAGAGCGACGTACACGAGGACAACGAGCAGCTTCCAGGCAGGCAGGCTTTCAGGGAGAAGCAGGGGTTCAGCCTCGACGAGCGGATGCGACGGGAACGTACCGTGCGTTGTGCTGAGCGAACGGCATGCTGAGAAGATGCCGAGGGCAAGTGAGCGCATCATGCGGACGGGGGAAGAGGAAAGCCAGAAGAAATCGTCCGCGTACTCTCCTGCGGCGCCTTGTTGGCTGGGTGGTCAAACGAACGTCTGGGAGTGCAAGTATGATGGGACGGGAAAGAGATAGAGAGATTAAACAACCTGGTAGCGACCCATCGCGGCTCCGCCTCCTCCGCCAGCGAGTTGCCGCTGCTCGGCCTGCGAAATCGATCCAGGTCAGCGCATTCTCGACGCACTGACAAGCAAGAAAGGTCGGACGCACCTCGAGAGCCATCGTCGCACCCTCGACGAGCGCCTTCTTGACCTCCTGGATGGCATGCTGGACCTGCGGAGGGATGCAAAATCGAAGTCAGCGAGCCGCCAACATGGACCTGACGCCGACGCGCTGCCGACGGTGGCAACCCGACAACGCTCGCTGGGTTATCGACGCACCCTGAACTCCTCGTTCGACTCTATGAGCAAGTGCAGCTTGGGCAGGTCATTTGGTCCCGGCTCCTTGCCGGCCTCGTAGAAGGTACCCTTGGCCGTGATGGACGCGCCAGTCGCCTCGACGAGCTGTAGGAGCATGCATCGTCAACTGCGCCCGGGTTAAGCGATGCGGAAAGGCGGGACGCACGTGAACCATCGTGTCCTTGTTCGTGACCTTCCACCTCGCCTTCTGCGGGTAGTCGTTGATCCAGATGATGGCGTGGAAGTCGGTCGCATCCGGGTCGCGGCGACGAGCTGCCTCAGTCGAGTTATCGTCCGACTGCGCAGACTGTTTCCTCGCCTTGAGCATCGCGTTGAACTTGGCGATGACGCTGGCCGCGCCGACGGCCCCGGCGGATTTGCTGAACAGGGAGTCAGCTATGGACGGTTCGAGAGGGAGCGAGAGGCGACGCACCCAGCAGCGAGCGCTTCCTGCTCGGCCTTCTTGGCCGCCTCGTCCGCCGCCTTCTTGTCGGTCGGCGTGGACACGACCGACGTGGCAGTCGGCATGCTCTTGCCCTTCTCGAGGTTGGGCGCCGGTCCGCGCATGACCTCGACCTGCAAGTCGGCGACGTTCTGAGCCGTCTTCTCCGCCTCGGTCTGCTCGCCCTCCTCCTTCTTCTCGTCCTTGGCCGTTTCGCCGTACGCAGCTCGTTCGGCGCGAGAGGCGGCGTCTCGCTCGGTGTCGAGTCGCTCGAGACCCTTACCGCCGAAGCCAGAACCCGCAGCTTGCGCCTTGCCCGCCTTGACCTTTTCGGCGAACGCTGGGTTGCGAGACAAGTCAGCAACGCTCTCCGATTGCATGAGGAGCGTCGACTCACACTTGGCCATCTCTTCGAGCTCGGGCGGGACAGGGGCGTTCGAGGCCTGGAGAGCCTTGAGGATGTCAAGCGAGTACCGCTCCTGCTCGGGCGTGATGAACGTGACGCAAGTGCCGGTGTTTCCCGCTCGTCCCGTCCGTCCAGCACGATGAACGTAATCCTCCATGTGGTTAGGCGGGTCGTACTGGATAACGAGCTTGAGCTGCTTGACGTCGAGACCGCGGGCGGCGACAGACGTGGCGATGACGATGGGGCAGCTGCCGTTCTTGAAGTCGACAATCGTCTGGTCCCGGTCGACCTGCTCACGTCCGCCGTGCAGCGGCATGCACGTGTAGTTCTTGTTCTTGAGCTCGACGAACAGCTTGTCGGCAGTTTCCTGCCGCTCGACGAAGATGAGCGCTCGTGCGTCCTCCTCGTCGTTGAAGAGCTTGCCGAGCAGCTCGAGCATGCGGTTGAAGCGAGTTTCTTCGCCGCGAACCTCGACAACTTGGGTGATCGTGTCGGCGACGACGGAGCGGCCGCCAACCGTGATCTCGAGCGGACGCCGGAGGACCTTGCGAGCGAGCGCCTCCATCTGTCGCGGGAATGTGGCGGAGAAGAGAACGGTCTGGCGGTCTGGTCGGATCTGGCCGATGATCTTCATGACCTGCGGCTCGAAGCCCATATCGAACATGCGGTCTGCCTCGTCGAGGACGAGATACGTCACCCGCTGAAGGTTGATCAATCGGCCCGAGTTGGTTGTCAGGAGCTCGATCATCCGGCCAGGCGTGCAGACGATGACTTCGGATCCGCGCTTCATGTCGGCAATGTTGTCCTTGAGGGGCATGCCGCCGTACGCACATGAGGCCTGTCAGGAAAACGGAATCAGCGAAGCAGCCCGACAAGGGGCAGGAGAATGGAGTCGCACCCTGAGACCGAGCGCTTTCAAGAACGGCTTGCACTCCTTGTAGATCTGGGTCGCCAACTCGCGCGTCGGCGTCATGATCATGGCAATCGGCCCGTCGAGCGGTCGCAGAGGCGGCTGGTCCTTGATGTGCCGGAACATGGGGAGGATGAAGGCCATCGTCTTGCCGGAACCTGTCTTGGCGACACCGATGATGTCGCGGCCGGACATGATGGACGGAATCGCTTGCGCCTGGATGGACGTAGGCGCGGCGTATTCAAGACCCTTGATGACGTCGATGCTGAGGGAGAGAGCGAGTCAATCGAGCGCAAAAAAGGGGAAACGAACAAGCTGGAACGCACCAAGCCGCCGGCAATCCAAAGTAGCTCCACTTAGTCGCAGGCTTGGGAGGCTCCGCACCGCGAACCTTGATGTCGTCGAGCTCGAGCCGGAGCGCGTCCGTCTCTTCCTGCGAGAGGTTGGCGACTTCGGGAGGCGCGGTGTAGAAGGCTTTGCGGAAGGGGAGATAGTCGATCTTCGAGTGGTCGGGAACGGCGAGCTCGCGGCCCTTCTTGACCTTTTTCGCTGCGAGGCTGTGCGGAGCGAGATGTCAGACCCGGCGGAAGGCGAGAGACGCGAAACAACACGCACGCAAGGATGTCCTGCGCCGACGTCCCAACCTTGTCCAACTCGTTCTCGTCGCCCCCATCTTGGTTCTCATCCTCGCCCGGCTCTGTCGGTTCCAGCAAGACCTGACCCTTCCGACCCTGCGCCATCTTGGCCTGATCCTCCTTGTCGACATTCCGCACCTGCTTCTGCACGCTCTTCATGTACGCCTCGAGCTCATCTTCCTCGTCTTCTTCTTCCTCGGCTGCTCCGTTCGTACCCGCCGGAGCGTCGACATCCATCTTCGAGTCGTCGTCCTCCTTGACGGCGCTCGCAGGTGCATCAGCCGAATCAAGCTGCATCTTCTCCTCCCTATCCGCGCCCTCCTGATTCCTCAACGCCGCCATCCTCGCCTCCCTCATCCCATGCGCATTCGCCCTATACGCCGCGCCGCCCTCCAAATCCTCCTCGTCGTCCTCATCGTCGCTCCCCGCTCCTGCTGCCGCCATATCAATGTCCCCCTCGATCTTGATCATCCCAGGCTTCTTCCGACCATCGTCTTCGTCGTCCCCGCCCATCGCCATCGAGAGCGAGTTCTTCAGCCCGCTCGAACGGAGGGCGGTCGAGCGGGCGAGGGAGAAAGTCGGTTTAGCGGGGAGAGAGGCGGAGAGGGGGTTCGAGCGGACGGAGGTGAGGGTAGAGAGGCGGGAGGAGATGGCGGCTGCTGCGGCGGCCGCGGCGGCGGTTGCGTCGGCAGGAGTGGCGGCGGGTGCGGCGGGCTTGGCGGTGGAGATGGGCTTCGAGAGCGAGATCGGCTTTGTAGGAAGGGCTGTGCAGAGCGATCGATGAGTTAGCATGCGTGTTCCAGCGAAACGAAGTAGACTGGGCGCACCGGCGGCCATGGCTGCGACCGGCTTGGCAGGCAATCCCGCAGGACCAGCCTTCACCGGGACAGGTGACGTAGGCGCAGGAGAAGCAGGAGCAGCCTTGATGGGCTCCGCCTTCTTCGGTTCCTCCGGCTTGGGCGAGGCGGCAGCCGGCGTCGGCGCAGGACTCGCCCCTCCGCTTCCTGACGCTGAAGCCGCTGCAGCAGCCTCGGCAGCCTTCTTCTTCTTCCATGCCTCGAGTCGCTCGCGCTTCAACCGCTGCTTCTCCTCGTCTGCCGCGGCGGTGGAAGACGACGCGGCTGGCGAGGCAGAGCCGCTTGCTCCGATGGGCGTCCGGTCGCCGTTCAGTGCCGGTGGTACTGGAGAAGCAGCGGTAGGGGTAGTGATGACAGGCGACATGGCGCGGCGGTCGGTGCGAGTGCGTTCAGGCGAGCGAGAGCGATACCCGTCTTCCCGCCGAAGCGACCGCTCGTCCCTGTGCGACCGGCTGCTTCGACTGTAGTGGCGGTCGTCGTCATCCTCGTAGCGCCTGCTACTCCGCCGGCGCTCGTCGCGCGGTGACCGGGCATAGTCATCTCCTCCTCCTCCTCCTCGCCTGCTGCTCCCCCGATCCGAACGAGGCGAGTCGTCATACGCCCGTGACGAGCGATGCTTGCTGTCCCTCTCGTAGTCGCGGTCCCTGTCCCTGTCCCTCCTTCGCCCGTCAGAGCCTCCATCTCGGTCCCTCCGCCTCTCGTAGTCCCTGTCCCGGTCTCCGCGCCTGCTGCCGCGGTGCTCGTCGTACTCGTCCTCCCGCTCGCGGTGGTGTCTGCTCGAGCGACCTGTGCCGCTCCCGCTGTGTGCTGAGCGAGGGGAGGCGTCGTCTGAATCGTACCGGCGCCGCTTGCTCGAGTGGTGGTGCGCCGAGGGTGACGGTGAGCGGGGCATGCCTAAGCAGAGCTAGCAGAGCAGGTGCTGCCCAATCAAGCAGCAATCCAGCAGCGGGTGAGTGTCAAGCGCCTTCACAACAGCTCGCTCGAGAGGAGAGTGCGAAGTTGCGGACAGGGGGACGCCACCACCTCCCTCTTCTCTCCTCGGGGGACTGGATGATTCGCGCGTGTCAGGTCAGCACTACACATACGACAGTAGCACCGCTCAGGCTGGGCGAGTTCACCGCACCAGGTTGCCGTCGGCGTTCGCTCCCCTCCCCGACCGGACTCCGCTCCTCGCTCTGGCACGCACCGCAACCCGCATCGCAGGGCTAGCAGACACGCTCACTAACTCACAAATGTTCAGCTCGACCAAGTGGCAGTCCGCGCGCGACGCAAAGAAGTGCGCTCGCCGTTCCCGTCCTCGTCCCTTCCCCACTTCATCCCGCTCGCGAGTTGACCGTTCGCACGCTTCGACGCAGGGCGGAGCAGCGCGAGTTGATCGAGCGCGGGAAGGAGGTGGTGCAGATGCAGGCGGCGGGCATCTCGGACGAGCTCGACAAGGCCATCCTCGGCGCGACGGCGGTCGAGATTGTCCGCAACATAGAGGAGAAGAAGCCCGGCTGGACCGCGACGAACGTCTTGCTCGTCTTCATTCGCTCGGCCATCCGCGCGCACGAGTCGACCAACGCCCTCACCGAGATCCTCTTCGACGAGGCGCTCAAGCGGGCTCAGGACCTCGACGCCGAGTTTGCCAGGACGGGGAGAGTCGTCGGACCGCTGCACGGCGTGCCCGTTTCGCTTAAGGACCACATCGACATCGCCGGCTACGACACGACCATGGGCTTGACGCACATGACCTCGCAGCCCGTCGAGCAGGACTCGGGAATCGCTCGCGTCCTCAAGAAGGCTGGCGCGGTCCCGTTCGTCAAGACCAACATTCCGCAGACGATGCTAGCCTTCGATTGCGAGAACCCACTGTTTGGCGCCACGAACAACCCGTACAACCCCGAGCGCATTCCTGGCGGATCCTCAGGCGGCGAGGCAGCCTTGCTCGCGAGCGACGGGTGCGTTCTCCGTCTCTACTCTTCTCACTCAACGCTGGCTCACCATGTACACGTGGCACAGCTCCGTTCTCGGCATCGGCAGCGACATCGGCGGCTCGCTCCGCATCCCGGCCCACTTCAGCGGCTGCTTCAGCCTCAAGCCCTGCTCCGGCCGCTTCCCCGCCAGCGGATGCCAGAACTTCACGCCAGGCTTCGAAGGCGTCCACTCGACGATGGGACCGATGGGCCGCTCCGTCTCGGACGTCGAAGCCCTCACGCGCCTCTTCCTCGACGCCAGCATCGACGTCTCCCGAACGGAAACGGGCGTCTTTCCCATGCCTTACAGGAAGGACGTCGAGTTGCCGAAGAAACTCAAGTTCGGCTACTTCCTCACGGACGGGTTTTGCAAGGCTAGTCCGGCGTGCGAGAGGGCGGTTTTGATGGCTGTCGAGGCGCTGAGGAAGAAGGGGCACGAGTGTGTCGAGTTTGAGCCGCCGACTCGTGCGTTCTAGCAGATTTCTCGGTGCTCTGCGCCTCGCTCACCTGCTCGCTACTCCAGCCCTCGAAGCGATGGAGTACTTTACGGCGCTCACTTCGGCGGACCGCTGTACGCCTCCTCCTTTGCCTCGCCTGCATCCCGCTGACCCCGCTCTCACGCAGACGAAACCCTCCTCTCCTTCCTCCGCGGTGACCCCGCCGAATCCGCCCTCTGGCTCGTCACGATAGGTCCCAAGTTGCCCGCCCCCATCCGGTGGTTCCTCAACTGGGTCTTTGAGAGCGTCATGGGAGACCCGAAGATGGCGAGGTTGATGAGGGCCAGTAAGGGGAAGAGCGTGGTCGAGGTACAGCAGTGGCAGCATAAGAGGGATGTGTTTGTCGACAGGGCGCGCAAGCAGGTGCGTCGTGTGCTCGGATCGGGTTGAGCGGTCGCTGATGACGTTGTTGTTGCAGCTTTGGGAAGAGCACGGGTTCGATGCGGTCCTCTGCGCTCCGCAGGCGACTCCCGCTCTCAAGCACGGCGAGACCTGGGACCTCTCCGTCCTCGCCATCGGTTTGTCCTCTCACTCGGTTTTCGCTCGGCAAGCTCACATTCGCGCATCTTGCAGGCACCATCCTCTGGAACGTCATTGACAGTTCGGTCGGCCACCTCCCCATGACCTTTGTCGACTCCACTCTCGACGCCCCCTCTTCATCCTGGTGGGACGCCCAACGCGCCTCACCGGGCTCACCGATGGTCGAGAAGCGCGTGTACGGAAAGGGCGGGGTGTACGACGCGAAAGCGATGGAGGGCTTGCCGGTTGGGTTGCAGATTGTTGGGATGCAGTATGACGAGGAGAGGGTCATTGAGTTGATGAAGGTTGTGGATGAGGCGGTCGGGAAGAGGGGGTTCGGGCCCGGCGAGTTCAGTAAGAAGATGAAGGGCGCGGAGAGGGTTTATTGAGGGCGCACGAGGAGGGAAAGGCGGCGGGGCCGAGCATCTCGGGTTCTCAAGGGTCAGTATCGTGCGTCATGACTGTGCAGTACAGTCTCTTTGTGCTCCCCAGCATGCGACGGTGTCCACAAAAAATGCGAGTTGCGAAGGCGTGAGAGGGCTACAGGGGATCGTACAACACGGGCGAGGGAACGGAAAGGAGCGGAGGTTTCGAGCGTGTCTTCAGGCGACGTCTTTGCCGGCTCGACGGTCCTCGCGACGCTGATCCAGCTGTGAGGGGAACGAAACAGGGTTAGGTACCGGACGGAAAGGCGACTTGGCGAGGAAACGCAACTCACCCAGGTCTTCTTGCAGTCTCGATACTGTTGAAGAACGTCAGTAGACCATCCGACATCGTCCAAAGGAAGAGAAGGAGCGCACTGCTTGGAAGAACTGCGGGAGAGCGGGAAGGAGGAAGGTCAGCGGCACGTCGAGACGTCAGATCGGCAGCTGCAGGACAACGCACCTCGGTACACTTTCCCTTGTCATACGAGTTGTCGTTCAGACACCGCATACTCTCCTGCGAGCCACAGGAAGCGACCATCGGTCAGTCCCCACCTCGTCTCGCCGTCCTCAAACCGCTCAAGGAGAGCCAGACGCACCTGGCGAGCAATCTCGCACGGATCTGCGAACTTGGTGTGCGCTTCTCGACCTCTGAACGCCTCGGTGTACGAGCCTGGCGTCTGACCCGACGGAGCGAGTTGAGGTTGCGGAATCGGCGCCGGGCGCGGCTGCGGTGGGTACTGGGCGGACATAGTGCGGTTCAAGCGGGTTGGAGAGAACGTCTGGCGGGCTCAGCGAAGCGTTCGTGCGAGGTCAAGTTGCCTGTCGACCGCCAACTCGCTGGTTGCCCTCCTCGACTTCATCACTCGCGCTCTGTACGACTGCTGGGGTACTGTTGCTCTGCCGAAACACCGAGACAGTCTGACTCAACCGCCTGCGTCTTGCTGGAACCGCTTCGAATCCTTCTGCACCTTACACCATGTCAACGACCCCCTCCATCCCCGCCCGGCAAGATGGCGCAACGAGCGCTCGCTTCCTGGTGGAAGTCATGGCATCGAAGTTTAACGTCAATGGGTGCTGGGTCTGCGGCGCCCCGACGTCGCACAAGTGCTCCTCATGCCAGTCGTACGGGACCGATATCCGCTTCTGCCCGCCGGAGCACCAGAAACTTGTGAGTGTTCCTTGACAGTTGGAAGGAAGGAGAGCGCTCAGGAGACTGACAGACTTCGCGCCTGCAGGTCTGGCCCTTCCACCGACAGACCTGCGGACTTCGCTCGAAGCCTTTCGACTTGCCTCATCTAACCGACGAGCAGATTGCACGCCTTGTAGCCCACAAGGACACGCGCATTCCTGCCTCTGACCTCTCGACGCCATCGGCAAGCGATCACGCGCGGAAGAACGTGTTGCTGGGGGAGTATCTCGAGGAGCATACTGGCTTGGAGCGCGGGAGTTTCGAGACGGCAAGTCATCGGGCTCATTCAGCTGCGTACTGAGCGCTGACCTTCTATTGAGCGCAGCTTTGGGCTTCTCTTGCCCGCCAGGGCTTTCCGTTCGACCCTTACCGTCACCGCCGAGCCGTCTTTGCTAGCTACTACTGCCTGGCGAGGCTTGAATACGAGGACGTCGATGCGGTCGACTTCTACGAGCGCGACTTACCAGTGCACCTAGTCGCCTGGATCTACTACATCTACCGCGCCGACACTCGTTTCTCGACTCGCTTGACCGACGCCTTCTTGCACCGCGCAGTCACGGCGATTGCCGTGGCCACCCTCGTCAAACGGCAGTTTGCAACTCCCGAGTACCTTGCTTTCTTCGAGCATGTCACAGAGCAGCTCCTTCTAGTCGCCCTGTTGGGCATCGAGTTCCTCGACCCCGACTCGGCGAAGCAATTTGCTCACGCCATCACCTGGCACCTGCACGACGCCACATGCGTGCGACCGCTGGTCCACATTACGAGGGATGATGCGGGAGTTGTCATGTTTCACGGCGTCAAATGCGTCGCAAGGCCGACACGCAGCCAACACGGGCCGGACGCGCTCGAAGACGTCGACGCCATTCTTGACGCTTCTCACCACCACTGCAGCGTATCGTAGGTCTGGCCTGCGTTCACAGTGACCCCCTTTGACATGCGTTACGGATAATCTCTCTACCTGCAATTGCGCTCTAATCGGATGGCGAGCCTGCTCGCGTTCTCCTCCAGCTTGGTGCGGCGGACTGCTCACCAGATCTGCCCATGCACTGAGTTGCATACGCATTCGATTCGCTTCTCGCTTGCTTCTCGCTTGCTTCTCGCTTGCTTCTCGCTGCGCGACGCTGTCGCTGGACTCACCAGCCTCCGCGGATCACTCGTCAACACATTGGCTAGAGCAATGGCTAGAGCCATGCTCCCGCTCGATGTGGAGACCATCGAGGACCCCGTCAGCCACGCGAAGGATCTGGCGTCGAGAAGAGCGGTTGACGGTTGCTGGGTTTGCGGCGAGCTGAAGGCGAATCAGTGCTGTCCCTGCCTATCCTTCGGGGTGGAGAGCTAGAAGAGCGTGTGTTACGCCGAGGAGGGACAGCTTAGAGAGAGTCTCGCAACTCGAATGAATTGGCTTCGCCGAAGAAACGCCTGTCTTCCATGTCGTCCATTCACTTCCGCTACTACCCTTGAACAATCCGCCGCCCTAGTTGATCTTCTTGATACGCATCCTTCTCCGCTTGGCCTGGCATTGCGAGACGAGAGAGTCAGCGCATCCTCAAGAGCGAGAGCGAGAGAACACACCTTGAGCATTCCTTTCCTCCGTGCCGTCTTGCCCTTCCCGCCGTTCCTCGCAAGGGGACTCGCCTTCCGCCGCATGCATTTGGGCATCTTGTAACCGCGAACTTGCTGCTGCACCGCCGACGAGAGAGGGGAGGGAGAGGAGTGCCAAAATCCAGGTCGAGCGCCGGCCTGGGCGAGTTCGCGCTGGAGAAGCGATGATTGTGGTCGTGATGCGGCGCTTGACAGGCGGCTTGCGGCGCTCGAGAGGATGGGCGAGAGGGCAGAGGAGGAAGTCGAGATGAGGCGCGAGTGGGAGGGAACGGCGAGCGGCGTGCGCTTGCCAGCTGCCTGGGCGGTCCTGGACAGTGTCCGTGATGCACTTCGGAGCGCGTTCAGCATCATCGACGGTTGTTGATGGTGTGGGCGAGGGGGAGGAGCAGGTCTCTCCTCGACCGTACTCACGACTGGCTCGCACCGCTCAGACTGCCTCGCTTGCACTGTTACACTGCTCAGAAAGCTATTCAGTTCTTACTCAAGCGCGCGCACTGCTCGACTCGCTTCTCGCGCCGTCTACGCCATGTCCTCGCCAGACGACCACACTTCGCCCACTTCCCCGGCTCAGACTGCTGCAGAGGCCGCCTTCAACGCCGAGATGATCCGCCGCGAACACGACGAAGGCGAGGAGGCGGACTCTAATGCGCTCGAAGGTGGGCCAGACCCGTTCAGGCTCACTTGGCGACCCTCGCTCACCGTCTGCTCCGTCCCACAGCCATTCTCTGCGAGATGGACGAGCTCAAGCGCGACATGCTCGTCGCCATGTACCGTGCAGTCACTGGCGCTGAGGACGAGCGCCTCAAAAAGCTCGCAGCTATGGCTCAGGCGGCTCACGACAAGGAGGACGAGAGGGGTTCGTCTGCAATCCGTCCCTCCAGCACGCTGTGTTATGCTGACAGCTTGTGGTATACTAGAGGCGGTCAAGTCGACTTTCACTGCCTTCGGCGACGGCCTGCTCAAGCTTGTCACGCCCTTCTTTGCCTTGCCTGGTTTCTCGCGCTTCGTCACCATGCCTTCACCCGACACGAACGCTGCTCACATCAAAAGTGTCGATCGCTTCGACTTCCATGCTCTTGCAGCCGAGACCTTCACCAAGGCCGACGTCGACCTCGACGAGCTCGAGGGTGCGTCGCGCCTTCTCCCTTTCCCTCGCTTATAATTCCTGACAATCTCGTCCTCGCAGCTGCTCTCAAGGGCGTCCACGACTTCTTCGACCGTCTCAGTGCTTGCATCGTCGTGACCGCGCAGACTGTCTCCGACGCTTACCAAAAGAACCTCGATGAAGCGCTCGACAAGGTCGCCCGCCAGGAGAACAAGCTCGGTTCGTCTTCCCGTCGCTTTTGGGTTTGTCGTTCAAGCTGACGGATAGTCGTTCGACAGAATTGGAGCGCCGCTACCGCGCCGAGTTCTTCGAGCGTCTCGGCTTCGCCTCGCAGGTTGTCGTCGAGCGCGAGCGCGAGCTCGCTTCGCCATGATTCGCCTTCTGTCCGATGCGCATGCTTTCTCAGTTGCTTCCGCTTGTGAAAAGAAGCTTGTTGTTGTCCATCGCCTTCGTACGTGCCAGAAAAGCAGGACAGAAGGCTTAAGACGAGAGTGCCTGACGCTAGTTGCAGGAGAGATACAACACACAACTGTCCTCCGAATCGCCAGCCTAGAACGACCAGAGTGCCGAGACAATGTCGACAGGCTCTTCCTCCTCCTGCTTCTCCTCCGTCTCAGCACCTTCTCCACTCGCATGCGGGAAGAACGAGTCGCGTATGGGTTGACGCTGCGGTACGGGCGCGAGAGCGGGTGGTCGGTTCGTAATCTTGCGCGCCAACTCGGTCTCGATGAGCTGCACACGCTTTTACTGTCAGTCGCGCTCGCCGTCAACGCGGGGAAAGTGCACGCACAGTCGCATACGAGTGATCGAGGAAGTCTTCCATCGAGTAGGCCTGCTTGTTCATCGCCTCGCCGAAGACCTTTGCGAGACTCGAGACGCTAGCGAGGTAGTGCTTCTGCAGCGCCGCGAGCTCCCACAGCGACGAGTCGAGCGCGCCGGTCTTCTCCGGGTCGGTCTCGTCGGCGTTGTACGGGTCTGCGCAAAGGAATGAATCAGCGAAGGACAGAGGAGGAGCGGGAGGAAACGAAACGCACCGTTCGACCAGTCAAAGTTGTCTCCCTCGCTCGACCGGTGGATGAGCACCATACAGCTCGGATGCCGCTTGAGCAAGTTGTACACGAATGGTACGACGGTGACGATAGCTGCGGGCGAGGCGGAGAGTGCGAGGCGGGAGAGACGCTTGGCGAAGGAGGCGACGAGGTTGGACGAGAGGTTGAGCGAGCCCATGAAGATTTCGAGGAGGCGGAAGAAACGTGGGCGGTAGCGGACGTGGAGGACGGATCGGTCGAGGAGGGAGTAAAGCTTGGTGTAGAAGCCAAAGTATTCGCTGCGGCGCAAGACCGTCAGCGAGTCAGGCGAAGAAAGGAAGTCTGAGATCCCGCACTCACAGCTTGTGCTTCTGCATGAGGGTGAACAATCCGTTCATCGCCAAGATGCCCACCGTGCCGCCCTTGTCCGCGCAATCGACAAGCCAGTCTTCCAACCGCTTGGGCTCGGTCAAGTGCGGCAAGACCTGCCTGTGCAGCATGATCAAGACGCGCTTGCTGTCCTCCTCGCGGATCGGCAGCGACAAGAGCGCGAACCAGCAGTCCTGGAAGACCCGCCGGTGCGCGACGAGTGAGAGCAGTTTCGGGAGGTTCTTCTTCCGCTGCTGCGAGTTGAGCTGCTTGACCATGTCGGGCTCCGCTTCGGACTCGGAGGAAGACGAGTCGAAGATGCCGGTCGAGCCGTCTGCTCGAGGGTCGTCCTCGTCCGCTTTTCGCTTCTTCGAAGAGGAAGTCGAAGCCTTGGCGGCGGGTGTCGCGCAGAACCACTCGTTAATCTCCGACTGTACGGTCGGCATGGTCGTCAAGGACTCGAGAACGGTGATAGTGTTCGGGATGAGCTGAGGAGGCAGAGGCGAGGGCGGAGAGGAGGAGGCGGCCTTGCCGGCGCGAGAGTAGGTGGACAGCAGGGCACTGAGGAGAGTTGCCCGTTAGGACAGGGCGGATGGAAGCGAAGAGAAAGGACGCACGCAGCCTGCTCTAGGAAGAAGAATCGGACGTCGTCGCAGCGGTCCCACCACTTCTTCCATTCCTCCAAAACGTCCGGGTCGAGCGTGCCGTCTTCCGTCGGTGGCAGCAGGAGCGCGCGGACGACGTAGGCGAAGGTCGAGCGAGCGAATTTGGCCCGTCGTGCAGGGTCTAGCGACGTGAGGAACATGGATTCGGTCCGGACGAGCGACATGAGGGCGTTGAGAGCGGAGAGCTGCGAGAGTGGAAGTCAGTCGCGGGCCACCTCCATTCGCGATATCTCGACGCACCCTGACGGTGCTGTCCCAGTGCCCGCCTGCGACCTTGGCCGTCGCCTCGAGGTAGTCCTGCCATCGCTCGTTCAGCCAGGCCTTGACCCTCTGAACGATCTCGTCCTCCTTCGCAACTTCTTTCCGCCCCTCCGCCGTGTCCACCTTGACCCGCTTCGCCGTCTTCAGTACGCCATGCAGCCTGCCCTGCTTGATGAGCGCCTCAAAGACCGCCTTGATCGAGTGCAAGGCCGTGTGCACCTCCTGCCTGTTCGCCTCCCGCTCCTTGTTGCCGGCGGACGGTGCAAGAGCTAATGGAAGGTCTGCGTAGAGCTGGACGAGGTCTGCGAGAGGGTTGAGGGATGCTGAGGCTGGAGCAGCGGGAGGGAGGAGTGCGGCGAGCTGAGAGATGCGCGAGAGGGTCGACGCGGCCGCCGCTTGCCTCGAAGTCGAAGCTGCAGGCTTCTTCTGCTTGCCTGGCAGCGACTTGATAGCCATCGCAGCGCTGAGCGGTGTGTGGGCCAGCCAACCTTCGCTTGAGCTTCCTCGAGGACGTTGGCTTCGTCGGCACACGCTCACGTCGCCGTGAAAGCCCGTGCTATCGTTCAAGAGTGCTACAGATCCGTTCACAGTGCTGCCACGGCGCCGTTGAGCTTCCCGGCGTCCCCCTCGTCCTCCCACGCTCCCTCGTCCATTCTCATCAGTTGGAGGTGGTTGTTCAGCGGGACGCGCTCGCGGGACCTGCCAGACAGACCAAGGGCGACAGAGGGAATGGTTTGGAGCTGTGCACATGCCGGCAGCCCGAACGGAGGAGCTGACGCAGACCAATCCCGTCTCTCTCTCCCTCGCCGCTGTCCAGCTTACACGCTTGGTCTGCCGAGGACGCACGCGGCTTGGGCGCATCTTGCGACACCACATCGTGGCTGAGCAAAGCGCGCTTACAGGAGCCTCCTTCCCCTCAGCTCGCTGACCGGTCATCGCGCTCAGCGCGCTTACACACCGCTCAGTCATACTTGTTCGCCTCCACTCTTCGCTTGACCGCCTTGATAACGCCTGGTTGCGCTGCCTTCTCTCTCTTTGCTTCATACTCCACTCCTCTCGTCCCTCACCCACTTCCCTACCCCAACTCGCAACCCCAACCTCGCGCAACCATGTCCTCCTCGACTACGACCGTCTACGCAATCTCCGGCGCCTCGCGCGGCATTGGCTTCGCCATCACCTCCCTCCTCGCCCAACGCGACAATGTCCTCATCTTTGCCGGCGCTCGCGACCCCGCCAGCTCGGCCCCGCTCAAGGCGCTCGCTGAAAAGACGGGCAAGGTTGTCCCCGTCAAGCTCGAGTCGGCCAACGAGGACGACGCTGCTGCTCTCGCCAAGCTCGTCGAGCAACAGGCGGGCCACGTTGACTACGTGATCGCCAACGCTGGTACGTCTGATCTCGGTTTTGCTCCGTACGGAACGTCTTGCTGACATTCGTGTTCTCGCAGGCATCGCTGAGGACTTCAACATCCCCGTCTTCTCCGTCCCCGCGGCCTCCTTCACGAAGCAATTCACGGTCAACACCCTCGGCCCCCTCGTCCTCCTCCAGCACCTTTACCCTCTCCTTACCAAGTCGTCCAAGCCCCGCTTCTTTGTGGTTTCCTCCGTCGCCGGCTCGACCACCTTCGCAGCGGGCTCGCCTCTCATCTTCTCTCCCTACGCCGTCTCCAAGGCCTCAGTCAACCATCTCGTCGCCCACATTGCGCGCGAAGGCGAGAAGGACAACCTCGTCGCAACCCTCGTCCATCCAGGCATGGTATTGAGTCAGATGGGGATCGCTGCGTTGAAGGGCATGGGAATCCCCGAGGGCGAGGAGATTCCTGGCATCCCCGCCATCACGCCTGACGAGAGCGCGACCGCGTTGGTCAAGATCTTCGACGAGGCGAAGCGCGAGACGCACAACGGCAAGTTCTTGTCGTACGACGGATCCGAGATCCCCTGGTAGATTGCTTCAGAGCCGTAGAACACACCCCTAGCAGTAAATCCGTACTCAGTGAATTGAGCAGTTCTCGTCGTTCCCTCTCCGGTTCTACGAGACAAGCCACAACATGCTTGCACTGCAGAACGACTGCGAGGTATGCTAAACAACAGGACACGGAATCTATAAGCTAACCGCCCTCGCTCGCTCGACTCGCGCTAGTGCCCATGCCCGACAATCCTGCCAAGTATCGCAGGCGTGACCATCCCCGCGACGACCAACACAACTCTCGCCTTATCCCCGATGCGCTCTTCGTCACTCATCCCGCCCGGCTCGCCCTCCGCCCGCTCATGCTTCTTCTCCTGCTCCCGCACGACATGCGTCGCAACAAAGAGGAACGTCCCGCCGCTGAAGACAAGCGCCAAACCTGTCCACCAGCCAGTGCTTGTCGAGCCTGCCGCGTGATTCGAGAGGAGCGAGAGGAGGGTGTAGGTTGCGAGAGCGCCGAGGGGGGCGGCGAGAGAGAAGAGGATCAGGGCGCGGCGGACGAAGGCGCGGGAGGTGGCTGGTGAGGAGGAGAGGATGGACGAGAGGGCAAAGGCGGTAGGCGCTTTGTGCAACATGATGGCGACAAAGACGATGAGCTGGAGAGACGAGGAAGACGAGGGCGAGTCGCCGACGGACGAGGCGGAGGTCGGAAGGGACGAGGCGCCGAGGGAGACGCCGTCGGCGATGGAGTGCGCCAGCAACCCAATCACCGTCGAGATAGACGACGCGTCCGCCTTGATCAGGTTCGAGTCGTCCCCTGAGGGACGAGGCGACCGGCACCTCGACGATGCTGAGGAGTCGCCTCCCGACTCTTCCCAACGCAATTCGTGGTCATCTTGCGGCTTGCCTCCGATACGCTCGGGGCTCGAGTCCCGAGAGAACGAGCTTCCTCCGCCGTTCGCAAGAGGTTCGAGTTCAGCTTCTCGCGACGGGGTAGGGTGGAAGCGAGGGCGACTGTGTCGGTGGTGGTGATGGTGATGATGACGGTGGTGGTGTGGCGAGCGAGGATTCGGATCAGGGTATTCGTCGTGGCCGTGCAGCGAGTCGACGAGGTACCTACGGAGAAGAAAGGGGTCAGCACGCTCGCCGGGTGTGCTTGAGCCAGTCGGATTCTTCTGAATACCCGTCGGACTCACATCAACAGGAATCCCGCCAGCAACGCCGCGCCAATCCATCCCGAGTTGGACTCGTGCGCATCCTCGACTCCGGTTGACGACCCATCGTCGCCTCCTCCCGAGTGCTCAAAGACCGCTGTGACGCCTTCTGGAATCACGATGGACAGCGCTGCACCGCAAAGCAAGCCCGTTGCTGTGAGATTCGGAACGAACGCAGTCAGCGTCATGACCTCTTTCCCTGTCGCAAGCCGCGCATGCGGTGCGTCGAAGTTCGGCTTCAACGAAGAGAAGGAATGCCGATACGCACCATACGTGGACGTCCGCGTGACTGCCTTGGGCGACAGCGAGATGTAGAGCGGAAGGAACGAGGCGAGAAGGGTTGCGGCAGCCATCGCCGAGGCCAGCGCGGCCAAGTGAGCAAAGCCCATGGTGCCTTGACTCAGTCTAGCGTGTCCTCAGCAGCAACAAAGGGAGAGGACGGGACGAGCTGATGAGGAGGAAGCTCGACCAGGGTTGGCGAGAGACGCCTCGCTCATCCCGCTCAGTCTGGCTCGTACGGGATGGCAGACTCCATCACGCCACTGCTAGATGCCTTGCATCAGGCCCTCGTACCGCCAACCCGCGCCGCCGCTGCTCTTCCCGCCGCTAGCGACCTCCAGTTCGAACGGACACTCTCACGCAAGCTCGCACGCTCCTTGGACACCGAGTCGGAGCGGGTACTCTCACTCGCATCACGAGCGCTCAATTGGGCTAGCAGCGGGAACAATGCCGCAGGAGGAAAGGCGGCAGGAGCGGCGGATCCTGTTGACCCGGACTTGATCCGTGAAGGCGTCTACAACGGCGTGACGGAGCGCATCGAAGCGCTGCTCGAGCAGGCGGATGAGGGCGTCGAGAAGCATCTCGGGATTGGCAAGAATCGCAAGGGAGGGGTCGGGGCTGTTGGCGCCAAGTCGGCTCAGGAGATGGAAGAGCGTGAGCGGGCGAAGGCCAAGGTCGAGCGGTTGCCGGCGAGGCTTCTGCACGATGCGTTGCTCGAGAAGCCCCAGAAGCGCTTCACGGCGCGAACGAGGCTTCCCATCCCCAATGTCGACGACCACTCTGCCGACGGTTCGAGCGCAGTCCCGCTGTGGAAGCCCATATTGCGGCGAAAGGTGAACGCGTCGGCAGGGAAGGATGGCGAAGACGGCTGGCTCAAGGCGGAGCTGTACGAGCCGAAGAGCAACTTCACCCAGACGACCTCGACAAGCCCGCCGACCTACACTCGCTACGCCCACCCATACGCCTCCGAACTCGCCTCTCTCCGTCCTCCTGCGTCCTTCTTCGACAAGCCTCAGAAGCCGACACCACACCCTGCCGACAGCTTTACCAAGACGCCCTTTGAGTGGATCGGAGACGAGAAGGCGCTCGAGAAGATGATTGCGGAGATTCGGCAGGTCGGCGAGGAAGGCATGAAGGACCTCGCCATCGATCTCGAGCACCACGACTTCCGGACATGGAGCGGGATGACTTGCTTGATCCAGGTGCGTTCGCGTCTGCCTCCTTTAGGCGTTTCTTGAGGATCGCCAGTAACAGCCCTTCGTTCGCAGCTGAGTACGCGCAAGAAGGACTACATCATCGACGCGATCGACCCCGGCGTCCGCGAGAACCTCGAGAGCTTAAACGAGTTCTTCACGGATCCCGAGTGGATCAAGGTGCAGTTCTTGACCCTCTACCGCTTGAGCTCTTGCCTGACTCAAGCTCCCGCAGGTTCTGCACGGCGCCAAGTCGGACATCGTCTGGCTCCAGCGGGACTTTGGCCTCTACATCGTCGGATTGTTCGACACCTACCATGCGACGCACGTTCTCGGTGCGTCTGCTCAACTTGTCTCGCCTGTCAACTTCATGCTGATTCACGCTCTCTACAGGGTACGCGCAGCACAGCCTCGCATCGCTTCTCGACATGTATACCGACTTTGAGCCAGACAAGCGGTATCAGCTTGCGGACTGGCGAATCCGGTGCCTACAGCTATCCTTCTCATCTGTGAATGAGCGCTCTCTGACTCGAACCTACGCCCTGCAGACCTCTGCCGAAGGAGATGCTCCAGTACGCCCGCTCCGACACGCACTACCTTCTTGCCATCTACGACCACCTCCGCCTGGCCCTTCACGCCAAGGACGCCGCCTCAAAGGAGACGCCATCCCCTCTCGAAGACGTCTTCAACCGTTCCATCCCCGTCTCGGCCATCACCTTCTCCCTCCCTCCCTTCGATCACGAGACGGGCCACTTCGAGTCGGGCTTCCTCGTCCCTCTCGCTCGCCACGGCCAGCTCAAAGCCTACTCGACCGCTCTCGCCGTCCCGACGTTGCCGATCAAGACGGGCTGGGGACCAGGCGAGGCCAAGCTCGAGGTCTTGCGGGAGGTGACGCGGTGGAGGGAGAAGGTTGCGCGTGAGGAGGACGAGAGCACGCGATACGTGCTGAGTCTGCAAGGCGTGCTGCAGATCACCGAGACCGGAGCGGCTGGGCGAATCAAGGAGGGGAGGGACGTCATGCAGGTTCTGGGAGGTGCAAAGGGCGGAGTGAGCGAGGTCGTCAGGAGGCGCAAGGAGGACCTCGCGCAGCTAGTCAGGGAGACATTCGAAAAGGTGACCGGACGTGCGATCGATGGAGACGCAGAAGGCGACGTCGACATGGTCGGTGGCGCAGCCTCGCTCGCCGTCACCAACGCGCAGCTCAGCCTCCCGGCGCAGGAGCCCGCCGTCCGACCTGCGCAAGGTCTCTGGGGCGATGCGCCCGTCGCCTCGACCTCCTCGTCAGCCCCGCTTGTCCCCGTCGCCTCGAGCTCGAGCTTCTACGGCGCCGCCTCGACCACCTCTGCCGCTACGACTGGCATTTTCGCCTCGTCGAGCTCGTTCTTCGGGGCGTCTCAGGCGAAGAAGACCGCCTCGAAGGCGTCGAAGGGCAAGGGGCGTGCAGAGGAACAGGCTGAAGCGGTCAAGCGCGTCCACGACTCGCTCGTCCTCGGCGGCGGACTCGGTCAAAGCTTGCAGCCCAAGCTCGTCCCGGCGGCGCAGCCGGTCGAGGCAGACGTCGACATGGCCGACGGGGTGGACGATGACGCCGTCGTCGCCGAAGAGCCTGATCGCGGTCCGCCAGCCGCGCTTTCGGCCGACCACACTTACGTCCCACTCACCGGCCGCCTGCCCAAGCCCGACATCTCCGCCACGCTCGCCGCGTCAAAGACCGAGGGTCTCACGCCGCACGTCGCGCCGAAGGCGAAGGACTCGGACGTCATCGTCGTCTCGAGCCTGAAGGACAAGCCGAAGAAACGACGACGACAGGAGAGCCAGGCGGCCGTCTCTGCGCCCGCCGACGACCTTCCCGGCCTATCAAGCTCCGTTCCCGCCGTCGAGAACGCCCAGTCGCCGCCGCCCCAGCCACCCAAGGCGAAGAAGCCGAAGAAGGACAAGGCCCAGCGACCCGCGCCCGAGGCGATCGTCCCGCACGACTACTCTACCTCCCGCTCGATCCTCGATGCCGAACCTGTGCGCTCGACGGGCGCCGAGCGGCGAGAGCAGGACAAGCGGCAGCGGAAGAAGGAGGCCAAGGCGGAGAAGCTGTCGGGCACAAAGGGCTTCGAGATTGACGTTAGCGACTTCCGGAGGGCGCCGCGCGTTCAGAATGCGCCGAAGAAGGGGCAGAAGAGCCAGTCGTTCCAGAAGTAGCGTGTGTCTCTGCTCTGCAACATCCGCATGGCTCGGTCTCCAAACTCGCAGCGAGAGAGATATGAATCGGGCTTTTCTGGGTCTGCTGCGTCTGCGAGAGGACGTCTACAGCAATGTTGTGAGGGTCAAGGCGGTGGGAATCAGACAATCTAGAGGAAGGGAAAAGGGAGAGGGCGACTTCGTGCGCCTAGTTCTTCTTGCGGACGATCATGCTCTCGCGAGCAGGACCGGTGCCGATGTACTCGATCGGGACGCCGAGGAACTTCTCGATGTACTCGACGTACTCCTGGCACGCCTTGGGCAGGTCCTCCCAGCGCTTGACCTCCTGGATCGACTGCTTCCACCCGGGCAACTCGACGTACTGGACCTCGACGCGCGCGAGGGTGTCGAGGTCGGCGGGAAAGAAAGCGTCGAGGGGCTTGCCGTCGAGGTGGTACGCGACGCCGACTTGGATCGTCTCGAGGTCGTCGAGAACGTCGAGCTTGGTCAGGTTCAGCGAGGTGTAGCCGTTGATCAGGTTCGAGTACTTCATCACGACGAGGTCGAGCCAGCCGCATCGCCGGCGGCGGCCGGTCGTCGTGCCAAACTCGGCACCAACCTCCTGGAAGTGCTCGCCGATTTTCTGCGAGGCCGAGGCGAGTCAGCGCGCGGGAGGGGGCCGGGAGAGTGAGAGCGCAACGCACGTTGAGCTGCTCGGTCGGGAAGGGACCGGCGCCGACGCGGGTCGTGTACGCCTTGATGACACCGATCGTCTCGCCAATCGCGCGGGGAGGGAGACCCAAGCCCGTGCAGACGCCGCCGATGCCAGTCGCGCTCGACGTGACGTACGGGTACGTTCCGAAGTCAAGGTCGAGCATGAGCGCGTTGGCACCCTCGACGAGGATTCGCTTGTTGTTGGCGAGCGCGTTGTGGATGAAGGACGGGCCGTCAACGACGAAAGGCTCGAGACGCTTGGCAAGTTCCTTGTAGCGAAGGATCTCGCCCTCCGTGTCGTACTCGAAGTGTCCGTAGCGCTTGAAGCGGCCCTCGACGAGCTTGCGGAACTTGGCAGCGAACGCCTCCTCGTCAAAGAGGTGGTGGACGCGCAGGCCCGAACGGCTCGCCTTGGACGAGTAGGCGGGACCAATACCCTTCTTGGTCGTGCCGATACTCGAGCCGCCGAGCTCGACTTCCTTGAGGCCGTCGACGATCTGGTGGAAGTCGAAGACGAGGTGCGCCCGGTCCGACACGAAGAGGCGGCCGTCGCAGTTCAAGCCTGCGCGGGACTCCGTTAATACAATTCCTCTCGAGCTCGAAGGTCGGCCGAACGCACCCTTCGAGATCAAGGTGTCAAGCTCCTGGAAGAACGAAGGGACATGCACGACGACACCGTTGCCGATAAAAGCAGTACACTCCGGGTTGACGAGACCTGCAGGACATGATGCGCGGTCAGTATGTGACTGTCTATACTTCACCCTGCCTTCTTCGCTCGACAGAACACCCCTCGCAGCAGACGTCAAATTCCCGTCCAACACGTTCCGCGGCCCACCCGAGCGCAACGAGTGCTGCCCGCCAGTTCCAAGATCCACGAAAGACTCGCCAACTCACCACTCGGCAGCAAGTGAAAGTCGAACTTGGTCTTCTTGCCGTCGATGTTGGCGACGATCGTGTGTCCGGCATTGTTGCCTCCGGCGCAGCGCGCGCAGATGTCTGCGTTGGCCGCGAGGATGTCTACGAGTTTTCCCTTGCCTGTGAGAGCGGAACGAGCGGGTCGGGGTCAGCGAGGAGAGCGGTGCAAGCGGAGTTGATGAAGCTGGTCGGCAGGAAGGAGTGAGAGGCTGAATTGCGGCGACGGCGGCTCGAGAGGGGTCGTACGTGTGCGTCGAGCTCTCGAGAGCCCTGTTCTGCCATCCCGCACCATCTGCAACCACCCAGAGTCGATGCGAGCCTGCGAACGGTTGACTTGCCCTCCTGCAAAACGAGGGAGCGAGTGTGAGCAGATCCAGCGCTGTGGTCGCCGTTCAAAGGGCTGAGGGGTACGCACATCGCCCCACTGCGCCCCAAGTACTACGCTGGCCTTGCCAGGCGTTGCCGACAGAGCCATGGTGGGCTGGCGAAGTCCAACACCGTTCTCCTCCTTCGCCCGACGAGAGAGTCATTTCCCGCACTCGTCCAGGCGGGTCAAACGCTTCGCGTGTGCTACGTTTCGATCTTGCTCGTGATGTCAGTCCAATTCTCGCTGTCCCAGGTGAAGTGCTCGACGAGAATCCGATTTTCTCTCGACTCTCCTCCTCGCTCACCACACAGCTCACTGGGTGGGTGCTTTCCAAGCCTAGAAATGCTTTGAAGCAGTATCTTGACCGTACAACACGGCTCGACTGCACCTCGAGCTGTTCTCGGCTGATGACCTGCGGACTTAGCGCGTGCGCGTCCCCCTTCGCTCGCGCCATCCCACTCGCCACACGATGGACTGCTCGTGGGAGAGCTGGGACGGGTCCGTCATCTCGCTTAGGGACGCACAGTCCATCCACTCGTCCCAGCCTGCGTTCCCGCCGCCGCGCGACCGCACATTCACCGCTCGCTCGCTCGACGACTCCGATGAGGAACGACGCGCGATGGACGGCATGGGAGGGTCCGATGGCGGATTGCAGCGGCCAATAGAGGCTGTTGCTACGCCCGGAGACGCTCGCCAGCCGCTCAGCGAGTCTACGACGGCCGCTCATCATCCGACCCCCACCTCCACTCCTATCGCTCCTCCTCGCGACGCAGACACGCCAGCAGCGAATGAACTACAGCAACCACACCCACTCGCATCCTTCCTACTCGCTGAACACTCCCTCTCGCCCCCCGCTTCGCCAACGACGTCTGTCTCGTCCTTCCCAGGCTCGCGGACGCGCCTCTCGTCTGCCGCAGGAGAGGTTGGGACTCGGTCGCGCAGCGGTCGAGCAGGTCGAGCAAGAGGACATGGGAGGACGGGGAGTGTGAGTAGTACGGTCAGTACGGATGGGAGCGCGCACGAAGAGGGAGGAAGCAGCGAAGACGACCACCACGCAGGAGCGGCAGGACTCGTCATGCCCAGCCTGCACCTAGGTCGTCCCGCACTCTCGAACAGCTCGCGAGGAGCTACAGAGGAGCGGCCAGTCAAGCAGGCAAAGGTCCTCGTTCTCGGCAGGTCGGCAGACGAACGCAAGACGCTTGCAATGCTCGTCTCGAATGACGACGACCTGCAGCGCGTAACGAGCGGAGCATCTGTCGCCGGTGCGACCGACATGTCGTTTTCGTTCCTGTCGACAAAGCCGCCGAGTCGGCCTGCAGAGCGTTCGCGAACTCCACCCGCCGCTGCCGTCGATCCCTTCGAGCGGATTTCGTCGTCGCAGGGCTCGTATGTCGGCCTCTACCAGCCTACGGACAGTCTCGAAGGCGATGCTTTGCTCGCCGAACTAACCCGCCCGCTCGAGCGACTCGAAGCGAAACTCGACCGCGAGTACCCTTCGACGACGGGAATTTGCCAGCTCGTCGAGGCCGCTGGCTGCGGCGACTTTGAGGCGTGCCTCTACCTCTTCTCTGCGCGTAAGCTGCGCTCGATTCGCGTGAACGGACTGCGCTGACGAGTCGACCCTACAGCTCCGACTGCCTGCGAGATCGCCCGCGCCCGCCCAATTTCCCACCTCATCCCCCTCATCCCCGTCCTCATCCTCCCACCCTCGCCAACCGGCAAAGCACAACGCACGACTGCTCTCTCGCAAGCCGTACAGGATCAGCTCGATGGCGCAGGCGTCCGATGGGTTCCCGCTCGACAGTCGCCTCGAGGTCGTACGAGTGTCGGCGGTGCGCTGTACATGCTCCCGAGCGACTTGTTTGCTCGTCATGATGCGCAGCAGCTCGAGCACGACGCGCCAGACTCGTCTCCAACTTCGGAAGGCGGTCCTCCCTCATCCTCGTCGCTGTCCTCCTCGCAGGAACTCCTTCCTCCTTCTCGCCTCTCCTCCGCGCCGGCTTCGACAGCAGGCGAAGCAAGTGGCGCCCACTCGCTCGCCGCCTCCGCGCCCTCCTCAACGCGCTCCTCCGAGTCTCTCTCCTCCCGCTCCTCCTCGCACAGACGCTATCCCTACACCTCGCTCTTCTCCACCTCTGACGCGCTCTCCTCCTCACTCGCCGACCTAACGCGCCTGCAACGCCTCCTCCACGCGCCTTCTTCGCACGACTACCTGCGCAAAGAACGCGCGCGAGCGTTCGTAGAATGGCGTGAGGTGGAAGTTGCGGCGAGGGGCGTGAACGTGAGGGCTGTCGAGAGTTTGCCTGCGGAGTGGGGGGAGGAGGCGGTGAAATGGACGTCGGGAGAGGAGAGTGGTGAGGAAGGGGAGGGACGGAGGGGAGGGAAGAGGACGGAGTTGGAGTTCTCGAAGAGGGTGGCGGTGAGGAGGCAGGCTTTGTCGAGGCCAGTGACGGGTGCGACGTCGATTGCCGAGTCTGGGCTGAGCCCGGTCGACGACGACGGAGACGTCCTCGCTGCATCCGACGACGAAGACGCGCACGATTCGCCGCTCGCGGAACACCACGACTCGCTCGGCACGTCCTTCACGAACGAACCTCTCACGCCTCGCTGCGCCACGCGAGACTTGCCCGTCCCGCTGGCTTCGATCGCAACCGTCGTCCTCGGCGCCGAGACCTCGCCAACGGGAAGCGCTACCGACGAGGGCTATTTTCCTCGCTACTCTTCGCCTTCGCCCGCTTGCTCGCACGCACGGCCGCACCTCGACGACGTCCTCGAGTCATCTACTTCGTCGCTCCAGTCTTCGAACGCTTCCGGCGCCTCTATCCTCGTCCTCCCTTCCTCCGACCCATTCCATCTCCCGAGTCTCCTCCACCTCGTTGGCCTCAACCTTCGCCTCTCGGTCTTTGCACCCGCTCTCAGTCCGGCAACCTCGACCGGAAGCGCGAGGTCCGTCGAATCAGCCAGCGAAGACGATGCAGCCTCGAAGGGCGAGCAGGGGCGCGAGAAGCGCCAGGCTAGTCGCGGTGGATGGGGATGGCTGCGTACCACGGCTGTCCTGTCGCTCGTCTTTGCGGCCGGCATCGCCGTCGGGACGCAGATCGCGGCTGCTGTCGATGGAGGAGCAGGAGGAGGAGGACTCGGCGGGTCCGGCTGGGTCTGCGCGTCGACTTTTGCCAGGCGCGTCTGAGCCGGCACTTACTCTGTATCTGTACCCGCTTTCGTCACGCAGGATTCGCCTCTGCCTACATTTCTGTTGCTTGTATAGTCTTCCCTCTTCTTGCCCAATCGCGCCGTACTTCTTCGCTCGCCTGCAGATTTCCTCGGATCTCCACAATTGTCCACCAAGGTCCTCTCCTCAACGGCTTGCGGAAGGAGAATTTCCACAAGAGACCGCCTTGATCGTCTTCCACATATCTCAATCTACTGCCGCTCACTCCTGTGCTCCGTCCGTCAGTCCACTGCGGCGCTTCTACTGCTCCTCATGGACCTGGTCGCCTGAAGCACACGCAATGTCAGGAGAAAACGGAGAATGGAGTCGAAAATCTGCTGGCTTGGCCTTCGCAAGGCGATTTCACTCCCTGCGCTGAGCGCTGACAGCAGTCGTGGCAAGCTTCGTTGCGAGTCAATCAACTCCCTCAAGTCAGCGACTTTGCCTGGGGAGTCTGGCTGAACACCCTGGCGTCTCTCGCCTCCCGTCTACCCTCCCACCGCCTTTCGCCTCGAGCGGCCAAACTTCTCGCATTGCTGGCGCCGGGTTTGCAGGCCCTGAGGGATCAAGGTGGACTCGAGTTGCTGAGAAGTTTGTAGGTGTACCTCGCCGAGCTGGGTCACTGGTGCGAGCTTGTCTGAGCGGAAAGAGTCCCCTGAGGGGACAAACGGCCTACAGCAATCGCAGGGATGGACTTTGGGCACGCGCAGGACGTGTATGAAAGTGTCGGTGGAGAGTACAGCAAGCCGTGAGGTGCTTGAGCCTGTCCGAGGCGACGCCCTCCAGACATCACGCTCGAAAACGAGGTTGCACTTCAGACTGGGCGACCGGCGGGCGTGTATAGCAGCCTGGCTGAGCGATGTACGCAAGGACAAGGTCGCTCCGGTCAATGACAGGAATACGAGAACACGTCATTGAATACGAGAGAGCGCGAGATGGCTGCACTTTGCGCGAAAACCGAGCACACCCCCTTCGGCATGTCTTCAACGGGGCCGGATATCGGGCGACCGCCAGAAGAGCGAGGCCAAGAGCACGGAGAAGTAGGGCGATGTCCGCAAACGGCAGCATGAAAGGCGATCAATGAGCAAATTGTCCGCGAGGCGAGCGCCTCTTGCGGAGCAGCAGCAAGCAAGGCCCATAGCTGATTCAGCCGCAAAGGGTCACACCAAGCCACCTCAGCTTCGGGTGGTTTTCCCGCTAGGCAGCAGGGCCAAGCTGTGAGCAGAGCCGAGGTGCTGGCGGGTTCGACACCAAGCACGCGTCCGAAGACGAATCGTGACTTGCGGCAAGCGGACGCAAGGTCAGCTAGTCGCCTCTGGCAAACGTCTTCAAACGTCATGCATGTGTGCGCACCTCGGGAACTCGTTCTGGCTTGCCTCCCAGTTCGCATACTTGACCCACGCCTGGATCTGCGACCGGGAAAGGTGTGTCAGTCACGACTCGTGTCAAAGCTGTTCACGCCCGCTCTCAAATGAGAAGTACACGCACGTTGGTTCGTGTCCGCCGGATGACCTCCTCAAACTCCTGCCGCTCCCTCGCCCGGTAACCGTGCAACTCCTCAAAGTCTTCGATGCGCTGCTTCGGCTTCGGCGCGGCCTTCTCCTGGAAGTCAGCAGCTTCGCGGAGGAGTTGCTCGGCCGTGATCTGTCGGAGCGAGAGGCGAGCGACCGAGGATGCGAGGACGAGGGGTCAGTCGGGGTGCGGCAAAAGCGCGTCGAGGGAAGCACGCACCTGGACAGCGGCCGAAGCCCTTCTCTCAACCCTTCCTGCGCCCTCTCGAGACATCTTGGGCCGTGCTCGTCGAGTGTTGACGGGTCGAGATGAGTGGGGTCGACGGAGGGAGATGAGAAGCGAGAGAGGGAGAACGGGAGTCGGCGGGGCTTCGAAGGGTGATACACCGGGTTCCTAGCAGTAGCTCGAGCCTGCAGCAGCCTCAGATCAAGCGGCGAGCGTGTGTTGGTGGAGGGTGACCTCGTCCTCCTCGTCGAAGGAGGGTTGGCCAACGACCACATCGCTCAGTTGCTCTGGACAGCTTCTGTGCTTCGCCACATCACTGCATGCTATCTTCACTGCACTGGCGATCCCGCCACTACACCCGTTCCGCATTCTAGCCCTGCATCGACCCTCCTCCCTTACCCCCTCTCTCGCGCCTCATCCTCGCCGCCGCTCGACTTGACATGCTTCGCAGCGTCTGCATAAGCTTAACGGCCTCCGCCAGAGTCGGATGGGCGCCGATGCGCCGCCTGGTGACCGTCGCTCCTCTGCCGGGTGCGTCCGGTGCGTTAGCTCTGTTCCCACCGCTTACGCTTTCGCTGAGTATTTATCTTCAGAGGCCGGCAAGAGCGCCAACTCGACCAGATATTCCGCCTACACGCCCTACGCAGACGAGGTGTGCAATGAGGCCGGTTTCTCGCTTTCTTGGCTCGTGATGACCGGGGTTCTTCGCAGGAATTGACGGCAAGTATCAAGGCCGAGCACCTGCAACCCGAGCTTGAATCTCTCTTCTTCAAGTACTACGAGGTCAAGCCGCCCTACTACGTCCCGCCGCCGCCTTTCTCGTTCGATCCGTCGGTGGGTCCACCCGAGGTCGTGGGAGAGCCGACCATCGAGGAGAAGCAGGAGAGAGAGACATACCGAGGTTGGCTGGATGTTGAGCGCCGCGCGCGTCTCATCAAGATGATGGAGGAGGGGGAGGAGCTGGCTCAGCAACACAGCATGCGAGTGAGGGAGAAGGAACAGCGAGAGCTGGAGCGGCTTTTGGGGTTCCCACAAGACGCTGAGCATTGGGCCAAGCTTTCAGCAGAATTGGAGGTACGGCATCGGCGATGGCCGACGATGGTTGAGCTGACGAGCCTCCCTCGCAGTCCCTGGATGGTTCGCCTCATTGAAAGTTGGTCGCCGGTGTTGGGATTATTTCGCCATTCCTTAGCTTCTGCACCGTTTCGCTGCGGCGCGATTGGTGCGGTCCGCAGGGCGTCGGTCTGTAGACTTCAGTTGTTCGGACACGGTTGGCAGCAGTTCTCGAGAGCAATTCTCCCCGCCGAGTGATCCCTACGACAAACGGCGTTGCAAGTGCTGATACAACAAGCGATAGATAAGAGATGCGATGCGAGCTGGCAAGAACGTCTACACTTGCGATTGCGAGAGGGCGAAGCGGACGGGGATGCCGTAGACGACGGGCGCTGCGCCGTTCAGATAGCGGAGGTTGCAGACGACGCGAGATTGGGCGACGGCGGCGGTGAGTGAGAGTGGCGGAGAAGGAGGAGGAGAGGCAGTCTCGGGCTCGGCGATACCAGTCTTGCGGAAGACGGAGAAGGCGAACTTGTCGATGTCCTTGTCCGTGACGTCCCAGAGGTTGGCGACGAGCGAAGGGCTGCGGTGCTGAACATCAGTATCTGCCTCCAGCTCGACCGGGACTGGCAGCACGCACCACCCGCCGACCATGTAGTGGTAAGGCGTGCCGACCGGGTCGAAGTCACCCTGGTCCTTGAGCATCCCGGACGAGCAACCCCAGAGCATCGTGACGGCGCAGCGAGGTAGTTGACGGATGGTCTGCGAGCGGATATACTGCTCGGCGCCACCGTGGCCGAAGAAGCTGGAGTGGAGGGCGGGTGAGCGGGGAAGCCGAGGTGCGGAGGGAGGAGGACGCACAGGAAGAGCTCTGTCCTTGTCAGACTCTGCTTCACCTCTTCCTCGAGCGGCGTCCGCGCGACGACGCCAGTCCAGCCGTGCTTGTCGGCCTGCTCGCGGAGCCAAGGCTCGAAGGTCTGCTGCGTGTTCTTGAGGTCGCCGCCAGGGTTGATGAGGTAAGAGGTGCGGGCGTGGTCGACGACAAAGTCGTGCGGCGTTCCTGGCGCGCGATCTGCGGCGAGGTCGAGGCGATCGCGGAGGAAGGAGAGGGAAGGCAGGCGACTGATGGAACGGCCGCGGAGACAAGGTAGCGACTCCCACGGGATCGCTTGCAGTCGCTTGTCGAGGATGAGGAAGGTGTGCTCGTCGGGCGACGCCTTGCTCTTCGGGGCCGACTTGGTTCCGTGCAGCTCTTCGAGCGCTTCGCGCAAGTCGACAACGACCTGGACGAGAGGGTTAGCCGGAGCACGAACTCGAAGGAAGCAATGCGGCGCACTTGATCGACGTCGGTCTCGTCCGAAGCGAGAGGTACACCGCTGAACTGGAACGACTCGGCCATGTAGTAGAACATGTCCTCGAGGTCCTCTTCGCGAGATGTGGCAGGAAGAGCGGCGAGGCATTCGAGGATGGCATCGTCGAGCTTGAAGCGAGTCGCACGTTGGTCTCCTGCGGCGCGAACGATGCTGCGCTTCAAGATGCGCTCGATGCGAGTCCGGAAACTCGCAAAGGCTTCGCCACTGTGCAGCCTCGCATCGTAGAAGACGCTCTGCGGACGTGGCAACCATCAGCCACGGCACCCAAATCGATTGACAGCCGTTGTTCACCTTGAACGCCCCGAGCCAGGCATCCTCGACCGTCTGCAGCAAGTTGCCTAGCCGCTGATCGAGCTCCTTTCGCTCCGCCCACCACGCTGCCCTCTGCTCTTTTCCGTCAACGAGCTTGGCGTTTTGCGCGCCGGAGTTGTTCCGCTCGATAATGTCCTGAAGCTCATTCATGGCGACGTCGAATGTAAAGGCATCCTCTTCTTCGCCCTCGCGGCGTGCGAGGCGATCGAGCGGCAGCTTGAAGACAATCGGCTCGTCGGTGTGTCGGTGGCGCGAGATGATGAGGGCGTCGTGTTCCGGCGTCAGATGCAAGGTCAGAACAGACCAGGCCGGCGAAAGAAGGGTGGAGATGGATTGTTCCGTCAGGATGGGCTCGGCAGCTTCGAAGCGGTACCGGTCGCGGGCCTTGAGCAAGTGCTCGTCGATGTCTTCCGAGGTAGGGACAGGCGCGAGGTCGAGCGAAGGCCAAGTCATGTCGTCGCGGCGGATCGCTCGGTCGAGTCTTTGCTCGACAGCTTCGGCCATTTCGCGCCGAAGGCTGACAGCGACTCCCAGGTCTGCGAGAAGGCATAGATAGGTTAGCTAGAGGGATGAGACCAAACTGGATGCCGGCGGGCCTGACCGAGGAGGTGTGCGATGGTTGCGGTCGAACGCTTCGTCGACTTCCCGACGCTGGCCTGCATTGCTCGGACGGAGGCTGACAGGAGCGAGAGCTCGCGGACCTTCTTGGCGGATGCGCGAGAGACGCTGAAGTTGACGGCGCGGGCAAGCAGGTTGTCGATATCCTTGACGATGTTGACAACCGTCGGTCCAGTGCGCGGCGTACCGACCTTCGGTGCCGCGCCGGCGGCTGAGATTCCGAATACGGGGAGCGATAGCACTGCGAAACGCAAGATCAGCAACTTGAGCCAAAGTCGCAGACTGCGAATGAGACCCACCCGAGTCCGGGAGCATGCCGAGGACCGGGTCGGAGCTACACCGCGCGAGCAGCTCGCGCAGCTTGAGCGCAACGACCAGACGGAGCTCGTCTGCCTTCTCCTCCTCGAGGGAAGCGAGGCGGGCAATGCGACGTAGCAGGCGTGTGACCTCGTCGTTCTGGCTCTGCGGCGCGAGAAGATGCGCTGCGAAGCCGAGGCGTCAGGGCTGTCCCCTTGACAAGGGCATGGTCAGGCTTACCTTGCATCCGGAGTAGGCGACCCTGCACTGCAGGGAGTACCCAGTCTCCTGCGGGACTGACTCTCGACGCGATAGGCGATGGCGAGAGGTGTGCGAAGTGGACGGAGGGTCCTGAGACGCGGCGCCGACCCGCCGACCCGTTCTGAACGGGCGTGTGATGCTTCACTGGCCTGTTTTGGGAGCAAGCGTCAGCGTTTTGACCGCAAGTGCGGCAGAAGCGAAAGGGCACGCACGATTGACCGGCGTCACCATCGCTCGCCGACGCAATGAAGGTGTCGAGGACGCGATTCGCGTTGAGATAGAGCTCCTGTGCTTCCCGATGCATGTTCTCGCGGAGATGGAGGTCGCCTTGAAGCCGCAAGAGCTCGGCTGCCTCGGGTGTTGACGCCTGCGTCAACGCATCGCGACGTCAGTCACCACTCTCGAGCGGCGTGCTGGGAAACGCACCGAGCGCAGCAATTGGGAGATGCGGTTGAGATCGGCAGCTGCCTCAGCCTGCCTGCCCCATTGTAGCCGGACGTCGGCTCGCAAGAGAAGCGCCCGAGCCATTCCGTTGGCGGATCCGACGTCTTCGGCAAGGTCGATCGCTTGCTGTGCGAAGTAGTCGGCGGATTTCGGGGTGCCGCGGACGAAGTGTACGACGGCGACGCGCTCGATAGTTGCGAGGAGGAGCTGTAGGGCGAATACGTGAGCGAGGGAGCCAGTTTACGTTCCGATAACAGAACGTACTTCAAGAAGCCGCCAGGAGAGACCGGCATGGAAACCGCTGAGAATTGTCGTGCTGGTCTTGCGTTCGTTGATAAGTGGAGCATCGGCGAGCGGCGTGACGTGGTCCGACAAGGGCGCGGTGAAGGTGGACTCGGGGGCGGACGGTGTTGCCGGCTTCGGCGAGGACGCGAGTCGAGAGAGGTTGTTCACGGCGCGTGTGGCGAGCCGCATCGCCTGGATAGCCGGCGGGAGTGCTCGGCTGAGCTCGCCCTGCGGAATGAAACGATCAGCGAGCTAGTCAGATACGCTTTAGTAATGAGGAGACTCGCCTTGCGCTGCAGCAGGTAAGAGCAAGTGATCGCAGCCATACTGGCGCGCTGGAGCAGCAAAGTCCGTTCGACAACTCGGGCCGTCGCCGACGCTGGCGTTGCGCTGGCGAGCTCGTCGGCGAGCGAAAGAGCCGCTTCGTAGGCTTGTGCACTGCAGAAGCAGCGTCAGCGGACTGGTCTCCATCTACCGCAAGCGAGACTTGCCTTCGGTCGTGATTGCCCAACGTCGCGAGGTACTCGGCGTCGACGAGCAAGTACGAGACTTGAGCATCGACAGTGACAGGCTGCTCGTCCTTGGCGGCGCTTTGTAGGCGACTTTCTGCTTGCGCGAGGACGAGTCCCGCTCGAGACGTCTTGCCGAGGCGAAGGTATTCCCGCGCGAGGGCAGTCGATGCGATCACGTAGGCTGCTCGAACGGACGGTCAGTAGAAGTTGGCGAAGTCGAAATCTCGTGCCTCACCGGTACCACCCTCGTCAAGCCTCTCTGCAAGTTGCCGCAGGAATTTGAGGTATCCGATCTTGAGCAGAGCTTGTCCAAGAACGCCGAGTAAAGAGGTCATCGATTCTGCGCAGCCAGGTGTGAGATTTAGGGACCTGCATCTGTCTATGAACCAGTACTCACCGAAGCTCTTGAAGACGCTGTCGGCGCCGTCGAAACCGACAACGTTGTCAACACCGCGCGGGACGAGCTTCTTCGGCGCGGGCGTGCGCGTGGACTCGCGCAGATCCGCCGCCACGCTCGTTCTCCGCGGCGGAGTGACCTGCGGCGATGTTGACGCTGGTGCTGCACCTCGTCCAGACCGACCGAGGCGAGAACGGGCGGGCGTGGCTGCCGAAGCCGCTATGCGAGCGGGGCGACGCCGTATTGGAGCTGGCGTGGGTTGAGGCGGACTCGCAGGCTTCGCCGGGGAAGCTGCCGCTTGCCGCGGAAGGAGAGGCGAGGTCGAGGGCCGGTGTGTTGCGCACTTCGAGTCGCTGTCCAGCACGCCGTGGAGAAGCTGCAATGCTTGACGAGCCTCCGAGGCGATGGCATCGCTGGTGTCGGCGGATGCGGTTCGAATCGCTTGGAGCCGAAAAGCGAGATACAGGTGCGAGAGGGCGTTGTACTGAGCGGCAAACGGTCGAAGTGCACCGTCTTCTTGAAGATCCTGCGTGGGCACAGGATGACAGGTCAGCAGGATAGCAAATACAGTATCGGCGAAGCTCCGCACCTCTTTCCCGCAGAGGTCCGCAATCTCGTCCGCCAGCGCGCGCGCATGAGCCTCCGAATCCTGTTGCCATCCGGCGCACGACTGCTGAAGACTCTTGACGAGGACGCGCGCGCGCCTGACCGGCGTCTCGTCGGCATGATAGATGGCGAGTAGCTGTTCGAGGAGGGCAGCGGCGGCAGCGCGACCTTCCTGCGACTCGGTCTGCGCTTCGAGTACCGCCAACTGCATCTCCAGCAAGACACCTCGCACGTCCTGCGATGATGTCGGCAAAAGAGTAGGGGTGGAGCCGAGCGGGATGAGGGCGGGCTGCAGGAGGAGATCGAAGGCGCCAAGGCGAGTGAGGCGTTCGACCTGCTTGTACAGCGAGTGGTGCGTCGAGAGAATCTCGCTGAGAGGCTGTTGACCGGCCGCGGTGGCGATAGTCGCCAAGACAGCGGAAGGCTGTGCGTGGACGGCGGCGACATACGCATCGTAGGCAGCCTGCAGGAAGGGACGCCCGTCAGCTCAGATGGGAAGGGAGAGCTACCGAAGGACGCACTCGCTTGTCACCCATGGCATAGCGTGTCATCGCGAGCAGCTCCCACGGTCGGCTCATCAATCGCTCGAAGTCCTGCAGCGCCTCTCTCAATTCCTTCTCCTCCTTGCCGTTCTCGCCGGAATCAAGCTTGAGCTTGTCAAGCTGACTCGACAGCTCATCATGGTCGTATCCGCTGCTTGATGGTAGCGGGCCGTCGCGCCGCGCTTGGTCGAGGACCTTCGCGCTCAAGTCGCAAGCACGCTGAACGAAGTTGACGGCGAGTTCTGGTCGACCAGCGTTGAAGAGCGTTCCGCCGATGTTGTAGAAAGCCGAAGTGAGGGTACGGACGGAATAATGGAGGTCGAGAGCGAGAGTGGTGGAGGGCGAAAAGCCGACGAGTGGCAGGCAGCGTTCGAGGAAGGCGAGGCATGGCGAGGCGGTCGAACGGTCGTCGACGATGAGGGCGGAGTAGGCGAGGAGGAGGAGAGTGTCGACAGTCGTCGCGGCGAGGTAGGACCGGTTCTTGCCCTCGACCGCATTCGCCGCCAGGATTTGCTCGGCGTGATGAGCAAACCGATCGAGCGCGACCCTAGCGAGCCCTGTGACCTCGTCAGCTGGAGGTGCAGCCACGGTCGCTGGCGTCAAAAGCTGATCCATCCTCTTGCCCGACTTGACGTGCTTGGCGAAGACGTATCGAAGCCGGTCGACGGTCTTGTCAATCTTCGACTTCGAGTCGTTCGATGGCGCACGTCCTCCCTCGGCGGTGGTGCCACATCGCAACTTGGTCAGGACCGGCAGAAGTCCGCTCAACCTCCGCATCTGGTCGACAACGCCTCGATCATCCGCACCCGACGTCTTGACCCAGATGTCGAAGACGGAGAGGACGCTGGCGAGTTTCGCGCAGATTTGGGAGCTGAGGAGGTCAGGATGGACGTCCGTAGGGCTGGCCGAAGAACGGTTGTCGGCGCCAAGCAGAGTCGAGATGCGCTCGACAAAGGCGAGGTCATCGGCCTGCACAAAGCAGACTCGTCAGCGACAAAGTAGCGACCGCGGGAAAGCGGATACGCACTCGTCTTGCGATGTGCAGAACCACCTCACACAGCTCCCGCCACTTCGCCCCGCCGTTCTTCCCAACCTCCAACAAGCCTCGCCGTTCCAGCTCGCCAACGATGCTCTCGAACGCCTCCTTGACGCCCTCGCCTATCCGCACCTCGGTATAGCCTGCCTGCTCGGCGGCGCGACCGTAAAGAAGGACGGTCTTGCGGACTTGGTCGTAGAAGGCGGATAGCTTGTCGGGATTGGAGGAAGAGAGGGCGGAAGTGGACGAGTAGAACATAAGCGCGTGGGTGCGGACGATTAGTAGGTCGTCGGGGACTGCGAATACATGACGGGTTAGCAAAGCGAATGGTGCGACGGAGGAAAAGCGCTAAGCTTGACTGACCTGCAGAAACATCGAGCCCTGTGCACCCCTTCGTAACCGTACCGAACATGCTCGTCATCATCGCGTCGAGCCGCTTGATAAGCTGTTCTTTCTCCGGCTCGTCCTCAACCCATCGATCAAGCGCTCGACGCCAATCCAGCGGCCCGCCTGTCCCTTTCTGCAAGACTTCCGCCAGCTTCGCCAGCTTGTCCTCCGGCGATCCAGCGTCTTCCTCGTCCGAGCGGAAGAGACATGCGAGGAGGTATTGCTGCGATGCAAGGACAAGGGGGGCGAGGTCGGCGAAAGACGGGCGGGCGGACGACCGATTCAGGGTTTCTTCGAGCGAGGTCGGGGCAAAAAAGGCGTCAGAAGGTAGAGGGAAGAGCAGTGTGTCGGCGAAAGAGGCGAGTGATGCAGAAGGGGACGGTGTTGTGCGGGACGAGGAGGAGGTCCACCAGGACAGCAGACTGGCGCGCATGGCGGCCAACTCGACGACCGCCGGGCGGTACTGCGAGCAGGGGAATGAGCGGAGGAACGCTGCAATGACGCGGTAACGACGCACCATCTCCATCTCTACGAGGTTTGCGACGATACTGCCGGCCGCCCTCTCGACGTCGACCTTCTTCTTGCCGAGTACTCCGTCTACCGCGAGTGTCCGAAGCTCCTTCAAAGCTCGACTGCAGTCTCTCACTGCCTGCGTCGCCTTTGTCAACGTCGCGGAGCGCGCTGCGGTCGTGCGAAGCGAAGAAGTCGAAGATGTCGCGCGAAGGGAGGTGGCGGATCCTGGTCGTGTCGCGGATGCGGTTGGCGTAGCGCCCGACGATGCTGCAGTCGGTGGGCCGCTCGACGACTTTGCACGGAAGCCAGCTTTATTCAGGCCTGACAGCGTCGCCAGCGCCGCATTGACAACCTTCATCGCTTCTTTCGCCCGCTCCGTGGAGCTTGCAGCCGTTTCTCCCCGCTCCTCCTCCTCGTTCCGCGTCATCGTGCGAGGCAGACCGGATCGTGGCTTCGTAGAGCCTGTTCCTTCGTCTCGAGATGTTGAGGGAACGCGGTTCTGCGCGGTCGAGCGGCCCAAGGGTGCAAGTTTCGCGGTCGGCCGTTTCGTCGCTGCGACATCCTGAGTCTTCGCCGCCACTGTGCGCCTCGTACGGGGCGCAGGAGCCGATACATCGAGAGATGTGAGGTCGTCCGCGAGTTGATCAACAGACGGCACTGCTGGCTTCGCACGAGCAGAAGCCACCGCCCTGGTCTTGACAGGCGCCGCTGGTGGCCTTCGAGAGGCCATTGAGACAGTCAGTCCAGCAAAATGAGCGTGCGAGCGAGAGTAGCGGTCCTGGTCGAAGAGCAACCCTCTCTTGAGACGCGACGCTGACCTCGCTGCCCGCTGAATACGCGCAGGCTGGCTCGCCTGCTCAGACTGAAGCTGTCTAGTGCCTGCTCAAGCACGCTCTTAGCGCCCAGGCTGCTTCTCGCACTTCCCTAGCCGTCCCTCCCCACCTCGCTCTCCGACCCTTACCTCGATAATGCAGGCATCGCCGAGCGCAGGCTTGCCTGCATCGACATCCATGTCCTCCCTCGCAGCGCCCCGACAGACTCGCCCCGGCGCACACGTCGAGTACGTCCTCCTAGCCGAGTTCGACATTGACCAGGGCTCGGTCCTTCGACACCAGTACCCTTGCCCGACGGGGACCGACGAGCAGTGCGTTGCGGTCCCTTCTCCCGCATTCGTTACCTGAGCTGACCGGCGCCACGCCTCTCACAGTTTGTTGGCGGAACACATGCTTCCCGACGGCGCCCACGACCGTCCGGAAGACTGGACCGTCTTCTACCTCGGCCAGATTCCTCCGCTCACTATCGACAGAGCCCTTCTCGCCAAGACGCGGGCGGACTTGAAGGGAAAGGGGAAGGCTGTCGAGGGCGACGAAGCGGACCTCGGAGCGGGAGAGGAAGACAATGGGCTGCTCTACGTGATGAGCCTGGTCAGGACGAAGAAGGATGCCAGTGTCAGGAGGTGTGTTTGCTTCGTCCGGTGAGGTGCAGGACGTCGCTCATATCCGCTCGCTTCGACCAGGGGCGCGCTCGTCAAGGCACTCGCCGTCGTCACCCGCAACCCGTACATCCAGATCTTCAAGGTGCGTCCTCCTGGATTAAGGCGGGGCAAGGAGCTGACTTTGTTGCCGTCCAGCCTGCCCTGCTTTTCGCATTGGAAGACTACTTCAACAATCCCTCCCTTTCCGTCCTTTCCAATCTCTACGACTCGCTCAACTCGATGGACACTTCGGGCTTGCCGTCCCTCACTCGTGACGAACGACTCGTTCTGCGGAGTTCGGAGCGCAAGGACCTCTTCGAGGAGAAGTTCGTCGCGGCCGCAGCAGCGGCGTCCGCAGATCTCGCCGACGAGTCAGGCGGAGTGCGATCCTCGAAGAGGCGCACTGCATCTGGGAATAGAGGCTCCGCACCGACCGACGCAGTGCCTGGTCATGACGAGGAGGTCTTGTCGTCGAGTCGGCCTGCTTCGACCGATGGCGGCGGACAGCTTCGGGGCATCCCCTCATCCGACAGTCTCGCCTCCGCATCTCTCGACAGCGCGCACAGCCCAAGCATCGGCACATCGGCAGCCGCTTCGCGGGACGACCTGTCTCTGCACGGCGGCCGGAGTTCTCGCGCAAATACGATCAGCAGCATGGACGACGGCCGCAGCGGATGGAGCCACAGCTACGCTTCCGCCGTTCCTCCTCCCCCGCTTCCAAACCGACAAAGCAGCGGTGCGGCGACCACCAAGAGCGCCGAGTCGTCCTCGCGGTCTCAAGCGTCGCCAACGATGTCGCACCGAGCCGGAGGCGCAGGTGCTCGGCCGAAGGACACGCACTTCTTCGAGACCAAGGTCGTCTACAACGGCATCAGCATACCTGTCAAGATTCCCGTCGCGACATTCCCCAGCGAGATTGGCGATGTGCGTTGCATTTCGCACGCCATCCCGCCGCCTGTTGCGCTTGCTTACGCTCGTCCTCGAAATGGTACTCTCGCCCTGCAGTACTCGCTCATCAAGCTCGTACAGACCTTCTCAGGTCCGACTTCGCTTGCACCCGGTCCCATCCTCCCGCAACTCCACACCTCCGGTCCCAGCACGCCGGCGCTCATCGTCCTTCTCAACGCCATCCTCACGGGCCACCGAGTCGTCTTTCTCGGTCATCAACAGCCGGCAGGACGTGTCGCCGAGCTCGTACTCGCTGCTTGTGCGCTGGCGAGCGGGAGCGGAGCAATCCTGCAGGGCTTCGAGGAACGGGCGTTTCCCTACACGAACTTGTCGAACCTCGACAACTTGCAGAATGTGTACGTTCGCTCGTCGCCTTATCGGAAAGCCATCCTCTGCCTGTGCTGTGAGCGATCACGAGCTGATGGGTTTCTTCAACGAACAGCCCAGGCTTCATTGCCGGTGTGTGCAACCCCGCCTTCGCCGACCGCCCATCGTGGTGGGACGTCTTCTGCAACCTGGAGACGGGCAAGGTGGTCGTCTCGAAAGAGCTCAAGCCGGCTGCGACGGCTGCGACTGGCTCGCAGATGAACGGCTCGCGGAACACGATTGGTCGGGCGAGCGACTTTGCCAGCTGGGCGAGTGCGAATGGCGGTGCTGGAGCGCGAGACGGGGTGGACGAGCTGGGCATGCTGAGCGGACCGGCGAACCAGGGCGGCGCCGGCGGTCGCGCGGTCGACGGCAAGGAGTCGCTGGACGGCATTTTTATGGACGAGGTGCGTTCCGCCGCTTGTCCTTTCGACGCAGCCGGGCCGCCGCTAACTGCCATCGCGCAGATCATGAACGCCATCCAGTCTCATTACGGCGAGTCGGTCATCCGCGCGCGCTTCACCGACTACGTCTACCGCTTCGTTCGCCTCGCCTCGCGCTACGAGGAGGAGACGACTTCGACCACCTCAATCGGCTATCCCTGCAGCGCGTTCGCCTCGGGCGCTGCCAGTGGGTACGGCGCGCAGTCGAGTCTTGGCAGTGGCGTGGTCTTCTCCGACGAAGCGGCAGGTCAAAGAGAGCTGGCGAGCAATGCGGCGCGGATAGATGGCTGGATGAAGACACAGAGCTACAAGCTCTATCAGCAGGTGCGCTTGCCGTCACGCTTTCCTGGCGACAGAAGCAGACTCTGTCGACGCAGTCTTTCCGCCAGCACCTGCGGGAAACTTCGATGCCCGGTTTCGACCTCATGCACCAGATCGGCCGCCTGCGACAATCCCGACACGTCAGTTCGGCAGAGGCAGTCTTGATCTTCCAGACTCTGGCTCAATGCGTTCGTACAGACGAGCAAGCCGTTGCCGTGCGTGCTACTACTCGCCTTCGACGAGGCGCCTGACTGACAGTCGGTTCCGCAGCTGCTCGCACACCTGCCCTCCCACTTTGGCGGGCTGTTGCCACTCGCTTTCGGCTTCTTCCACGCGTCTGCCGAGGTTCGCCATCACACGCTCGACCTGTTCGATCAGCTCAGCGCTCATCCGGTGCGCCTTCCCTCGAGTTCTGTGAGGTAGCGCAGCTGATCTCCTATCGCTGCGCAGACGGGCGCGAAACTCGTCTCGACACTCAACGCCTTCCACCGGCTTGCTTACGCCCGGCTGTCAGCGGAGCGACATGTCCTCCTCGAGCAGCTGCGGGCTGACGAGCAGCCTCAACCTCGAGATGCTAAGGTGGCGCGCGAACGGGATACGACCATCACGTTGCAGAGCTTTGCGGCTGATCTGCAGTCATAATGAGCACACGCTTGTGCAACTTTTTGACCCCGGGTTTCCCTGTCCGTTTGACCGATCGTTGTTCTCGAGACGTGAGCTTTACTTTGGGCGCTTCCTGCACAGGATCCGGCTCGCGGTGAATGCCTGGCCCAGCTGGCCGCCTCCACCGATGCATCCCTTCCGTTGCCTTCTTCGCTCGTGCCCGGTCCTCCTTCGTCCGCCATGCCCTGTACGCTTCGACCTCTGCTTCTTCCGCCGACGTCTTCGGGATGCCTAGCGCGATGAGGTCGGAACCGGGATCGAAGGAGAGAGGCGGCGGCGGGACGAGCCAAGGTGGGCTAAAGGGGCGATATTTTCGAGGTAGTCTCTTGACGGGATCGGAGGGGTTGTACGGCTCCTCCTGCGGGTCATGGAGGTGGTAAGACTTTGCTGAACGGCACCGGTTGACATGCAGCTCACTTCCTCCGGCCCTTCGCCAGGCAGCGGCCAGGCAGGGAAGTCTGTAGAATCCGCGTACGCATCAGCACGCCGTTGCTTGTCAGGAGGCGAGGAAGGAGGAAGCGCACCACCGTGAACTGCTCGAATGTCAGAAGCCGACGAGTAGAGACGGGTGGGACGTGTGCGAGCGACGGGGACAGATCGCGGGACGGGGAGGACCGCTCGAAGGATCGGGCGGTGCATCGCAAAATGCGCACGGAGAAGAAGATCCTGCAGCTCGTCTCCTTTGCGCTGAGGGAGGGTCGCGAGCGGCAAAGAAGTGCGAGAGGACGGCAGGTGGGCGGTTGGGGCGCCGGTCCTGGCAGCAAGCAGTGGCACAGGGATGTTCAGGTGCAGCAAGCGCTGTCCAGAGCAACTGAGCGTGTGGTAGGTCGCCAACCCTCCTTCGACGAGGAGGACGAGGTCAAACTCCATCACGACACGCTCGCCGCTTGGTCTGAGGCTGCTGCAGGCTCAAGCTACTGCTAGTATCCCAGCCTACCGCCCCTCAAAGCCCCGGCGACTCCCGTTCTCCCTCTCTCGCTTCTCATCTCCCTCCGTCGACCCCACTCACCTCGACCCGTCAACACTCGACGAACAAGGCGCAAGATGTCTCGAGAGGGTGCAGGAAGGGTCAAGAACAGGGCTCCGGCCGCTGTCCAGGTGCGTGCTTGCCTCGACGCGCCTTTGCCGCACCCCGACTGACCTCTCATCCTTGCATCCTTGGTCGCTCTCGCCTCTCGCTCCGACAGATCACGGCCGAGCAACTCCTCCGCGAAGCTGCTGACTTCCAGGAGAAGGCCGCGCCGAAGCCGAAGCAGCGCATCGAGGACTTCGAGGAGTTGCACGAGTACCGGGCGAGGAAGCGGCAAGAGTTTGAGGAGGTCATCCGGCGGACACGGAGCAACGTGCGTATCCTCCTCATTTGAGAGCGGGGCGCGAATAGCGTTGAATCGACTCGCGACTCACACACATTTCCCGCTCCAGATCCAGGCGTGGATCAAGTATGCGAACTGGGAGGCGAGCCAGAACGAGTTCCCGAGGTGCGCGCACATCTCACCAGTCGTATGAGGCGACGAGCTGACTCACGTTCGCTCGCCACAGGTCCCGATCCGTCTTCGAGCGCGCTCTCGATGTCGAACCCGCCAGCATCCGGTTGTGGCTCGCTTACACGGAGATGGTGCGTTCGCGGATTTCCTGATCGCGCCAGAGCGGCGTTACTGACGCCTCTCGTGCCCTTCTTTAGGAACTGAAAGCGCGCAACATCGCCCACGCCCGCAACCTCTTCGATCGCGCCGTCACGCTCCTCCCTCGCATTGACCAAATCTGGTACAAATACGTCTTCCTCGAGGAGCTACTCGGCAACGTCGCTGGTGCGCGACAAGTCTTCGAGCGGTGGATGGCATGGGAGCCGGACGAGAAGGCGTGGAGCGCGTACATCAAGATGGAGGTGCGGTACAGCGAGCTTGATCGCGCGAGCAAGATCTACGAGCGCATGATTAACTGCCACCCGGAGCCCAAGAACTTCGTCAAGTGGGCCAAGTTTGAGGAGGAGCGCGGCAACGTCGGTGGGTTGCCTTCCCGTCTTCCGCTGGTAACAAAGACCTTGCGCTGACTCGCCTCTTTGAGCAGACCGCGCCCGCGAGATCTACCAGATGGGCTTCGAGTTCTACGGCCAGGACGAGGAGGGCATCGACAAGTCCCAGTCGCTGTACTCGGCGTTCGCCAAGATGGAGGTTCGCCACAAGGAGTACGACCGCGCGCGCGTGATCTACAAGGTTCGTCTACTTGCCTCGTCGACTTTCGATTCGCGCACTAATCGGGTTGACTGCGCGCAGTTCGCCCTCGACCGTCTCCCGCGCTCCCGCTCGACTCAGCTCTACGCCGCCTACTCCAACTTTGAGAAACAACACGGCACGCGCTCTGGCATCGAAGTGACGGTCCTCGGCAAGCGCCGGCTGCAGTACGAAGAAGAGTTGACGCACGAGGCGCGCAACTACGACGTCTGGTTCGACTATGCCCGGCTCGAGGAGGACGCGTATCGCGGTGATAGCGCGAGCGAGGATGCGCTCAAGCGTGTCAGGGAGGTGTATGAGCGCGCGGTGGCGCAGGTTCCGCCGAGTGAGGAGAAGCGGCACTGGAGGAGGTACATCTTCCTCTGGCTCAACTACGCCTTGTTCGAGGAACTCGAGACCAAGGTGCGTCCCACCTCTTCTTCTCCCATCCCCTCGCCTTCCTCCACTGACGCCCAGCACGGCAGGACATCCAACGCGCGCGCGAGATCTACCGCGCCTGTCTCAAGCTCGTCCCGCACAAAAAGTTCACGTTCGCCAAGGTCTGGATCCAGTTTGCCGAGTTTGAGATCAGGCAGCAGGAGTTGGACGCGGCGAGGAAGGTTATGGGGATGGCGATTGGGATGTGTCCGAAGGAGAAGGTGCGTTGCGAACGGTTCTTGTGCAGTCTCGCGGCGCTTGCCGAGCGCATCGACCCGGCTTGAGTGCTGACGTGCGAGGGGTTCGCAGCTCTTCAAGGAGTACATCGAGCTCGAGCTGAGGCTGCGCGAGTTTGATCGGTGCCGGATACTCTACCAGAAGTGGCTCGAGGTGCGTTCCCAAACCGCTTGCCTCGCATTCACCTCGCCTACTAATTGCACCTCGAACGCAGTACGACCCCTCGAACGCGACGGCCTGGATCAAGTTCACCGAGCTCGAGTCCCTGCTCCAAGACCACGACCGCGTCCGAGCAATCTACGAGCTCGCGATCGCCCAACCGACACTCGACATGCCCGAGCTCGTGTGGAAGTCCTGGATCGATTTCGAGTACGACGAGGAGGAGTACGAACGCGCGCGCGGGCTGTACGAGAGGTTGTTGAGGAGGACGAGTCATGTCAAGGTTTGGGTGTCGTTTGCGCAGTTTGAGGCGAATGTGGGACTGGCGGAGGCTGCGGCGCTTTCGGGCGAGAATGACGAGGAGGATGAGGAGGAGGATGGGGAGAAGGAGAAGGAGCCGGTGGAGGTGGACCAGGAGGCGGTCGAGGCGGCTAAGCAGGCTGGGCTCGAGCGCGCGAGGAAGGTCTTTGAGCGCGGGTACGCAGACCTCAAGCAAAAGAGTCTCAAGGAGGAGGTGCGTCGCGCCTCTCCCTCACTCTCTCGTCCGCATTCGCTGATTCTTCGGCGAATGGCAGCGCGTCGTGCTCCTCGAGGCGTGGAAGGCGCTCGAGCAGGCGCACGGGGACAAGCAGAGTCTCGCAAAGGTCGAGGGAATGATGCCCCGCGTCGTCAAGAAGATGCGCAAGGTCGAGGGCGACTCGGGCATGATGGAGGAGTGTACGTATTCGCGATCCTCCCGCTTCTCATCGCTGGTGTGGTTGCTGACTCGCTTGCTTTCCGTCTGCTCTCGCTCCCGCAGACTACGACATGTACGTTCTGCCCGGCCGCTCACAGATCTCCCTCAGAACCCTCTCGCTAACCCTCTTCCCCCGCGCGCACAGGATCTTTGCGGACGACGAGCAAGCGCAGAGTGCGGCGTCGCTCAAGTTCCTCCAACTCGCGGCCGAGTGGAAGCGCAAGCAGGCGCTGCTCGAGCAGGAGAAGGAGAGGGAGGCGGAGGCGGAGGCCAGCGAGGGAGTCGAGCCTGTTGCGGTGCAGGCCCAGGAGGACGAGGACGACGAGGAGTAGTAGTGTGTGCTAATGATGAGTTGTGCTATTGTCCCATTAGAATGGGCTGGATGGTTGTATGCGTGTCCGGAAATAGCCTTTGAGAGCGAGCGGGAGAGCGACGAGCGGGTTGGGCTGGCTCACACCCACCACGCCTGGCTCGCACAGGGTTATCCAGCCACACAGTGAGCACACACTGTACTCCAGTACACTCACACAGCGCACACTGACCCGCCTGCGTTTGCAGCACTCGAAACGACCGACCTCGCTCCCCCTCGACCTCGCGCAATCGCTCTCCCTCTCACGGCGCAAGGGCCCGGGCATGCATGCGCCCACTCACAGCCAACTCACACAGCTAGACCGCCCACGCACCACCCACTCGACCAGCGGCAGCGAGACTGCCACCGCGACAGGCCACTCGCCTCGGATTGATCGTCGCACCCCTTCGCACTGGGACACTCGCGAGGAGGAGCGGGACGAGGGTGGGCGTGCTCAGGAGACAGTGATACGGCGCTCGAGACGTTGCGCGGCGTGCGGAGGGCGCGTGAGGAGCGCGAGTGCTGAACTCGACGACGATGGAACCAGCGACGGGTTCGGAGGTTCGAAGCGGGCGACGAAGCGGTCGAGGCGGGCCGGCGGGGCACTCATGATGGCTCTCGGGACACTGGGACTGCTTTGCGCGCCGACCGGCGCACAGGCGGGCCCGCTACCGCTCGAGACGGCGCCCTCGCTGCTCTCCTCTCGTCCCGCCTCGACCTTCGATTCTCGTCCCACCTCGCCAACTACGACTCCGACGCCACGACCTCGGCCTACACTCCGCCGACGCATCGTGCCGATGCTGAGTTGGTCGGATGGAGACTGGGTCGAGGACTATGGCTGGACGAGGTGGGGGTTGAAGCCGACCTCGACGCCCGCTGTCGAGGGCGAGGACGAAGAGGGGCACGTGACGGATGGAGACGGGGATGCAGAGCTGCAGTATGCGCCTGCGACGGCTATGGGCGATGCCGTAGCCTCGACGACATCCTCTTCCGCCCTCTCCGCCGCCTCCGCCTCCGCCACTCCTTCACCAACCGCGACCTCCACCCCCTCCTCAACCCCAACTCTCCCCTTCCGCGCGCGCTACTCCGCCAGAATCCCCCCAGGCTGGACTCCCCAAGAGCGCGAAACAAACTACTACGCCGTGCCGATAATCATCGCCATGAGTGTTCTCGTCGCCGTGATTGTGGTCGCGAGTATCGTCATTAGTGTGGTTGTGAGACGGAGGAAGAAGAGGAGGAGGGAGAAGAGGAGGGAGAGGAGGAGGGCGAGGAAGGAGGGCGCTGGCGGAGGGGAGGGCGAGCCGGTGGAGGAGGAGAAGCAGCCGCAGACGAGGGAGAGGGAGAAGGGCTGGAGGGGCGTTGTCGGGCGCGTCGAGGATGGGTTGCGGAGGCGGAACAAGGGGAAGAAGAAGGCTCGGCAGGAGGGCGGCGAGCGGGAGGACGACGGCGGCGAGGAGGCGCCACCCGCATCGGCTCGCCGGCGCATCGTGCGCACGACGGGCTTCGCAGCGGGCGATCGCGTCCGACCTCGGCGACGACGGAGACGAGCGGCTGGCGGTGGCGACGACGACGAAGACGACGAGGGGACGGCGCTCACCCGCACCGGCACATCGTCGACCACCTCGTCTATCGTCAACGATACCCTCACAGCGCGAGTGGCGGCTCGTCTGCGTCGGCAGGACTCGGCAGGTAGCGCGGCGAGACGCAGCGGCGGGGTGGGAACGACGACCGTCTTCTCGCGGGACGTCAACGCCCAGTCTGCGGTGTCGCTCACCGCGTCCGCACTGAGTCGAGTCTCGTCGCGCGACTCAGGGTCGTCGAGGCGGCTCCCAGCGTCGTCCGCCGGCGCCGATCAGCCTACCATCCTCTTCACTCCCGCCGACGACGCCACCCTCCCTGCGCACCTTCCCCTGCCCGGCACATCCGCCCCGCCTTCGCCCAGTCTCTCGCACGCACTCACACCCGCCCTCTCCCGCACGCTACAACCTCAACCTCCCATCCCCTCTTCTCCGCCCACCCCGACCGCAAGTCCAGCAACGACAGACCCCTCCACCTCAGCCTTCTACCGCTCCCTCATCGTCTCAGACGACTCGCTCCCCGCGCCTGGTCCACCAGCGTACAGACCTTCCGGCTCGACTGTCCAAGCGACGAGGCGGTTTGGAGCGGGCGATGCGGGTGCTGGGGTGGGTCAGCACGGACGAGTTCGGCGCGTGTTTGGGAGGAGGGAAAGAGAGAGGAGCGGAGGGGCGAGAGAGGAGGACGAGGGAGAGTGGTATTGGCCTGGTGAGAAAGGTCGGATGCCTTTCGTCGCTGGCGAGTCGTCGACTTCCGCCACCGCCCTGGCTGCTCCGCCCGAATCGGCGCCCGCCTCGACAGTACCCGATGAGGACGACCTACCCGTCGACCGGTCGCTCTTCACAGCCCATGTTGCGACAGACGACAAGGCCGTCTTGGCGCGCTTACGGGCTCAGAGGGACGTCGTGCTCGTCGACGAGGGAGCAGGCGCGGTGGCTGGTCCGTCGGGTGCCTTGCCTGAGCCGAGCGCGCCGACGCCCGAGGAGGACGAGGATCCGGAAGTCGATGCGGACGGATTCGAGCGGTACGACCTCGCTGAAGTCGGTGCATCCCCCTTCGAGGGCGACTTGACACCCGTCGCGTCCTCATCTTCGACGCTCCTCCCTGCTCCGCCGCAAAGAGTCCACCAACCCTCGCTCGGCGCCAGGTCAGGCAGTTCCATCCCGCTCCTCTCCTCCACCTCGACCGCCTCGACTCCGCTCAACTCGCCCTTTCTCCCGCCTTCGTCGTCGTCGACAGAGAAGGCGGCGCTGGCGGACTCGTATGCCGCAGCGGAAGAGGGCGAGGACGATGCGTTACCGCTCTACCTTGCGGGCAGCGGACAAAGCGGTGCGCGGGAGGCGTTGGCAATGGCTAGTGCTCCACCGGGCTCGGACGAGGATGAAGACGAGGAGGGCTGGGCGAGGGAAGTCGTGCGGATTGAGGGAGGGAGGGAGGAGGAGGGAATCGTCTAGTTCAGTGGTTGTTGTCCTTCTTCTTGCGTTCGGGCTCTGCTAGTTATCCATTGTCGTAGGCATTAGATTTGACTCGTGATCTATCGCAGCGTGATTTGACCTGGCTGGACGAGACTCGCTTGAGAGTTGCAAGTTTGCGAAGGTCAGACCGAGGACTTGTACTCTGCTCGCTCGTCCCGTCTCTCGTGGTACGATTCGACGGTTGGCGACAAGGATGCATTGCAAATCGAGATAGACGCGAAGAGACGAGAGGCGAAGGAGACGATCCTCAGTCGGCGAAGCGGAAGACGAGTTTGTTCGTGCCCGACTCGCGCTCAACACGACAGGGCTGGCGCGTGAGCAGCGAAACATGGTGAAGATACCACGACATAGCCTCGGCCGCATCTTGTGCGTTTTGGAAAGGCTTGATGTCGGCGACGAGGTCGGCGAAGCGCTCGAAGGCGCGCTTAACCCAGGCGAGGGGGATGGCAGCGGGCTCGGTGGTCCTGAGACGCACAAGGGCGATCATTATGAGCAGAACGTGTGCCATGCGGCTTGCGAGGTCCATGTAAGGCGTGATGTCCATCGCCATGTTCAGGTCGCGAGCAAACGAGTTCAGCTGAAAGCGTGCGACCTGCGCCCAGATGCTGTATTCGGCGACGCTCGATGAAATTCTGCCTGACGAACCCCTCGACGTGGGCGAGGAAGAGGCGGCGCGACTCGGAGAGCAAAAGGTAGCGGTGGGTATTGGTGAACGTCGGCGGGGGACTGAGCAGCATCGGGACGACGATCTGCATGACCGAAGTGCGACGTCAGCGAGCGATTGTCTGTGTCCGACGCAGAAGCCATGACTCGCCGACTCGAAGGAGCCCGCAGGAGTTTTGGCCGCGAGCTCAATCCCTGTCGCGACATCTACTTCCGGGGAACTCCCAAAACCGTACTGCGGTCCCAGCTGTTGGAGATGTGGTGGCAGAAGATTGAGATTAACCGGCACGCTGTGGCGAGCTACTGCTCTGAGCTTGATCACCTCGTCGTTCGACAACGCCGGAGGACGGATAGGGTTGGCGTTCGGTCCGCAAATCTGCTTGTGGTACTTCCAGACCTGCATGCGACGGCGCTCGTCAGATTGCTTGAGTTACAAAACGACAAGACAGGACGCACAAGCTTCTGGTGTTCCGGCGAGCAGAAGAAGAGGTCAATCCCGTTCTTCCCGCATGGTCCGCAACGCTTGTCGGTTGCTTCGCCGCACACGCAGCACTTCGAAGGCTTCTGCGTCGACATGGCTGGTCACGAAGCGGTCGCAGGGGCTGATACTTTCGGGTGAGCGGTTGAGGCGTGGAGGAACTGATGAGGAGTTGGCGATGCGAGGGCGACGCGGGGACAGTCGCGATGGGTTGCAAGCGTCACAAAGCAGCCTGAAGAGCGAGAGTGAGCCAGATCAGCGGTTCACAGCAAGCCGCAGCAAAGCAAAGTGAGCGGGACGAGGCGAAGATGCGCTCGAGTCGCGGCGCGAGGGCGTCCTCACCTCGCCGAGCTTTCTTTGTAGCCGTACAGAGCAATTGACATACCTCCATGATCCTGTTGCGAGAGTCAGGCTCCCGAGTGACAGCCTGACTGTCCTGCTGTTGACCTTCTCCGTCTTCAGGTCCGGTCGTTCTCTCGGAGCTGGGTGCGCAAACTCGAGCGTGTCTTTGTGCACTTCAAGCGCGTCGTACAGAGCATCCCGCCTGACCGCCATTCACGCCTCATCTCAGCCCTGGCAACGAATGAAGTGCTTGGCCCCGACGACGACCGTGATGAACTGGATCAAGAGAACGACGCGAAGCTCGGCGAGGAAGTCGCCAATGACCTTGGAGATCTCTTCCTCGTCGACGAAGGGCGAGAGAGCGGCAATCGAGTCAAGGTAAGCCTCGCAGGAACGGTGGATCAGCTCGACAGGGACTGCGTTGACGCCCTTCTCCGCCCTCTGCCAGACGAGCGAAAGGAAGGCGATGGCGTGGTGGCAGCAGGACCACCACTCGGGCGTCTTTGGGTCGAAAGCGACTTTGATGCCCGACATGCGTATCCAGTGCTGCAGAGCGATGTCGTTGAAGCGATCGACATGCGTCCAGAAGGTAAGTTGCGTGAAAGGGACTTCAAAGCCTCCGTTGAGCGTCTCCTTCGCCGTCTTCAAGGAGCCGCGCAGAAGCTGAACAGCGGCTTGTTGCTGCTGAGCCGAGAGAAAATCGGGCGGAGACTTGAACGCTTGAACGAAGTCCTGCGTACGAGCTGTCAGATCAGCAAGAGCCGGTCTTGACTGTCGCCTAGTGAGCGAACTAGTACGCGCCTTGAACGACATGCCTTCTGTCCAAGTCGCTTCAATTCCTGCAGCAAGAGTGTGCGATGGTTGGGCGAGGAGGCTGTCGACTGCCTTCGTCTCGCCTGAGTCCTTCTTGACCATGCTCATCGTGACGAGACGCACGTCGGCATGCGCAAGGAGGTCGGCAATCTCGTCGTCGGAGAGCATCGGGTAACGAAGAGGTTGAGCGTTGGGACCGCACACCTGCTTGTGGTGCTTCCAGACCTGCGCGACTTGTGGACTGTCAGCTCTCTCCACTTGAGCAACGGGAAAGGCGAGCGTACGAGCTTCTGGTGTTCCGGCGAGCAGAAGAAGAGGTCGATCCCGCTCTTTGCGCACGCCTGGCATCGTTTCGTGGTCGGTTCGTTGCAGACGGCCAGCTCGTCAGTCCATCGATCGGAAGGTTCAGCGACGAGCGTCCACGATGCAGCTCAGCGAGAGACAGCTGAGGCCCGAACTTCGCAGTGATGTAGCTCGAGGGGCGCACGTCTGGCGCAGGGTTGTACTCGACAGTCTCGAGATCTTTCGGAAACGACCTCAAGACGTGCTCGGGTACGGGAGCGGGCATTCTCAGCGGTTGAAGCAAGCCGAAGCGAGAGGTGGAGGGGAGAGGTGTGTGCGAAGAACGCGGTGTCGTCCTTTTCGTCGCAGTGCGCTGCGTTACTCTGCGAATGCTTTCATTTTACTCGCAAGTCGTGAGAACCCTGTCTGAGCGTCGCGGACTTGCGATGATGAGCAGATCTTGCCCGTTCTCCCGCGAAGACAGAACGAACTTGTGTTTACTCGTTTCAAGCGTTGTGCCGACTTTCGAGCGCAGTACCTGGCTCAAAGAGAGAGGCAGGACAGCGAGTTTCACTCGTATTCGGGCTGTGCGACGGTTCCCTCGCGGAAGGCGGTAATCTTGCGAGTCAAAGTCGAGTATTCCATCATGACCGAGCGAGAGTTGATGACCGTGACCTCCTTGGCAATGGCGCCAATGAAGTGATTGAAGTCGTATGGCGACTCGAAAATCAAGTAGGGAATGACTGGGTCGAGCATGCGGACAAAGGCGGCGAGGACAAAGTTCTTGAGCTGCGGCTGCGGTTCAGGAATGTGAGGAATTGCTTCATCAGCGAAGCCACAATGAGCGCATGATGGCGCATGTGCGTGATGACGAGCGGCGGCACGTCCTCCTCGAGCTCGAAACGAACAGTCTCCCTCATACGGTCGACGTAGAGTATCTCCGAAGCCTCAAGGCCACGCTTGACGACGGCACGGGCTTCGGCAGGCTTGACGGCATGGGAATACATCGCGTCGAGGAGGGTTGGGCGGAGAGAGCTGAGGAAATCTTCGTAAGCGGCGAACTCGGGGTGGGCCTTCTGGTAGTACGCGATAAGCGACTGCAACATCGTGTAGCTGGTCAGTACGCTCTTTCTGCAGCTCTTGCGTCGGAGTATGGCAATTGCCCGTGTCCTCACCTTGACGAATGAGCCAGGCGGAAGCCGGTGAAGCGTCTCCATGTGCGTCGCGAGCGTGACGCCGCTGCCCTCGGTCGCAAAGTGCGCGGGCGTTCCGGGAGCGCTCAAGTCGAACTTGTACTCGAGATCAGCAAGCGCCTTGGCGAGAGCAGCTTCCTTCGCCGAGAGAGGAGGGGAGGTGAAAGGGTTGGCCTTGTCGCCGCAGACCTGCTTGTGGGCGTCCCAGACCTGTAGGGGCGAGAAAGTGAACGTCAGCAGAACTTCAAAGGGTTCAAGTCTGCGCAGATAGACGCACAAGCTTCTGGTGTTCCGGCGAGCAGAAGAAGAGGTCGACGTCGCGCGCTCCGCACGGCTCGCAACGCTTGGTAGCGACTTGGCCGCACACGCAACATTTCGAGAGTTCCTGCGTCGACATGGCCGGTCACGAAGCGGTCGCAGGGGCTGACACTGGGGGGTGAGCGGTCGAGGCGAGCGAGAAGTGATGAGGAGTTGGCGGGGTGGCCACAGACCGGGGACAGTTGCGAAGGGCAGCAGGCAGCGTCAAGCAGTGCGACAAGCGAGTGCGAGCTAGACGAGCGGTTTCTAGCCAATGATAGCGACTGGGCGAACGAGAAGAGAAGGAGAGGGGGTCGTCCACTGCTGCAATCTCGCGGCGCGCTTCGATTCGGAGCTTGAGCGCCCCGTCACCTTTCGGACAAGCAAACGAAGGAACTCTCTGCACTACGGCGCACAGTGATTGGTGACGGGGTGAGTCGCCTCAAGAGCATGGCGGAAGAGCGGAACACAAATGGAACAGATTGTCCGGGAGATGCACAAAGAAAGACTATACGAGCGCACGTGTGCCAGTGTGGAGAAAGAACACAAAGGGCTGTGTAACCTGAGTTCTGTACCAACGGCCAAACCCGTCTTGCCCTTTCCCGGATCACAGCAGGCGAATCCCGAAGTCGTGCAAGTCTTCCAGAATCGGATTGATAGCAGACAGAGTCTCTGCGCGACTCAAGCGCGGCGTCAAGTCACCCAGCGCAGCATGAACTTGCTCGAAGGCGTATTGAAGGAATGCGATCGGAACCTCGTCTGGCTGATGCTGGCGTCGAACCGCAAGCGAAGCAAGGACGACGATCCGATGGCGATATACGGATAGTTCAGGCGCATCTGCGACAAAGTCCTTCGGCCTCGATGTGTAGGCCCAGGGAATGTTGTCGAACTGCGACACATTCGTCCAGAAGGGAGTGCGGATGAAGGCGTCGAAAGTATTGGCGCAGATCTCCTGCTTGTGAAGTGAGATCTCGTGCCGAAGCCAGAAGAGGGCGTTGGAGACAGAGGCAGCTGCTGGCGAAGAGTAGCCTACAGCCAGAGGCGCGCTCAAGCGTTGGAGGAATTCCTGCGAGGGCATGACTTCAGTGACCAGTCACTTGACGAAAGAGCCGGTACTCACTGCAAACCTGCCGGTTGGCACACCCCAATTTCCCTCAATCATCTTGCCAAGCGTGGGCTGCTGCAGAGCCGCTTTTCCTATGGCTATGCCGATCAACGACGCGCCGTCCGTGACAGTCGGACATGACGCGAGGATCTCTGAGCGGTGTTGTTCCGTCACCGGCGCATCCTCAAGAGCTAGCAGCTCGCCCACCTCGTCTTGCGAGAGAGGCGGATAGCGGAAAGGGTGAGCATTCGGCCCGCAGACCTCCTTGTGGTGCTTCCAGACCTGAACGCCATATCAGTCGTCAGCTCGACGCGATCAATGACGGCAAAGGACGGACGCACAAGCTTCTGGTGTTCCGGCGAGCAGAAGAAGAGGTCGACGCCGCTCTGTGCGCACGCCTGACAACGCTTCGTGGTTGGTTCACCGCAGACGCAGCATTTCGAAGGTTCCTCAGTTGACATGACTGATCAGGAAGCGGTCGCAGGGGATGAGACTGGCGAATGAGCGGTCGAGGAGGCGAAGAACTGATGAGGAGCTGGCGGGGTGAGGGCGACGCGTGAGAGCTCGCGAGAGACTGGACGATGTACCAAAGGCCCAAAGAGCAACGAGCTAGAGCAATGTCGGTGTCAGGCCGCGAGAAGCAGGGCAGAGTGGACTCGAGGAAGGCAACGTGCGAAAGGTGCAGGCATGAGCGCTTCGCTCGCCGCTTCGACCTAGCTGAAACGCCGGCTGGCTTTCGTATGCAAGGTGAGTGCGTACGTGCATTGCGAGACAACAGCAGGAACAATGTGCGAAGTTGCGAAGCGAAGAGGGAATAAGGGTTACGAGCGGATGCGAAGGTCGCTGGCGAAAAAAGGGTATCGATCGTTGTAGGCGTGAGAATAGCATCACTGGAGGAGGTCGACGGCTGGAGGCGGGCGCGGCGGGAAGACTTCGGCGCGGCAGACGGGGCAGACACGGCTGAGGCGGAACCAGCTGCGGATGCAGTTCTCGTGGAAGCTGCGCGCAAGAATGTCAGAGAGTCATCCGAAGACGTAAAGGAGATTGAGCAGATGTGCATGTGGAGGCACTCGGGAAGGACGACGGCGAATTGGTCGACTTTGAAGCGGGCCAGGCAGATCTGTCGTGCGAGCAGCTTCAATCAGCACCACGCGATTACGGCACAGGAGCTGGTACGAGCGTAAGACACTCTTCGACTCACCGCACAATCGACGCACCGCACACCAACAACGCTCAGTTTGCTCTTGACCTTACCGCTCTTCGTGACCCTCCTTCGCTCGCATTCAACTCGAGCGACCGTAAGCGACTCGAGTTCGGCGGGTGAGGCGCCAGCCGGAACTGCTTGGCCGAGAACGTCCGAGAGGAGGAGGAAGTCCTGCATGAGGCGGGACGTCAGCGTGAGACTTTGCTAGAGATTGTCACCGTGCGCTCACATCGTAGTTCTCGCCTCCTTGCGCGGCTTCCGTCGCCGCCCCTTCGGTCGTGCCCGCCGCTGGGCTTCCGTTCTCCTGCGCCTCGAGGCGGGCGAGCAGCAAGTCGAGGTCGGTGTACATGCTGAACTCGGGCACTTCCGCCAACGTACCCGGCTGTTCTTGTGCGGTCGAGACGGAGACCGAAGCTGGAGCGGGGCGAGGTGGACGACGAGGAAGCGGGGGACCTGGGTGCTCGACCTCGTTCACGGGCGGCGGCTCGTTTGGCGGAGGCGATGTGGCAGCCCGAGGCGTCGCCCGGCCATCGTTCGACGGCGGAAGTCGAGGCGATGAGGGGAGCTCGCCGTGCGCCATCCTCAGCGCTGTGAACGCATCGAGCCTATCTTCGGCGAGTGGCGCAGGCGGAACCGGTAAGGGTCTTCGTCGAACGGGCTCGGCGGTTGAAGCGGGGGGCGCGGGAAGAGTAGGCTGTGTCGGAGGCAGCGAGGCGCGGCGAGCCGCGAGGATTGCGGACGCGCCGGGTGGAGGAGGCGGAGGAGGTCGGCGGAAAGAAGGAGTGCGAGCCGGTTCGGTAGAAGGCGCAGGGGAGGGTGCAGCGAAGGAAGGGTCGATAGATCGCTCGAGGCTGTTGCGAGCTGAAGAGGGGCGCGAACGAGGCGGAGGAGGCGGAGGGGGGCGTGATTTGGGCGGCGGTACAGGCGCGGCGGTCGAGGACTCGCTAGTCGCAGCCGTTACCGTCAACGTTGACGTCTGCTGGGCCGGGCGTGCTGACGAGGCACCGAAGAGACCTGGTCGGACTGGAAACAGCCGCTCGTAGACCTCACTCCGCGGCGGCGCCTCCGCTTCGCTCTTCCCTTCCGTCACCCGTACTGCCTCTGCAGGGATCGCAGATGCTGGATTCGCAGTCTGCGCCGCCCTCGCGCGCGCCGCCCGTTCCGCCGCCATCCGCCTCTCCGCTGCTTCCGCCAACATCCGATGACCCTGAAGCGTCAAGGTGCGAGATGGACGAGCAGACGCCGCTGGTGCGGAGGTTTCGGCATCCGACTCTGAATCGGGTTCGGGTTCGGTTTCAACGGAAGCTGGAGAGGGCGAAGAACGTGTCGCAGCGGCGGGCGCGGGCGGGAGCGAAGGCGTTTTCTGAGCAGGCGCAGGGGGTCTCGCTTCCTCCGCAGTTCGCGTCTCCTCCACCGCCCCCGCCCCATCCTCCTCCCTCACCTCCCCCAACCCCGCCGCCCCTCCCAAACTCGCCCCCCGTCCCCTCCGCTCCCTCGCCGCCCTTCCAGCCCTCCTCATACTCCTCGTCGCATGCACGCTCAGAGCTCGCACAACACCTCGAGAGTTGTTCTCACGCTCGGCGAGGGCGATGCGCCGACGGAGGAGGGCGAGCGCGGTCGGGTCGTCTTCGGCGTCTGCTTCGGCTTCGACGTCCGCACCGGCGTCGGCATCTGCGCCGGCAGGTACTCCCGCAGAAGATGACGCACTCGTCGCTGCCGCACTCGACGCCCCGACATCCTCCCTCGCACCCCCCTCAATAGGCGACCCCCTCGCCGCCCTCCGTCTCCTCTCCAAATCCCTCTCAATCCTCTCATCAAGCGAATAGATCCCCGCACTCCGATCCGCTTCCCAAGCGAGTACGAGTGGGTCGGAAGAGTGGAGGATGAACGAGTCGGTGTCGTTGTCGTTTTCTGCGTCGGAGAGGGACGCTTCGGAGGAGGAGGAGGAGGGGGAGGTGATTGGTGGAGGAGGGAGAGATGGAGGGGGCAGCGAGGTGGGAGGCGGAGGCGGGAGGGAGAGAGCGAGTGCGGAGGGCGGGGGAGAGCCAGGCGGAGCCATCGAGTACCGCTCACCCCGCCTTCTTGCCTCTCTGCCTCCGAGCGCTGCACTCCCCAGGCTCGGCAAAGGAGGAAGCTCACCGCCTTCGCCGCGACCGGTGTACGCGGGCGGAGGAGACATGAGCAGCATTGACGGGTCGAGCAGGCCGAGCGAGAGATGGTCGTCGAGTGAGGAGTCATCGATGGAGGAAAATGTGAGGGGCGGGAGGACCGGTATGGGTGGCGGAGTAGGCTGTGGAGCAGTGGCGGATGAAGCGGGCGGGGATATTGGGGGAGCAGCGGCGGCGGGAGAAGGTCGAGGTCGGCGGGGAGGATTGCGTTGTTCGGCAGGCGGGCGGGATGGTCTCGGTACAGAAGTCGTCGCCTGTTGCACGTTGTCGGCTGACTGTGCACGCGCGACTGCCGGAGCAGGCGGCGGACGCGGACCTCGCGGATGTCGAGCGGGAGCTGTCATGCACAGAAACTTCGTTAGTGGATGAAGCCGAATCAAGAAAGAAGGAAGAAGTGCCCACTCGACGATTCGACGCTCCGCGACTCTCCTTCCCGGACACGCGACCGACTCCTCCTTCGCCTGCCCATCTCCTGCTGTCCCGGCACTTCGAGCGACCTCCCGCTCGTTGTCCGTCCCATCTGGGCCGACCTGACCGCTTCCGAATCGAATGCGGACGCCCGATTCGGACTCGGCGTCCGCCCAGCATTCTGCACCGCGCTGAGGATATCCCTCTCGCGCTTCTCGCGCTCCTCCTTTTCCCGTCGTTGCTCCAGCGCACTCTTCTTCTTCCGCTTCTTCTTCTTCATGACATTCGGTTCGGCACTTTCGTCCTCCACTATCGGAGGCGGCGAGATCCCCCATCCTCCGCCTGCGTCGACTCGTCTTTCGGGCGGATCCACCGTCCCAGGCTGTCTTCGCGCACCCAAGTTGTCCGGCGCGACAAGCGTCAGCTGCCCGTGGTGCCGGTGGATGTGCGTCAAGTACGGCGCATCCTGGGTCGTCGTTTGTGCTGGAAGCGAGAGAGTCGAGACGGATCCTGATCCTGCTCCACTGAGAGACGCGGCGATGAGCGGTGCCGAATTGGCGAACGCAGGACCGCCGACTCCGTACGGTGACCGTGCGGGTCTCGTTCTCGGCGTCTTGCGTGGCGAAGACGAGGCAGTTGGCGGTGTCGGTGTCGAGGCAGGAGGATTGTCAGACCATGCCGTCTGCTGCTGTTTGCGGGTCCAGGCTGGCCCGCTGTGTGGTAAGAGCGGTGGAGTTGCCATGTATCGCTCAATCTGGCGCTCAGCAGGCGTGTGCGAGTGTGTCCATGCGACGGGATGAGGGTGGGGGAAATGACGATGGTGAGGAAGGGCGCTGGAAGGCGACGGCGAGGCTGGGTGGTGGTAGTCGCCTAGCAGGTGTCCTAGCGGGTCTGTAGCAGTCCTCTGCTCGCCTCAGCAGCAGAACGAGCGAGTGCGAGCGTGAGCAAGCGAGATGAGGACGAGGTCCAGTAAACTGCAACCGCTCAGAGAATAGCGGGAGCAGCTAGAGCATACACAGTACACACTCACAAGTACACTCCAACCATTCCCACCGTTTCTCGCGAGGTTGGCGACCTTTCTCCTCCTCGCTCACTCAACTCGCACGTCGACTGTTGCTGCTCTCACCGCTAATACGAGACTGTTTGCGGCTGGGATGCTTGCACTACAGCCACAGCAACCCGCTCAGCCCCCACGGCGCGCAATCCCGCTCTCGCGCTCGTCGTCCTCGCTCCGCAAGACCGCACCCGCACCCACATCCACACGACAGCCTTTCTCGTCCATCCAGCCCGGTCAGCCAGCGCGAGACACCGACACACTGTCCGCACTTCCGGCCAAGGTCTCTCGCGGTCAGCGGGAGGAGGCGCCCGTTCGGACGAGACCAAGTTCAACGATCGCTCCACAACCTCCCCTTGCTCCCTCATCTCGCACGGTGCAGTCTCGGCAACGGGTAGAGTCGAAACAAGAAGTGCGAACAGAACGTGAAGCGCAACAGCCGGAGCCACAGGAGGACGACAAGGGGAAGGAGCAGGCCGCGGCCAAGTCGAGCAGGAACAAGTTGACGGATCAGTGGGACGAGCCTCCGACGCAGATCCGGCGAGGCGCCGTACACCTTGAGCGTGGAAGATTGCTGGGCGAAGTGCGCGACCGATCCGCTCGACGTGGGCGCACTAAGACGCCTTGGCTGACTGCTCGCTTTCTCGTAGGGCGGCTTTGCGAGGGTCTACCTGTGCGTCGAGCTCGACGGCAAGTCGTACAAGGCCATGAAGGTGGTCCACAAGCAGCAGCTAAAGTCGACCAAGACCAAGTCCAAGGTGCGTCGACTTGCTCGTCCTCCTCCTCCGCGACTTGCCTGACCTCTGCGTTCGTATAGCTCTTCGCGGAAATCAAGATCCACCAAGCGATGCAGCACCCTAACGTGGTCGGCTTTGAATGCTGCTTCGAAGACGAGCACAATGTCTACATGCAGCTCGAACTCTGCGCGCGCGGCGTGCGTCCCTTCACTTCCTCCCTCCCTCCTTATCACTGACAACCCCATCTCTCACAGTCCCTCCTCGACCTCCTCCGCATCCGCAAGCGCTTCTCCGAACCCGAATCGCGCTTCTACCTCACCCAACTAGTCGGCGCAGTCGACTACCTCCACTCCAACTCTGTCATCCACCGGGACCTCAAGTTGGGCAACTTGATGGTCGACGGGAACATGAACCTCAAGGTTGGGGACTTTGGATTGGCGGCGCTGGTCAAGTTTCCCGGGGAGAGGAAGAAGTGCGTGCGCGTTTCGCTCGCTGCCGTGCCCCGACTGGGCGAGAGACGAGTTGCTTACTCCTCAGGGCGCACACAGGACCATCTGCGGCACGCCGAACTACATCGCGCCCGAAATCCTCTTCGAAAGCAAGGGGACCGGTCACTCGTTCGAGGTCGACATCTGGTCGATCGGCGTCATCCTGTGCGTCGCGGCGTGCCAGCTTGTCGCGTCTCTCCTCACAGCTGGCGGACGAGCTGACGCTTATCGATTCGGCAACGCGCACAGCTACACCCTCTTGATCGGCAAACCTCCGTTCCAAACCAAGGACGTCAAGAACATCTACAGGTCCGTAGCCCCATCCCACATGCTCTTTCTTACACCGCTGACCCGTCCACTTCGCAGAAAAATCCGCGACAACGCCTACACCTTCCCATCCGACCACTTGCTCTCCGCCGAATCCACCTCCCTAATCTCCTCCATCCTGCAACCCGACCCCCTCTCACGCCCTTCACTCCCCTCCATCCTCTCCTCCTCATGGTTCATAACCGGTCCGTTCCCCTCGCGCATCAGTTCGCGCGCGCTCGACCCGGAGCGGGCGAATGAGATGTGCGAGGAATGGAGGTACATGACCAAGAGGCAGAGTTGGGACAACTTTAGGAGGTGTAAGCGCAAGAGTGGGATTGTGGAGGTTGAGGAGGGCGGCGAGGTGGAAGGAGCGGCGAGGAAGGGAGAGGCAGCGCAGGTGGTGGAGGCGGTCAGTCAGGCGTTGCCGACTGTGGCGGAGGCGGTGGAGGAGGAAGACGAGCAGGAGCCGATGCAGCAGGAGGAGGTGGTACAGCCGCCGAAGAAGGCGATAAGGATGGTCAGGCCCAGCGAGGAGCGCGAGGCCAAGGGCAGGGTCGAGAAGGAGGTCAGGGCTGCGACGGCGCCCGACAGTCCCATCAGCGAGTTGCTCAGGTGCGCTCTCCCTCCCTCTCCGCTCCGCTTCGGTCTTGCCCATAGAACAACGGCTGATGTCGCGGCGTGCGCAGGTCTGCTCGCAAGCCCCTCATGGTTTCGCCTTCCTCCCGCGCCATCCCGTCGTCCTCGTCTTCTTCTGCCCTCCGCCGAACAGCCACGACGAGCGTCGACTCGCTGCAGCAGCGGCTTGCGGCCGCCTCCGTCTCAGACCCTCCTACCGCCGCCGCGCGCACTTCTGCGAGCGAGGCACGGCGAGCCGATCCCACCACCGCACAGCCCTCACGGCATCGTCGAGCAGGCGCACAGTCATCCGTCGACGTTCCTCCCGCACATCCTCCCGCCGCCCCCGCACCTCCCGCAAAATCCGCAACGACCACCACCCACCCCTCTCGCTCGCTCTACGACTCGACCTGGCGCTCCTTCGACACCTTCCTCTCCTGCACCTCTCTCGCTGACGTCTCGGCCGTCTGCGCATCGTTCGTCGATGCGCTCCCGGATGAAGAGGAGTTGCGAGCGCCAAAGGTGTTTGTCAGCTCGTGGGTCGACTATACCCATCGCTGCGGGACGGCGTACAGCTTGACGGACGGGAGTGCGGGCGTGTACTTCAACGATTCGACCACGATGGTGCTAAGCCCGGACAAGGAGTAAGTTAGCCTTGACCTTCTCGATTTACGCTCCTCGCCGTTCGCTCAGACGACCGAAGCACGCATTGACGCAAACAGCACGAGTACTGACGTCTCGACCTGCAGACACTTTGACTACATCGCGAACCGGCACGCAAACGTCTACACCCGCCGACACTACGCCCTCTCGACCGTTCCCGAAGATCTCGACCGCAAGGCGTACCTCCTGCGCTACTTCGAGGACTACATGGCCAAGACGCTGCGCCGCAACGTCGAGTGGCAATTCCAGGACGTCGAGCGGCGCAAGAACATGGACTTTCTGGTCAAGTACTACAGGATGAAGAACGCCATCCTTTTCAAGTTGAGTAACGACGTCCTCCAGGTGCGCACCTCTCCCCTCCTCTTGCTGAGAACGAAGGCTGACGCGGGAGGACCGACAGTTCAACTTTTTCGACCACTTCAAGCTTATCATCACCTCTTCCGGCCTCGTCATCAGCGTCATCACGCCGACCTTCACGCTCGAGACCTACACGCTGCCGCAACTCTTCCGCGCCGCCGCCCAGCTCGGACACTACTCACATCCGACCCGCCGACCAAACCCGTCTTCCGATCGAGGGAGGAAGCTCGCCGACCTCGAAGTACTCATCGAAAAGATCGCGTACTGCAAGGATGTCTTGCGGACGCTCGTGAACCGTCGAACGGGGAAGGAGGCGGAGGGTGAAGGCGGCAACAAGGAGTGACGGGCGCCTCCTCATATCTTACGTTCCCTTTCGCGTTTCCGCTAGCTTTTCTTTTCTTCTGCCCGCACTCATTCTGCATTGTATCGCATACTTCTCAGCAATGGACGAAGTCGGACGGAACGCAGCGTGACCAAAGCGAATTGCAAGCCAGGCGTGCGTGTTCTCTCCCTTTTCGCCGGCCGATCGCTGGCAATCAGTAACTCTCGTGAGCGCGCATTCGAGCGCGTCAGAATAGTACTGCGAAAGAGGTGAAAGAACACGAGGACGAGTTGACCCGCCAGTCTACCCGCTGGCCCATGCCTCCGGAGAATCGCACCTGGACAGCGGCCGGAGCCCTTGCCATCACCCTTCCTGCACCCTCTCGAGACATCTTGGGCCGTGTTCGTCGAGTGTTGACGGGTCGAGATGAGTGGGGTCGACGGAGGGAGATGAGGAGCGAGAGAGGGAGAACGGGAGTCGGCGGGGCTTCGAAGGGCGGTACGCTAGGTTCCTAGCAGTAGCTAGAGCCTGCAGCAGCCTCAGATAAAGCGGCGAGCGGGTATTGGTGGAACTTGACCTCGTCCTCCTCATCGAAGGAGGGTTGGCCGACGACCACATCGCTTCCTCGCTCGAATGGCTTCTTGCTCGCAGGGGGACTACATTCAGCGTCATACCGCACCCCCCAAGGTTGTCGAAGCCCTCCGCGCCCTCTGACGCCGCCGATCTCGAAACGATGGTGTTCCTTCTCACACGAATCGTCGGCGCTTCGAGATTGTACACTAGCAGGCGATCCTTGACAATTCACGCACCCTCGCCTGGCCAAGGTGCGTCCGTTGTTCGCAGTGTTTGGGCAAGATTGTGTACTCAATCTCGGTTCGCATTTGCAGTGCGCTCTACCGCCAGACGCTCCAACGTTGGTGCCTTGCAGACCGCCAGCTTGCTCAACGCTGACTTACTGGTTACACAGATCGACGACAAGCTCGCCCAACTACACCCTCAGCTCGCCAAGTTAACTCGCCAGTACCTCTTCTTACGCCCGCCTTGGCTTGTTCAGCCTCCCCCTACATCCTTCGATCCCGCCATGGACTTGCGCCGACTCGGGAGGCCCAAGACGCCCGAGGAACGAGGGGAGCGAGCAGCCGTCAAGCTTTGGAGGAAAAAGGAGGAGCGGGCGAGGGTGCTTAAGTTTAGGGAGGCGTGGCAGAGGCGGGCGCTCAAGGAGCGACAGCGGGCAATGGAAGAACAGAAGCGCAGGGTGGACAGTGCGATGGAGTCGAAGGTTAAATTGGCACGACTTCGTTTGGCCGCCGTCCTCACCGCACCAGACGACGTAAGTGATATCAATCACGCTGCACTAGTCCTCCCAGCTGACATTTTGCCCGATGAACCCTTGGCTATGATTCCCCATCCTCCCCGTCCGCAGTAGTAGAACTTTGACAGACTTGTGCATTTCTACCTCGTTCATCTCTTGCCTGCCTGCGCAGACTGTTCCTTCGCTCGCTATGTCCAAGCACCGAGTTAGAGAACTCTATGAGAGCTTGCAATACAACAGACGACTACCGAAAACCTGCATCTCAGAGCTAGGCCGTGCCTTCGAAGATGTCCCGCTCGAGCGATGCCTCGACCGCCGGCCAGTCGACTCGCGCGCCTCCTCCTGCGCTGTGGTAGACGGCCTCGTATGCAGCGAGACTGATCGTCGAGAAGAACGGCTCGAGCTCCTGGAGCGAGCGGACCTGCCGCGCCTGGATGAGCGGACGACGCAGTGACGCAGTCGCACTAGACCGCGACAATACGCTGCCGGAGCATCCGTCGTCGATCTTCGAGTTCTTGGGCGCAGGCGTTGCCGACGAGCGGCCGTTGGCAGGCTGCAGGACGATGACCTCGCCGAGCCGGTCCACGATGGCCTGCGGGACCCACGAGTCGGGCGGGTAAATCGCGTCGACCGTGTCGGTGACGAACATCCATTCATGGCTGAGGAGAGCTCTGGTCAGTCGCAGCGGGCACAGGAGGACCGCCAAACCAGACGCACATCTGGAAGTCGGCGGTCTGGAGGACGAGCGTGAGGTCGAGGAACTTGCATGCCGACAAGACGAGTTGAAGGGTGTCAGATCCGTCGGGAACGCGTTGATTGGCCAGCGACTCGAAGAGGCGAAGCTGAATTGACGCGATGGTCAGCCATGCGGTGAGAAAGGAGACAGCTGAGCGTACGCACCATCTCCGTCAGGATGACGGGCCAGAGACCGGACAGATGCTGGTTATCGATGCGGCAGAAGAGGACTCGAAGGCAGAGGTAGACCTGCGCAAAGCTCCGATCAATACTTGTGCAGAAACCGAGACGGGACAAGCGCACCTCGGCGTGCACGATCTCGCCAACACTCGACCGCAGCAGGTCGACCAGCTTCTCCTGGATCATCGGCAGCTGCGTCAAGAAACGGTTCTTCTGCGACGTCAAGAGGGTGTAGGTGAGGCGGCGAAGACTGAGGGCGCGCGAGAGCGTCTCGAGTTCGCGATTGGTGAAGATGTTGGCCGAAGACGCCGTCGAGACTTTTGCTGTGGGTGACAGAACACGAGTAAGCCGTGCTTCGTGTTGCAAATGGCGAGCAACGCACCAATCAGTTCAGGCAGTCGCTCCTTGTCGGACGCCATCAAAGCCTGGACGAGCGGCTTCCAGCGCGAATGGGCAGAGGGCGGAGCGTTAAAGAAGCGATTGTCTGAGAAAGCGTCGCTAACGAGTGACCGCCAGGCTTTCAGGGTCTGAGGGTTCTTCGTCATCTCCTCGAGAAGGCCGAGGATGGAGGGGTCGGGATCGAAGGTCCTGCGGCGTGAACCAATTAGCTCACGTGAGGCCGTGATGCGAGGTCGACAACGCACTTCGCGCGGGTCTTGAAGGCCGGAGCGGCGATGTAGTAGACCATGTTGGAGCAAACGGCGCTCGTCTTGTCCGCGTCGATCAAGAACCGACGCAAGTCCGGGAGAACATGCTTCGTCAAGTAAGTGGCAATCTGCGTGATTGCGTTGGTGAGCACGAGTGGCGAGACCTTGCGGAGGGCACGCACTTCTGGTACGAGCGCTCGTTCGAAAGGCGCGGCGGGTTTCTTCGCCGGGTCGGGTATCGACGACGCCTCGTCCTTCGTCTTCTCCGATGCGACACTGTCCGAGTCGCCTGCGGCGCAAAGACGGCGTCAGCGGGGTTCCGCACCGTGCTACCGACCCGGCAGCGTACCGTTCAAGCCGGCCTCAGGCGCCTTCCGCAGCCAGCCGCCCGACTCCGCCGCCCGTCCCGCGACCTGGACCGTCGCGTCAGCGAGGCGAATGAAGGTATCCTGCAAGTCGCGGCGTAGTCGACGGTCTTCGAGAGCGCTCGTTTGGGAGACCTTCTCGGCGAGCGCCGTGTAGCAGCTGCGGCAGTTCCAGTCGTCAGCTCTGTTCTGCGTCTGAATCGTGGCCTACGCACGCACCGTAAGGTCGGGAACAAAAGCGATCGGTGCGTCGACTGATTCGCCAGAACATCGCGGACGAAGGCGAGCATCGCTGACCACACTTGTACCGCCATCAAGCCTTCCATGCGCCCGATGTACATCTCGAGGAAGCCGAAAGCTGTGTCCTCGGAGCTGAGGCACGACAAGCCTTGTCAGCTGGAGCCGAGGATGGATATCGAGAGCGAGACGGACAGGGCTACCGGGCTCTTGTGCTTGGGAGGCGCATGCTTCGGGTTGAGCTTCTCGACGAAAGTCGAGACGACAGCTTGAGGGCTCGGCGCCAAGATCTGCACAACTGCGAAGAGGTGGTCTTCCTCGGACGAGCCCTGCCAATGCGAGGTGGTCAGTTGAGTGCCGGCGGGCGAGAAAGCTTGATTGCGCACGGCAGATACGCGCGCCCAGTAAGCGGCCGTGTCCTCAAGCACGTCGATCGGAAGCGCCTTGTGGATCCGCTCCAACGCTCGCCGGGCCCGCACACGCACGCGAACGGCAAAGTGTCCCTGCGAGCTGCCCCGGTCGTCCTCAATATCAACCTCGAGAGCTGAGGTGACGTCCCACGACAGCAGCAAGAGGTCGACGACGTCCCGTACGCGTTGCAAAGCTTCGTGACGAGTCTGTAGGTCTCTTCGATCAGCGAAGATGCCCTGTGGACTGGTGAGAGCTGCGCACCTTGACTGACTCCGGCACTTCTGTCGGCTCCGCCTCCGCCTGCCCAAGTACGCCCGTCATGTAACCCAACAGCCCCGTCGCACCGCCTCCGCTGGAGGAAGCGGCGTCGCTACTCGCCTTCTCCGACGCTCTCTCCTCGTCGGAAGCGGCAGGAACCGCTTCTGAGACCGCCATGAGGAGTAATCGCTCGAGGGCGTTCATGAGGACGGTGTACTCGGCATCCGTCAGCGATGAGGCGACGAGAGCGCTGGTCGACCCGTAGCTGTTCTTGAACTCGCGCACGAGCGATTCGAGTCGGGCGACCAGATTGTCAATGAGCGGGAAGAGGACGCCGTGGAGGGAATGCCGAGATTGCGGAGTCGTCATGAGCAAGAAGTCGATCCAGTGGTGAATGACGGCGTTGTTCGACTGGGCGATCGCATCGGAGAGCACGCGGACGAAGAACTCGTCCCGTGTCAGGTCAGGCGGGTGCGCACTCTGCGCCTCCGTCTTGCCGTCCCGTACGGTCGACTGCGAGGCACTTCGCTGATGACGGCGGGCGGTCGAGGTCGCCGTGGCATGGACGACGGAGTGCAGGACATGGAGAAGCTTGTTCTGCAGGTCCAGTTCGCCTCGGTGGATCGAGAGGAAAAGTCGGCTCGTCAAGGCGGCGTCGATCGCAGCGACGCCTCCAAGCTCGGCTTCGCCACGCGAGATAAGCACTTGCAGCAGCTCCGCGACGACGGCATGGATTTGAGGGTTTCGCGGCGCGAGAGAGGCGGAAAGATCGGGATTCGGATCCGCTCGAAGCAGGCTATGCGTATGGAGGATCAGCGGCGCTGCAAGATGCATGAGGGCGAAACGAACCGAAGAAGCACAGCGACGAGGCCATCAAGATATGTATGCGTCTCGAGGTCGGCTGCGCAACGGTGAAGTGTCAAAAGGACGACCTTGACGTCGAAGGCAGTATGCTTACCGCCTAGTACTCGCTCTCGCAAAGCCGGATCGAAGGTGTGCTTGAGGAAAGAGCCCTTCGCGATCCTGATGAAGCCTTGTCCGCCGAACCTTGCGAGCGAAAGAAGATTGTCGAGAACGTGATGGACGCGAGCCTGGTCAAATGGATGCGTATAGACGAGAGTCGGGACTCGCACGTCGGCGATTTTGTCGATTCGCGAGTCAAGCTGGATGGCGGGGTCGAGAAGGACGAAGAGAAGCGGGTCGAGGATGCTGTTCAGAGGAAGGTTAGCACTGCGCGTCATGCCTTGCCAGCGCTGCGCACCGTATGTAGGACTTCAAGCTGCAGCGCATCCAAGCTTCAGCAGCCCGGCGTGTCGTTAAGTCGTCCGATTTGAGGCTGTCGAGCATGGCAAACATGGGCGTGCGCAGAACGACACCTGGCAACTGCGTGTCCTCTGCGAATAAGAGCATCAGACTCAGTGCAATCGAAACGGCGAAGCTGGCGACGCACCGGTGAATCGCCACAAGTTGCCGAAGGCGTCGAAAGCTTTCAAGCGATTGTTGGCGTCCGGCTGCGCCAGTCTCGCCGAGATCATCGACTCGCTGTAGCGCATGGGCGACAGCGATTCGATCGACCAAATCAGCTGGACCGCTTCGAGGTAGCAGGGCGACGTTCCCGGTTGGAGGTAGTCGAGAAGCTGAGGGCGTGGGTTTGGTCAGCCTACTGCAGAGCACGAGGAAGCCGGGGAGCGCACCTTCGCAGCCAACGTCTGTATCAAGAACCGGTCGTCCCCTTGAAGACGAGGTTCGAGTGTTCGAGCTGAACCGAGGTCGAGGATAATCTTGACGATGCCGGCGTGGAGGGTGAAGTTGGCGACTCGTGCCGGGAACGCCTCGAAGCAAGAGAGAAGCGTTCTCGTCCAGTCCTCCGGCACCCACGAAGGAAGGCGCAGCGAGGTCTCGCTGGTCGAGTTTGAGGCCAGGTCGACGAAGAGCGTGACGTGACCCGCCGTCGCGAGAACGACCTGTCGCAACGCATCTCGTTCGTCCTGTAGCTCCGGTGCTGATGAGTCTGCGACGCCATTTTCCAAGAGTCGCTTGGCACAGGCCTGAATGATGCGGAGCGAAGTCTCCAGGCCGGCAGCAAGCAGCTTCCTCCCCTCTACGGCGGGCACCGCCGCGGCCTTGACGTCGTCTGCGGCGTAAAGGGCATCGGCAAGGGATGTGCGGAAGTTGAGAGACGAGGTGGATGGCGAGTCGTCCGTGGACGAGTCGAAGAACTTGGGCGAGACTTCACGAAGGAGTTCGGCAGCGAGGTCGACGGCGGGCGGAAGGGGCGCAGAGGTGGTCGATGCGGAGTCGGCTCGGTTCTGTCAGAGAAAGCGTGAGCGAGCAGCGCTCTGAGCGCATGCGGAGTGCAGCGCACCTCGACGAGATCCAGTACGGCAAGGGCAACGATAGGCGCATGCAGTCGCTGTACCTCCTCGTCGTGCAGACGGAAGGTCTTGACGATGAACCTTGCGAGGTTGATGCTGGAACTCGCGGACGGTGCAGGCTTTGCCATCGAGGAGGAAGGTGATAGCCCGGCACGGATGGCGAGGTAGATCTGCTTCCATAGGATGGAGGGGTCGACGATCTCGAACAGCATATTGCCGGTCATCAGGAGCTGTAAGAGAGCGCGAGTGAGCAAGGCTTGCGACAGGCAAAACAGCGAGAGGGAGGGTGAAGGCGCACATCGTCGTATCCCTCGTCCTCGCCTCTTGCGCTCAAACACCTTGACAGGCTCTCGAATGCGTCCAAGACCAGCACCTCGGTCAACGGTGCGCCAATCTCCCACTTGTCGAGGAGCGAGATGAAGATCTTGAACGGCTTCTGGCGAAGAGTCGCTTGTGCCGGTTCGGAAGAGGACGACGAGGCGGATACGGCGAGTTCCATGTCCTCTTTGAGAGCGTCCTTGACTTGATCGAGGGCATGCTGTCGAAGATGGACGACTTGCGTTTCGGAGGAGTCGGAGGAACCGAGAAGCCAGGTGTAGAGTCGTCGCGAGAGGGAGAGATCGCGACGCAGGACGACTGACAGGACCGAGCGGGTGAGGAGGATCTGGTCGGCTCTCCGGAGGCTGTGCATGCGCAGTGGTCAGGTCGGACCCGTGCGAGCAACGGGAAAATAAGCGAGTATCGCACCTCTTGAAGCCCTTTCCGTCGACCCTGAGTGTGCCCGTCAGCAAGTCCAGCACCCCTCGCTGAACCAAGATCGACTCGTCCTCCAACGCAGCCGCGAAACCTCGCACCATCAAGCCGATGTCCTGACCGACGATCTCGGCAAGCCCGTCCTCCTCCCCGTCTGTGTTCGCGTCTTCGCCATCCTTCGCTGGTGGGAGCTTCGGCAGTCGTCGCGAAAGATAGTTGAGAGCGGGGATGCGGGAATTGGGCGCGGTGATGAGGACAAGCCACAGGTTCTGGAAGAAAAAGGCGGGAGACACGGTGCCGCTGAGTCGGTCGAGGAGTGCGGCGACCTGTGAGAGGTGTCTGAGCGAAGTATTATGCGCTGCGCCAGTCCGTCCACGAAGGGCGCACCTTTTCGAACCATTCACCCGTCTCTTCCTCCAAGCCCGGCAGGAGGGCGAGGATGAACGCCTTCGTCGCAGGTCGCAGCGATTCAGAGAGGGGCAGGTAGAAGCGCTCGTAGATCGAGAGCACGATGGGCTGGAAGACCAAGGATTCGCCGCAAAATCCCGTCAGCCTTCGCCGCTTCACAACCTCAGAGCTTGAGATTCGCATCGGCGCACCTTGACACTCGTCGCCGCATATTGGAAGAAGGGAAAGAGACCGCTCGACCAGGCGGGCAGATCGTGAACGAGTTGATCAGGCTATCGACAGCAAACAGTCAGCTCAAGCTTCCGACGGCTCGCTCCTCGCTCTACGTACCCCGATCGTCGAGAGGATATGTGTGTAGACGTCGAGAGCCCGCTGGTGGACGCCGGTCGGGAGAGCAGGGTTAAGACATTGCGAGAGACGCTTCGCAACCGTGAGTTTGTGCGGGATCTGGGGGTACTGCGGCGATGCTTGGAGGGTCTGCGAGCAGCGGGCTGCAGTGAGTACTCTGCTGACCCTGGCGAGAGCTTAAGGGGACGCACCTTGAGGAGCTTGGCTAGGAACGTGATGAAGTCGGCCCACTCGTTCACCTGGTCGAATGACTGGAGCGTCTTCTCGACCGCTGCCGAGTACTTGCGGTACTTTGGATCCGCCTGGAGCGCTGCGAGCGCGCGAAAGCGTGTCAGCCCCTCCCTGTTTCCTCGGAAGCGAACGCAGGTGGGGGTTGTCGTGTCGGACTGCGACAACGAAGGAGTGAGTGGAACGCACCCTTGTCGCTGCCAGAGTGTCCTCCCAACGCGTCCACTGCCGATCCTGCCAACCCTCTTCCTGTCGGTCGCTGTGGAACAGCGTGTTCGTGCGAAAGCGAGATTGTGGGAGACGAGGTGGCAGCGGGAGTGGGTTGGGCTGGTGCTGGCGCCTGTCCTGCAGGCTGTGGCATCGCACTGAGCGTATCAAGCAGTCAAAACAAGTCAAGCAAGCGAGTTGTGCGGTGGTTGAGGAGCGCAACCAACACTCGCTCGCTCCTTTCGCCTCGACAGCTCGTCCTCGTCGGCTGAGGCGGGCTGACAGGATGCTCAAACGTCCGGTTGTATTGCTGGCGAGCTGTCCCATGTCGCGCGCCGCTGCCTGACGCCGTCATCACCTCTCTTGTCCCCTCTCCCGTCCTCATCAGTCGACATCCACTCGCTGGACTCTCACAGGCTGCAGGACGCCTTTGCGGGAGCTCTGGGTCATGTATAGGTCTCACTCATTTGCTGACGAAGGCTTTCGTACGGCTTGCGCGGGTTGCTGGACGCACGCACTCTCGCTCGCGCCTCCCCACTCCCCTTCGCCTCGACCTGCTCGCCTCGCCGCATGACAACTTACGAAAACGCCTACCGACCACGCTTTCCGACCAAGGAAGAGGAGGCGAAGGAGCAGGAGCAGCTCAAGCTCAAGCGGAAACGTCTCTTCAAGCGAGTGAAGCGCGAAGTCGAGGAGGACGAACGGCAGTGAGTGGACCGTCCCGCCCGTTCTGAGTCTGGCTGACCTTCAGCGCCGACAGGGAAGTCAAGTACAACTACAGCGGGATAGCGGGGATCGCTTATCAGGTTCGTCGACCGCACTTCTCCTCGTCGGAACCGTGGCTCGACGCGATGGATACCTAACAGATGGCCGTATGCAGGATTTTTCGCTCGGGCGGTCTGCTCCAGTCAAGTCTCGGGCCGCTCTCGACGCGCAGACGTATGGCGCGCGCCGCCGTCGTCAAGCTTCGACCTCTTCAGTCCTCCTCGACTCGCTGCCTCGACTCGCCGAATGCTGCGTCTCGGTCATCGTCGACTCTTACGGCGAGACAGGTCTCTTCGATACTCTCGACGCCGCGAAGCACCGCGAAGTCGTCCCGCGACTGCTCGAACTGCTCGAACATTCGCTCGAAGCCGACAATGCGCCTCTGCCCTACCAAGTCTGGCTCGACATCGCCAGTCGACTCGGCCCCGACACGCCGAAGCGGAGAAGAACCTATCGAGGGCTTGTCGTCAGCGACGCCGACGAGCTGGACGTCTTGAAGGATCTGAACATCGAGGCAATCCAGCGTTTCCTGCAAGACTCGACGCTTCATTCCGCCTCTTCCGCCCCAGCACCTCCAGCCTTCTTCCTCGCCTACCTCGACCTTTCCGGCGACACGACCTTCACCGACGGCGACATCTACAAGTTGCGTGATCCGGTATCGCACTTCCTGTCGGTCCTGCGACTAGACGGGACAAGCGTCACCGACGGCGGGCTCGAGTGGATCGACAGGGCTGCGAAGGATGCGCCGCAGTACCACCGGCTGGAAGTCCTGAGTGTGCGGAGTTTGGCGAAAGTGACGGACGTCGGGATCGTGCGGTTGGGTTGGCTGCCAAACTTGCGATTGCTCGGTGAGCCCTAGCTCTGGTTCGCTCAATTGAATGCTCGTGCTGACGTTTACGTTCGGCAGACGCACGAGGGACCGGCTGCTCCCCCGACTTGCGCTCACATCTGAATGACGCCCTCCTCTCGCTCCCGCCTTCCCACACCGCCTACTCTCCGACTCTCTCGTACTGGCGCTTCCCGCGCGAAACTCGGAAGGACCTCGCCGCGCACTCGCGGCACTCGCCTCACCTCGAACTTCAGCTTTTCGACCCGAAGAACTTCTCACCCTCTCGCCTTGTCTCCCTCTTACACTACCTGTCCGACATTGACTCGTCCAACTCGTCTTCGCGCGCTGAGAAGGCTCGCGAGGACCTCGTGAAGCCTCTGGGCGTGCACATGACCGCCCTCACTCGCCTCGCTCAGCCCGCGACTCCTTCAGCGCAGCCTTCCGAGTCGCGAACAGCCGAGGAGATCTACCAAGCCCAGCTTGCGCTTCGCTCAGCCGCAACGCATGCTGCTCACCACGCCGCATTCGGCAGCGTGACCAGCACGGTCGCGATCTCACGCGCCTCAGTCGAGGAAGACGGCCGGGCGGAGAAGGACAAGGGTGCCGCGTTCAGGATGCGGGACGACGCGGTGGCTGGACGCACGTTCGCTGGGCTGGGAGGCGCGAAAGGCGGAAGGGCGAGCCTGTACGAGGTCGGGACACGAAAGGTCCACTCGGGCAAGAGTCGGTGGACCCCGCAAGAGCGCGATGCTTTCTCTGATTCCGAGACCGAGGACGTCGTCGAGCGCCTCTACAAGGACGCGGAGGACAAGGCGATTCAGGAGTGGGACGTGGAGAACGACAAGGCGGCGAGCTTTTACAAGGGCAAGAGGCCAGAGCGGCGAGGACCACGGATGTTTGCCATCCCGCCGAAGAAGGACGGCATGCTCCTGCGCATGATCGAGTACGTCCCGCCGTGGGAGGAGCCGCTCAGACGAGCGCCAGCGCCTGTCGTCGTGCAGCAGCAGCCGCTGGCGATGCGGATACCAAGCAACGGTGCTGCCCTCGTCAAGAAGCGGCGACGAGCCGACGACTCGGTCTCCTTTGCGCCGTCCACGCCCGCTCGCCCACTCGTCTCGTTCCCCTCCTCGTCATCGCCGCCAGCATCCGCTACGCCGCCGCCACAGCAAGCTTCCTCGCATGCGCGCCGTCCGCCCTCTTTGTACACGCCGCGCAATGACCCGAAGAACATCGTCCGGACGACTCCTGCACTCCCGAAGCGGTCAGGTCTCTCGGCGTTTCGGACGAAGCGGTAGCGAGCTGCGGGTTGATAATGACAACAAGGAGCGGATCATTCTGTGAGGTCTACGCGTGTACGCCGCCTGTCTAGAGAGATATCCACCTTCCCTGGCCTGACTTCTTCCGTTCCGCAACCTCGCGTTCCTTCTCCTTCTTCTGTCCGTCCCACATCAACCGCCTCAACGCCTCGAACGCCTCGTGCCCGAAGAGCCAGTACGCTCCGCCTGCTAGCGCGCCAGCCAGATGGGCCGCATGGTCGAGGTACGCCCAGCCGCGAATTAGGCCAACGAGATCGACGAGGAGAAGGGCGGAAGTGGCGAGACCGATAGGGATGGGGAAGAAGGGGAGGAAGATGAGCGAGACGGAGGTGCTCGGGAAGGAGAGTGCCGAAAGAGAGACGATGGCGTAGACTGCGCCGGATGCGCCGAGCGATGGGAGGACCATTTGGCGAACTTGCGACGATGGGACGCCCTGCGCCAGGAGCCGACCTGCGACTCGGCGGGCGAACCAGGCGTGCGAAGCGAGCGATGCGACGAGGCCTGTCGTTACGAAGAAGGCGAGGAATTCATAGCGAGATGTCGAGCGAGGGAGAGATTCTGTGGACATGAGTTCGGAGAAGTTGAAGGTTCCGAAGGCGGCGGTGGTGAAGGAGAAGAGGGCGATCGAGTTGAAGGCGAGATGGGGAATAGTCTGTCATTGGAGGAGAGTCAGCAGCGGCTCGGGATCCTGGCGAAGAGGAAACAGGACGCACCCGGTGAGAGAAAGTGCTGGTGAGCATGGTGACGCTCTTCCCGCTCAGCGCATCGTGCGCCAGCCATTTGCCGAGTCCTAGTCGCCGTGGCAGCCTCCACGCGAGCCAGACTCCGCCAAAGACGCCAATCAGGCCCGCCGCCGTCCGTTTCGCCTCGCTCATCTCGAGCCAGTTCTGCGCGAGGATGACGGCGAGTCGGTTTTCCTGTCCCACGGTCTGCATCCATCTGGAAACGTCCGCATAGACCTCATCCCATCGTTGTTTGGCGAGCGAGGGTTGCAATCCGCCGGTCGAGGAAGAGGCGAGTCTCCGCCAGGAGAAGTATCCGGCTTCGGCCTGCCTGTCGAGAGTGTCCTTGTTGGTGTAGTACGCTGCTGCGCCAAGCGAAAGTCCCGCCACGCCGACTGCGAACGCGGCCTGTCGCCCAACACCAGTCGAGAGGGGCCGCGGCGTGGATGATGACGACGAGCGCAAGGCGGGCGATGCAAAGCGTGGCCGCTGTCTCAGCAGCAGCCGTGTGGAGCTGAACATGTCTAGCGCTAGAGATCAGAGCTGCGAGTGTGAGGTGAAGTGGGACAAGAGGCGTCGCCAGCGGTTCGGCTCCTGCCGCTCACCTCACAACTTGCTAGGACCCGCTGCCAGTACCTGCTTGCGCTTGTGTGACTTGACTCAAGTGCTCGAGACCATCCGCAAGCTCTCCCGCGCCGACCTCGCCTCGCAATCTCTTCATCAGTTCTCGCTCGCCTCGACCGCTCACCCGCCAGTCTCAGCCCCTGCGCCAGCTTTCTAACCAGCCATGTCGATCCAGGAGCCTTCGAAGTGCTGCGTCTGCGGCGATCCGACCACGAAGCGTTGCCAGGCGTGCGCAAAGAGCGGGATCGACCTCTTCTTCTGCTCGCCGGAACACCAGAAGCTCGTGCGTCCTGCCTTAGCCGTCATTGATCACGTCGAGCTGACAAAAGATGTTGCGTGCAGGTCTGGAAGCACCACAAGCACGTCTGCGGGGCGAACGCTCACCCGTTTCGCTACCCGCCTCTCTCGCAAGACGAGCTTGACGGTCTCTTAGCCTTTGAGCATGAGCTAGTGACCGACCAATATCGGGACAACATCCTTTCTGCGCTCCCAGAGATCGAGCACGAGCTCACGCCGGACAAGATTGCAAGAGGCCATGCAGCTTTGCAGCAAACCGTCGTTGGCCGGATGCTCGAAAGGAGGCTGGGCTGGCCGGCGTTCTCTTACGCGGTGCGTTTCCTTCCTCTGATCGTCTGACTGTCTGAGGAGCTGACGTCTCCCCAACGACAGAATATCGTTCGCTTTCTCTCCTCGTCACCTGCTACTCCGAACGACGCGTACAGGCGTACTCTCTTTCGCCTACGCTATGAGATCTGGGCATACCATCTCCGCGCACGGGGCAACATGTCCGACGCTTTCGCTCAGACGCCTTTCTGGAGCAACATCGCTCTTTTCGACCTGACGCAACTGGCAAGCCTTGCGGTTGACCTCCCTGTCGACAGCCTCGTCCGGTCGCAATACCTCCACAGCCTTGTCGTGCTCGTCTCGCTCGCCGTGCAGCGGTTGCAGGACTGTACGGCCATCCCGCTTGCATATCTCCAACGCGCATCGGAGCAGATACTAGCCTGCTTCGGTGACCTCAAGCCTGGAGTGGACGAGAAGGACGCTTTGGCTGCCATTGCTCCGCTTCTCGACGCATTGAGGGGTGCAGGGGTGGGCCGGATGGAAGTCTGGCGAACCGTTTCAGGACGACTGGCCGGCTCATGCACCTGATGTCGGATCACGTGTCGTCGCCTGTTCCACGTATTTGTTAAGTTCTTCAGTCGCAGTCTCGCCGGGTGGAGTGTGCAATGCGGTCAATCCTTCTATCGGTCCAGTCATTCCCCTTGCGCATTGCCCCGGTATCGTTCATACCGTGTCCTCGTCGCTGAGAGTGGGACGACGGAGCACCGAGAGCCCGTCAAAGTTCGCACGACTCTTGGGAGTGAAAGGGATCAGGAAAGGGCGTTTGACTTTCCAGTTCCTCGCACCTTCGCCTCCTGCCCTTCAGCCCGTCTCCACAACACGCTGGCAATCACTTTCCTGGCTCGCACTCGCTTCCTAGATTGCTTCTCGCTGCTTGGCAGCCTTCGCGAGCTCTTCCGCGCCGACCTCGCCTCGCAATCTCTTCATCAGTTCTCGCTCGCCTCGACCGCTCACCCGCCAGTCTCAGCCCCTGCGCCAGCTTCCTAACCAGCCATGTCGACTGAGGAACCTTCAAAGTGCTGCGTCTGCGGTGTGCCGACCACGAAGCGTTGCCAGGCGTGCGCAAAGAGCGGCATCGACCTCTTCTTCTGCTCGCCGGAACACCAGAAGCTCGTGCGTCCATCCTTTACCGTTGTTGATCGCGTCGAGTTGACCATTTTTGCGTCGCGCAGGTCTGGAAGCATCACAAGGAGGTCTGCGGACCGAACGCTCACCCGTTTCGCTTTCCGCCTCTCTCGCAAGACGAGGTCGACGAGCTCCTCGCGCTCGAGAATCAGCCAGTGACACCTGACGACGCAGAGGATGTGTCTGTTCTCATTGAACGCTTCCCCAAGGTCCCGGCCGAGGCATTTGCAAGGTTTGAAGCAGGCAGCCGTCAGTCGAGATTGGGACAAATGTACGAGGTGGCCTGGAGTTTGCCGGCTGGCTCCTTCAGCGTACGTACCGCACACTGTTTCAGTACTTCGCCAGCTGACGAGCGAACCCTGCAGGCTTTCGTCCGTTCCCTCGCCAAGCACGTTCCCGAGGAGGAGTACGCTGCCATCTTAGCGTTGCGCGAGCTTCTCAGAGGGCATAGGGCGCGCCGGTACGACAGTTCGCTCAGAGGATGTCCGTACAATCAGCTCTGGACGATCTTCACCCGCTTTGACAGCATGCCTCTCGTCACAACGGCGTCGAGCCGTCCGCCAGGCTTCGACCGCAGCCTCGGGGCGCATTGGCTACAACTGTCACAGTATCGCCATCAGGCTGTCGTGCTGGTGTCCCTTGCGCTCACGAGGCAATCTCGCGGCCCCGCCGCCGTGCCTACTCGATTCGTCCGCGCCGCGTTCGAACAAGCCTTCGCCTGCCTCGACGAGCTCAAGCCGTTCGATAACGCAGCGCATGCTGTAGAAATCCTTTGTTCGGTCTCGGAGATCCTGAACAGTGCGGGGTTACAACAGCTGGGCGTCTACCGCGACCAAGCGGGCAAACTCGTGTGCACCTGCGTTTGCGCCTGAACAAGCGGCCTCTTCGCACGCCTGGCGACAAGGACCTCGGCACTCTTAGCTGTGCAATGTCGAGCATCTTCACCAGACTTGAGCGAGGCTTTCGAGACGTCTACGGCGGCAACCGAGCGAGACTTGAGCGGGAGAGGCGCAGAGGCGCTCTTGTTTCCCCGGCAACAGCACATGGCGCTCTGCGAATGAGGACAGCGTCTTCACAGTGTGTCAATGGATGCATTCACGTAGACTGCAAGCCCTTCCAGCGAGGTTGACGCACCGCGAGGTCGTTGTCGTTGTCGCTGGCAGAGAGCGGGTCGGCGTTGACCAAGTCGCTGGCACTCGCTGTCGAGCGCTCTTAAGGCTCGTGCTGCTCTGTGCTACACTCGAGAACACTCCTACAACGCTCTACATCCACCCGCAACTCGTCCCGTCCTCTCTCGCCTCGCCCATCCCCCCACTCGCTCACCGACCCCCTCACTCGAACCCGCGCAACTCGCATGGCGCAGCCGACATACGCCGGGCTCGCGCGCGTAGAGTTCGAGTACGAGGCGCAGACAGAGGACGAGCTCACCGTCCAGGAGGACCAGGTCGTCTGGGTGCTCGAGGACGATGACCATGAGTGCGTCGCTGTTCGCCGCCTCGCGGGGTCTTTCGAGGGCGCCGGGCACCTTAGACAATGGCCAATATGGCGTTTGGCCCGTTAGCGAGCCAAGCGGCCGCGTAATTGCCTGCCGACGTGATCTCGCCCTCCAACGCACCCGCCCTCTCCCCGCTTCGGACGACACAAGCTGACGAGCCAGGACTCTTCCGCTCACGCAGCTGGCACAAAGTCAAGGTCAAAGTTCCCGATCCCTCGACCGCCTCTCCCCCCGGCCTCGTTCCAGCCTCCTACCTCGCCCCCGTCCCCGCTCTCCGAACAACAACAGCCCTGTACGACTACGCGCCCGCTCGAGACGAGTCTACGGGAGAGCTAGAGAATGATGAGGAGATGGAGATTGCGGAGGGAGAGGAGTTGGAGGTCTTGGAGGAAGAGAGCGAGTGGGTGCTTTGTCGCAAGACGGGCGGGACGAAAGGCGTCGGATATGTGCCGGCGACCTATATCGATGTGAGTCAGTCTGCTGTGAGCTCTTCAGAGGCAGGCGCTGACCTAGACGCGACGCACAGGGCGGTGCGGGTGCAGAAGAAGCTGCTGCGGCAGTCGATGCTCCCGAAGAAGAGGCTCACGAAGTGCGCTGTTCCTTCTGGCTTCGGCGGGATTCTCGCTGATGACGACGATCTTTGTAGGACTACGCACAAGTGCACGAGGAGCCCGAGGAGGAGGAAGATCACTCGTACGCTGCGCCTGCAGCTACGGCTGCTGCTGTCGGGGGGCCGCCGCTGGACTCGGCGCTGTTGCGGCTTCGCACACGGCAAGCGAGATCAAGACCTGGAGCGTGACGGTACGCTGTCTGCGCTCGCTGGCATGCGCATTGACTGACGGACCTTTGTGTGCAGATGCTCGACGCAAAGAAGAAGAAAAAGAAGGGCACGCTCGGCGTTGGAAACGGCGCGCTTTTCTTTGCGAGCGAGAGCGACAAGGTGCGCTGCAACTGCCTCCGTCCTGATTTTGGCTGACGAAGAACGCCGCGCAGACTCCCGTCCAGCAATACCCGCTCTCGTCTCTCGCCGACATTGCAAGCGAAAAGTCGAAGCACCTCCACCTCTCCTTCCCCTCTGCACCCGACGGCGAGCCACTCCACTTCGTGATTGGCGACAAGTCGACCTTTGACGACATCGTCGCCAAGATCGAGTCGGACCGAGGCGGACCTGCTACGAACGGCGCTTCTTCCTCTATCCCGCCTCCGCCTCCTCTTCCCGGCACGAATGGCTCTGCTGCGCCTCCGCCACCACCACCGCCTCCGCCTCCTCCTGGTCCTGCCGCCGCTTCTTCCTACATCCCGCCTCCTCCGCCCATCCGCAGCACCCCCTCGACTTCCTCGGCCCTCCCTCCTCCTCCAATCCGAAGCGCAGCCACGCCTTCCCCCGCCCCTCCTGCCGCACCTCCCGCTCCCGCCGCGCAGAAAGGCAACGCTCTCGCACTCTACGACTTCGAGTCGCAGGGCGACGACGAGCTCTCCCTTGCCGAGGGGGAGCGCGTCGAGTACATTCCTGGCGGAAGCGACGATGCCGAGTGGGCGAAAGTGCGCCGAGTAGACGGAAGCGGCGAGGAGGGAGTCGTCCCGGCGAGCTATATCGAGATCGACGAGGGTGTCGACATGAACGCTTCCGCCCTACCTCCTGTCCCTGCTGCTCCGGCGATGCTCTCGCCTGTTACGACCGCTCCGCCTGTCCCCACTCCTCCACCACCTCCGCCTGCACCGCCTGCGCCCGCCGCGAACGTCTTGCGACCTCCGCCTATCCGGTCTGTCGCCGCTGCAAACGCAGAGTCTCGCCGCTCTGTCCCGCAGGGCGACGAGGACGCCGAAGACGAAGCAGCGCTTCGCGCGCAGCTCGAGGCAGACGCAAAGGCGCAGCGCGACCGTGAGCGACGGGCGGAGAAGGAGCGTCGAGCGGAGCGCGAGAGGCGCGATCGGATGAAGAGCCAGCCGCGCGCTTCGCCCATTCCTGTCCCGAACACGCGGGACGAAGTCGATTCCGACTCGGGCGCTGCGCCGCCTCCTCTCGCTTCACGTCCACCAAAGGAGAAGAAGCGCGAGGTGCGCAAGCCTAATGCGGCCAAGACGCGAATCTGGAAGGATCGCACGGGCCAATTCAAGGTCGAGGCGGAGTTTCTCGGGCTCAACGCGAACAAGATTCGCTTGCACAAGCTCAATGGCGTCATTATCGAGGTTCCGGTTGAGAAGATGAGCCTCGAGGATGTCGCGTACATCAAGCAGGTCCAGTCGGGCGGTAGTAGCTCGTCGAGGCGCGACCGGGAGAGGGAGCGCGAGGGCAGCAGTGACCGCCGCGAGCGGGACAGGGACCGCGACGGCCGGTCTCGCTCGTCGCGCACGGACGCCGTCAAGTCGGTCGTGACCGTCTCGAAGCCTCGTCGATCCGACTTCGACTGGTTCGACTTCTTCCTCCAAGCCGGCTGCGACGTCGATCACTGCACGCGGTACGCCCGCAACGCCGAGAACGAGGGGATCGACGAGACGCTCATCCCGGACTTTGAGGAGTCGAACCTGCGCGGGTTGGGCATGAAGGAGGGCGACGTCATCCGCGTCAAGCGGTTCATCAAGGAGAAGTACGCCAAGCCGCCGCCTACGCCCGACAAGGATGCACCTTCGTCCTCGCTCTCGCCCGCCGCAGCCCTGAGTGCGTCTGATCGCGATGCACAGATCGCTGCCGACCACGCGCTCGCCCAAAAGCTCGCACGAGGCGAGCCGATCCCGCCTGCGCCTCAGCTGTTCAGCTCGGGTCCGGAGGGAACGCTCAAGCCCCGTCGAGGAAGGCGCAACACGGCTGCGAGCAACACCTCCGTCAACTCGGGCGCGTTGACTGCAGCCGCCTCGGAGCTCGAGAAGAATCGCACGACTTCGCCCGCGACTACTCCATCCGCCTCAACTCAGCGACCGACTTCCCCTGTCGAGAGCCGGAAGCGGTCGAGCTCGACGGTCCCCGTCCACGGCGGTTTCCCCGTCCACGGCGGTTTCGACGACGATGCGTGGGAAGTCAAGCCGTCTAGCAAGCCGGCAGCGTCTGCACCCTCGCCTGCTCCCGCCGCGCCTTCTCCTCCGCCTGCACCGACGCCGCCTCCCGCTCCGCCGGCGCCCGCCCCAGCCACGTCGCCTGCCCCAGCACCTGCGAAGCCTGCCGAGCCGCCTCGCACCGACTCGAACGCTGGCCTGACTTACAACGACGGCTTGCTCGCTCAGCTCGGCATTGGCGCGACCGGCATCTCTTCCCGCCCCTCGTCTACCCCCGCCCAAGTCGCCCAGCCGACTGGCTCATCGTCGTCGTTTATCACGCCACAAGCGACCGGCTTCAACCCGAACGCGCCACGCGGTCCCATCGCACCTGTTCCGGCGAACCAGGGTCTCCTCGCCCCCCTTCAGCCGATGCGGACGGGCATGCCTGCCGCTCAGGCTCTTCAGGCGCAGAACACGGGCTTCTTCCCTGGCGCCACCACGATTGGCGTCATGCCCATGTCGACAGGCTTCTCGGGCATGCCGATGATCAGCCGTGAGTACAGCTTCCATCCCGCTCAAGCTATCAGAGCTGACTAATTTCGCCCCCAGAGCCGACCGGGTTCTCGAGCATGACCGCACCGATGTCGATGCAGCCAACCGGCTTCGCCCCTCAAGCGACGGGCTTTGCCTCGCAGCCGACCGGTTTCAGCTCGCAGCCTACCGGCTTCATGCAGTCGCAGCCGTCAGGCTTCATGCAGCCTCAACCGACCGGCTTCGGAGGCGGCGGGTCCGTCTTCAACCAGCCTCAGCAGCCGCAACAGCCTCAGCAGCCGATCCAGTTCAACCCGATGCCGCCTTCGTCGTCCTCGCAGTCTTCGGCGAACACGGTCGCGTCGACCGGCGCAACGCACAACGCACCGACCAACGTCTTTGCGTCAATGAAGGACGGCACGTTCGCCAAGGGCTCGACGCACCTGCCGCCGCAGGACTCGACTCGCTACGACGCGCTGCGGCCAGGCATGCTGCAGGCTCAGCCGACCGGCTTCATGCAGCAGCCGCAGCAGCAGATTGGAATGGGCATGGGCATGGGCGGCATGATGCCGCAGATGACTGGCTTCATGCCTCAGCAGCGGCCGCAGTACGGCTACCAGCCTGTGCGTCCGCTTTCCGACCACGCTTACCACGCATGCACGCTGACTCGCACTCGCTCGCAGTACTAGGCAGAGCAGCCGGGCCCTTCCCTTCCTCAACAGTATTGCAGCCGTATCCCCCTTCTCTCGTTGTAACGCGGACCTTCTGAATGAGCTCAGCAGATGCGGGTTTCAAGCGCGCGCGAGAGGGTATCCAAGCAAGCCGGTACGAAGGGTAGACAACAAGGTTGAATATAGGTTCTATGATAAGCTAGGCGGCCAAGCGGCATCCAAGCGAGTGCGCCTCACTGCGCCTCGTCAGTCTCGTCCTCGTCTTCCTCGTCCGTCGTCGTCGCCGTTGTCGGGTCGGTAACGTCGCCGAGCACGCCGCCAAGCACATTTTCCTGCTGGATCGTTTCCTCCTCGATCGTCTCGACAACCTCGAACGCGGCTTGCTTGCCCGACGTCTGTTTCGAGGACTCGATGCTCGTCATGGCCTTCTCCGAGCGGTCGAGAACTGTGGAAACGAGGCGTCGGTCACGTAGCCCCGCAAATAGGCGAGGGAAGGGGACGACTTACGCGCCTCCAGCTGCTCGTCTGTGAGAACCTCATCACCCTCGTCAAGCGAGACCAACTCGCCCTCCGCCTCAAGGAGCTTCTGCGCCAGCGTCTTGATCGCCTCGTTCTTCGCTTGACCCTTACCGGGCTTCTTGCCCTTGACTTCGTTGATGAAGTTGCTCGCAGCGGACGCGCCATCGCCAGCCAACGCAGCCTCTGCAAGGGAGCGAAAGGTGAGAGGCAGTTCAAACGTTGGAAGGGGGGAAACCGTGACGAACCGTTACCGAGAACGACCCGCTCGAGCTTCCTCTTTCGCGTGGCACTTGCGAGGAGAGTCTGCTCGATCGAGTTGGCCGAGGCCAAGCGGAAGACGAGGACAGGTTTGGTCTGGCCAATGCGGTGAGCGCGGTCCATCGCCTGCAAGTCGCTGTATCCGGCGGAATGTTAGCATGCCGACGAGGACCGCTTCAACAGGCGAGCAACGTACTTCTGCGGGTTCCAGTCCGAGTCGAAGATGATGACCGTGTCGGCGCCGACCAGGTTGATGCCAACACCGCCGGCTTTAGTCGAGACGAGGAAGATGTTGGTCGCTGATCGAGCGCACGAAAGTCAGCCTGCGAAACGTGGACGGAACGAACCGTGGACGAACAGTCATCGGTGCACTCGGCCGCGTTGAACTCCCGGATCTCGTCCTGGTCCGCCTTGTACTCGGCTTGGCCGTCGAGGCGGAACCGCTTCAAGCCGCGCAGCTCGATGTAGTCGTCGAGCAAGTCGAGCATCTTGACGAACTGCGAGAAGATGATAACCTGCGCACGTGGGCTGCTGTCAGCAAACTGGGCTGAACGGGAAGAGCTGAAGACGCACCTTGTGGCCACGCTCGAGCAGTGCGGGAAGAAGACGGTCGAGGAGCATCATCTTGCCCGACAGCTTGACGATGAGCTCGGGGTCGTCGTTCGGCATGCGCGTGTCCTGCTTGAGTAGCGGGTGGTTCGCAATTTGGCGCAGGTTCGTCATCATCGAGTTGAACTTGGTGTGCTTCGCGCGGAGATCGACTGCGGATGGCAGCGTCAAGTCAGTCACAAAACGAGCGAGAGGGTTATTGGACGCATACGCACACTCGCGCTGGCCCGCAACCTGCAGCTTCGCAACCTGTTTCTCCCTCGCCCGCTGCTCCTCCGCTTCCACCTCCTCAGCCAACTGCTGCTCGAACTCGTCGTCGTCCATGCTCTCGTGCATCTCTTCCTTGTACGACCGCGACTCGCGCTTACGGGTACGACGGCCCTTCTCGTTGAGGAGAGCGGGGTTAATGATGTCGGCATCGCGGCTTCCGCGGCCCTTGGCCGAACGAGGCGTCGACTCGCGCGAGTTGTCAGTCGTGCCGGCGAGGTAGGCGCGGAGCTGGCCTCTACAAGTTACGCACAAGGTGAGCCGTGAAGGCGGAACGGGAAAAGAGGTCACGCACTCGAGCGCCGCTTCGGTCATCTCCTTCTGCAGCTTCGTCATCCTGGCCGTCAAGACGTACCTGCGCGATTGAACAGCGTCAGCTATGAGTTCGTTCCAACTAGAGACTGGCGGACTCACTCCTTCTTGAGCGGCAGATCCTTGATCACGTCCTTCTTGCAGCGCCGCAACATGTACGGCGAGAGGATCTCGTGTAGCTGGGCGACGAGGAGCTGTACCTCTTCCTGCTCCGAGATGCGGTGGCCTTCCTCGCTGACGACGGCCGAGAAGTCGAACTGCTGCTCGAAAAGCTCGCGGTCGTTGAAGATCTGGGGAAGAATGAAGGAGAGGAGGGCGTAGAGTTCCGTGAGGTTGTTTTGCTGCGAGCGTAAGGGATCAGCAGCTTGCTCCGCTCGTTGAAGCGGAATGAACGGACGAGAGGCGTGCCGGTAAGGAGGAGGCGGAAGTCGCCACGAAGGAACTTGAGCGAGTTGAGCGTCCTGTGAGTCACTCTCGTCAGCAGGAGAGACATGATGGGCGAGAAGCGGGGAAAGCTGAGCTCACTTTCCCGACAGGTTCTTCGCCTTATGGGCCTCATCGCAAACGATCAAGCTGTACGTCAACTGCCAGAGCCAGTCGATATCCCTCCGCAGGATTTCGTCTGCAAAATCCGTCAGTTTTCGTCTGGACACAAGAGTCGAGCTCGAAGGAACGCACAGGTAACGAGGATAATCGGGTATGGCTTGGTCCTGTTCGGGTTGCTCCGAGGCCACTTCGCAACTTCTTTCGCGGCGGCGGGGGGGCCCAGCTGCGCCAGGGCGTCTGCTTCGGCACGAGGCGTCCGCGTACCTTTAAGTCCGAGCTCCTCGCGCAGTTCGGCACGCTTGTGCTTGTCGCCGGCGTAGACCATGACAGGCAGCGAACGTGCCCAGCTGTTTCCGCAGGTTCAGCTTAGTCTCGATACATGCGGAGGGTAAGTTCGTACGCACCGCTTGAGCTCCTCCGCCCAGTTCTGCTGGACGGCCTTGGGAAGGACCACAATTGCGGGCTGCTTCGCGCCGAATACAGAGTAGATGAACGCGAGGAGCGTGATGGACTGCAGCGTCTTGCCGGTGCCCATCTCGTCGGCGAGCTGCGAGTACAAGCCGTCAGCGCATCGGCGAACGAGTGGATCAAAGTGGAGAGGAAGACAACGCACGATGGCGCCGTGGGTCGCAAACATGTACCGGCCGTAGAGCCAATTGAACCCCTCGACTTGGTAGTCTTTGAGCTTCGCTTTGATCGCAGCGGGAACGGGCACCTCGAACGGCAGTTCCTTCTTTGCCGCTTCCTCCTCCTGCTTGCTCTTCTTCTTCTTGCTCTTCCTCGAAGCTGGGGACGCGTTGGCCTTGCGCTTCTTGCTGCCGGACGCGGGGTCGTCGTACTCCGCCTCAGCCGCCCGCTTCTCCGCAAGCCAGGCATTGCGTTTACGCTGTGAAGAGAGGGAGACCCATCAGCGGAAGTGCATGCGCGCCAATCGCGGGCTCTTCGTACGCACCTGGAACTCCTCAAGCTTCTGCGTGTAGATCTTGGCCTGTCGTGCGCGAAGGAGGCGCGTTAGCGGGTCAACAGAGGGATGTCAACGGAAGAGAAGCGTACCTTCTTGATGACATTCTTGAAGGCTTCCTTGAGCGTCACAGGCTTGTTTTCCGGTGCGCGAGGCTGTGTACGACACGTCTGTCAGCTTCGCTTCGAACGATGCGACATCTCGCCGGCGACCGATTCGAGCGAAAGTGGCGTACAGGCTCGACGATTTCGACATCGGTCGACTCTTCCGCCCGCTCGTCCACCTTCATAGGTTCCTTGTCGGCCCTGGGCGTGCCGATCGAGGTAGCTGGAGTCGAGGTTGTGGCGTGAGGGCCTTCATCATCCGTGTCGTCGAGAGTGATGGTGTCGACCCGTTTCACCGGCGCGGCGAGCTTCCTGCGAGCTGGGGAGCGTTTGGGCATGTCTATAAGCGAGTCTGTCTAGCCAGTGAGCCCAACCAAGCTGTGTGAGAGTAGCGAGCGAAGTTGACCTCTGCGTCGAGACGCGACGGCGCCTTGTCCTCGTCCGCACACTCCGACACGGCCAGAGATGCTTTCACAGCGCACGAGGGACTGGATTTACTTGTGAGGGACCCGCTACAGCTCGAACGGAGGCCGCGCTCACTCACCTCGTCCCGCAAAGCGGTTTCTTCGCGATACACCTTCCAGCGACCCTGCTAGTCGGTGCGTGTGGTCTTGCTTGGGTCGTCTAGCCTGCTGCTGACCTGCGGACACCCGGCAGACATCCAGGCGCTGTTCTGTGCCGAAGCGCTCTCGCCGACATGGCTTCGGACGCCCTGTTCGTCCCGTTCCTTTGCTTACCGCCGCTTTCAAGGTTTCCTGACGCTCCTCTTTGATGCTCGTACAGTCCTCTTTGCCTCGAAGGATGACCCCTTGCTCCAGAACGCCAACTCGCCGCTCTTTGCCTGGTTCCAGGTCAGTCGTCCCCTCCTCTTCCCTGCGTTACCCTGTGTTAAAGCTTTTCGTCCGACATGATCAGAGCTTCATCATCCTTGAGATCCTGCTACAAGTGCCCGTCTTCGTGGTGGGCATGCGGGGACTGTGGAAGAGTGCGTCTCGCCTTCCGGCTCCCTCGTCTCTTCCCGCTCGAAGCTCACGTTCGCATCGTCTCGCAGACACGCCTACCATCTACCCGCTCCTGCTACTCTACTCCTCTTCTTCCGCCACGACAACCCTCGCCTGCCTCGCAACGGTCCTCTCGCTCCCTTCGATCCCGCCAGCGCACATGACCAAACTCCTCGCGAGCTACACGCCGTTTTTCCTCGTACCGGCGGTCATGGCGGTAGACATGCTTGGACGGTTATCGGGGCTAGTAAGGCGGGCGGAGAAGGGGAAGGGAAAGGCGGATTGACGCAGGAAGGAATCGGGTCCAGGAAGAACGGCTCGCGTACACGTCTCTCCGTGTCGAGTTCAAGCTGCTTTGTTATACGTGAGAACCTCATTCGAGTCCGTCTTATTTGCACTCAGCGACCAAGCCTACACCGGGACGAAACGTGACTACCGGAGTGAACTAAACGCGAACTGCCTTGAGTTTTCGGAAGATGCGCCCGACCATCTCGGGCGCGTGAAGGGCAGTCTCGGCAGTATACATCACGTCGTCATTGATGGACGCAATCATGGCTTCGAAAGACGTTTTCACCCAAGAGTCTTGAATGTTGGTGGAGGAGTCCTTGAGGCAGGCAAGGGTGTAGAAGATGAGGACATGGTGCGCAAAGCGCACAAGAGAGTTGCGCTCTAGAAGTTCAGCCGCAACAGCTGCGCCCAGCTCGTCAATCCAGTGCGCATAGACCGTGTTTTGCAGGACGGCGACGAAGACCCAGGGACTCCCAGGCCAGCAATCTTGGAATGACTTTCCACGGTGGCTCCCGTACGTCAGCGCGATCATAAGACGTAGGCGATGCAGCCAGTCCTGGCAGCTGGGCTGCGCTGTTCTAGCAGGGTCGCGCAGGGAAGGAAGTATGGCCTGTGCGATAGAGACGTCAGGGCTCCTACTGTAGCATCTCCATGAAAATCTCTGTACTCACGCACTTGAGCTGATCGCGCTCACAGCCCGCAAGCATGTCTTCGAAAAGATTCGCTCGCACACGATAACTCTCGTCTCCGGGCGTAGCGGTCTCCGAGACGCGCCCACGCTCCGCGTAGTCGTCGATGCGCGCGAATTCTGCATCCGTCAGAGGCAGAGCGATGAAGCGAGCCGACTTCTCGCGACAGACAAACTTGTGGTTGTGCCAGACCTGTGAGCGAGTCGAGTCGAGTCGAGGAGGTCAACACCCCAGCCCTCGCGCGTGCTCAAGCGACATCGCACGTACGAGTTTCTGGTGTTCCGGCGAGCAAAAGAAGATACTCGGTCCGCCTGCGTTCGCGCAGCCCGAGCAGCGCGAGGTGGTTGGTCTCCCGCAGACGGCGCAGGAGGAGAGTGGGGAGGGCATCGTAGGCGTGGGTGAGGGTGTGCGTGGGTCGTGCGAGGGTGTAGTAGCGGGATGAGCAAAGGAGCGAGCAGTCTGGGCCAGGAGCGAGGTGAGCAAGTGAGCGGGAGGAGGGAGAGCAGCTGATGAGGCGGAGCGGACGGGCTTGACTCTCGCTGGGGCTTCGAGCACGATGGGATCGCAAGATCGATTGCACTGCAAGCACAGGACAACCGGACTCGCACACGGAAGAAAAAGAAGCAACTCCAGATCCTCCGCCTTCCCCTTCCTTTCTTCCTCGAAAACATTCGACGTTTGACGTTCGCGCTTAGTCGAAGAGACCGAAGCCCATGTCGTCGTCACTCTCCTCCTCCTGCAGGCGGAACGAGGTGGGTCAGTTACCGTTGCGCTAAGATCGCGAGCGTGACGCACCTCTGCCGGGGCCTTCTCCTCGCTAGCCTTCGAGGTGTCGGCGGCGCCACCAGCGGCGGCGACGGGAGCAGCCGCGGCGTACGCGTCGGGGTTGGCCAGACGATCCTTGATGGCCTCGGCCTCGGGGAACGAGACCTCGGTCTCGACGGCGATGGCGAGGAGGTTCTTGTACGAGTTGACGAGCGAGTGGGTGACCGAGGCGAGAGTCGGGTAGTTGAGCGCGAGCGAGATGGCGGCGACGGCGGTGACGCCCGACATGAAGCGCTTGAGGAGCTCGTCGTCCGAGACGTCGAGAACCGACTCGGGGAAGAGCTGTCCGTCCGAGAAGATCTGGATGATCTTCATTCCGTAGGTGAACGGCGAGATGCCGAGCATGTTGAGGAGGGTGGCCTGCGAAGCGTCGACGCGGGCGCCGGCGACGACGAGGTGGACGTCCGAGACGATTTCGATCGTTCCGCGGGCAATCTTGGTCGGGATGTTGAGCGCCTGGAAGAACGAGGTCTTGCCCGGCTCCATTCCCGTGTTGCCGGCCGGGACGTAGATGTCGTTGGGCGCGAACGCTCCAGCCTTGGCCGGGGCGGCGACCTTGTTCGAGACGATGACGTCGCGGATCTCCTTGAGGTCGGCCGAGGTGAAGACGAAGCCGACGTTGCCCTTGACGAGCGGGAGGAAGCGCTCAAAGTCGGGGTGGTCGGCGAGGATGAGGCGGATCGCGCGGCGGACCATCGTGTTCTTGCCCATCAGGATCGTGCCCTTGCCGCGGACAGCCTGCCTGATCTGGTGCATCTGGTTCGAGCCGACATTGTCGACGTTGACCACGAAGATCGAGGCTAACGTGCAGCAATGTCGACCCGTCCCAGAGTCAGCGCCCGCGCACACCCATCACCACGCAGAGTCCGCCAATCACGCACGGTAAGTCTCGATGTAGTCCTTGAGCTTGGCAAAGTAAGCCTGCTTCTCGTCGCGCGAGCGAACCATCTTGGATTCGGAAGTTGTCGAGGGGAGGGTGGAGAGGTTGAGAGGCGGGGTGTTGCAAGTCTACCCTTGAGTCTGACCGGCGCTCAAAGAATTTAAAGACTTGCTGCTGGGTCGCACGCGGGGTCGCGGGTGGTCGCAAGGGCAGGGAGTGGATGGGAGGGGGAGCGAGGCAAAAGTCAGCGAGCGGTTCGAGGAGCTGGCGAGGACGTGCGCGGGCGCGGATGGCACGGGTGCACGTAGGCCAGCTGTGCGAGCGGTCTGGAGTGGCAAGCAAACGCACCAGGAGCTGAGGGTGCGGAGACCTTACAGAGCGAGCAGCTGTGAGCTTGACGGGAGGAGACGAGGGACAGGACAGGGGGGCGCACGGCGCTTCCCAATCTCTTTCTCCTGAGCGGGCTTGTTGTAGAGCACGCTGCATGATTGCATTCTATCCTTGCAACGTCGCAAAGTGTACCGGCGACAGTGTCACGAGCGACAACGTCCTCCTCCTGCCGCCTCCTCGACCACCTCGCTCCGTTCGTCCTTCGTTCTGCGCGCATTCTCCTTCCGTTGCAACGTTGCCCATCCTTCCCTCGCCTCTGCTGCCCCGCTCTGTCTGCGCTCGGAACGACCTCCCGCTTTCGGGCCGTTGCGAGCCTCCCGTTCTGCGGACGGCGGAGTGGTCTCGCTCCCTCGAAAAAGAACCTGCGCAGTCCGTCCAGCGTCGACGACAGCGATTTGACGGCCGTGCGCCGATTGTAAGTGAGCAGGGAGGATCTGCCCGAGGCTGTGAGCTTGTTCGTTCGTCCGCGAGCGAGCGACGAGTGTGCGGAACTCGAGAGAGAATTGGTGCGATCGCGGCCTGGTCGAGGAAGAGTCTGGACCCGAGCATGGGTGCAATGAGCGAGGTCGAGTGTGCGAGTGCGTTCGAGATGGTGAGGATGAGGGTGACCATGGAGTTGGTCTGCTCGTACCCCTCCTCAGCCGCTCTTGAGAGAGAGGAGGAGTGTGATCTGTGTTCGATGCGGGTTGCAGCTCGGAACCTCGGCGCGCGAAACCCGCTCTTTGCCCACGCGAGAGACTCGCGCCGTGCCTCGCTCAGCCCGCACGCAGAGAACTCGACAACGCTCTACATCCTCTCGCTTGCTGCTGCTGCGTGTGTTCTGCTGTGTGTGTGTGTGTGTGTCGGGCCTACCCACTCCGCCCGCCAACTCGCCCGCCGACACCGCGCCAGACCCGCCGCGTCCACGATCAAACAACCCGCCGTCCGCCGTCCTCATCCCTCGCCTCGCCTCGACACGCCCAACTAGCACTCGGGCACACTCGGGACTCGAGCCAGACGGGGCACACAGCGCACCGGACCGGCGAACGAGCGCCCAAGGGGGTTGGACCAAAACCCCGGGGCGAACTGAGTTCCATCAAGTCGCCAACCATCTCAACCTCCTGAACCGAGCCTGCGTGCGAGCCTGTCGACGCCCGTCGCGCTTCCTCATCTCGCCCGACGGCTTAACCGACGCCCTTCCGCCCGCGCGACCCCTCGTCCGCCTCCCTCAACCTCGTCCTCTCCTCTCTCCAACTCCAACTCCGACTTCCGCCCCCGGCCCACCTTTGCACCATGTCCGAAAAGCGCGACTCCCTCGTCCCCGTCTCCTCCGAGAAACCCCCCTCTCCTCAACGTCGCCGCTCCTCCATCCGCTCTCCCTCGCACCCCTCTGCTCCAACCTCCCAGTCCGGCCTGGACGGCGGCGGCATCACGGGCCTCCCTCCTCCAGCAGTTGCCTTCGTCCCACCGGGTACATCCTCCAAGCTCAAAGTCCGCTGGCAAAAGCTCAAACGACGAATTGGGAGCGGATCTGCACCGTCGGAGAGTCTGGGAGACCCGACTGCTACGACCGAGTCGGATAACGGGAGCTCGTTTGGAGCGGCGAATAGTCGACGCGTACCGATTTTTGGACCGAACGGGGAGAGGGACGACGAGGTGCAGGAGGTGGACGAGGTCGTGGTTGAACAGACCAACGACTACGATTGTTGGAAACGGACTACTCTTCCCTCGAATACGGCCAGTCATCGCGGGGGTGCGACGGGAACGGGGACGGGGACGGGCGTAGGGACTGGGCAGGTTGGGACGATGCCGAGTGATGCGAGCAGTTTGAGGCAGACGGCGTATGAGGCCTCGGGACCTTTCGAGGCCGTCTTTGGGTTCGCGAGGTACAGGGTTTGGCCTATCATGACCCGGTTCTTTGCGGTGCGTGCGCGGTTCTCCGCCTCATGCTCGTTCGGTCGAGACTGACACGCGCTCGCTCGGTCGCAGCCAACCTACCACGACCCGTCAGTCGAAGACGCCTACCAGAAAGAGATCTGGTACAACTCGAAAGGCTCCCACATCGTCGGCGCGTGCTACCTCATCTTCAACTGGGTCCTCACCCTCGCTCTCTTCCCCCGGCCCTTTTCGCTCTGGAACAAGATCCAACTGTACGGACTCGGACCGGCGACGACGATCCCGCTTGTCGGACTCGCGGCGTTTGATGTACCGCGCAGGAGGGTCTGGGTTTGGCAGGCGTGCGTGTGGGTGTCGATTTGGATCGCGAGTTTTGCGAACCCGCTCGATATGTACATCTGCGGGTACTACCTCCCGACGGGCAACTGTCACGGAAAGGACTACATGGCGTGCGTCTCGCGGCGTCCCTTCCTTCCTCTCGCGCGCAAGACTCGAGCTGACCTCGACTCGTGCCGCGCAGGACCTTGTACTACGTCACGGCCCTCCCGACCGTTGCGCTCTTCGCCCTCGGCCAAAAGCGCATCTGCGCAATCATCTTCGACCTCGCCTGGCTCATCTTTGTCTCGTCGACGATCCTCCCTCGCCGCGCGTCGTGGGCTCGAAACGTCGTCAACGTCCTCCTCTTCCAGGGATTCATCCTCTTCCTCCATTACTTGAGGGAGATGGGCGAGAGGAGGGTCTATACGATGCGCGCCGAGTTGAAGATCAGCTTCAAGGCGAAGCAGAGGGCGCAGATTAACGAGCGGAAGCAGTTGGATGCCAAGCGGAGGTTCTCGTCTTACGTGCGTTGCGCGGTCCGTTCTTGAGGTTTGAGGGAAACGGAGCTGACGATTTTGCGCGGCCAGATCTTCCACGAAGTCCGCGTCCCGCTCAACACGGCGCTCCTCGCCGTCCAGAACCTGAAAGGCCTCAACGTCTTTGACGACGATTCCGAGCACGCAGTCGAATACAAAGCCCTTGAGGGTTCGCTCGCCATGATGTCGCAAGTGCTGAACGACGTCCTCGACTTTTCGCGCATGGAGCGCGGCGGTTTCTCGTCTGTCGCCCGCCCGTTCTCCCTCCACACGTTGATGAGGAGCATCATCGTCCCCCTGAGGCTCGACTGCGCAGCGAGGGGTCTCTCGCTCGACACGGACCTCGACAAGCGCATCGACGAACTCGCAGTCCAGGCGGCCTACCCGGACGAAGACCCCAAGCTCGTCAAGGAGGGCGAGGGGACCGTCATTGGCGACGAGATGCGCCTGCGACAAATCATCGGCAACCTCGTCTCGAACGCGACAAAGTTCACCACCTCCGGAGGCAGGATCGGGATCAAGACGTCGCTGATTTACCCGCTCGAGGACTACGAGACGCCGCAGAACTTGCCCAGCGCGGCAGAGTTGGCGGGCGAGGCGGACCTTTCGGACGCGACGGAGGCGACTTATTCGCCACGCTTGACGCCGAACCGCCTACACCAGCACGAGGCCAAGACGACGCCTCAGCCGAAGGAGATGCTCGTCGTGCGGTTCGAGATCTCCGATACGGGCGCGGGGATCAAGGCGAGCGACATGGCTGAGAACAGGTTGTTCTCGCCGTATGTCCAGACGGCGTTGGGTCGCGAGCAAGGCGGGAAGGGAACGGGCTTGGGACTGTCGCTCGTCAGGCAGATCGTCATGCTCTCGGGCGGACGACTCGGCGTGCGCTCCAAGTACGGACACGGCAGTACCTTCTGGTGCGAGTTGCCCTTCGCCCTCCCCCAGCCCACGGGCGAGCGCCTCCAGCGCAAATCGAGCCCGACGACCCTCTCCGACAAGTCGCCCGACACGACGCCCGGCAGCGACTCGTCCGTCCACAACGAGTTCCGCTTCGTCAGCTCGCTCCGCAAGCGATCGAGCGACCCGACTCTCGACAGTATCGACGAGGGCTCGCTCGCGCCCGCCCGTCCGCGCGACTTGTCCGTCTCGACGCAGGCATCGACGTTCCGCTACACGTCCTCCGTCAGTCCTTCCGTCCCGCCTTCTCCCGCTCCGATTCCCGACAGCAACAGCCCGACACCGCTCGCTTCATCGCCCAGCACCAGCAGCGCGTCGTTCTCTCCCCCAGTCTTTGGCCAACCTTTCTCCCTCGTCCCGCACCGCCCCGAAAACCGCACGCAGATCTCGTCACAGTCTGCACCTGCAGGCGTCACCCTCGCCCCGCCGCAGATTTCGGCGCCCATCGTCTCGGCCGTCCCGCTCGCCTCTCCCGCTCTCGCCGCGCAGACGCCCTCTCCGCTCGTCCCGAAGAAGCCGGGCACGACCAAGCTCGACTTTGCGGACGGACCGCTCAAGGTCCTCGTTGTTGACGACGATGCCCTCACGCGTCGGCTCATGAGTCGGATGATGATGCGGCTTGGGTGCGAGGTCGAGACGGCGGAAAACGGGCAGATCGCGCTCGACATGATCCTCGCGCCGCCGCCGGCTTCGGCTCGGCACGGGATCGCGGAGGAGGACGAGCGGGAGGACGACGACAAGACGGTCGAGGGGCACTCGCAGCCGCGCTCGGCGGACGTGGACGTCGATGCGGCCGAACGAGGCGAGGCAGCGGGTCCACGCCGCTCGGCGAGGAAGCAGAAAAAGGTCGGCTACGACCCGACGATGGGTATCGACGCTCACCAGCACTACTCGATCGTCTTCCTCGACAACCAGATGCCCGTCTGCTCCGGCGTACAAGTCGTCTCCAAGTTGCGCTCGCTCGGTCGCGATGACCTCGTTGTGGGCGTCACTGCCAATGCTCGTGAGACGCGTCCTTCCTCTCGACGAGTTTGAGCAACACTGACGCCCTCTCGTTCGCAGTCCTGTCCGACCAGGAGCAGTACCTCGAGTCGGGCGCCTCGTCGATCCTCACCAAGCCGGTCAAGGAGGAAGACCTCATCAAGCACCTCCGCATTGCCGACAAGCGCCGCTCGGAGCGCAAGGACCCCGCATTCCGCGCACAACGACAGGCTATAGTCTCGAGCGGCCCGCACTTTCCGCCTATTGAGGCGATGATTCCGGACGACGAAGACTGAGTCGCCTTCGCCGGTTCACCACACTCCTTCACACACACGTCGCCTGTGCATTCGACTTCGACTCTCGTTCCATACTCGCACGCCAGCCTCGCATGACCGCAGCTCCGTAATCGTTCCTTCCGCCCTCGCTCGACGTTTCCGCCTTTCCTCTTCTTCCGCCAACATACACGGGTTTCTTGCATGGGTTTTATCCGCAGCTCTTGACCTCTCTTCGCTCGCCGAGGGTGACGGACGGAGCTCGCGTCTCGTTTGATTTGTCGTCCTTTCGGTCGAGTTCTCTTCGTTCCGGGTCTTCCATATTCGTCGCCTGCATCTTGCATAGTACGTGTCTTATCGCAGCGTTTACACACCATCGGGCTGGCGTCGTGCAGGATGCTGAGCGAGGAGAGGGACTTGTCGTCGTCTGCTGGCCTTCTTAAGCGGAAGAGGCGAGTGCGCTTGACTGTTGTGCGTGCACTACGTCGCTATCGCTGCTTTACTACGCGCCTGCTTTGAACGCCCAAGAACACCTCTCAGCAGCGAGAACAGGCCGACCCCTGTCGAGGCCGCTCAGGCCTGCTTCTCCTCATCCACCTCTTCCTCCCCCATCTCGCTCCCTTCCACATCTCGCTGGGCCTGCCCGCTTGCTCACTCGCGCACGGCCCTAGTTCTCACTGCTCCTCTGCACCGTCGCCCGCCATGTCCGGCCCCCTCCTCCACCGCTGCGCCGTCTGCGGGACGTCGACCGAGAACCGCTGCTCGGGATGCTCAAAGGCGGGAGGACCGACCATCTTCTTCTGCTCGCCGGATCACCAGAAGCTCGTGCGTCAAGCCTACTCGAGCGGCAGGGCGGAAGGGAGCTGATCTCGCCATACTCGTCCCCGCAGGTGTGGCACAACCACAAACGCGTCTGCCGCGACAAGTCGGCTGCTTTCGTTGCGCCGCCTCTTTCCGACGTCGAGTACCAGCACTATCGGCAAGTCGCCGACATCAAGTTCCCGCACGCGAAACCGCCGGAGTTGCGGATGACAATTGCCGAGTCGGTGGAAAAAGCTTTGGCAGACAGGAAGCTACCAAAGGATTTTGAGCGGGTGAGCTATCACTGTTCACCGCCACACAAGCCGCGATGCTGAGTCTCTTTCGCGCAGTTCGTGGCGATCTCGCGCACCGCCGAAGACCTCGCAGACTCGTGGAAGCAGATGCTCCTGGCACGCATCCGTGCTGACACCGCTTTCCTCATGACTGATCCAACGGGAGGTGTGTTGAAGGCCCCTTTTGTGGGAAGCAGCACGCCTTGGGAGTTTGTCGCAGCGTTCGCAGACCTCGTCCTCCTCTACCACCCGGAGCTTTCGCCGATTGCGAACCAGCTCGTCCGCTTCAAGCATCACACCTTGATCCTCCACACTCTCCTCAGCCTCAGGCTCGCCAGCTCGTCAAGGGAAATCCCGGACGACTGGATCCTGCGATCGTTCGAGAACGTGGTCGAGGCGCTCAACGATGACATCAAGTACCAGCATATGAGTGACATCCACCGGTTCAGCAAGATGACCGATCTCCTCAGCGAGCCCGTCAAGCGCATTGTCGACTTCGAGACGGACCAAGGCTTCTTCCCCGGCATGGGCATCCTCGAGCTGACTTGCTACCCCAAGTAGGCGCTCTTTTCCTCCTTTACGTCGCAGACAGCGTACCATAGCCTGCAACGAGCACGCCTTTGATCCCTCTCGCGAAAGCAAGTGAAAGAAGTGCAGTCGACTTCGCAGGGAGAAACGCGAGTCGCTCAGACGCTGGCTGCGTCACTCTGGGCGAGAGCATATGCGTCGAGATTGCCGTAAGCTCTCAGATGAAGCGTTTGTCGAACGGTGACAGTTGCTTCACTTCATTCGACCCTCGTCCTTCCTCGCTGTCCTCCCCCTCCCACACTCTCGCTCGCCCGCGGGCTCGCGGACCGCTTGTAGCTACTCACATCTTGTCTTCGAGGCGGACGAGCTTGCTATGAGCGTCTACGCATCGGTGGCGGCAGGGCGCGATGCGTGCGCGATCTGCGAAAAGTCGACGAACGCTCGAGAGGCCAGGCGCGCGACGGATAGACTGCTGAAAAGTATCGTTACAAGTCACTGACGGAGCAAAAATCATCCGTTCCCCTCGAACTGCAGACTCAAGATTTGGTCTGCTGCTTGACGAACTCGGCGTCCGCGATAGCCTGCTCCTTGCCCTGTCCCTCGAGCAGCGTTTGGCCCATTGCGATCTCGTGTTTCTGCGGAGCAAGAGGTGGGAAGAGTTGGCGAAGGATTGAGGTGCGGCGAGAGCGGGCGAGTAAGGGCGAGTAAGGGCGAGGAGAGGGAAAAGTGATGTGTAGTGAGGGCGAGGAAGTAAAAGAGCGAGGAGGAGAGGGGAGAAGGGGATTAGGAGTGGTCAGTCCTGCGCATTTCAACGCAAGCCGAGACGCGGAGGAAGCGACGCACCTTTCCGGTGGTCATGCCCGCGAACTTCTTGGCGTAGCCCGCCACCTGCTCCTTGAACGACGGCCCAG